TTTTACACGTTGTAACGTCAATTAATTTTGTCAAATAATGTGTTATCAACATAAAAATAATTCCAGCTTCGAAATATTTAAACATTTTGAGGATAGTAGGAATGACTATGAGTTTTCAAAACTTGATTGAAATCGTGAATTTATTTGGTTTTTGATGAACGAAAGAAAAAAAAACTTGTTGGTGATAGTTAAAATATCATCAAATTATTGAATCATATCAGAACGGCCTTGACAAAGAGTGGCGAAGAGAAGGTGAAGATCATCTCGAAAAATTATTTAGTTTTGGAGGATATTGACCATGTTCAAGTTTCAAACACTTTTACGTTTGTAATGGAACTTCAATTGGATGTTAGACGTCAGACAGTAGAAGAAAATTTTTCGTTCAATTAAAGCAGATGTCGTCATTACAAATCTTTTACTGAAGATGATAATTTTAGAGCAAACTATCAAATATTCATTCTCAGATTCCGTTAAGCACCTCAACAAACGAGATTCTTACTTATGTATGAATATTCTTTACTCTTTACTTTACAACCTCAATCAGATTTCTGTATAAAATAAATAATGAAGTTGTTGAATGACATTTTTCATTTCAAATCTTTGTATGTTTATTTTGCTTTAAAGTTCAAAAAGTAATGAGGCTTAAGGTAGCTTAAATGAAAGTGAAACGCTTAACAACGTTTTTACTGAGTCAATTTAATTGTGTTCTCTGTTGACAAATCTCTTTTTTCAGCAAGAAAATATTTTTTGAAGGTTTAACGTAGTTTAAGACTTTGCAGCTTACAAGGTAATAATATTAAAAACTGCAAAAAATACTTTGTCGTGTTTTTATTTCTTTTCTCTTTCTTCCTCTGTGTGTCATTACGTATGAAGTTTGCCAACATCGTCCAACATCATTATTGTTTCAAAAGTCATCGTCTCATTTGCTAATCAATTATTATGATGAAACCAATTTGGTTTAATGCGAAAGAAGTTAAATATCTATATTTAAACTTTTCTTCGTAACATTAAGGTTGTTACAGAGTGTTGCAAATCATCTTGAGCATAAAAAATAAGGAAATTAGAGCATTGCAAGTACAAAACTACATATTTCCATACGTTTTATGCAATTTCTATATCAAACATATCAAACATCGTTTCTTGGTGATTTTTCAAAGTATTGGTTGAATGCAGAAATCAACTTTGCTATTTGGAGAAACAACCGCAATCTTATGCAACAAAATTGAGAATGGAGGAAAACAGGTTTATTTACTTGCATTCACTTGCATTAGATAGCTTTGCACATATTTTTTCTCAAGATATCATAAGATGTTTCATACATTGAGGATTCGTATCACATTAAATCGGTTTATGTAATAAAAAAATTACTTGAAAGTCGATGAGCTATACGGAAATTATTTGCAACAGGAAATTGACTTCTCATAATTCCGAATGTGGCTTAAACTTCTGCTTTATTATTTTATTTTATTAATTCAAGAAACAATCTAAACTCATTGTGATGGTCTTCAGTTTGTTATTGTCATTCTACCATTGACAGGTTTAAGTATTTAACAAGGAAAATATCAAGTTGCAGTTGTTGACTGAAAACAAACAAACAGACGATGTTTAAGAAAGCAATTGAAGGAAAAAGCGTCAATAATCATTCAGCTACATTTCACTTGATTTTAGTTCCAAATGTATCAAAGACGTCAAATGAAATTTCACTTTTGTTGTTTAGAAGATTTTTTTTTTTGTCTTTTCAAACCAGTTTGTCATTGGAATATTTTGAATAATCTGAAGATTCACAGCATTTCCTCCGCACAATTCTGTCCTTGTTAATGATCACAAAATAAATGTTTTGTTTATTTATTAACTCACCTGAAAAACGTAGGCAACTGATAATCCTAAGAATACGAAAAAATCGGCAATCGCTTGGAATTTTGTAACTGGAACTGTATTAATATCAGACTTATCGATGGAAAAGCGTTTTGCTATAGCCATTTTTTTGTTTCTAACTTTTTTTTGTGTCTGTTTTGTCAAATCTATCAGAATATTTTTTTTAACTAAAACGTTCACTCAGCCACTATGCACAAACTAACATAGAACTTATTAAAACAGGAATACATGAATATTTAACATTTTCTTCAGAAAACACTTCTTATGCTTCTATTTTTGGTTTTTACCTAATTAAACAGAAATAATGTACATTGAACAATTCACTTCTTTTTGTCTCTCGTTGAGGATTTAATAAAAAGAAATAAAGCAACAGAAATTACTTGGTCGACTCGGGGGTCGATTTATAATAAGACCTCGAAAATTTTAATGACAGAACATGTGTAAAATACTTTTAAAACTAAAATTTTTTGACCGATCTCTTCAAAGCTTCAAAATGAAATGAAAAGTTTTCGATTCACTGTTTCTTTTTGCTCGCTTCACGTTTTTCCAGCGCGAATTTTAAGAAAAAAATATCTCATCGCGAGACTGAGTATGAGCATATTTAACGAAATATTGAGCGTTTTGAGTATTTCATGAGAGACGCCACTTCTTGCAAACTTCTTATAAAAACATTTCAGGAAACTTCTTAAATTTTCAAAGCTTTTAACTTTTCCTCAAACATTAACTCAAGGTTTCTTTTTCTTTGATTAAATGCAATTCTAATAGATGTTAAAAAGTTTTTATACCTGATTAAAATAAATTAATTTTTTACAATTGTTTTGTATCTTTAAATTAAGATTTTAAAGGTTTAGCCGTAAGTTTCCTTTTCGCTAAATGTAAACAAAAATCTGGCAACACTAAAAAGGATATTTTGAAAATAACCCTCAACGGATATTCCCTAAGAGGACATCAATGAACAACTTAAACGTTGAAAATTTAAATTTTTAGAATATAATGCGCATTATCTGCAGGAATATGGAAAGCTTATAAAGCTTTTTCTAAGCATATTCAATCATTTTTCTGACTATCTGCTTTAAAATAGTTAGACACCTGTAACCAAACATTTGCTTCCTTAAATTAGTGGATTTAAAACATTCGTAGGGTTTTGCAAAGAAAATATTTTTTAAGTATTCGAAAAATATCGCAATCTTAAATTGGGCATGCAGAAATGAATTTTTGTTCCCGCTGCTATTACTTTCACAAATATTCTTTTTATTATATTTTTTTTCTCATTTGCTCGAACTTTTACAATTTCATTCCTGATATTTTGGGTGATAATGTTTTATAGTTTCGGTCGTAAAGCTTGAAGTTGAGAGAAGATAAGTCACTTTTCGTAAGAGTACGCCACTGCATATTTTTTTCTTCTTTCTTTCTTCGTTATTCTTCGAACTCTAATGTGGTAAAGTTTTCAAGAAGCGTTCAGTCTTCCACTTTAAGCCGTTCGTTGCATACAAAAGTTAACGGTGGTTCCAAGCGCTCGGTAGCATGAATCGTTATTTAGCTTAGAAAAATTATGTTCACCGTTTTGACCTAAATTGATTAAAGTGGTAAAGAAAACTAAAAAAAGGCATTGAGAAAGTTTAGGGAAAATTTAACAAAATTTTCTAAAATAATTGTAAGCATAAAAGAAAAGAAAATTTGAAAGATGAAACCGGGATTAATGTACGATAATCCATTTGAATATGTTTGGTCACTGATTGTGGATGTTACTATTTTTATGATTAAATCAGTTTACTTCTTCTTTGAGACGGTGATTTTAACATGTTTACCTATAAGATTCAGGAAACTTAAGGTAATTAAAAAAAAGCAACGAAATTAGTTTATGTTTGAGGAAGTTTCAATTTAGAGGAAATTTCCAAGATATAAAAAACAATATTGGGGTTCACAATCAAGACGTGTGAATGACGAAATTTTCGGACGTGTTTGATATACAAATTTCAATTTGTTTTCCTGTATTTGCATGTGGCAAAACATCTTAAGTTGATGTGAAATACTTTTAATGAAGCATATTGAATTCTTTAAACTCCATGCTTGTTTAGGTATTTCAGTTGGCCTTTATATCGACCAATAAATGTCTCATTGAGTGATGAGACGTAGTGACCCAAATACATAATTTCTTCTTGCATCAAAAACAATAACAATGCAAAACCTGATACAAAATAAAAATTTTGTTTCTTTAATCAAGAAACTGTTTCCTACTTTGTTACGGCATTAAAATCTTTCGTCTTCTTTCACTATAAATGCAAATATAGTAATAATGATACTTTAAGTTAGTCCGTGAGGATATTATGTCATGCATAAGATCTCTGACAATATTTGAATAAATAGCGGAATTTATAGGAAATTCATTCCAAAACCTTTTTATAAGGTTTCAAAGATTAATCAACTTTTTTCTGCTATTTAAAGATTTTCTTTAAATTTTCGAAATTAATTTTCCTAATTTTCATTTAACACACAAGTTGAGACAAATGTTTTCATCATAAACTAATAATTCATACGATGTGTGTTGCTTAAAATTTGACGACAGCAGTTTCATTGTTTAATCACGTAATATTCAAAGGCAAAAAGTGACATTAAAAATGGTAATTGTGCTTACAGAATCGCACACTTTTAAGGAGTTTCTTTCTGAAATTCTTAATTTCATTCATTAATTACTTTAAATTCAAATCATAGCACAGATTTATAGACCATCTGAATGTCTTGTAAATGAATGAGAAAAATTCACAATTATTTATCTTTACAATGTTTATCGATAGTTAAATTAAATATACAAATAAAGGCAGAAACAAAACTAAAGTTTTGGGTTCTACAGTCAACTCATGTTAATAAATATTTCGAGAGACCGGAAATTTACTTGTTATATTGAGTGAAGTTTCTAATCGAGAGAATTTTGTTCCAGATTTCGACCCAGATGCAATTTACTAGCATTCTATCGAAAACATTTCTTATCAAGAGTTAACCGTATTAAAAATAGCGGAAGAAGAAAAATAAGAAAAATAAGAAAGTTTAACTCAAACCTCAATCACACTTTGTTTTAGAAATATTTTATTTCTGACATTTTTCTACTTGAATAGAAAGCGTCATTGAAAATAATTTTCGGTGTTTTGAGAGATCACTTATTCGAATGTGTTCATCATCGCCAAAAAAAAACTTGAGCTAAAGTTCAATGACTTTACTTTATTTATGTTGTCTTGTCAGGTGAAAGTAAACGCACACGTTGGTATATTTTAAATCCATGATCGATAATTATAAATAACAAGAAAATCTAGTACAAGTTAAAGAAAAACTTTCGCATCGTCATAGGGAAATTAAGAATAAATTCTTAATAAGTTAAGTTTTGATTCACCTTGAACCCGAAAAGTCAATTGCGTGAATTATTTATTTTTCCCATCTCAAAGGTTCTTAAAGTTTCTTCTATTCCCATCGTAAAACCCGAAATGAGGTTTTATAGAGTCATGTAAATCATGAACCAATATTGATTCTCACTTAATGGTAAGATTTGTTCATGAATTGACAGAGATTTTGTAAGCTGCGTACGTCTGCTTTCATAAAATCCAAAAATCAAACAAAAATTTATTTGCAAACGTCGGTTGTTTCCTCAGTCACTTCACAAATGACGAAGAATGGAGAAACGCGTTTAAACTTCAAAGCAAGAGTGTAAAAAAGCAGCAACTGACAAATTAAAAGAAAAAATATTTTAGTTGAAAAGACATTCAAATTTAAGCTTAAGGCCAAGGCAGAATTTAAAATTTACTTTTAACCTTCGCAGGATGTTTCCGGACAAACTGTTTTAATAACTGGAGGAGGCGGTGGAGTCGGCAAATTTCTGGCTTTAAACTTCGCTCGACTTAAATGCAAAGTTGTTATTTGGGATGTTAATCGTGATGGTGAGTCACACAAATTCAATCGATAAGATGAATATTTACGGAAACTTATCAGACCATGATGCTAATTCATTCAACAGACATTTTTTTCTAAGAAATGCATAAAAGCATTTTGAATACAAAAATATGATTCAACTTGATGCGGACATTGATAATTTTTTTTGTCATTTATGATGAAATTTTGAAGCAAACACGAAGTTATCAAATGTTTCTGTAAATTAACACAATCTCAATCTTCTAATTTTCTTTTCATGTTTTCTTAATTATGTAAAAGATACTAATTCATTAAATTGTGATGAAAGTAGCAAAAGTAAACAGAAAGTTTAAAATAAATAAATTTTTGCCACAAAAACTTTTGGAAACATTTTTTAAAGCAAGCAAAAAACTTGAGGTTTTGTTCCTATTATAAAATGTCTAATAATTCATCGCAAAGGAACGGCTTTTATGTTTGTGGTTTTCAGTTCCGAAGATTTCAATGATGTTCTGCAAACTTTTATGTAAATAGACTTTCCGGCTTTTTAAGCTAACTTTCTAATCTTAGAAACAAAAAATTTATTTCTCATTCAAAGCCATAACAGCAACATCCGATGCACTTAAAGATGAAGGTTACGAATGTTTCGCATATGTTGTTGACATTTCTGATAAACTTCAAGTCTACGAGGTTGCTAAGAAAGTTCGACGGGAAATTGGAAAGGTTGACATTTTAATTAACAACGCAGGAATTGTAACTTGCAGGCCACTTCTGGAACTTCCCGATAAAGCGATTGAAGCTACTTATGGCGTTAATATTTTATCTCACTACTGGGTAAGTTGAAACAACAAAAACATGTTCAGACCATTTTCAACATTTAATAAATTTTTAATTTCAGACATCGAAAGCTTTTCTTCCTGAAATGATTTCTGATAAATGTGGTCACATTGTAACTGTCAGTTCTGTCACTGGGCTGCTTGGCACTTACGCATGCACTGATTACTCAGCTACTAAATTTGCATGTGTTGGATTTCACGAGAGTCTGTTCAGTGAATTGCGAGCTCATGGCCATGATTACATTGGAATGACTCTAGTCTGTCCCTATTACATCAACAGTGGCATGTTCGCTGGTGTCAAACCTCGACTTCTTCCAATGTTGGAACCAAAGTATGTCGCCGACAAAATTGTCGAATCAGTTTTGAAGAATGAAGTTAATTGCACACTTCCAGCAACCGTTCGATTGTTTCTACCTCTCAAATGGTTCGTAAAATTTTAAAACAAATTAGAAAACTTTTCTAAATTTTTCTGGTTGAAATTTTTAGTCTTCTTCCTGCAAAAACTTGTTGGGAATTGATGATGAGAATCATGAAAGGACCACAATCGATGGCACTGTATAAGGGTCGTGGAAAAGCACAAACTGGTTGAAGCAGAGCAACATTAATCCAACATTAATCCAACATTAAAACATAAATGCTGACTTTTATTAGAAATAAATTTTTTCATTTCGATTCTTAGCATTTCAAAACTTGTTTGATTCATAAATATTTAGGCGCGATAAATTTGTTATAAATTTTTGAATATATGTCAATAAATGCAGTATTTTACAATATTTAAAGCTTTTTCATGATCACTCGTTGCTCCACACAGGTTTTCGTTTCTCTATGAAACTTTTGATGCCCTCTTGTCCGTCTTTAAGTTGCAAGTTATCAACCATGGCTTGACTACCTGCGATGTAACTCGAATTCAAATCCATTCCTAATTGTTGATAGTAAAATTTCTTTCCAAATGACACGACAGCTCTTGACTTGCTTTTAATGGCATCGCAAATTTCGTTGAGCTCTTGATCGAGTTTCTCACTTGGGACTACGCTGCTTACGAGTCCCACACGAAGTGCTTCTTCGGAAGAGATTGGAAGACCAGTCAGAAGCATGTAACTCGATTTCATTCGAGGAATTGTTCTGGAAATGGCGATGCCGGGTGTGCTGCAGAAAATTCCAAATGAAGCACCAGGAGTCGAGAATGTGCTTTTCTCACTGCAAATTGCGATGTCGCATGAAGCTGCCAACTGTAGACCAGCAGCTACAATAAATTTAAATGAATGAGGAACGACAAACATATAATTTGAATTTTAATTTTTACTACCTGCAGCTAAACCATCAATTTTTGATATGACTGGAAGAGGTGAAGCAATAATTGATTTTATCAGTTCGTGACATTTATCGAAGACTTTTTTCTGATTTTCTGCGCCCTTGTCTGAAGATAATTCTTTCAAATTATGACCCGATGAGAATACCGGACCACTAGACGATAAAACAATAACCCGCAATTCTTTGTCGTCTTCATTCCTTTTGATTTCATGCAACAAATTTTCCATCATTTCAAGTGACAAACAATTTCGCTTTTTGGTATCAATCATTGTTATGTTTCTTATGCCATCACTCTCAGTCACTGACACGAGGTTGTGATTCATTCGGAATTGATGAAAATGACGAAAATTCGGAACAAGAAGTCGTTTAATCATTTTTAACTTTTCTTAAAAAGAAATAAAAAGAGCGATAGAAAAATAAAAACAAACGGAATTGACTAAACGTTAGAAGATGCATGAAACATGATTTAATGGCAAAACACGATTGAGACACGCAGGGGATGAACTCAAAACATTTTAAAACGTTAACTTTCAGTTAAGACTCAATTTAACTTCAATTTCATTTTTAAAATAGTAAAATTTGTTTTTAGGTAGATAATATAAAATCAACTAACATTGACATTGATCTTGAATGAGAATCTTCAACTTTTCTTCTCTCGTTTTTCTTTTCTTAAGACTCTGCTTCTCTTGCATCAAATGAAAATGCTGTATAAATGAAATGCGCTAGTAAAAGTGGTTTTCAGTGTATCTCAAAGCTTCTTACAGTGCTCATCGAGTGAAGAAATAAAAAAACTTTCGTGTTCAAATCTTAGACATTGCGAATGTGAATTTCTTTTTTAATAAAGAAAGTGGAAACTCATGATCACTTTTGTCGCAAATTGTCATCGTGAGCAAATGTGTTGTCATTACAATATCCAAAACTGATTCAAGTGAATTCATGTAAATAATTAACCACAACATAATGCTTAAGCACATCAATCAGTGTCTTCGTGATTGCTTTAAAGTTAATCTTCTCGTCACCTTACTTTGGACAGGGGCGATTCTCTTTACTTTCACTCAGAATGGTAAATCTTGTTAAATATAAAAAAGAAAATTAAACGAAATGCACAGGAAAGTTGGCCTAACCAATAGACATGATAAGCTCCATAACAATTTCAAATTAATAGCATGGCTAATTGTTATTATTGTTTCATAAACTTTTCTCTCGAGTCTTGATTAATCGTTAATCTTAACACTAAGCTGCATAAACTTGAACCAGAAAATACCATTTGAAAAATACAAGTTTAACGAAATGTTGAATGAAAATTTCTCTCAATTCAATATCTCGTTTAGTGACGTTGAAATGATGATCATTGCTAATGACAAATTCGTTAAAAAGTTTCTTTGTTGGAGAGTGTGCAGATGGGAAAATTATCAAGTATTCAAAGATCTTTAGCTATTAAATATGTTTTATTTAATATCTAATAAGCTTTAAGTATAACTCATAGACACTGATAGTTTATGTTTCATAATGTCGACGTCAATCATAAATTTATCGATTCTGATTGATACAAATCATCATTTAAATTATCAAGTATGGTTACAAGCAAGAACATGAGCTGTGAATAAGCAAAGAAAGCATGGCAGAGAATCAAAGTAGTGCAATGTTGCTGAAGAATGGGGACTGTGTGCATTAAATTACGTCTTTATACCTATCAAAGAAAGAAGAATTTTCTGAAGCATGACAACTACAGTTCTTTACAGTTTATAACTTCCGCTAAGTGCGGCGTTTATTAGAAGTGCATAACTCAAATTTTAACAAGATGAAGATAATTTAACGTTAAAGAATCCTTGCTAGAAATGACTTTGTTGCGGATGCTTCAAAGGGTCAACATTATTTAATATTTGCCCTTACATAAATCTCATTTGTAGATTTGTATCGTGAAGCTTTCGATACAATCGAAAATTAAATTACAAGCAAAGTGACAATTTCATAATTTCCCATCAACTAACTAATAACTTGCTTGATTTATCTTCTTCATCGCCATCACATAGAAGTGCCCATTAAGTTCATTGCTATGGGAGCGAAATTTCAAAGACCATTAGTGGGTCAAACAATGAATGCAATAATTGTTTGCGGCTATCAATAAATTGTCTGATTCTCATAAGTTGACAATTAAGAGTAAAAAAGACAGAGAGAGAGAGAGATGGAAAAAAAAATTATGCTACGGTGATTTATCCTGTAAAATGTTTTATTTATTTCATTTTCTTAGTTGATGCTACAAGCAATTTAGTAAAACGAAGTCTTAAAGAAACAACAGTTCAATGTTTAGACGATGGAAGATTTTATAGGTTGGCATGCAAATTTTATTCGAAAAAATTCATACAATTAATATAATTAACTACACAGAAATCCCGAGAGAGACTTGAAGAAGATGTGGTCAAATTACGAATGTTCAAAATATTATCTTTGTCTTGATGGTGAAGTGTTTGAATTTAAATGCAGTGTTGGGCTGTTGTTCGATGTGACACGACAAATCTGTGACTTCAAAGCAAATGTTGATAATTGTGATTTAACAGCAGAAACGAAAGTTCCAAAACCTTTGCTACACAATGCGACATGTGCAAATGCTGCTCAACTTGGATGTGCAGATGGAGTTTGTCTTCCACATGAATACTTCTGTGATGGATCGATTGATTGTGCAGATGGAAGTGATGAAGGGTATTGCGATCCTAACAACGATCCCAATGCTGCTGAAGGTTGTGATAAATCACTTTGCCAGTTGCCTGAATGCTTCTGCTCTAAAGATGCAACCATCATTCCTGGTGGGTTGAATCCGATCGATACACCACAAATGATCATCATCACGTTTGACGATGCTGTAAATGCTGAAAATTGGCAACTTTACAATGATAAATTATTCACTTCTGAACGAAAAAATCCAAATGGTTGTCCAATCAAGGGCACTTTCTTTGTCTCCCATCAATACACCGACTACCAGAAAGTTCAACAGCTGTGGCAAGATGGACATGAGATTGCAATTCACAGCATCACTCATAGAGGTCCTGAAGATTGGTGGAAGATAAATGCAACGATTGAAGATTATTTTGACGAGTTTGTTGGACAAGCCAACATCATTAATAAGTTTGCGAACGTTCGAATGGATGAAATTGAAGGTAATTGAAGGCGATTGATTTATTCAGTTGACACAAGGTCATCAAATTGATTTTTGCAGGTCTACGCACACCGTTTTTGAAAGTTGGTTGGAATCGTCAATTTCTAATGATGAAAGAATTTGGTTTCGCTTATGATTCATCAATTGTTGCGCCCGCATTTTTGAATCCACCTTTGTGGCCTTACACTTTGGATGTCAGTTTATAAGTTTTATAAAATTAAAAGGTTGAAACTAATTTGACGTGTCTTCTCTAATGAATAGTACAAAATACCTCATGAATGTGTTGGGAACAATCATTGTCCATCAAGAAGCTATCCGGGACTATGGGAAATGGTTTTAAATCAAATGGAAGCAGATGAGGTCACATGCGTTTATCTTGATCAATGTCCATCTAATTTTAATGGTGATGACATTTTTCATATGTTCATGCACAACTTCAAACGCCATTATAATACAAATCGAGCTCCACTTGGTCTTTATTTTCATGCTACATGGTTTAAGCGACAAGAATATTTGGAAGCATTCTTAAAATTTTCAGATTATCTACTTAAATTAAACGATGTTTATTTCGTTACAAATCACCAAGCAATTGCGTGGATGCAGCAACCAACAATTAGTAGTCAGCTTTTGAACTTCCAGCCATGGGGATGCAAGCCTAGGCAATTTGAAATGCATGAAGTGACTTGCACTTATCCAAATAGTTGCAAACTTCATTCACGTGTCTTGCAGCAAGATCGTTATTTAAAAACATGCAACGAATGTCCGACAGAATATCCATGGATAAGGTTTGTTAACAAATAACAACAAATTATTCAGATTAGAAGCATAAACTAAATAAATTTTATTTATTTTACAGAAATGAATTCGGACTAAGCCGATAAATTATTTGTGACTTGTCGCCAAAAGATTTTAGGCTTTCAAACATATTTAATGTATTTCCAATGTTATTTTTATTATCTTAACTCACATTGACTTTTATTTTAAGAATTTTGCGATTGATATCAATAAAAGAATGTTTTTGTTTTTTAATTTTACACTTTAAAGAGAGAAAAATCGTTTTTTGCATGTTTATGCATCTTGAGTAATGAAAGGATTTTGAATACTCTCCATTCCATCTTGTGGACATATAAGGACAACGCTTGTGCCTCTGCACACAACTAATCCGAGATTTCTCGTGTCTTCAGAAAACTTGTATGGTTCATCTTAAAGATTATAAAGAAGGATTAACTTTGTTACAAATTTATTAGCTTCTAGAATATTTACCTGGATCTCTTAAATATTCTGTTGTACTATCCAATACTAAATTTAATAAAGGATCAAAACCTTTGAGAATACCTGAATAATATGAGGAAAAACATTTTATATTTGTAGGTATATAAGGACTGAAGATTACTTTTAAGCAACAAAAAACTTACCGCTTGCTTCTCTTCCTCCAGCAAACTTTACTCGAATATGTTTCTCCAAGTATTTCGAAAGATCAAGAATACTTTCTTTACGTTTCTTCTCTTTATTACCATCATTTTGCTTTTTATCTGACATTTTCTTTCAAAACAACGTTTTTTAGAAATTTTAATCGTTTATTTTAATTGTTTACTTCTTATGGGATTTATCAATAAGTTAGGAAATTCAAAATTGCGTTTGAAATTTTGAGGTTATTTATTTGAATTTTCCGTTAATTTTTTTTATCATGCATTGATTTGGAATGCTGAAACATTTTTTATGAAAAAAGTAATCATAATTAAAGACACTTGGAAAAACAACTGAAAAGCATAAAAACAAATAAAGTTAAAAACATAAATTTTCATATAAAACATTTTTATTCTTAAAAGTTTCTAAATTCTTAATCATTCATAATGGAAATTGTCAGAGATGATTAACAAACTGAGTTTGCCAAAGTGAAGTTAACTGGAATATTTAGAACAACATCATCAATTTCTTTGGAATTTTTAATCTTGACGAATTTTCGTTTGAAGTCGAGCCCACAGCCTTTTGAAAGTCTAAAATCCAAAAGTATTTTTCCATCCATTTCGAGGAAATTAGCTTTAAAAGTAAGTTGAAGTTTTCGTCCATCAAGAGTTGAAATTGTAACCGAACTGTCTTCATTTATTTTCCAAGTAAATCCTAGTCTATCTAGCACCGTTGTTAAACGTTTAATAGTTTCGTCGCATTTTGTAGAAACGAAAAATCTTGTCATTCTTTTCACAAGTCTTTGGAATGGATTGCCAAATGTCGATCCCTGAGTAGCATTTTGTTGTGTGCAGAGAAGTAAATCATCAAGCATTGCTGGTTGACTAAAGCAATAATTGTTTCGAGCTTCCACAGACATCTGATGCTGATTATTTTGTGAGAACAAAACTGAAGGCGCAGGTTGTGATTGGTAACATCTTCCATTGATATCATCAAAACTTGAATTGAGATCTTGAATTGATTTGAGGCGTTTGTTCAATGGCGACATTCCATCCGTCATATCTAGTGGTGACACTAAAAATAAATTATAAAAACAAAATCATTTTTGTCTCTCAGATTTGTTATCAAAGAATAGAAATAAAGAATTAAATAAATCGATTGAATGCGTGATATTTGGTTATCAACAATCAAAAACTTACAAAACACATAAAAAAGACGCAAATTGAAAGTGATAATCATAAATAAGAATGAAAGACAAGGGTTATTGATACAAATAAAAATGAATAAAAGATATGAAATGAAATTCACCCCTAGAAAATAAATTTACTTTCTTTTTTTAAAAAAATCAATAAAATCGCATTCTTGCTTATTTTGGAAGTCGTCGAAAAAAGAACCAAGAAAAACGGAAAACATTAAATAAATGTACAAAATTTTCATCACATTTTTTTTTCGTCAGTAATGTAAGCAATGGGGGCAGCATTTTGGTTGATTGATGGCGATTGACTGTTGGTATGAGAAGCGAGTTGATTTCTTATTCATTCTTGTTGCTTGCACCAATGAAATTCAATGCTTTGGTAATCTAGCTTTATGAAATATTAAAACAATCATACAGCTAAATCGCCAAAGCGGTGAAAATTGGCGAGTTTTTCGCTTTTTCTATTCACATTAAATTTGTCAGCCATATTAATTTTCCTTTTCATACCCCAAATAATATAAAATCACTTCATTAGGTCTTCGCTGTATTATATTAACAACTTTCAACTTTAAATTACTTTCTTAAGTTACACCTTTGATTACATTTGTTAATATTTAATTAATTTCACCAAAATGTAAAGATTTATCACTTTTAAAGGAAATGAAAGAAAATTTGGAGATGTAATGATGGCGGCGTACGATGAATGCTTCCCATTCTGCCAGCTACCGCGTTACTCTCAGAATTTCACATACACAAAAAAGAATTTGAAGGAATTATTTTTCCCGTTACGACAATGGAAGAACTTTCCAATCTGAAGAACTTTAGTTCTAAGCATTGAAAGTTTAAGAAGGTTCGAATGAATTTGTATGAAGTTCCATTGCGAATGAAAAACGAGGGCTTTCCCAACTGAGAGTCACGCAGTACCTGATGGAATAGAAAACTCACAAACACAATATCAGGTGAACTTTGCTTTCCATCCCTTTGGTGTTGTCCTTGTTGACCATCAGCGCATGCGTCAAACAAATTTTTTCTTCTCTTTCATTCATTTCTATCTATTGAAACTTTCTTCTCGGATTGACTCTTTTTTTTTCTTCATTTCAATGAGAGATATTTAGGGATAAAGAAATAAAGTCAGGAGAAGTGTGGCCTGTTAAGAACAGTCACAATTCTAACAAGAAAATTTCTTATCGCTTTGAAATGAGATTAGAAATCAAAATGTAAGGCCGATGTTTGGTATATTAACAATTATTTAAATATTTGTCATGGAAAATCAATTAAATATTTTTAAATAATTTAATTCCTTACCTTTTGTTGTCAGAAGTGGATTTTGGATCCATTTATGTTGTTTGATATTTTCAAGCGTTAAACGTTTCTCAGGAATGGGGTTGAGAATTTTTCTGATGAAGCTAAGCGACAGAGTGTCAAGTTTACTCCAAGGTGTCATAAACATGTGTTTGTTATATCTCCAAGCTAAATATTCTTTACATCCCGATGAAGGCTGATCCCATGGAAGTTCTTTAATAAAAGAAAGAAAAATAAAATTCAGCACAAAATCAAATTTCAGAAATATCTAAAATAAAAAAAATAAACAAAAATATGTCATCAGGCAGAAGAGCAAGCAAAAACAAACATCGGTTGAGGTATTTCAAAACATTCAGACCTCTGGTACTAAAGCTTTAGAGTTAGCAAACAAAATCAAAATGTAAAACGCATAACACCAATCTACAGCTAGAATACCAAAGATCCAGACATTCTGAATGAGTGTTGTTGTTAGCATGTCGTCTCGTTTCTTGTTTCTACATAAATAAAATAATTTGGGCAACTAAAAATTCACAGCAATACAAAATTCATTCAAAAACTTATAAAAAAGGATCAACGCAAGTGCAATCAAAATTTTAATCTTACCTCCTGCCATCATCGTAACAAGGATAATGCCACATGACCATATATCAGCTGGCTGTGCCATGTAAGGCTTAACAAGTATTTCGGGTGCTACATAAGGCAACGTTCCACATTTTTTATCCAATAATCTTTCTTTGCCTTTCAATCTGAAATGACAATGCGAATGTGAGCCTAAATTTGAATAATTCAATCAAGTAAACGACGACAATGACGCATAGAAAAACCCATCAAAGAAAATGGAAAGTTTTTTAATTCTTTTTTGTTTCGAAGTACCTAAACACTACCTAAACACGGTCGCCATGCCGAAATCGGAGATTTTTATGTTATCACCATCATCAAGTAGAATATTTTCAGGCTTCAAGTCTCTGTGAGCTACACCTCGGGAATGGAGGTATTCGACACCCGATAAAATTTGATTAAAGTAACGTTGCGCTGCTGTTATTTCCATGCCAACATCGGGTTCTAAATATTATGTGAAAATTTTAAATCCTCTTATCATTTGCTTTTCGAATTGCAAAGTCTTACCGATTCGATCGAACAATTCACCACCAGCTGCATATTCTAAGAAAATATATTCGATTGATCCCTGCGTTCTCGTGCCAAAATATTTTAAAATATTTTCGTGTGAGAGAATTTTTTGTATGCACACTTCCTTCTTTACTGATGCTTTTGCGTCTGGATGTTTCTTTAAGTCAACCATTTTCATTGCTACAGCCTCACCGGATAATCGATTTATTAAAAGTTTTACTCTGCGAATAAAAAAAGGCAAATGATTTGGTTAACCTCAAAATCATATTTTTTTGCTCTATAAATTGTTGATGGAATAAAACATTTATTAAAATCTTGATTGAAATATATTTACTCGCCGTAAGCGCCTTCACCCAATGTCTGTGTGATATTCCAATTCTCAACAAATTCTCTGCTTGTTCCTTGAGATGCCATTGTTGTAGCAATTTTTATGCAGTCTTTCTCTTTTATCTAGTGATCCTTACTTTGTGAGGAATTCTATTATCAGTTGCTTAGTTATAAATCTCTCTTCCATATAATAATATTATTATTATTAGAACTTAACCGTTAATTTTAATTTTCGAAGAAAAAAATCGATGACGAAACTGAGAGTAAGAACATGAACAGAAAATCTGCAAAAAGAATGGATAAAAAAAAATTATTGATCCATCATCATCATCATCGTTTTTGCTTTTCGTTCACTCGCTTATTCGTTTTTTGTAGCAACGAAAAATGAACTTTTTTCTCAGAAATGATGGATTTTGGAATCGTAAAACAAAACTTGAATATTTTTCTTTTTACTTTTATATCGGGCAATCGCGGTCCAAAGTATAACAAAAAGAATACCTAACTAACGAATTTAGTCTTTTGGTTTGGGAAAGTTTTTAAGAAGCGGTGTATAGGAAGTGAGAACAAGGAAAGAAAAAAAAACATTTTAAGATGTTTCCATTCTTCTCTTCCATTTCGTTCTCTTAGCAACAAGAATGCAAAAACTGGTATTTATAAAAGAAAACGTCGCGATGAAGGAAAAGAAGAAATAATGCCTCTAAATTCGAACGAATTTATGGCATCATCGTATTGCGAGAAAACAATCCTAACCAAATAATGTACGTGAAAGAAAAAGACTTTGAAAAGAGTTCTGAACAATGGATTCTTGAACCCAAAAAAATGCTTTTAACAATCAAAAAAATATAATTACTGATTGTTTTACAATATCATGTTTACACTTTTTATCTACTTCTAACAAGCATCTTTATCATATCTCTTTTCATTTAAAATATTTGACAGCACTTTGATTTTTTTTCTTTTCAAAAAATTAAATCTCCATTATCGATTTTTTTTAATATTAGATATTCCTATTAAAAATGATTTTATCTTGGAAATACTTTATAAGATTGTAAGAGAGGGTATGAAAAGCATTATGATAAGGATATTATATTACTGATTGTGCGAATACTTACATTTACAAAAGATGCCGAAATATATTTACGACTTGCTGCTTATGCTACGTTATTCTTTTCCACTTTAAATGTGCGTCATATTTTGTATCAAACTGCAACTGTCCATTTGGAAAACATTTCAGGTGAAAGGTGAAAATTGAGGGGAAATTTTCTTCTTCCGAAATTTCTTCGTATTTTATCTGTATTTGTCTATTATTGAAGTAATTTATGTTAATGGGTAGTCATTAAGGAATCTTAATTTATAAACATCATAAAAAATGTTGAAGCAAGAAAATCTGGCAGCGAATTTCTGTGGATTGCTAGCTTCAAGAGGATTCAAAGGTGAGATAAAAAGAATTCCGTTACATAGATCAAGAAATCCTGAAATATTCCTTTTAGAACCTGCAAATGAGTTCAAAATTCTTGGTCAAGAGAAGGATGGCACAATCCTTACAAGCTGGATATCAAGAAAATATCCACAGGAGACAGAAACATCAATGATTGGATGTTACAATCCTAAAGAAAAATCTTTTGACGTTTTAAAAATTTTCTCGTCCCGTGAAAATGTTATTCAAGCTTCTATTAATCAAAATAAATCTCTTCTACTTTATGTGATTAAGAAACAATATCCATCTGTTGATAACGAAACAGTAAATTTTTTATATGAACCATTTTTGACGAGGACATTGTTGGAAACCAAAGACAACAACATTGAAAATTCCTTGCTAAGTACTGAAAGAAGCAAACAAGTATTATTGCAGTTTCTATGGCCAAAGCATCAGAGAAACAAAGACCAAGAAAAGTTTCTTCTTATGATTCATGAAGAAGGAATTTACTTGAAAACTGTAATCGTGAATGACACTTTAGACGATTCATCAATGAAAAGTGAATTAATTGTCAAACATTTCGTGTGGAGTCAATGGGATGGCAAAATTCAAACTCTTTTTTACATTCATCTCAAACAATCTACGAGAATTTCATTAGAGAAAGAAGAAGATGAGAAATTAACGATTCCAACATTGTCGGCTTTTCAATTTCACGACGACGTTCCAACCGAGACGGTCTTGAATGTTCCTTTGAATCTCCCAAAGATTCCATCACCAAGTAAATTCTCCGAGTACGAAGATGACACAATTCCATTGAGAATCTACGATTCATCTTTAAGTCTCATTATTGTCTCTGATGACGACAAGGGAATGTTGTTCATCTGTCATTATTATCTTTATCAGCCAATTAAACAACAAGACGAGAATCAATCAAGTGTCAAAGACGTTCACTTTGCTTACTCAATCACAATGGTTCATTGCAGTCTTGTTGTTCATTGCATCATTCCAGGCGTTCCATGGGAGAAAGCGAAGCTGATGAAGCCAACATTTACATTAGTCGACGATCACTTGTTGGTGTTTCAAGGCGGTTTATTTATAAACATCTTGGACATTGGACTTCATAATGAACCCTGTTCACATATTGTCGCCCAACCTTTCGCTACACAAAGCAACATCACACATCTCGTTCCTTGCTTCAATCACATTGCATTCGATTCCGCTACTTTAGATCTCATTTCACTTCAAATACCAAAAAATCATTTAATTGAAACATTCAAGTCCGACGCATCGATTGATAATCGATTGAGCATCATTCATTACTTCATGGCACATTTTGATGATCTGCAAGTCTTTGCTGAACTCTTAAACATCATCATGGAACAAATGCTTGGCTTGGACATCGTCAATCTTCTCAAGGAAGCTCTCATTGCTGGCACTTACTCCACAGTAAAAAAAGGATTATCTCAAGATGCGATGATTTTATTGAAACTTCTTCCTTTGACAACATTGAATACGACAAAACCAATTCAAGCGAAAGTTGGCGATCTCACAGTTGGATTGTCACATGAGAGTCTTCACAATACAACGATGATGCTTCTAAGTCCACAACAGCGACTCAATCCTTATCGGCAAGACATTTGGACGCGACTTTATGCAAGACTCAACGATAATAAAGATTGTAAGAAGCGATTTTCTTGTGATCAAGTCACTGAAAAGTTGCTTTATTCATTAACTTGTTATCAACCTGAAGCTTTAAGTCGTTGCTCGACACCTCAAACTCCTTCCGGATCTAGTCACAGTCAAATGAAAATGAACGACGTGTCGAATCTGACTTCATCAGCAACATCAAGAAGACATTCAAATGATCATTTGCCATTCGTTGAATTTGAAACATGCACGGCAAGTAAACAAGAGCACATCATATCGGTGAACTTACGTGAGTTGTCGATGCATCTTGTGAAAAACAGCGTCAAGCAAATGACGGGATTTCGATGGCTTAAAGAACACGAGCCAGCAGCCCCGACATTTGTTCACGCGGTGTCGGCTCGTTATGTGTCAGCACAGCTGGAAATGTCGAGATTGTTGTGTCTCTTTGTCTGTCGTGCTGCTGGAATTGATTCACGAATTGAACAAGATCGAGGCTTCACTTTAATTGACAAACTTTCAGTTCCACAACGCTATCTTCTCTTTTTGATGCTCGAGCGATATGTTTTGGCGATTGAGTCGATGTCGTTTCCACTTCCTCAAGGTTTCTCATCATTCTTTACTTACTTGGGTTATAAATCATTAGAATATGACGAATTCATGGAGTATTGTCGACGACATGTTTTTGAATTGCAAATTGATGTCACGAAAATTATTATGAATGGTGAATTGAATTTGTGACTTGATTTTCTTCTCAATTTACTTATTTATTTTCTTATTAGATATTGAAGACACTCCCCATGGAACTGATCGGAAAATTGCTCTTTTATCTTTGCTTCCACGAACCCGAGCTCGTCGTTTGATCAACAATTGGGATCATCCAATAAGTTTAAGAATTCGGGGATATGATCATGCGTCGAATGTTCTGTCAGGAAATCCAATCGGTCGATCTTTGTCTTTATCAAGTGCTTCGCATTCGTCGACAGCAGGTGAACATTAAAAGTCATGTGAATGTTTTTTTTTGGCGCTTTTCATTGTTATCTTTGTTGTCTTGTATGTTCTATTTAATTTTTATCTGCTTATCATTTTACATTCATTTTCTGGCATGATTTAAGACTCATTTTTAAATTACAACTACGACACTTCAAGAAGCAATGAAGAAAAGCAATCACAGTTAAGAAGTGATATAATTAGAGCATCAATGCGTTGGAATCGCGCTTCATCAGAACCGCCAACTTCTTCATCTTCATTTGATGATCACACGAGCATAGAAATTGAATCGTCAGTAGAATCTCACATTGATATGGAAATGATTGAAAGATATGAGCTTCCATGCATTATTGAATCACTTCATGTCATTTTATGTTTGATTGCATTAGTTTTATTAATTATTTTGTTACTCACAATCATAAATTGTTTTGGTTATGATTTTTCGTCAACATTCATTGTTAAATATTTTTTGCAACATTCGAAACATTAGCAAGTTTTGCTGCATTTAAAAAGTTGTTATGCTAATAATAAAATGTTTATATTTTTGTTTATTTATAATAGAATATTCTTATTTCCTTCAATTTGAAATCATTTTAGGAAAATCGGAAGGGAATTTAGAAAACTTGGCACCTTTGAATTCTTTACTGGAACTTTTCACTGCTAAAACCAGCTTAAATGAGATTGATTTCAATTTACTTATAGAATCAACTCAAGCTACAATGCAGTTTGATAAATAAATATGAAAGGTATTTGAAGAAATTAATTATAAATCAGCAGTACAACATAAATAAATGAAATGTAATCGATGTGCAATAAATATTTATAACGTATTAATTTTTGAATTTTCAAATAAAGTCTCCCCATGAAAACAGCTTTCATGTCCATTTGTCTTCTTCTCTTTTCTATACTCGGCCACATTTACAGCAGCAAAGAAAAAAAGTATTAAAATTGAAAACTCTTTAAAGTGTAGTGAAAAAAGAAATAAACATGTATTCTCAAAATGATTACTTTGATCCGGAATATGATGACTATCCACCTCAAGAAGGCTTTGATGATTATGGAGCAAATAATGGAAGTTATTATGCGATGAATACAATTCCAGATGTAATCAAGAATTTCCTGACGTGCTTGTTTGATTCAATCGAAAAAGGAGATATCTACAATATTCAGAACCTCTATGAAAATACGTTTCCGAAATTCAGTGAGACTTATTACGATAAAAAAGAATGGCCTGATGAAAAAGAAGTCGCCGAATTTATGCCGGAAAAGGATGAACTGTTCATGATCCTTTACAAAGAGCTATATTATCGTCACATCCATGCTCGCATTCAAGGAGGACCACAATTTGAACAGCGTGTTGCTTCTTTTTATAATTACTGCGAATTCTTCAATTACATCTTTCTTCAAAAGCCCATGGACTTGGAACTTCCCGACATTTGGTTTGTATTTTCAGTTTTCTAAATTTTCTCGTCTCTTAACGAAAACATTTCTGCAGGCTTTGGGAATTGGTTGATGAATTTGTTTATCAATTTCAAAACTACACACAGTATCGTGCTCGATTAAACGATAAAAGCGACGATGAACTTGAGAAATTAGCTGAACCAGACAATACAAGAGTTTGGAATATTTTGTGTTTGTTGAACGTTCTTCATTCATTGGTGGACATGTCAAATATCAAACAGCAAATCGAAGCTACTGCTAAGGTAATGAATAAAGCAAATTGTTGTTATCTTAGGAATATTTTTAACTTTCGATTTTAGGGAGAAGATCCTGACGCTGTAGCTGGCGAACACGGTCGTTTGTCTCTTTACAAGATGCTTGGATATTTCAGTTTGGTTGGATTGCTGCGCGTCCATTCATTGCTCGGAGATTATCATCTGGCTATAAAAATTCTGGAACCAATTGACATTAGTCGTAAGAGTCAATACACTCACATCCCAGCATGTCAAATCTCGACTTCTTATTATGTTGGATTTGCTTACATGATGATGAGACGCTACTCTGATGCTATTCGAACTTTCACTGGCATTCTCTTGTACATCCAACGAACAAAGCAGTTGTACAGTTCTCGCTCGTATCAAAACGATCAAATCAACAAGCAGACAGAACAAATGTACCATTTGCTTGCTATTTGCTTAGTTCTTCATCCTCAATGCATCGATGAATCAATTCAACAAGTGTTACGCGAGAAAAATTACAATGACAACATGTACAAGATGCAATGTGGCGATCTTGAGGTCTTTAGGAATTTCTTTATGTTTGCTTGTCCCAAGTTCGTTTCACCATGTCCGCCACCATTTGATTCTCAAGTCGATGACTTTGTCAAAGAACCTTTAGAACATCAAGCTCAAGTGTTTATGGATGAAGTCAAGCAACAACTCGAATTGCCAACAATTCGATCATATTTGAAACTTTATACGACACTTCCATTGACAAAACTTGCAGCTTTCATGGATAAGAACGAACGAAATGGTGAACGTGATCATGATCGAGCAGTGTCAAAATTATCAACGCAACTTCTCTGCTTCAAACACAAAATGAACAACGTAGTTTGGACTAAAGGCAGCAGTGGATTGGAAGGGAAATTTCAGTCTGGTTCTGAGTTGGATTTCTACATTGACAACAATATGATCCACATCGCTGACACGAAAGTTTCACATCGCTATGGAGACTTTTTCATTCGTAAAATATTAAAATTTGAAGACTTGAATCGTCGTTTAAAGAAATTTTAATCTGTAGCGCAAACAATTTCCAACATCATATTTTAATCAACAATTTTTTGAGATAATTGAAATAAAAATAAAATTTGGATTCAAAAGGATTTTTTAAGGATTTTTAATTAAATTTTCATTTAAAATGCTTTTGTTCCACATTTTCCTTGTTCCAGATCAAGTTAAGAGGGAACAGAATGAAAACATTCTTCATATTCCGTTCCGTTCTCAAAGGGGTATAAAGATTCGCGAAACATAGCCCTGGAAAACTTTTAAGATCTTTAAAAATTGCTTTTAATTTATCTTTCGAATGTTCATATCAATTTTATTTTTCAATTAAATTTTTTGAATTTTACATTTTCCTGTAATAATTTTAATTTTTTTTGTGTGTTTGATACGGAAATATCATTCACGATTTTTTGGGATGCTCTTTCTACTCTACATTAGTTCTATATTCGTTAAGTCCATTTTCGTTTTTCCTGTTGCGTGGCAGTTGTAGTTAAATTTATTGGCGTGACTTCTTAGATTTCTTCTCGCATTTAATTGGATAAGTGAATTTCAATGTCGTGGTGACATCTTTGTTGCTGAAGTCAGGATTCTTTCCCTTTTGGATTTGCTTCTTGGCTTGTTTAGCTGCTGCACTCTTAACATCATAACAATGCACATCATAGAACTTTGTTGATGTTTCTAAGGGTCTGTAGCCGGATTTGCAAATGGGAATTGGGCGTTTGGTGAAGCAGATTTGACCTTCACGTTCAGCATATTGAACACGTTGCCATGGTTCTCCATTGTATGGAGTAACTTTGCCTTTAGTTTCTTCTGAGCTGGATGATGAAGAGCTTGATGATGAGGATGACGAGCTGCTTGAACTGCTCGATGAACTGCTGCTTGATGATCTTCCACCTTTGGATGAATCTTCAAGAGAGAAATCCTTGTGCCAACGGAATTGTTTACGACCAGCTTCTCTCTCGTTGATGATGTTTCCATAAATAGTTTCCTTCTCGTATTGGTAAGCTTTCTGCCATTGTTCATGAGCGTACTTGTTAGCATCGCTCTTGCATTCGTCATTCAACAAAGCCCATGATCCAACAAAATCTTGAACTTTACGAACAATCTTGTTAGCTGGTGTAAGGAATTCGTCTTCGCTCTTTTGATTGTAAGTTCCACAAATTCCACCAACTTGATTGCGATATTGGCTGGAAGCGATGATCTTGCTGCGATATCCATCACTGTAGATCGTAAGATCACCATCACGGATTTCAACGCGGATTTCACCATTTGGCAAGGCATTGGCTCTCAAAAGTGGAGTGTCTTGAGCGTCAAGTCCATGGTATTCAACAGCCTTGGTCAATTTGACGGCATGTTCTTGTTTGTTGATGTAAAGTTTTGGACATTCATTACCGTTTGGTTCGATACGAATGACATGATCTTCTTCTTGTTTCTGTCCAATGATGAGAATCAATTCTTGTTGCTTGGTAGCAGTTTCACGTACAAGGATTGCCAATTTTTCATCGTCTTCTTGATCAACTTCTGGTTTCCAATGTGGAGCAGTTGCAGAGTAATTTCTTCCATGAGCGATGCTCAAGAAAGCAACATGCCAGCAGTTTTCAATGTTATGTTCGAAAGTAACGTTGTCAAAAGTGTTGACTTTGTTTTGGCCGATTGCGCAATTGGCTGTAAAATAATTAAGAAAATAATTAATTTCTGAAAATTAAAATTTTAATCAAAACCAACCTTGATATTGCCAGTGTGTAGCTTGGCCGACCAAACGCTCACGAAGACTGTAATCGGGATGAACTGGAAGGCTCTTTGCCCACTTCTTGACTGGTACATTCGTCCAATTAGTTGAAATAATGCTTGAATCCAATGAAACATTAACACTGCGCATATTTGGAGCGAAGCTGATTTGTCCTTGAACTTGTTTTGGTCTTCCTTCTGGTTTCAAAGGATTTTCAAAGACGTAATCGAATCCGATATGACGGAGCCATGCATAAGCACCATAAGCAACCTTTTTAGTCTTAAGAGAAAGATTGTCAAAGTCAGCTTGGATGTCGTATTGATCATAAGTGTTGGCAAGATAAGTTGCGTTTTGGCATGCTGGCATCAAGAAGTTTCCTTCTTTCATTTGTTGCAAACATTGTTTTCCCAATAAGAATTGTTCGAGATGATCTCTGCGTTCTTGGCTTTGATGCATCTTTGTGGTAATGCTGATGTGTTGTCCATCCTTGCACTTGTCTCCGAAATCAAGTTCAACTCTCATTTGAGCGTCTTCGTTATGATTCAAAGCATTCTTGAAGTTCAATTGTGGAACATTTGGCATTTGTGCTTCGACATGGAGACACATTTGAGATTTGGAGTCCTTGGCTGGGTTTCCGCCGAGGAAGACAACTAAACGTTGTTGATTGTTAGCCTTGCTGTCAGCATAAGCGATTGTTGCAATGTACTGTGAAATCTTTTCTTGTTTTCCTTGGAAGCTGATTGAAGCGTCAACGCCAGTGACATAAGCATTGGCAATTGCAGCTCCAGCATTTTGCATGAATTGTTCACGACGAGCGTCAGAGTTGGCATCAGTGTCATGAGGATGAGCGTAGTTCTTAGTGTTGGTTGTGTCTTTAGGATGTTTTGGTTGATCTTTTCCATGCTCCCATGGGTTTTGTTTGTCGAATTGCATCTTCACTTTAACCCACAATGCTTGTGATCTTTGATTGTCCAATGTCACGTCGATGTGATAGAATTCGTTGTTTTCTTGGGCAGATGTGTACAAGATCAATGAGAGGATATCATTACGTCTCCAATATTCCATTGCACGAGCGGCGTCAATAAATTCCTTTTCATATTTAGCATTGACATGAATGACCATTCCAGTTGAATCTTGACCGAATCGTTGATCGAATTCTCGGACCTTTCTGGTTGAAATGATTTTAGTGTCAGAGTCTTTGGTTTCTTGGAATGCAGCTTGAATGTGACGTTGTTGAGTGTATGGCCATGAGCTTGTGTGGAGAAGAACGATGTCATTCTTCTGATCCAAAGGTTCCATTTGAAGTTGAACAAAGTCGGTCTTAATGTCGACATCCAAAGTGACTCTCAATGGAAGATTAACTTGAATCTTCTTTTGAACACCAGCAACATAACGACGATGATTGAACAATGTCAAGAAGCCAACACGTGCATCAGTTTGTGTTGAGTAGAGAACTTCAATTTCAGTTGATGCATTGAAGTGTTTTGGAATGACAACTTCTTCGTCAGTACTTTGAGCTAAGCTTGGGGTTGTGCGAATGCGGATTTCTCCACCAGCGCGCATAACTGTTGGTGTCTTGTATGTGAACAAGAAAGGTAAACCAGAAGCCAATGGGAATCCGAGAGTGATTTGTTCTTGGTTGAACCATTTTGTGGAGTTGAATTGTTGTCCACCTTCCAATGCTTTAGCAACACGACGGAGAGTGCGTGGCATCTCTTCGATTGTCTGATTATTGAAGTTGAAGTAACGTTTGGTGTTGGCAATCTTAAGCAAGATTTGTCCTTCTAATTCTTGGGCTTGTTCAGCTTGAATTTCCAAAAGTTTTTCAATATCTTCGAAGTTGAATCTGTCGTTCTTTGTTGGTTCAATGCGATGATAATTGTTGTATGTGTTGTAGTTTCTCTCCTTATTCTTCTCTGGTCCCCAATGACGGATACGTCCGTCAATCATATCGAAGAGTTGGTTGACACTTGAAACCAAAACTTGGAATTCGTTGTTGCGGTTTTTGTATCCTCCCATGAACTTAGTGGTGCGCCACCAAATGCCTTTAGGAATCAATGAGTCTTCGCTTCCAATTTGAAGTGATTGTTTCTTGTATCCAAGATTCAATTCCTTCATAATATAATCAATGATCATAACTCTCGAGTTGTGAGCATCTGGAACGCGACGATTGGTAAGCAATTTGCGAGCAGCTTCAGCATTTTCAGAAAGTTCAAAGTCGCCATGATTTTCCAATCGGGCAGCATTTTCCAAAGCACTCTTAACTCCAGCGACGACATTCTTTGACATCTCAGTGTTAGTCATACTTGCCATACGTTGAAGCATATGTGCTGGTGGATTTGTGCGCATGATAAGGAAAACAGCGGCAACACGAACTTCATCACGATCTGCTGTGTTCTGGTAGATTTTGTACAAGACAGTGCGTGCTTGTCTGGGGTAATTATCACAGAGTTTGTCTAAAGCAACGACAATTGCTAAGCGTTGGAATTCAGTTGTTGGCATTCTTCCTTCAAGATAAGGTTCCAAAACATTCAAGATTGCTGGATGGCCCAAATTGCCAAGAGCACGAATGTAGACCAACATTTTTTCGCTGTCTTCATTCTGTGATGCAATGTTGAGTTTGTGAGAAAGATATGGAATGACTTGACGTTGAACAATGCGATAACCTTTGCTTGCCATGCGTCCGAAAGCGTGTGTTGGATAATAAGAGTAAGCGGAATGGTTGCTGACTTGAGCACGACGCAAGAAGTTGCACATTGCGTTGAGAGCTGTGGCGTTAAGATATTGTTGCTTCTGAACACTTTCGCTGGTAGCCAAGTCGTAGAAAGCTTTCATGACTTGTTCAGTTGGGTAGCGAATTGCTCTAACTTGAGTGGCGATCAAAGTAGCGGCTTCGTTTTCACGAACCTTTCCTTCTTGAATCCATTGGGCAATTGTAGCAAAAGATGCTGGAGTTCCAGCTTCAGCGACAGCGTCACGATAAGCTTTCCATGCAGAGTTGCGGATGCCAGATTTTGATGAATGGAAATCTTCAGATTGTTGGGGAGCGAAGAGTTGCTGACCAACATCATAAATCTCCTTTTGTCTCATGATACGAACAAGGCGAGCCAAAATGTTGAATTTGGTAAGAGTTTGAGCCTTTGGCATTTGATTTGGATGTTGAATTTCATCGCCAATTTGTTGAGCAACTTTGATTGCTTCACGATGAGCGTTGATGTTGTTGAATTCGAGTGCGAATGGCAAGAATGGTGGAAGTGGAGCTTCCTTCATGTTTGGAAGATCTTGATGGAATTCTTCGCTTGAATCCGAATAGCTTGATGAAGAATCACTTGAGTCAGATGATGATGATGATGATGATGAGCTGGAGGATGAGCTTGATGAGCTGCTAGAGCTGCTTGAGCTTGAGCTTGATGAAGATGAGCTGCAATCACCCTTAGCAATATCACATTCACTTGACGATGATGACGAAGATGAGCTGCTTGATGATGAAGATGAGCTTGAAGATGATGATGGCACTTTGCCCAATTGATTCACTTTCTTGTCCTTTTCATATTCTTCCAAAAGTTGCTTCTGCTTCTCAACTGGAATGCTGCGACGTGAACGTGATTGAGTAATCTTGTTTCTTGCCTTTTCAGCTTCATGTTGCATTTGCTTCTCTTCTTGCATTTGTTCGTAATGATCTTTGTGAGCTTGCTTGTTGTTTGAATTGTCATGTTTTTGTTGCTCTCTGTCTCTCAGTTTTTGTTGTTTCTTCAATTCTTTTTTTCTTTGACCGCCCAATGCGCTTTCTTCTGATGATGAAGATGATGATGACGAAGAGCTTGAGCTTGAGCTTGAAGATGAGCTGCTGCTAGAGCTTGAAGATGAGCTGCTGCTTGAGCTGCTTGAAGATGATGATGAGCTGTGGTATGGTTGAATGTGATTCTCATTTTGAGTGACATTGTTGTATTGATAATACAAGCTTGAGTGAACCAAGTTAGTCAAATTCTTGGCTCCTTGGTTGGTTTGCACTGAATACAAAGTCAAGTTGACGCGAGATGCGACCATTGCCTTTTGTGTGTTGAAGAGTTCAGGGCTGACGACAACCTTGTTGTTAGTGATTGAGCTTTGGATGGTGTAGTTTTGCAATGTTCCAGTAAGTACGGTGCGTTGAACGTTCGATCTTGCAAGCCACTCTCCCATCTTGTTCGATCCAGGCTTTTGGTTACTCACAGCAGTGATGCCATAATGATATCCCAAGTTGGCTTCGCAATTGCTGTAATTCAAAGTCTTAACAACTTCAATGCAAAGATCATGTTCACGTTTAAGTTGTGGCAAAGGCACCCAGCTTGGATTTGAAGCAACCTTGTGTTCTGGAATTGGTGAAACATCATACATTGTTTCACATTTTCCAGTCACCGATGGTTCCATGGTCTTGAAGACACCGTTCACAGTCTTTGGTTCTGGCAATTGGTTTGAACTGCATTTAATCAAATATTGAGCTTGTGTATCAACTTGTAATTGAGAAACAATTCCCTTGATCATGTTGGCTTCGTCGTTGTTGGTTTTCTCATGGAAAGCCATTTGATAAATTGCGCCATTCTTAAGTTCCACCTCAAATGGTCGAGTGCTGATCTTCATTGGTTGATAATTGAGCTGATCGTCAGGGATTGGTGCACCCCAGCCATGATCCAACTCTTGATGAACGTTGGCATAACGAGCGTCATCCAACTTCATTTGAAGATGATTACGATCACGTGGTCGAACTGTGAGCTTGGCCTTCATCAAAATACCAACCCATTGGTCTTTTAAATCGGGAAGAGCGGTCAATGTACGAGATTCGACTTGGTAAACGTATTCCTTGTCTTGGTCCCATGCACCATACCATCTGCGGTTTGATTTGTGTTTTTGTTGATCTGGTTGATTTTGGCGTTCTTCATCGCGATGTTGCTGCTCATTGTCATGAGATGCAACGGCGAGAACTGAAATCAAATTAAATGATGAATAAAAATCTTATTTTTATATTTTTCCTATGCTTACCTATCAGTGTACTGACTATTAGCAAGAACTTCATCGCTTCTTGTTGGTTGTTCACCTCACAAAAAACGAAGACTGATTGTTGGATGTTCGAATGAAATGCTCGTAATTTATATTCATCAATCTCCATTTAATTTCTCCCACCATTTTTCAAATGAATCTCAATCTTGATAGGAAGTTTGCACTTCTTTTAAGAAATGTTCTCACTGAGAAACAAAAACTCGCTGATGCATTCGTCCTGGTCACACATTTTGTGCTAATAAGTGTACAGTTGTTGTTGTTGTTGATAAAGAATCTGGAAGCTTTTAATCATTTTTTTATTACAAAAGTTCATTAATCCATCTTTTTCGGATACATTTTAATTAAAATGTAAATGATCTTCAAAACAAGATTTACTAAATAGTGCCAATCATAATATGAAGGAAATCTTTAAATTAGTTTTTATCAGACATGAATTCGCTGCACTTGCGTTGTTGTTGACTATTTTTGTCACAAACACCTTCCGAATATTAATATATTTAACCGTCAAGAACCTTTAAATAACCGATGATAACATACTAAGTAGCTTTAGGTAGATTGCTAATTTGTAACAAAGCATGTTATCTATTGAGAATTTCTTGTTTGTTACCAAACAATTTCGTTCTTCTTTCTCTCTGAGATTTCTCAATCGTTTCATAAGATTATAATTAAATTATTTTTAAATTGTCACAAGCAATGAACTTTTTCCTTTTCATCAATTCATCGATGTGAAAAGTTTTATTGATTTTCATAAGTCACGTAGAAGATTTTGCAAATCTCTTAATTAATTTGTATGAAAAGAATTTAAAATATTTGAACAGTCTTTAAAAATTCAAATCAAAAGCTTTTCTTAAAGAATTTAAAAGCTCATTCAAGCATTGATTTAATCAAAATCTTTGCTGATTTCTTGTGAAAATCGGAAGTATTTTTGTTTTGATGATATTACGAAATTGTTTACATGTTAATTAATTCATCTTCTCATAATAATTTAGAAAGCACACAATTAATTATAGAAAGGTCAACATTTTCTCAGGAATTCTTCAGTTTTTCAAGTCTCGATGTAGTCGAAAAATAAAGTCTAAAACCATGAAACGAATAATAAAAATGAAAAGAAGAAAAGTCAACAAATGAAGCGAAACAATGGGGAAAACAAACTTTTCATGACATGTGAATAAAATTATTGAGGCGAAAAGGAAAATTTGTTTAAGTGTCATGACGTTTTAAATATTATGTCGCGTCAAATAATAATCTTTCGAGCGACTGACTAATAAAAACCTGAAAGACCTTTTTATATTTTCAACTTCTCCTTCCAAATATCTGCGATAGTTTTCTCGCAAACATAAATCTGCTTTCCAAGACCGCTATCAAGAAGTCATTCGCTTCATGAAAATATTTTATCGTCATATTTATCTGACAAATAATGTGTCGGGATGAGTGTTTTATAGTTGTAATATTTCAAGAATATTTCCAAAAATAAAAAGAACACTTTTCGTATCGATCGAAGCTCTCGAAGTTTTGAGAAAAATCATTTTCATTTGTGATCTTGTGTTTGAAGTGGTTGGGTGTTTGATTTTCATTTTTCATCGAAAAGAAAATCTTTTTTTTGTGAAGAAAACATTCATCAAATTTTCATCAGTTAAAATGGAAAAGTGGGATGGAAGAGTTGCTGTTGTGGTTGATTTTGCGGGAACATCATTGGGTTTAGCAATTTGTAAAGATTTAGTTAACCACGGATTGATTGTTTGTGGTTTGACGAAGATAGAAGGAACGCGTGATATTGAAGCGAGTTTTATTTGCCTTCTTGATAAAATTTCCATTTGAGATTGATAAGAAATCATTTCAGAATCTTGCAAAAACGCTTGCAAAGGAAAATGCCCGAGGGAAATTGTATCCATTCCAATGTGACGTGAGTGATGAAGCGCAAGTTAATCCAGTGTTTCGTTGGATCAGTGAGAAATACGATGGCATCGATTTGCTTATAAATATTTGCAATAGTATGACGAAAGGCTTGATTTTGGATGATGATAACACTGCAGCATTGAGACAAGTTATGAATACAAACATCGTTGGGCTTTGTTTGGTTGCACGAGAAGCAGCAAAGTGCATGACGCAGCGTCTTCCAGAAAGGAAGAACATTGGACATATTATAATCGTGTCATCGACAGTTGGAGAAAAAATTGACTTATTCTGGCATGACGGATCGAAACCAATCAATGCCCTTTATCCAGCTGGCAAGTAAGAGCGACAAATCTTGTGTTGATGTATGCAATAAAAACTTCTTTTTAAATTGAAGGCATGCATCCAAAGCGATAGTTGAAGCACTTCGCCAGGAACTTTTGTACATGGAACAAGAAAATGTCAAAATTACAGTAAATTATTTATCAGTTTGACAATTATTTCCTTAATTAACTAGTTTATGTCACATTTAGGCCATTTCCCCAGGACTTGTAGAATCAGACACAATTCACGATGAAATTGGAAAAGAACATACGGCTTTGTCAGCAAGCGATGTAAGTTCAGCGATTTTATATGCAATATCAGTGAAGGAACATGTTCAGGTAAAAATAAATTTATTTATGGAAATTTATAGAAAAGAAATTATTTTTTGCTCAACAGATTCATGAGCTTGTAATAAAAGGTGTTGGAGATTTCTTGTAGAATGTCGTGGGCATTAACTTGACGCCGTTTTTATTAATAGGTCATCGTTTTCAATATCATATCAAGTCGAAATTGTAAAGGAAAATAAAAATAGATGATTTAAGTTTAAATACCAAAGAATAAAGAAAGAAAAAAAAAGTTTGAAATTTCACAAAATTCAGAGATAATTAAGTTAATTTATTATCATGACATTTACTTCGTCATGCTAACATGAAACTGATATTTTTCATCGGGCATGAAGTGTGTAAGTAGACGAAAAAAATTTCTCACTTAAACAGCTTGTGAAAAAGGAATTTAAGAAGAAACAAATGTTCTCTTTATTTCTATCATGTTGTAAGGAAATATCTGCGAAAACAGATTCAAAATCATTAATGATGTGTTTGTCAGTGTTTCAGCTTCATTTCTTTTAAGGTTCTAGGTTCTGTTCTTTGCAGTTGTTCAAACTGACCAACGATTAAAGGCCACCAACTGTATTCCCTGAGTTCCAATTGAAATTCCTTACAAGTGTCGATGAACGTGTCGTGAAGTTGCGGAAGAACTCCATGATCAAGTGTTGGAAACATGTGGTGAAGTGTGTGATGACCAAAAGTCACCAAAGTCCAAAACTGGCTTTGCTTGACATCTCGACGATCAATGACGCAATTTAATTGGTAAATCCCAAAATCCATCGATTTACTTTCGAATTAAAAACAAAATGTATCAATTTATCTTATCTCAAAATGACTTTTGTCTGATATAAGTTTAACTTACTCCAATTCGTCTCCTTCATGAGTGACATCGCCATGATGATGTCCCGCATTTAAACCAACCAAGCCAACTAAAAAGCTGCAAGTTGCAACAATGACAGCCCAATATTTTAGTACAAGTAGAATGTCGGGTCTTCCTAAGTAAAACATAGCCAATGGAAGTGACAATGGTATCAAATGATCCAATTTAAATTCTTGTTGCTTCGTAAAATATCCGATTGTTCTAAAAATAGAAAACAACGTTTTAAAGAGAATAAAACAAGTTTTCTTGTTTCGTATCTACCTCGAGATGGCTGTAACAAATATTAAAATTGTCCAAAACAAAGGACTGAAAATTGTTGACATCACTAAAAATATGATTGAAAATGTCATTAAAGTTAAATAAACAATAATTGTAATCAAACCTTTTTGTTTGGTTGACTTTGGTCGTGGAATCCACTGAAGGAATGGTTCAAACATAGAAATCTCTAAATCGTAATATGAATTAGTATACAAATGATGTGACATTGCATGACTTATCCTCCATTCACGATAGTTCAATAAAGTCAAATTAAAGCAAAACATTCGCCAGTTATCTCTCTGATGAAAATAATTATGAGAAATTACAAGCATGAATAGTAGAAACGTTCCCGAAAGCAATCCTAGATAAATGTTATCGGCTTTCACACCTAGAACAGCACTTGCAAATATCAATGCCATAACCAAATCAGATGTTACATTCGAAATTTTCTTTGGCGTATAATCAAGATCATTTATTCTCGCCGCTACTCTTCTCTTTAGTGTCCGATAAAATCCGGTTTCTTTGAATGTAAAATTATAATTTCTTGGAAGTGACGCATCACGAACGTAAAATTTCGCCAACATTTTCGAGGCTTTATCCGTTATATGATGAGTCTCAAATTGTTCTGTGATGTCAACGCCTTTTGTTAGTTGAAGCCATTCGGCACCTCCTGGATGGCGGTCGATAAACTCTGTCATGTCGTATAATTTATCATGAACTCTCCATAATCCTTCAGCATTGTCATCAATTCGTTTTCCATCTAACCATCTTCAAGTTATTTAAATATTTTTCAATAAATAAGTATTATCACATTGCAACATGATTTAAGGTAAATTTTACTTTTTTCCTGATTTTATCTTATCATCTCTGTATGTTGGATATTTGTACGATAAATGTGAGAGCGGATTTTTAACTTTTTCCATTGCCAATTAAATATTCAGAATGACGTTTTTTTTGCAATAATTCAAAACAAAACCGGGCACGATATGTTGACTTATTTACTACAAACAGTCGACTGAGTTTACAAATAAAATAGAATCAAAGAGAATTTAATTCTTCACTCCCAATAAATATATTCAGACATCAACTGTTCATGTCTGGACGGTTAATTGTATTTTAAGATAAGATAATACAAACAAATAAATAATTTCGGGATTACTTGCTATTTTTTTTTGTTTATTTTGATAATTGATCAATATTTTGACTTATCAGAATCACGTAAATTATTTAAAACTTTTGCATGATAAAAATACTGCGAGGAACAGATTTTTCAAGGCTTATCAATACTTGAACAATTGTCTACACACTGTTGATATAAATTGACATCGAATTATAATATGTTCCTACACTTTGAATTTTTTAAATGGCTTGAACTTTGATCGTTTTGTTTTTATGCTTATCATTTCGCCTTGTGAATTATAAATCAGGGTTTAAGTCGCGTTTTTTTAACTTTATTTAGTAGTTTATTCACTTTCATAAGCATTTCTCATAACAAATATTGTTACGGAAAAGATTAAAAAAATTAAATTGTTATTCAATTTCAGATGAAATTTGAGTGAATTATGAAACGATTCTATTTGAACAAATGTCTTATGAGAATGTGATAAAATACTTGACGAAGCGTCATTTACTAGTGCGATGATCAAAAATCAACTTCAGTTATGAAGATACTGAAAATGAAACGAAAGATTAAAAACGAAGCTTTTGATTTTTCCTCTTCAAAAGCTCTCCTAAAAGTGCCAATTTATACTTTTAAATCGTTAATAATTTGAATGCTTAGTGTTGCCATATTTAAACAGTTCACGCAACTTCGGAGGTTTATAAATTAGGACTCAATTCCAATCTATTGATAGAAAAATGTTGGAAAGTAAGAACATTGAAGAAATAAATCTAAAGTGAAAATATTTTCATAAGAAATAATTTTTTATGCAAAAGCAGGATCGAGGAAATGTAAAGACATCACTGAAGAATGAATCCTATTTGGAGGGCAGTTGAAGGACGGGAATCAGAAAGAGATAGCAACATTCTCAAGCGCATCAAAAATTATTTTCTTAGCAAATTTCATTCGTTCACCGATTTCTAGAACGTTCAAACCTATTTTTGCCGATTTTAAGTGAAAAAGTAAGTAACAACTGATAATGATTCACGGAATTCTCCGAAAACTTCCATAAAGTGTTGTTATCAAATGATATTTAAACTATGGCAAGTTATATTTGCCAGAGAAACATCGGAAAAAATAATCTGAACAAATACCGACATTTTCGTGAAAACTGTTTGGTGTTCATGTCGTGAAAGGGAAAACCTTCATAACAATAAATTTCTGTTTCAAGTGGAAAATATTTTATTGATTTACAACCAAGGATTTTCAACATCGATTCAGCTTCCTTCAATTTCATGTTTTTATCTACTTGAAATATTCGACGTGTAGTGTAAAATTTTCTCCTTCTAAAGTTACTCATTTGAAATGATGAAATAATAGAAAATTAAATTAAAAAAAAGCAATTAATGAAATTCTATTGAAAATTTTAAAATATTTGATGAATTTCATTTAGAAATTTGAAACAGGATTGAAATTGTTAAATAAGATTTCACTTATCCAATTCATCCATTACATTCAAGGTCCTTCAAGGTTGCTGAAAAGTTTGACAATCTTCTCCACAAAAAGAGAAAAATCTTCCTATTTATCTTTCTTCAATTAAAAATCTTCTTTCAAACACATTTTGCATTTCATAAGTGCTCACAAATAATAATGATAAGAAATATCATGTAAGAATTACATCAAAGTGTTCATTATTATGTAACACATTTATTTATTACTGTAGAAAAGAAGATTTTGCGTATACGAAGACTTTCTCTGAATTAAAGTAATCAAGAAAAAAATCCAATCAAATTTTTCAGCTCAAAAATGCCCATCAAGTCAATCAAAGCTCGTCAAATTTTCGACTCACGTGGTAATCCCACTGTCGAAGTTGATCTTGTAACTGACAATGGATTGTTCCGTGCTGCTGTACCTTCAGGTGCTTCAACTGGTATCCATGAAGCTCTTGAGTTGCGTGACAAAGAAGCCGCTAACTGGATGGGCAAAGGTGTCTTGAAAGCTGTCGCTCATGTCAACGATTCTTTGGGACCAGAAGTCCTTAAGTCAGGTTTAGATGAAACCAAGCAACGCGAGGTAAAAAAAGAATTTTTCTATTCATTTTCGAATTGGAAATTATTTTATTCAATTTAGATTGACGAGCTGATGATCAAGCTTGACGGAACACCAAACAAGAGCAAATATGGTGCAAATGCCATTTTAGGTATTTCACTTGCTGTTTGCAAAGCTGGTGCTGCCAAGAAAGGCATTCCACTTTACCGTCACATTGCTGATTTAGCTGGCAACAAAGACATTTGGCTTCCAGTTCCAGCATTCAATGTCATCAATGGTGGTGAACATGCTGGCAACATGTTGGCAATGCAGGAATTCATGTTGTTGCCTCTTGGAGCTAAATCTTTCACTGAAGCCATGAAAATGGGAGTTGAAACTTATCACAACTTGGCTAAAGTCATCCAGCAAAAGTTCGGCAAAGACGCAACAGCTGTCGGTGACGAAGGGGGATTCGCTCCAAACATCTTGGACAACCGTGATGGTTTACAGTTGATTGTTGATGCAATCGAAAAAGCTGGATATACTGGAAAAATCAAGATCGGCATGGATGTTGCTGCTTCAGAATTTAAAGATGATGATGGCTCATACGATTTGTACAAGAAGGATAAGCAAAAGGATAAGACCCGCAACTTGAGCTCAGACAAACTTGGTGATCTCTACATGGAATTCATTCGCGACTTCCCCATTGTCAGCATTGAAGATCCCTTCGATCAAGATGACTGGGAAGCATGGACAAAGCTCAATGCTCGTGCTGGCATTCAAATTGTTGGCGATGATTTGACTGTCACAACCCCGACAAGAATCCAAACAGCTGTCGAGAAGGGCGCTTGCAACTGTTTGTTGTTGAAAGTCAATCAAATTGGCTCAGTAACTGAATCTATCGACGCTCATTTATTGGCTAAGAAGAATGGATGGGGAACCATGGTGTCTCATCGTTCAGGTGAAACCGAGGATTCCTTCATTGCTGATTTGGTTGTTGGATTGTCTACCGGTCAAATTAAAACAGGCGCTCCATGCCGTTCCGAAAGATTGTGCAAATACAATCAAATTTTGCGCATTGAAGAAGAGCTCGGCAGTGCAGCCAAATTCTCTGGTGAAAAATTCCGCAATCCACATGCTTAAATTAACCAATTTCAAACTCTCTATCAACGTTTAATCACCAAAACAAACATATGAGACATCCCAGCAAGTAGTCAACTTCTAAACTGCATTTCAATATTTTCGATTTATCTCTTTCAAACAAATCGATCATCGATGACATCATTGATCACAATATTTATTAATCCCTGGTTAAAGATGTTTCTATGATGTCTTTTATCTTATTTATAAATATTTGTTAATTAAATTCAAAAGACGCACCTCTAAGGAACGCCAATGTTTAATTATAACTCGATGTCATAAATTTGGGAAAATAAAAAATTGTTCCTTTTAATTTATAAATTAAAAATAATTTTTCTTTTTATTTCATTATTTGCAAATTAGATATCGATAATAACGAAAATATCAACTTTATTTTGGTTCTGATTAGGATTTGGATTCTGAACAATTTGCATTGCTGAATAAGTAATTGCTTTAACTTCAGTGCCTTGCGGATGTTTTGACAGATCAAAAGTCTCTCCGTAACAGGAACATTTGATGTAGAAAGTTTCTGTGTTGAAGTTTGTGATGATTAATTTCTTGGGTATGATGAAATCTTCAGCAGAAAACAGAAAAAGAAGTTCATCGAGAAATCTGAACAAAAAACGTGTTGATTATTTTTTAAGATGAATTAAATTATGAATCTTACCTGAAAAGAAGTCCATCTAAGTCTTCAGACTGCGCTTCAATCTCGTGCTTCTCCTTGATTTCCACTGTGTCAAGTTCAGTCATATATCCTTGAATTTAAAAGAATTAAAAAAAATTTTTTATAGAAAACAATCATAACACTCACCAAACATTGCCATTCCAACTTGTTCAAATGCTTCTTTCAAATCATCACCCCATGAATGGAGCTGAACATCAGCAGTGTGATCGAGATCTGCATTTTCATATAAAATGTGATTTCCAAAATGTAAACAAAGCATTTAATTATTTAAATATAATTGAAACTTGCATTCATATTTCACCTCAGGAATTGCTCCTGCTTCTTCTTCAACTGAAACCGGCACGTTATCTGACATTGTCGTCTTGAAAACTTTAATAATCCTATTTAATATTTTAGTGAAATACAAAATCTTAGTGTGGTGCATGAAATGTTACGCACATGTTTGTTGATTTCAAATATAATGTGTGGTGTGTTGGAGTAAACACTGTGAGTCTCTAAACAACATAACCTTGCGATAAATATTCACAAGACTTGTAAGTTAATTTTATTCAAAATAATGGCAGCCTGTGTCGGAAATAGTTGTATACCAGGAGAAACACTACAAGAAGAACGGCAGGAATCATCAGATATTAGAAAAGTGGTTCTTGGAGATGGATTAAGGTAATAAATATTGAAAGATTTTAAAATAAGCAGAAAGATCATAATTTTTTTTATGTATAAAGATGTAATATAGTCGCAAGTTCAGAAGAACACTCTCTTCCAGTAATAACCAAAAACGGTATACTGAGGAGAAGAAAACCAAACATTTATTATGTGGACAGCTATCAGAAACGCTACATTCCTTCAAAAAACGACTCAGTTATTGGAATAGTAACAACGAAAACATTAGATTTCTTCTGGGTAGATATCAACGCTTCAGAACCAGCAGGTGAGTTTACAAACATCTAGTTAAATCATAAATATATTGTAACAATGTTTGTATTATTTTTTTAGCGCTCTCTTACCTCGCATTTGAAGGTGCAACGAAAAAGAATCGTCCGGAAATAAACGTTGGCGATCTTGTCTTTTGTAAAGTTGTTTTAGCTCATCCTGATCTTGAACCTGAGCTTGTATGCGTTGACTCGACAGGAAAGAAAGGGAATCTCGGACAATTGAATGATGGAATCATGTTTTCTTGTAGTATTAATCTAGTGAGAAAAGTTCTCAATGAAAAATGTCGCTTGTTGCATTTGTTGTCAAAGGAAACTCCTTTTGAACTTGTAGCTGGAATTAATGGAAGAATTTGGGTGAACTCCAATTCTCTTCGGAAAACAATTTTATTAAGGGATACAATTCTTAAAGCTGAACACACGCCATACGAGGAAATGTCAAACATTGTCAATGATTTTGCAACAGAACTGACAGGAATCCCTTAAATGATCACTAAATAAAAGAAATTCTTTTTAAAATTCAAATTTTCTAATTGTTTTATTTCGTATTTTTTTTCATTATTTTTCTTAAACATTTTTTATCGTGTGAACACAAAGAAATGTTTTTCTTATCATTTAAATCCCTCATCTTTCAATTGCGATTTATTTCACGAATTTTTATTTTTCATTTAAATGAAAATTCAATAACAAACTCATGGTTTACATCTTCGACATTTTTATCTTTCTTTTCTTTCATGAAAACACAAAGAAAAATCATCTAGATGATTTCGAATGTGAATGAGCGAATGAAATTGAGAAAAGATAATCGTTCGAAATACATGAGTATTAATTAGCTTATATTTTTTTATCATCTTGACATTCAGAAGAATTATGAGTTTCGATTTTTGATCTACAAAAGCTCTGATATCTGCTGAGAATTTGTTGTAAGTAGAATTTTTCCTTTTTGAAGTCAAAAGCAGTTGGCTTACAGTCAACAGAAACATTTTAAGTATGGTCACTTCTGAGAGTAACAAGTAGGTATTATTTTCCAAAATATTGACGCTACTTTTGAAAAATTCAATAATTTTATAATTCATCTAATTATAAATTCCTCAAGAAGCGATTTTTAATCTAAATCAAATATACATTATATCTATCAATTCCACATTCTTATGATTAAAACTTCTGCCTTTGAATGACCTCTTCTTTTTTTAATTCATTTATTATTATTATTATTTTCATATAATTTGCAACAAACTTTGTTCCTAGCATTTCTTGAATTTATTCATAGATGAGTGTTTCGTATGTGCTCAGAAAAATTATAACTATTTATTCAAAGATAATGAATAATGAATTGAAAAATTAGCAGCAATTTGTTTCTTTTCTCTTAATCTTGAAGAGAGTGTTGTGATTTTATTTAAGTATGATTTGACGAATTATTAAAGAGTCAGAACTGCTACAAAAATTTGTGTCTTATCGGTGAATTTCGATTTATTAAAGTAAATTCATTATGAAGAATTATCAATAGCATTATAATGTTAGCATGAAATAAATGTGATATATTTGACGAACTTTAAATACGTGTTTTGATTCTCTTTTATAAATATCAACCGAATGGACATATCTCTTGAGAAAAGATGACTTAACATCGAAATTTTCGATACTTTAATAAATCCAATCTTCGTAGATATCTTTAACAAATTTTTGTGCTCATAAAAATATAGATAAATACAAAAATATCAAAGAACCATAAAATGATAGGCATAAATATTAGCTACAAAACTTTCTGGTGGGCCTGATAAAGTCTTTAGAGGTTAGAAATCAGAAAGGGGCTGCATATACATACGTATGTAACGAAAAAATCTAACACCTCTTTCTGATTCTTTTAATGTCTTCTTTTAATATCCAATGTGGAACATTTAGTTATTATTTGTTTTAAATAGTTTAATCACCTTTCATTTAAATATGTGTCTTTTAAAAAATATTTCACTTTAGCTTTTTTTTATTTATCATAGCAAATAGATACTATTTGCCATGCTGCGTTTCATATAAAAGTTAAGTTACATGAACATTTTCTTCTCGAATGGCTCATTTCGTCTTTGTGGGGAAATACAAAAGTATCAGTACGGGATTTTTTGGTGCCACACAAGGCAGCTTGTAGAATGCCTGGAAAAGCTTTATTTGTCTTTCCACGAAATACTTATTGTAGATTCGGAAGAAAATTGATCGATTGCATGTAAATCAACTTTTATGGGCATTCTGGATTAATTTAAAAATAATCTTTTTACCTCAGACTTTAATTCATTTGACTTTTATTTTAATTTATAAAATCCTTTTTTAATATTCAAGTTTCTCTTGATTTAATATCTTTTGCTTTTTTTTTCAACCAAGAAACACAATTCGGTGGGAAACCCGTGCATTTTATGTAATGGAAAGTTTGACAAAAAATTTATATAAATAAAATTTCAAAAGAAATTTGAAATTTCTATTGTGTGTATGTGTGAGCAAGTTTATGAGTAAATATGTTTGTTTTGAGTTAAAGTTCTTTCTTTTTCTTTTGTAAAGGGCTTCATAATTTTTCTTTAATTCAAAATTTATTATTCCGTCAACTAACGATACTTAAAATAGTCTTTTCAAAGGAAAAGATTTCATAGTTTCTTCAATTATTTTTTATCTTTTTTTACTACGAATATAAAATTGTTGCAAATTTTTCACAATTTGAAAACACGCGCAATAAAACTTTTCTTTTTTTTCTTATTGTAATTCAATACATTCTCTGATTTCATCATTTTATTTATTTGATAAAATAAAAGTATCTAAAAATTCATGTCAACATTATTTGTGCATTTCGAGCATTTCTAACATCGATAGTTTCTTTTTGGAGAATGTCAATTTGACATAAAGAGAGAAAAAACCCTCGATAATTCTTAAAGAACAAATCCTTAAAATATAATGAATAAAATCATACACATTGAGTTTGGGGTGTCATAAAAAGGAGAACTTTCGAGCTTCACCATGAAGATATATTTGGTAAATTTGGTTATTAGGAGTGGAAAAGCTTTACAACAATAATTAGCCTACTTTTTGAATGAAGTCGCTATTCGGATATATTTCTTCTTCGTAAATCAGGTGGGATACTTTCTGTCTTATATTAATGTAATGAGCGAATAAACTATTACAGTGAATAGATAAAGCTTTAAATCATGTCTCGAAAGCTCTCGTTTTTCCCCGAACATTGGTTAAGCTCACCGTCGTTTCACAATAAGCTTTTGAGAATTGCATGAAATTTATATCATTTAAAGACCCAACGATAAATAAACTATGTTTCACTTTCTCATTCCATTCTTTTAAAAATTATTATTATAAACATTTATTTTTAATAAATCTCTTAATTTATATCTATGTGGTTTTTAAATACAAATTTTCAAATTTTAAATGATTCTTTCCTATGATTTCGTAGATCATACCAAATCATTTCCATGATTTCCACTTTAAATGTCTTTAAAATATTTATTTTAATTTTTTTAGTCCTCTGAAGTGCGTACCTTATTCGTCAATATGACGAAACTTTAAGAGTCAACGAGCAGCTCTTTTACGAAATTTGTTGCCGATGACATAAGATATACAATTATTTATACATATATTTATTTACGTTCACTGCTATTTTTCATTCAAATTTACTTTATTTTTTTTTCTGAATGGTTTTTCATAATAAGCTTTTTCTTGAAGCTTCAGTTTTTCTTTGTAATCTCTTCAAGGTGGGGCAATTTGGAACATATCAACAATTATTTAAATCGTCATTGTTTAATTAAATTTATGTCTTATTTCTTTTTTAATTATTATTCCATTCAACTCTTATTAAGATAGTGTTTCATTGTCATAAGTAATATTTACTAAATTACTCATACTGGCTTGATTGGATCAATTCAAAAATACTTTAATGCATTCGTACCTTTTTTCAAACGCAGAAAAGCTTGGAAGTGATTGGAAATTGAAATTAGATAAGTTCTATTTCTCAATTATCTAAGTTGCTTCTTTAAATTATCATTTTGGTATCTAGATAATATAAGTGTTACAAAACTATGATTGGCACAAAACAATTATAATGATATTTCCATTCCAGATGGTATTATGTGCGTACCTGTAACTAATTTTGAAAGATTTTAATTCTCTTTTTTTTCGTAGTTGCTTTCAAGGAGACATACATCATACACTTATATCAAAAACTGTCAGAAAAATATTTATATTCTTTTGTTTAGCTTATGAACTTTCATTTTAAACTTCATTTATAATTTATAATTGCCGGTCATGCATCATTTACATATAGATACATGTGATGATGGTTTAATATAAAAGTTTTGCGCGATGCTTCGTCATGACGTTTTCCTGCCGCATTTGGAAATATCGCAAACGTGAAAACAAATTGATGGCCATCAAATGACTATCCGAAATTTCAATATGAATAATAAATATCAAAATTTTAGATAGTCACTTTTATCTTATTTAAGTCATTAATTCCAATTACTCAAGCAATTAGCATGAAAAACTAGCAATGAAACGAGTTCCATATAATTAAAAATAAAAATTATGATTTTTTTTTCCTTCTGATTGATATTATGATAAGTTCATAATGCTGAGTATGTATGAATCATTTCTTCGGCAGTTTAAAAGTTTTCTAGATTTATAAATTTCTCTCTTGCATTAAAACTCTCAATTTCCAGATTAAAAATCCATCGGTCACATTTATCATTTCTTTGTAATTTAAATCACCATTTTTTATAACAAATCATTGATTAAATTGGTTTCGCCTAGAATTCTGTTTATTGAACGATTATGTGAGGGGCCGACAGCAGTACGGTAACTGTAGCGACTATTGTAAATAATGTAAACACGAATAGACAAAATCTGAAATTTGAAATAAAATTAAAGTGATGATGAAAGGAAAATTCTTGTAAATATCAAATTGGTTATTTAAGTTTCTCATTCCTATTCAATTTCTTGTCAAACATTTATTTATAATAAATTTATTTTACCTGTCAACAACCATTGCGGCAAACTTCCAATCACTAATTATTTCGGCTTCTTCGTCTGCCTTTCTCATTCGATTTGTAATGAATTGCAATTCTTTAAGAATATAATGAAGATCCTTATGTGTACAACCACCTGATATCGAATTGTGATCATCTATTGTAGTTGGTCGGGTGAATCTAGAAGAACGTTGTTGAAAGTTAAATTCCAAATATACAAAAAAAAAGCCAAGAAATGACTTACGCCGTTGACCCTATTTGTGTGGTTGAACCTGTCATACCACTAACATGACGAAAATCGTCGTCTATGTCTAAAACATTAGCTAGGAGTGATTTCGACGAACGCTCTTTCAATTCGAGTTCTTTCATACGATTTGTAAGCATAATTGTTTTTCTAGTAATTTTTTTGCCAGGTCGTCCCATACGCAAAATCCATGGCAGCCATTGAAGGAAAACAGATTTAATCTACAGAAATGTTTACATTATTTGAAGTGTCAAATGATAAAAAATTGATTTAAAAGTTTTTAATTACCCATTGTGGCATCTCGTGAATGTCAGCGGTTCGATGATGATAATTCAAAACAACAACTGTCAGGACAACCGATGATGCAACCATGAACATTATACAATTAAAATATGTACCTATGTAAAACAATTGATTTTATCAATTAAAAAAACAAGTTGGGATGAAAAGAAAAGAAAAATTGATATCAGTTAGCTTGCTACATGTAGCGTCTAAATTCTTGTTTATTAATAAACATTCATTAGTGCTACTAAGAATGATAATTTTTTCAAATAAATACGAAAATTTTGTAATGATAATCAAATAATAAGTTAATTTCTTTTTCAATCTCATGCATGCATTCATTTCTATGTTTTTGTCATCAATTTATATGTATGTATAAATATAAACAAGACATTTCAAATCTAAAACAGGATAATGATGAAGTAAATATTTATGACTTGTTTGATTTTGTAATGGGAAATAAAAATTCTGGCATGCGTTGAATGCGATGTTAAAGCAATTGATTCACTTCATCATGCAAAAATGCGTTAATTTTATTTCTAAACAAAGCATAATAACACGTCAGTAATGACAATCACTGGAAACATAAAAAACATAAAACAGGAGAAGAGATTGACTATAAAAGAGTTTTCACATGGACTCTAAATTAAACCTTAATGTTTGATTAATGTTTTGATAGCCTTTATTAAATGATTATGTTTTCGTTTTTTAAAGTTTACGTTAATTATTTTATTAAACTTATAACTAAAAATTTTCTCGGCTTGATAATTTTTTAGAATCTTTTAAAGTAAAATAAAAAAGGTTAGAAAAACGATTTATATTCTACATAAAAAATTTAATTTCATTTTTTTAGGGAAGTCGAAAATTTTCTCTTTTTATTTCAAAGAATTTCTCGCTAATGGCAGATCAAAAGCGGTTATGCATTCCTGCAGGATTTCTTAAACAAGATTTCGTTTAGGGAAACTTTAATAAATTTAAAAAAGTTTAGAAGATTTAGTTTTAATAATTAAATTTCTTTTTCTTTTTGTTAAATTAAAACAAAATTGTTGTGTTTTTAATATAAGTAAATAGAAGTATTAATAATTATAAAAACTTAAACATTACTTGAAACTAATGGAATGTGTTGTTCAAATTAAAAAAAGGGGACTAGAATAAGCAAATTTATGGGAAGAGATGCAGAAGCGTCAAGAATTGTTTTGTCATTTGAAGAAAGCATCACAAAAGTGCAAAACACTTGACATAACTTTAAAGAAATTTTGAACAACAACTCCGAAGTTTCAGAAAATAACTGAAATGATATCTAATAGATGAACAAACTCAGGAGTTTAAAGAAACAAAATTACATGATGTTCCTAATTAGAAAAATAAAAGAACTGCAAAGTCACCAAATTCAATAGATTTTCAATACGTTTTAGATATCGTTTTAACCATCGTTGAAGTGTTTTCTTCATTTTATTACATAGGTTTTAGGGGTAATATGTGAATGTTTATTACAGGAAATAAGGTAAATGTAATATTTTTGCATTATAAATGATATCTCTATATAACTTAGCATAAAATATTGCTTATATCGTTTCAAATTAATCCTAACGTGAACGTCAATTTTGAAAGTTTCCTCATATTAACCTTAATAGTAAACCAATTTATTTGTTAGGATAAATTTCAATCTATTTGATGTAACAAAAAATATATAAATAAATAAATGAAAATATTTTATAAAGCTTTCGCTGGTTAGATTACGATCTATTTAAGATATTTATTTTCTGTTTTAATTTTCTAAATATCATGCAGTGTAAATACTTTTTCAAGTGTGCAAAATTTTCACACAAAAACCATTTCACTTGAGGTTTATATTATAATCTTTTCAACCAATGTTACCTACTCTACTTTTAGTTATTTAAAATAAGATATGTGTTAAAATGGTTTTTAAATGCTGATTATTATTATTTATTAAAACCCTTTAATGATTAGGATTGAAGTCATTCGAATTGATAATATTTTTCCTAATAGTTTTACTTAAGCTATGTTGTCTTTTTGATTTGAAATTCAATTTAAATGCTAACTAAGCCATTCTTTATTAAGCTCAAAATATGTTTTATTTAATTCACTGACAACATTTCTTTTAGAAGAAAACAAAAACCTGAAGATTTTCACTTTTTAGTCTCATCTTTCATTTGACAATTTCCAATTTAATTAAAATTGTTGTTTTTAAGCTGTTGATATGTTTATTGGCTTTTGTGATTCTAGTTGTAAGTATATAAAAAGCGTGATAAAATTTCGTACGAAATAGTGAGTTGTGTTCATAGTTTAGAAGAAGATTTCATTTCATTCTTTGAGACTGAATCAACAGTGAATGTTTTTAGTCCTGAGCACACTATTGAGAGTAAAATAGTTAAAATTGACTATTTTGCATTAAATTTGTACAAATATGTGCTATTTTGTGTTTTTCTGTGAAATCCTTGACTACCTAATAACGGAACGGCTTCTGAAGTTTTTGTTATGTGATTCGCAACCAATAGAGAAAAGACTGTTTGGGAGAGCAGGATTGTGACCTCTGAAATTAAATTGTTGTCGTAAAGTTGCATGTTATTGCACTGACCCCTTTCAAAGCTATCATCTTTATGTTAATTCCAAAGCATATTTACTGATGTACATACTTAAACTGGTACATCACCATATCGTTTGATAGATAAATATTTATAGGAATATTGTTTAGGTCGTAAAATAATTTGAAATTGATTTCTTCATTCTAAAGGTTTTCGTGCTCTATATAAATACTTATTTAAGTTACCATTAATATCAAAAATATTTACTCAAGCATATTATTTTAATTTGTAATTATTTTAATATTTTGTAGTTTGTGTGTGTATGTTCCTATTAATATTTTTATTCGATAATGTTAGTGAAGGGAAAACAGAATTTAATTTGGCATAAATGAGAATGAAGAAAACAATTCTTGATGGTCGTTTGAGGTTTATGTTAGGTTTTTAATAATTAAATATTATGCATTTTTGGTTTAATCGTCTGCTGTTAAACACATAAAATATATCAATATATACTTCATTGAGCAGCATTTAAAATACATTTTGAAAAGCATTATGAAAACATCGAGACCAAAGAAAAATATAAAGTTCATAAATGAATTTTCTTCATTATGGAAAAATAGGCACCATAATTCGACAAAAATTTAATGAATTTTATGAAAAAATTTCCGATTAAATGTTAAGCACAATTAAAGAGAGTCAATAAATTGGACATGAGATAACAATGAGAAATTAAAGATATAATTAAAATTATATTAAATAAATATGTATATATATATAACATCATTAATGTAAAAGAAACATTTTTTGTGAATCTTCTCTACCTAACAAAGGGATTGCATCAGACACTTGTGGTAAGGTCTCAGCCACTAAGTTGAGAAATACGGTAAGTGATAGAAGAATTGTGACTCCTATAAAAAATTCATCATTTGGCTTAGTTTTTTTCTTCTGTTTTAGATACCACAATAAATTTTGTTTTTATGTGTTGTAAAAGATAAAATTTTCATCAATTACGTATTTGTCATTATTAACTTTTTCATAATTACTCCATCTTCCACTTATGTTTTACCTGCGTATACATTATGCTTATAAAAATTATTAATCCGTAATGTTTTATTTGTATGCTATGTAAAAGCTTTTACCTTAAAGAAATATTGTTAAAAAAAATGTTGACTTCTATCAATTATTAAGTATCCGATATCCCTAATGTAATATTTTTCCCAAAATATCAATGAATACGCAGACCAGGTCGCTTCAAAATAATTTTATCATCAAAAGAAAAAAGAATTCAGAAAAAAACTCCCAAAACGTTTGATAAACACTTTGCCATTGCGTTTGAATTATGATTTTTTTTAATAAAAAACCGTGGCATAAATGCATCAATGGAATTGCATAAATACCTGCTAGTCATTTGCATTTCAATTTATTGCAATAAACTTAATATTTTAAGAATGTCAACAAAGAAACTGTAGCATAAATGCATCAACGGAATTGCATAAATTCCTCCTAGTCATTTGCGCTTCTATTTTTTGCAAATTAACTTAATTAATATTATAAAGATGTCAAGGTAAAAACCGTAGCATAAATTCATCGATGGAATTGCAAAGATATCTCCTAGTCATTTACGTTTCAATTTATTGCAATAAACTTAATATTTTAAGAATGTCAAGAAAAAAAAACGTGAAAAATGCTTTATATAGTCAATATAATCGTTACGATAGATAATTTTATCATTTGTTGACGAGCCATTTAGCTTCATTGGCATAAATCGTTTGAAGTTGGGCCTATGATTCGTTGGTCTTGGCTTCGAACCCCGACTTAGCCAAAGGGTAATATGAAGTTTGTATATATTGGCTCGTCAGAAATAACCACCAACAACAAAAAAAAGTGGGGAAATGGTCTTATGAACCCAAACCACTATAAATAACTTGAATTAAACAAAATTGTTTGATAAAGGCAATAAGACATAAAATGAAATAAACTACACATACTATGATTACATTGAAGGTCAACACTTGGAACGTTATAATTTTTATGTCGTGATTCAAGTATGTCTGATCATTCATCATTTCACAAATTATAACGTTCAATATTCGTGACCATTTCTGTTAGAAATCATATTGGTAAGTAGGAAATTGATAAACATAATTTATGTTTATAGAAAATAATTGTCGCGGTAATAATTTAATTAGATAAAAATATATTTTCTATTTTTCTAAACAAATCTCTTTGCCATCGCATATTTTTAAGTTAACAATACCTATGAGAGGAACAGCATCAGATGTTGTGGGCATTGATTCAGCCACTAAGTTTAAAAATACTGTTAGTGATAGTAGAATTGTGACGCCTGTGATGGAATATTTCACCGATTTAAAGGATTGCATATTAGAAGTTATTCATATTTTGAGTTTCACCGATGTTATATGAAGAAAATTACACAAGTTTATGTCATGGAATATATTAAGATAATTACAGATACGCTTTTAGGAAAGACGACACATCGTTCGTATACATAAGTTAATAATTAAAATGTGTAGATGTATCGCATAATTGCTCCGATACTATAAATGAAGCTTACGTACAAATGATCATTTGAAAATGTATAAATTATGAATGAATGAAGAGAGAAATATGATTTACCTAATGTAAGTTTTTCCCCCGAATCCGGAGGTAATGTAAATCCTAGTAGAGCCATTGACGAAATTAAGACACATGGTACTATCAAATTAAAGAAATAATAAAGAGTTCGTCGTCGTATTTGTATCGTAAATGTAACATCGACGTAGGGCTCAGGACAACATTGATAAACAATTGTATTCTTTTTCCCTGGCATTCCTGTTGGGATATAAGAATGAGAATTGATTATAAAGAAATTAAATAATTCGCTTGCATTTTAAACTAATTAACACTTTACCTATGAGATACCACTCTCCATTTGTTATGAAATCTGACAAATCTGCTCCGTCTTCATTATTTAGCACCAAATCAAGCTAATTAAGTTTCATTAGTGTTGTTTATGAAAAATCAAATTCAATTTTTATTATAAATTTTTAAATAATATTTTTGTTCATGGAAATATTTAAAAGCTGTATGAGAAACTTAGGATTTATTTTTTTTTAATTTATGGCTTTTTAAGAGTAACTTTCACATATAATTCGATTTAAACTGTCTTTTTATTCCACCCCATGCAAAATAGTTTTTCCCATAAAACTTTCTGGTTTTGATGTTAAATATTTGATAAAATTAGTTATTGATTTTATGAAAAAATTCACATGGTTCCAAGATCTTCAGCCCAACACATTGAACCATAAGATTGCTACAGTCTAAGTCATAAAAGGCCCGAACAATTATATGCATGTGTGAATATAAATAAATGTTTTCTTTGATTTCATAATTAAATTCCTATGAAAACATTTATTTATAAACATAAAGTTCAAAGCATTAATTTTAAGCACATTTTTGTTCAGGTCTTTTTAAAATTATTCTCTTTTTAATATTCTTTTTTAAGGCTCTCTTTAAAATTGTTATGAAGTAATTAATAATTTTTAATATTTATTAATGCTGGAAATTTCATTGAAGTTTAACATTCGTGATATTTTAATCTATGTTGCTTTATNTTATTTTAATTATTTCAGAGTTCTTGTTTGATTTAAAAATATTTATTTGCTTTTCTTTTATAAAAATTAAAAGAAAATTATAAAAAATGAAACATCGCGACTTTTTTACTTTTCTAAAACGTTTTTATAACTAATTAAAATGAAAACATTGAACGATTATTTAATTATTTAATTTTAATGTATCTAGAAAATTTATGTAATGAAATTCAGCAGGAATGTTAGAACATTTAAAGCTTGAAACTAAAATGGATTCGCGATTATTGCTAAGGGCAATCACCTTCGATTGTCAAGCATTTGACATATTAATGATATTTTGTAATTAATTTAACAAGCAATTGTGTCAAGTTCAGATGTTAAACATTTATTATCAAAACTAATCTTCAAACAAGCTTAATTAATTTAAAGTCAATATTTGCATCATTAGCAAATAATTCTCTAATAAAGATCTAAATTTTAGAAGTTATTGTTTTTAAATTTTTCGTTTAATAAATTAGGCAGTACATCGAATAAATTTGATACACCACCCAATTAGATATGCAATAAATATTTTAATACAATGCGCGGTTTATCCTATTTATTTACAATTTACTTTAATATTTTTAATTTTATTTCATTTACGAGGGATTGATTAACGTTTTTATTTATTTTCCACCATAATTACAAGATATTTTTGTGTCCATTCGTCACATAGGATCAAAAATGTTATAAGAAACAACAATTACAAAAATATCTTGTAAAACGATGAATCGCTAGATTGAAACACTAAGAACAAAAAACAATTGAATTGTTTATTTTAATTAGTGTTAAAGTAGCCCGTAAGGCCCACAATAACGGCAAGCTGACGGTGTACCTTCCCTCCAGACCACTAAATTATAACGTGAAACACTCTTATCGATGTTTTTGCGAAATGTGTAGTTAAAACAACTAATATTAAAAGAGTGTTAGGTGATCAAAATTATGCAAAGATGTTCAAGAGTAAAATTAAGATGTCGTGATAGTGAAGTGAGAAAAGTGTGTAAATATTTTATCATTATATTAGCAACATTCTTACCATCGTCGATGCTAAATAATTAAAAGAATAATCTCATTTTGAATAAATTAATAAATCATTTTTTACATGCGCTTTTAAGAATATCTTGAATATAGCAGCGTACTCAAAACGCTTGTGATTTTGTCAAAGAAGCACTTAGACACAGCAACACATACGGTTATTTTCTATACAAAACGAAATATGTTATGTTCTGCTACAACAAACATTATTTCCTGCACAATGTCACGCCACAATAGAGTTTCTTTATTTAATAACTGACCTATTATACATAAGAACATCTGGCTTCCATAGCTTAGATGGTGTTATCCGTAAATCTTTAACGCCTCCATATTCTGAATCGTTCCACTTTAAATTGTAATCATACCATTCCTAACATTGAGATGAGAAAAATGTTGTAAAAAAGAAGAAAAGATATGTGATAAGTAATATTATTTAATCAAGACTGAAGTTTCAGCGTATTTTTATTAATTTTGGATACAACATGTATGTTTGTAACACATTTCTTTTAAAAAACTTATTCAATTAACGGCAATGAACGTTCACATGCTAGAAAAAAATGTTTCAAACTCTTTAAGCTTTAATTATCAAAAGAAAAAAATGTTCGGTTGATATCGTCACAACTTAAACTCAATAGTAATTAAATTTTATTGTTAATAAGTGCTTAATCGATTAAAAGTTATTAAAAGCTTTCAAATGCATTTATCGTTTACGAGGTGACCCCATCAAGATAATTTTCAGAAAGCAAAAATCATTTAAAAATTATGCAAAACCAAATTATCTAACATGAATAAGTAACTATGTGAATTTCAAAACAAAATAATAATTCAGTAATTAATAGACATAAAATATTCGATAACAAATGAATTCTCATTGATATATAAATTCGAATCCACCCTATGTGAATACTTAAAATCTGGGAGCCTTAATCTTCAATAAATCAATTCACTTGTTGACATAATTTCCAACATAAAATAAATAAAAATCTTAAAATCTGTTGCCGGAAAACGATGCTCAATATCTTGACGTCTATATTGTTTTGATAAAGTTCTATAGTGCCCTAAATAAATGTTTACTGATATTTTCGCCTCATCATCATTTATCAATTCATTTCTATCAACTTACCAAAGAGAGCCAAATATTAGTAATAAGTAGTTGATTCTTCTCGTCCTACAATTAATTAATAACATTGTCTATTCAAAACAGAGATATTAAGGATTTTGTTTTGAATTGAAAACAATAAAACTTATATGATTAATTTGAAAACAAAAACATTAACAATAAAATTAGTGTACTGAAATATTTATAAAAAAGTGTTCCAAAATTTGTTACAAAACATTTCTTTAATGAATAGATACACACTAGAAGTAATGACACTTGTTTCTCATGCAATCATCTGAATAACAAATTCAATGACATGTACCCATTAAGAAGCAACATTAAGAACTCTTTTCCAAGAATTAAATTTATTTAAATATTTTTTTATTAATCTTTTTAGTTTTATTAGTCGTGTTATCCATTAAAACGGATATCACGTTTTGTTGAAGTTTATATCAATGTTAATTGATGATAATTCGCTGTACCAAGAAAGATTCAAAATCTTTGTAATACAGCAAGACGTCAATTTATTTTAAGTTTATTGCTTGAAAAGCTTTTATTTATGAAATTTGGTTTTGATTTAGTTTAGCGACAAATCATACCATAAAACACATCTTGAACATTAAGCGAGCACAGTGGAGTCGTCGATATCGTTTCGGGTACATGCCACTTACCAAATTTAGCCACGCATTCGTCGTGAGAATCTGATTCTTCTCATCCTATAAAAAAGTATTCAATGTTTTTGCTTCGTTTCAAAAATTTTTCATCATGAAATAATTACATAAAAAATAACCGCACTTTTATTAAAAATTTGTTGAAAAAAAGGAAAAATATTTTTGTGAGATTTTTGGTGTTGAATTTTTAAAGTTTTTAACTATTTTAACTTTTATTATACTTTCTTAAGAAAGATTTTTAATCTTATTAGTTAATATTAAGTTCATTTTATTATTTATTTTATAAATTTTAAGTGTTGTTCAGTTGGTTTGTGTATGTGTGTTTAAAATTCGTCAAATCATAAAATTTACATAAACTTTATAAAAGATTTTTAGACAACAAAATAGGAAACACAAGAGTTATAAATCATGATGACAAAAGAATGATTGACAAATAACTTAAGCTCAGATTAACTTACCACATCGATTATTTGCTGTAACGTTAATCCAAATCTTACTTCTAACGGATCTGATTCGTAAGCTACCGGTCGTTCGAGCAAATTATAATTATTCAACAAATTATTTAATAACCTTTTCTCGTGGTAACCTTGTAAGCTATCTGCAATGCAAAAAAGTTTTTTTATCATTAATTATTTATAAAATTATATAAGACGTATGATCTATTCATGTATCTGGTAGATATTGAACTCCACCTTCTGAATCCGAATTGATATTTAAGTATATTATATAAAGTATTGAATTATACATTATATATTATAAAATGAAAAAAGTTACATCGTATAAAGATTAGAAATGATTTTTAAGTTTCTATAACTTATATTCCTTTTATGAATGTTTTTTATTGGTAAAACGGAAGCTTAATGTATTTATTATAGCTTTCTGCATTTTACTTGTAACCAATATGTTGAAGCATTCATTCATTTGTTTTTTTCATAGATAATCCCATTCATTTCATTCATACATCGTAAAAATCGTAAATATGTACAAGCTCTTGTTAATCACAAAAAAATTATATTGGAAAAATCGTTAAGCTTAAACCATTTGAAGTGGTATAAATCATCAGTTAAGTAAATATATATCATCATCTGAATGAAAGTTCAAAAGTTTCAATGTCTAATATTCTTCATCTGCTGTTTACTTCTTGTTATATATAGGTATATAAAACGCATGCGCTTCTGTATGTCTTCATTCCTTTCTTGTGTAAAACGATGTCTCAGAAAATATGTAATTCCTTGCAGAAAAATGTCCAAAATTGATTTTGCAATTTAAAAAGAGAAAATTTGTTTCAGGCTTAAATTCTTTGTTTTAGATACTCGCTATAAAGTTTTTCATTAAGAATATGCAATAGTATGGAAAAAAATCTACTTCAGCGAGAATATTTACAAAACTTAAAATTGGCAACGTTGTGCACAACATGTTGAAGCTAACAGCAAACGTTTATCTAATGGGGGTTAGACGTCTTAATATTTTTTCTCAAATTTCGTAGTTGTTCAATTGAAAACTGTTTAAATGACGCTTTTTAAATTTATTTTTCCATGACAACATGATATGATTAAAATATTCTCGAGATATGTTTCTTTCAAAAGACATGTCAAATGTAGAACATCATTCAAGTTTCAATGAAATCATTCCTTCATTGTCAAATTTTCTCCATTTGAATGAATATAAACTCGAAGATCTCGTAAATTGATTACTTGTTTAACAGTATTGCATCAATTATTAAGGGAAAAACGAAGAAGAAAAAAATTAAAATAAGCAACAATAACTTGACCTACTTTAATAAAAATTGTTTGTTAGGAAAGTATATACATTTAATCTTTATACCTTTTCTTAAACTGGAGAAACTGTAACAATTTTTATAATCTTATAGGAATTTATGTACTGTCGATAACTTTTAATAGCAGCTGACTCTATAAATTGAATTAATATCTCTCAAATGTTAAATGAAATTTATATTGAACATTAACCTTTTAAACTAGCCGGTTGTTAGATCTTTCTGATTAATTTAAGTTGAAATAAATAATCAATAAGTAAAAGTAAGAAGTTCTAAGCACTGTAGGGTGCAGATAACTCAATTATTTTTAATAAACATGAAAAATGAAGAAATCTTGCAGATTTGTTTAAATCTAGAACAAAAATAAGTGAGTTATATGTGGATTAAAAGAAGTTAGATTCATTCCTTTAGTTAATACAAGTATAATGAATAAATTGAACAGAAACTTTCCGATCTATCTCTTTAGAAAACTAAATGAATAATTTAGATGTTAAGTATACATGCTTTGTTAAGATGAAAGCTCTCTTCGTTAATTTTTCCTTTTTCTTCTTTTGTAGACAATGAAGGTAAATCAAGTTATTAGATAGTTAGATGGATGTTTTCCAATTGTAGTCTTGTAACTTCTAATTTCATTTTGAATCTTTCCAACTAATAATGCAATAAATTAGTTGACAGAAGTTTTATGTTGAAGTCTGTCAGTCTTAAATATTTAAGGACTCTTTTTATACAGCGCATCATTTGTGTGTAATTATCTTTCGATATCAACAAAATTTAATTCATTCTGCTGCTTTTCAATACAGATCAATCTATTGTTTTCATGTAGGTATTATTTTTATGTTATCACCAGACATAAAATGAGTTTGCGCAAAGTTTTGAATGGGAAAAAAGCTAACATGCATTTCTTCTCAAAAGTTTGATAAAAAAAAATCAATATTATAAATAAATACTATTCATTCATTTTCATCTATGTGTTCTTTGAGATAGCATGGAAAAGGGTATACATGATTTGTGTGTGAAAAATAAGCAAACAAAAAATATTCTTACGAAAACTAAGCTATCAAAGGAATGTTTCAGACGGAATGTTCTTCATGAAACAAATGCAGATCAGCTTGAGATAAATTTAAACAAGAAATTGTCATTGGAAACACTCTTTGTACCTATCATTCAAGAATTTAATAATAAAGTGATGCTGTTCTTATATATTTATTATATAAAAACCAAAAATTATTCATGTTCAAAGGACTTCTTATATACATAAAATCTCTAAACTCATAATTTAACTTCTTTCGAAAGCAGCCACTGCCATAAAAGTTATCGTAATTAGATTCAAAGTTTTCTCCACTTTCTAAATATTTTATTTATAAATAATACCATAAGCTTTCGAATAAATCCCAGCTTAATTAAAAGTCTTAAGAACAAGGTCACTTTTAGTCAATCGTAAGGCAATGTTGTCAAGTTTTGTCAGGATCACATGAACCAGCCTTCAAAGAAAGATTTTGCCAAATATCCCAACGAAAATATTCATTCAGAAAACCTACAAGCTCTTACAAATATTTTTCCCTTTTTTATGTACGCATAGGAGTGTTTTTTGCGTTAAACTGCCGAAAAGAATAACAATATTTGATGATGACGGCAATTGTACTGAATACCATTGAGATACTGCGATAAAGTTCTGTTTTGTAAGAAAAGTGTTTTAATATTCATTAGACTAATATACAAAGTGGATGCATAAGGGACCAAATTGGTGAGTTTTTCTGCGAACTGTTATTCTTCCTAATGAAATAAAAGAATTACTACGCCTAGGTGTTAGGTTGAGGCCTATTATTTTCATTATACGAAGTATGTTGTTTATACATTTCATACATATTTCATTTTGACTTTCATATGCATTGATCACTCCTTTTGGTTTTACTAAAGTTTAAGAAACTAATTATGAAACATTTTTTTAAATATTTAGCAGTCAATACTGCAAGTTCCATCATCAAAAAACATTTTCTCAATGAATGAGCTTTAAATTTAATTTTAATTAGTTCAGTTATTACTCACCTTTTATAATCATAAGGAAGACAAATAGTTTGAACAAATTTGCATCCATATTAAGCAGCAAAATGTTATTTTTTGTGTAGTATGAAGCTTCACAGTACGTCTTGGATTTTATTAATTATATCAGCTTGAATCTGAACAATGACTTTATCCTTCAAGTTTTCCAGTATCTTGTTCTTCAATATAGTTTGTTATTGCAACATAACATTTCCTACGAGTTGATTGGTTGTGAAGAGAACAGCTTTCCATAAATTTTTGAAAAATTCCAAAATGCATTTTCTGTTGAAAAGTTCCTTCATGAATTCCTTTTTATGATGTTGATTTGCTTTCACAATTTATTAAACTTTTTTTAATTATTTTTCTATCCAATTGAATTTCGTTCTTTTTCAGTTTTCTATTTTCATAAATACCACAACACTATTCGTGAGTATAAATGAGTTATATTATTTAATGTTTTTCATTTCAAGGATGAAATCTGGTCTCAATTCTTTGTACTTCCGTCCACAAAACACAGCAGATCGTTGAAGTTATGATTCTATTAAAAATGAAGGTCATAAAGTTTCAGAAGGATGCGACCATGTACAGGATAAATGTCGCGATTAAAATTAAGAAAATATGATAGTTTCTTTTAATGAACGCCATTAATATTACAAAGCCTGTAAAAATTAAAATGGGCAAATAAAAATATTTCCAGCGCACATTGCAATGTTTGTAAAAAAAGGATTAATAAAACTCATTTTAAAATAATTTTTATGGTCTGCTTATAATTCTGTTGAATCAAATTTCTGTTTCTCGCAATATCACATATTGAATATCGTTGAAAAATTAAAATATTACGATAAGAAATTATTGCAAAAAGTATTAAAAGTTGATAAATGTACCCAGCCTCATAAAATCTAGTTTTGATTTGAAATAATTACTTAAATATTTACGATGCGCATTTAGCCGTCTAAAAGGTGAAAATTAATTCTCAATCATCATTTGGATCAATTTTCAGTTTCTCTAATAAAAACATTTTAAAGATATGTCTAAGATGAAAAAAATATTTTCCGTTCCCTCTCACAACATTGAGTACCACACATACATGAACACTCCTTAAAAGTTCTCCCTTAAATTATACGCAAGCTTCATATCGAGCTTTTTTCTCTTTCTTTTACAACCTATAAGCCAAGCCGCAACTGCTTCTCTCAAAAGAGAGAAAAATTAGTTCTCGTCCATGTGTTTCGCGACTTATTTTTTACATTATAGTTTTATTCCTAAGAATATCAATTTATAAGAAAGCAAAATTGCTTTTTAGGAGGAAAAACAATCCTCAAGAAATTTAAATGAAACTGAATTCCTTAGGGTCATAGCTTTGTCTAGACTCTGACTGGAACAAAAAACTAACTTACAATAATGAAATCATACGTCTTGAAATATCAATCAACAATATTAATCTCAAAAACTTTTTGCTATTGATTTTATTTTCAAATTTTTTTTACCTTCATCTCAACTCAATTCAACGGAATAAATTTCTATTCATTTCTATCCTTCTTTTTTCATTTGCACTTATCAGATCAAAAGATATTGAATATATCAGATATCATCAATTGAATATCAAATCTACAGCTTTCTCTTCAGCAGATATGCAAAAATACCTTGAGTGTTCTAAGGAATTGAAAACCGACTAAACAAATATCTTATTTAATCTTAACTCATAAAAACTAAAGTTTTCTTTCTTTGAGGCTTTCAATGAAGGGAAGATTTCACTTTAGTACCATAATATGGAATGGCAACACTCGGCAATATGAATTTGCACGAATTTATTTAAATTTCTATTTTTCATCCTATCGTAATTTGTAATCAAGATGTAAAAACATCAAATAGACTAAGTAAAGTACTATAATAAAATGAATTTGTTAGTATCGCTTCAAAGGATGAAACTTTTAATTATTCCAGGTTTTTAATGAAATATGACGAAAATTCTACCTTTGAGAAAACCTAAAAAATCAAATGACAAAAGTTAAGTGACCTGAATAACAAATTGTTTAGTTATTTAAATGTTTTAAAATTTTTGATTACTTAATCATTTTATTTTCGGCCTTTTTTAACTTGTTACTCGTAAAGATCTGATCTAGATCGTTTTTAGTTTGGATATTTTGAGGCATGAAAATTATTTACTCTTCTTTTATATTAAGGTTATGTTACATTGCAATGGCTATGAAATGAGAAAAATATAATAAAAAACCTTTATAGGTTAGCTTACAATGATTGTGAGTGATAAATTAACAATTAAAAAAAGAGAATATCAACAAAAATCAACTTCAATTGGCTTAAAACATAAAAGATGCTTTTCGAGAAATTCCTAATCATTCAATTTCAGAGAAAAACATCAACTTGGAAGCTCTTCATTGGAAGCTGTGTGTGTACCTCTGCTTTCACGAAACAATAAAAACAATTTTCATGGTTTTTTTCATCGGAGCTTTTTATGTAAGTATGGTTGAACATGAGAATGGTTGATGGTATTAGTAATTTTTCACTTTACATTTCTCCACATTACATTTTCCTTTTTTTTGTTATTTTAGTTATGGAATTTTATATTTTGTATTTAATTTTCCGATTTTCGTAGTTATCACGTTTTAATATTTTCAATATTTAGTAGAATTGTATTTAAGGTAAACGATTAAAAACGAGCATTTATTTAAACTTAAAGTTAATTTCATAGAGTTAAAACGATGACACAATTAGATTGACAGAAAACAAAAATGATTGTGCGTATGTAGAAAAGGTACACAAACCCTCAAATTAAACTATACCATTTCTTTAAAATTTTCTTTAATTATGTCAATTATGCTTAATGCAATCCTGTAGGTATGTCGACCTTGTTGTGGAAGATGATTTAGATTTTCTTCTTGAAACCGTACAACTTTAAAAACTCAGTCATTTTTTTCTGTTTAAACTACAGATTGCAAGTGCTTTTGTCAATTTTCATAGAAAAATACTTAATCAGCCTCAAAAAAAAATTTTTTTTGATGGCTTTGTTCTTATAAACCGCCCAGAAAAAAATTAATGATGCTTCTTTGACAATGATTTTGCTTTTTAAGGACTTTCTTTTTCCTAATAGTTTTCTGTCTTGTGGATACGTATGCACTTTTCACAGAACAAATTTTCCTGTTAAATACACATTTCAGGTCATTCTCATCACTTTTTCTTCATTTTCATTAAAGGTTGAAAAAAAAATCTTTTTGAGCCATCAATTTTTCATTTAGCTGTTCACACAAAACCAAATTTCACTCGTAACATCTTTTCATTGAAAAGAAAATGGAATCTTTTTTCTTTTTTCATATTCGAAAAAAATATAAATTAGCGTTTTTCCTTGGATAGAATGAAACTTTTTGCTCTTATTTTCTGATGAAACCCATTACAATCTTTGCTTGAAGATTTTTCATTGTCCTTTTCGCATCAACTATTTTTTTATGCACAACCAATTTGATTAATAAACACTTTAAAGATAACTTCTTTCAAGATAGAAATCAACTATAACACAAATAAATAGGTCTTTAATATCCTAATCAAAAACAAATGACGTTTTTTAAGCTTAAGAAAAAATAAAAAAAAATTAGTTTTCCATTTTTCTGTCCTTCGGAATTATAACAAAACGACTTTTCTCTACGACCACCACTAATAGTAATAAGATTTGGGAGCTACTTGGCAGGTTTTTTCCCTATGCTTTGCAGCTTTTTCACACTTTCCATATGGACAACACTTCAAGCTTTCGCACAAGCGCGATAACAAAAAGCTCTTCAAGCTAACATTGCAAATACAACTACATGGGAAAAGTTTTCATGAATGAAAAATTAGAAAGAGAAAAATGCTGTGTGATTGTGCAAGGCGAGTTGTAAATTTTGTATCAACATGTCGTAAAGCGATGTGTTAGTGACCAAAAGTATTTTCACCAACACGTACGAAAATTTGAGAGTGAAAATCCTCGTAAGGGAAAATTTATGTAGAAGACATGTTTATTTTCATTTCTTTTTACAATTTTGTGTAAAAGCAACGACATCGGTTGGATTATGAGTAAAGCTTTGAAAAAATTGACTTCGAAAAAATGTCTCATGTGATTTTAATTTGTTTAAATTTATTTCAATACAATGTCTATGAATAATTCGACAATTTGAATGACTAGATACGAAGAAGAAAGCAGTGAAAAATAAAATTTGTCACATAAAATTCTTCTTTAATAAAATTATCTTAAATCTTGTCTTAAATATAATCGATCTATGATTTTTCCTTTGATTTCGTGAAGACAATCAACGTCCGTATGTTCGAAAAAGCTTCTTCCCTTTGCAAAAGAGAAAGCTTTTAAGGGAAATTTCGGAAATGTTCGGGTTCTAAAATATTCCCTCAAACAACTTGTTGGGAAATATTTTAGTATCTTCTCTAGAGTCGACAGACATGGATGGAAATTGAAATTGTTAAGACTATATCCAAAGTTGTGAAAGAACAAAGAAAGGAAAAAAAGAAAATTTACAACAGAGATGTGTACATAAAATGTGTATAAAATAAAAGAGTCATGAAGATTTGTGAGAAAACAACCAAATTTATAAAGAATAAAACAAAACAACTAATACTTCTGAAATATTTCTGCAAATAAATACTTAATACTCATCAACCAAAAGTGAAAAAAGATAAAAACTCTACATTATGAATATTTGGATAACTTGTAGCTTTCGTCTCAGAAAAGGAGTTTATTATATCAAAAGCCTCTGATAAAATTGGTAAGTAAATTTGTACAAGACTTCGTTTTTGTGATTTTCATTTTATCAAAATCTCGGACAGATTTAATTTCAAAGTTACACCTGTTGATTTGGTTTACATTAATTATATCTAATAGATAGGCGCAGCTGGCTATAAAAAAATATGAAAATTCGTCAAATAAAGAATTTATATTCATAGTTATATAGAAAGATTTGACTGAAATAGTTATGATGGATGGTGAAAGATTTCTAGACATAAATTACTGTTGTTGTTGTAAGCACTTAAGATTCGCAATAGATTTGCGACATGATATTTTTCCACTTAATTATTTTATAGTCTTTTCAAATATTTAAAACAAAATATTCGTCTTTTCAATGCCAAATTCCAAATGCGTCACTTACTATCATCGTATCACCATTTTGAACTTTGAAATCTAAACATTGATGTGATTTCATGAAACATACGAACGACAACCCTGTTTGAAAAGGTGTAGAGTTTCTGGTTCAACGCTTGTGTTTTTCTACTTTTACCTTCGATTTTATCCTTTTCCTCAAAGAAATATTCTATTGTTAAATTTGACAACCACATGACTAATGTTAGTTTTTTATAAATAGACACATATAGCATATTTATGTAGTTATGTTGTAGTTATGTGAATAATCTGGAAGGGAAAACTTTTGAAAAGAACAAAAATAGTATTTTTATATTGGAAATCAAGATTAGAATGCTAGTGGCGTAAAACTTATTTCCATTGAAAGGAAAACATCGCGAAAATGGGAATAATATAAGATAATGAACATTCAAGCTTACTTTGCAACTTCGAAAATTGTATGAAACTTTGTCTGCATGAATATAATTTACGGTCTTACACTGAAGCGAAGAAAGAAAAAGCTCTAACATTAAAGATAATCCGTTGTTTTCTTTGAAGGTATGTAAGTATATAGACGTGGTTTATCACAAAAGCAATTTCCAGACTTCCTTTCATCAAAGAAAACGAACAGCACGAAATAAAAAGAAAATAAAATATTTAAACGAAACCCAGCTAATTCTGCGAAAAAAATAATTATAAGGAGATAATTATGAAATGATGAGTATCTCCTTAATTTAGTTCACAAAATGAATCGGTTTCTGTCTTAAGAAAAGACTCCTTCAATTATTTAAACTTTAGAAAGAATGTGGAAAAAGAATTTACTCGCTGTCGCTTATTACAGAAGCTTCTTTTTTGTTTTCTTTAACTTTCTGCTCAAGTATTTTTGGTTTATCGAGTTTCTAAAGGAATGAGAAAGAAGTCCCAGATGTTCCAACCCAGGAACTCTCTGTTGTGCGTAGAAAGTTGATATTACAATGTTGCTTAAGTAGAGTTCGTCGTATTTTTATGTTTTCTTTTTCTACTATTTTTTTAAATATTCAGATTTTCTGAATTAATTTATTAATAGATAATTGAAAAGTATCAATTTCATTGAATGAAGATTGAATTTTCTTTCAATTAAAAAGATTACGTTTTTATATCTACGTCCATTAATAATTCGATCATAAATGATTCTCTAACGGATACCTCAAAGCTTTAGATAAAAGTTGATAGAAACCCGAATGTCATGTATTTTTAATGATGAGAACTAAAACATTTATCTAATTATCTTTCACAGTTTTTTTGCGAGCAATCGTGTTGTATTTGTTAGATAGAAATTAAAGATTAATGTAAACTCCCCAGACAAAACGTTTACTGAGTAAAAAAAGGAATTTTTTTCATACATATTGAGAAGTGAACGTTTATGCAAAATTTCAATGTTTCAATCTTCTTAGACAAATTCCAAGACTGTTTAACGTTGAGTTCTCCATTTATGTTCAAATGCTTAAAAAATATTATGGAAATGTCAAGTGGATAATTCTATTTTCGTCTTCTGCTTTTGGCATTAGCTTTTTCTCATATGTAGGAAAATAAAACGTCAAAGACACTCAAGTTTGTGGAATTAGTCACACACAATTTGTATTCGGAATATGAATTCAGCATTGCGTACACAAATCAAAACGAAGTTTTCGTATTTTTATTTATTTGTGTCGCGATGTTTATGATATTAAAATATGATATCCTTCCGAAAAAATATTCATGAAAGTGATTTGACTGTAAAAAGAGATTCAAAGCCAATCAAGTTACATTCAAAAGTCGTTTTCTAACTTTTTCATGACTGAATCTTGACGGCACAACAGAACATTCTAAATGTGATTAGGTTTGAATGATTCTCTTTTATTCCATTTTTCTAATATCCATTTAAGAAATAAAATGGAAAAATATTTTAATTTCATACAATTTCCTTCTAAAAAGTTTCTTTTTTTAATAAATGTCGTCTTTGGAAAGTCTTGAGTTTCCAAGAGAAATATCGATTACGAAATAATCGCTTTGAAACTATAATAAAATCCTTAGGCTATTTTAGCGATGGAGAATAATAAAATGCTTTATTAATTTAATTAATTTCCTTTTTGAAATTACTTCTCCGTGCCTATAGCGTGAATAGATCGCCGATCATCTCATTTAAGTTTATAATTTCAAGAATATTTCTTACAAATAAATGAGTTAATTAATGAGAAAAATAAAATTCAGCTCGTTATCTTTTTATTCAATCTTTCATAATATTTCGAATCATAATTAAAGTCAACAATCCTTCTCAACTTCCTCGTAGTCTTTAATGAGCGCCAGCATATTTTCTGACGCTTCCACAAGATCACATTTCTCAATTCCCTCGCACTCAAAATGGTGAATAAAAGCAGACCTTCTGAAGAGCTTACCAAACTTTATTCGAACTCTCTCCCAAGCACATCTTATCGCAGAACTTAAAATATTATGTAAAAACATTAAGAATTTCGATAGAAAATAAAGTCAGCTAGGATAGAATATTTTACTTATTTGAAAGCATGCATACAGCTCTGCTAACCGAACAAATGTCACCTCTGGGAACAGTTGTAGGAGCCTAAATTATAAAATATTAAGAAATTTAAGTGAGAGACTTTCATTTTATGAATAAACTACCTACCTGGTAGTTTATTCCAATTTTGAATGCTGTGGGTGACCAATCCACAAATTTGATACGCTTTTTACATTTTATTTCACGTATTGCGTTATTGATTTCTGTTGGTTCAACGTCGCCTCTATAAAGCATGCAACAACAAATGTATTTGCCTTTCTTGGGATCACATTTCACGAGTTGAGTTTGAGGGTGAAAACAAGCTTGAGTGATTAGTTGCGTCGACATATCTGCTAACGGCCCTTTTTCAACAGGTACAAGTGGTGCGTAGGTGCACAATGGAAAGTGAATTCTCGGATAAGGCACAAGATTCGTTTGAAATTCAATCATGTCGATGTTTATTGCTCCAGAAAAGCGATAAGAGGTTGTGCAAGTGGACACCACTTGACTAATAACACGATTTAAATTCGTATAAGTTGGACTGCTAATATCTAAGTTCAGTCCACAAAGATCGTAAATTGCTTCGTTGTCAAGAAGAATACAACAATCAGCATAATCCATGCTGTGGTGTGTTGATAACAAAGCATTGTATGGCTCGACAATGACTGGCGAAATTCTGAAAGTAAATAGAGAAATGTTTTAATAAAAATCGCATGTAAACAACTTTAAGTATTGCTGTTTACTTTGGTGATGGAAAAATGTTGAACTCATGTCGGCAGGTTTTACAAAACTCATCAGCCATTTTTTCCTGTATGAGTGTTCCAAAGCCACTTCCAGTGCCACCTCCAATGGATCGATATGTAATGAAACCTTGTAGATTTTCACAAACTTCTACGACTCTTCGTATTCGTTCAAGGGTTAAATCGATGAGTTCACATCCTAAACTGTTGTATCCTCGAGCATAGTTACTAGCTGAGTCTTCTTTCCCTGTTATCAATGTACTTGGGTCAAACAATGAACGGTAGCAACCTGTTCGTATCTCATCAATTGGAATGGGTTCTAAATCAACAAGTAAAACTCGAGGAACACATTTAATAGTGCTCGTATTGTGAGAAAAGCTACTGCTAAAGAAAGCATTCGAGTTATTGTCTAAGTCATCCTCTTGACACATCATACCATCAGCATGAATGCCATGTTCTAAACAGAACAATTCCCAGCAGGCGCTAGCAATCTGCCATAAAAAACAATACGTTTTAACATTCTATGGCAAAAATACTTTCGTAATTGTACTTCCATGGCTGAGACGTAAATGTTAAAAAATGAAAATGGAAATCGGAAATAAGTAGAACATCATAAAAGCGATAAATATTTGATGATATAACAAAACCTCAGTCTCTATGGAATTTTTTCCTTTTCAATAGAAATTTTACCTGAACTCCAGCCTGTCCAATATAAAGCTGAATAACTTCTCGCTGAAATCAATAAGCAAATATGAATTATAATTTATAAATGTAGAACGACTGCCAATCTGTCAATTCTTGCCATTTTCAGTAAATTTCAAAATTTCGTAAATTTCAAAATTTTTTGTCTTCTAAACTAATTAACTGTCAAAGTGATTAGCACTGAAATAGTTTATTTTGATTCTAAAAATAATTTAATTAAATTTTTATAAACAAAGGAAATTTTAATTCAAAATTCAATGCAATATAAAAAATAGAACAAAGTTGACTGAAATTGAATTTAATATGTTGTATCTATTTAGTTAGATAGCAATTTGCTTTATTGCCATATATCGAGCAAAAATCTCGGTTAAACATGAAATCAAATGGAAACCCAACAATAAAAATTAATATCAAAAACATCGAGTTTTCTTCTTCTTTTTATTATATTAAGGCCTCTTCTAAAATGATTCAATTTAATGAAAATTTTTCAATTTTCTTTCATTTTCTCTACTCAGATGTACGTTAAATTGTCATAAATTACGAAGGAAATTGAAAAAACGAAATGCTTAACATTTTATTCGCGTTCGTCCTGAATAAATAAATGGCTGGACTCAGAAGTAAGATGATATCTGATTAATAACATCCTGAATTTTGGTAACGTACAATTTATACAAAAATTAATTCGAGTAAATTCAATTGCGTCCTAAAAATGAATTCACTCACTAATCTAAATGAATTCTAAATACGTAATTAAAATAAATTTCTTCAATGGAAAATCAAACTTCTGACATTATTTTGAAACAATGAGTTGAATAATAAAATTTATATTTCATCTTAGCTCAGAAATCTTGTTGTTTGCATAAGTTGAAGACATTTCCATTTCTCATTAGTCATGTCTTCGGTATCTGTTCCGATTATTTTCCATTTTCCTACAATATTATTGTATATCATACTGAGTAGATGAAGAAATTGATTGAAAGTTTTACTTTGAATCAGTAAGAGAGTCGTCTAATTTATTAAGTTATAAAAAGAAAACATTTCATTTAGTAGAATGAACTTCCATGTTGACATAAATATCAGATACATTATAGCAGTCATGGATTTATATTGTTTTCTTTTTCGTAGCTATGTGCGGATGTCATAATCATTGTTGATATGTAATTATGAAGCAAAATATTTTTTATGTCTCTCCTTACGAATTCACACAAATCTTTTGATAAGAAGAAATGTACAAATATTTTTTTAACTTCCCAAAATTTCCGACGAATCAATAATACTCAATATTATTAGTTTTTCTTGGATATTTATCTATAAATTGGTAATTGTTTGTAATATTTCAAGTATCTACAAAGAATGATAAAATTAGTTCGGATATTTTTGAGCTTATTAGAAATAAATCTTCTTAGTTGTTGGAACCAATTTTCTTTTGTTACTTATTATTTTCTTGTTTCTTATTATTGTATCGTTGTCTTCATCTCAAAAAGCAAGCTTCATGATATAGTTTTATACATGAAAGTCGAAAGTTACGAATTGCGTAATGTACATCGATGCATATGAACTACAAGTACATAATATCTTTATTGTGCAAGTAAATTAAAAAAAATTCTAGGAATTTCATACTTTGAAAAGTCCTTACGAATCATAATAACATATTTCTGACATTTGACAACGAACAAGCAACGAGGATGATTGTAGGGAATGCATTTATTATTGAAACATTATTTATTGTCTCTCCTCGTCTTCATGTCTTAGTCTATAATTTACTAATTCATAATTCAATATTTACCATTCAAATTAAAACGAAATCAACTCTTTGTATTGCATGTTCGATTTTTGTGTTTTGTGCCACAATTCCAAAGAATATGTAGAAATGACTTAAAAACATTTCGGAAGCAGTTTCCTTAGAAATTGTGATATAAATTGATGTTTCACTGAAATTCTATTTCAGAGTTGTTTTTAAAATATTTTCTTTTCTTTCCTTCCTTACAGGAAATCACCAGAAGGATTAATTTGGTATAATTCAGCGAGATGGATGAGAGACAATGGCTCTTAAGGCTAGCAACAATTAAGAACAATACACGAAAAATTTCAATTATTATAAAAACAACCACTACGACTTCCCTTCCATGGAATTTGTCCTCTCTTAATAATGAGGCTTATAATGATGAAAGTAGAGAAATTATCAGCTCTTTATCGCTATTAATATTAATTATTCTTTACGGTATTGTTGTATTCAGCGGTGTTTGTGGCAATTCAACATTGCTAATTTCACTTTGTTCACAATCAACGACACGTGTAAAGAACCCATTGCTATTGGCACTTTGTGCTGCTGACTTAGTTGTTACAATGTTATCAGCTCCTTTTACAATCACTGCAATTCTGTTAAGACAAAGCAACACAATGTCATTTTCAACAACAAACTTCGGTTGCAAAGTATTTCATTACATACAGGTACGTATACTCACCTAACATCATATTAAACTGATTTAGTATCTTTGAACATGAACACATTTATGTAATTGATGTTTCAGGATGAGCTTTTGACATTCAAAGTGTAATTAAAATAAAATCCCTTCCGCACTATGCTTTCAGACATTTCCTATCGCTGCAAGTAGTCTTTGCCTTTTAATGCTATCATTAGATCGTTATGCAACTGTAAAACATCCAAGGTTCACTCAACTTCGGCAACGTCAATATCTTCCGTCAATTTTGTCGTTTGTTTCATGGATAGGGTCTGGAATTTTATGCATTCCTTTCATATTTGCCTACAAGGTTACAACAAAAATGTTGCCGACATCTCATTGGTCACTATCAGATGAACAGAAGAATGATGAAGCGTCGTCATTTTTCTACCATGATGGAAATTTGATGGTTGAAAAGAATGTTTGCAGTTCTGATTACGGTTCAGATGAGTGGCATTTAATATTCATTGTGACGTACGTTTGTATCGGATTTATAGGACCGTGCTTTGGTATCATATTCAATCATTTAGGTATTTAAATATAAATGTTAATTCGTGTTCATGAAATCAACTTAAAGACCTTTCATTTCATTATTTATTGATCAGGTGTTCGAAGAAAATTGTGTGCTCTTTCATTGACAGCACGAGCGCAGCATGGTGAATTACCATTACCAATGCCAACTATATTAAGAAGGCCTACCCACATGATTCTCGTGACTGGAATGACAGCAAACGGTTTAAACGTGCAAGAATCGTCGCAAAGCAATTTTTTGAGTCCTCAAAAAAGCAGCAACAGAAACAGTAAAGACAGCGAAAGCAATCAATGCGCATTAAATCGACTGAATTGTAATCGAAGATTTAACGGATCGTCAGGGAGTGGAATAAATCCATCAAGTAAGAATGGTGTTGGTGGAACGGCAGAAGAACATCGAACTTTAATAATGGAGACAAAATTTCTCGGGTCTGGTCCTAAAACACCGAGGTACATGAATATTTAAATTGATATAATTTCCTTTACGTGTCGTGAAGAAGTTGCATGACAATTTGACAAAAGATTTTGTGCTCGATAACTTCTAATTTCCATAATGTTTTGTCTCTTGATTTCCATAGATCTGTTCGTCATGTACAAAATCAGCAGAAACGCGCTCGGCTGCCTTTGCCACCATGTCCCCCTGCTGAACTTCCATTACCTCAAACATCGACTCTTCGAAGTCGTAGAAGGTTAGCAAATATTCTGGTAGCAGCTGGCTTCATATACATGCTCTGTTGGCTACCTCATGTGTGCTGTTTAGTGATAAGAGAATTCTCAATCAATGATGGATGTTCTTCTACGAAGAGAGAGTTTTTTATGCTCTTAGGTAGGCTGAAATCATTCGTAATTACAAGAAAATATTTCCTAAAAGCCAATTACATTTCTTAAGGATTTACACATTCGGCTGTTTCTCCAATAATTCATTGGATTCTTAATTATAACTCATTGCGTCAATCATCTTGCCAGCCTTTTGCTAAATTTAATTCTGCACAAAGATTTCTCCGGTCTCATCTCCGTTTTACTGGTCCACCGCCAGCCCCACCTTCAAGCACCAATGAAGCTGCTCTTGGCCCTTTTAATCCCAAATTCATTAAACAACGTCCACAAACCTACAAACCACCAGCATCTTCTCATTTCCTGTACTAAAATTTCAACGTTGGAAATAGTTATTAATTCATTGAATTTATCATAGTGAATAAGTGTTTAACAAGATTTATGAAGGAAGAAAATTTAATTATAGTAACCTTCAATATTCATAATTCAAAGTTCAAGTTAACATGTGAAGAACAAATCACGTCCTTCGTGTGATTGAATGCTTTAGAAATGATGATGATAGAAAATTGAAGATTAAAAGGATGAAGCGAAAATTTGGCTCGTTTCGTTTCATACTTTGTTGAAAATAATATTCAATAAGATGATTTTCTTTCATTAAATGTCGTCGGCAAGGTCAATCAGATGAAGAACGCTAACTTCACGAAATAGAAAAAGAAATTTGGAGACTATTTGAACCTTCATCAACATTATCATCATCATCGACTATGAAATGTAAAATAATTTTCATTCTTTGTTAAACATTAAGCGTGAGATCGTCGGAACCATCTCAAAAATCATCTAACATTTCTAGGGGTGTTGAGAGAAAAGCTGTGAAAGGTAATCTTCCTTTTAAGCACTGCGGTGAATATAACAATCATAACATTATCCGGATTTATTCTATTCATAAGAACAGAATTAATGTCATTTAAAATACCCCCCTAAACCAACCCGAAAAAAAGCTTAAATGGTCTGAACAATTTACACATTTTCCCTGAATACCGTTTTTGATGAATCATTTGAGAAATGAGAATTCAACACTCAATGGACAAATCTGTGATTTTTATTAACATTCTTTTTACAAATAAAAGTAGATTCTACACACGGATCTATAGATCTATTTTCCTTGTAGTGAACAACAAGCCGTTATTAATATCTATAAACATTAAGTAATTATCCTATTTATCTAATAGTTTTAAAAATATGATAAGAAAGTATTCAAATCAACCTAAATATAATTGAATACTTAAACAATGAATCATCATAAAGTTTCTGTGGAAACACCTTTGTAGAGATGAAGAATAAAAATTGTACAATGAACGCTTTGCAACAAATCTAATTGCAGTTTCTTTCAATGTTTCCATGAATGCACACCTTTTTGCTAAACGAGACTGCAAAATTTGAATAAATTTTAATGTCCTGAATTGTTTATGAAATCGAAGTTGAAGGAATTTCGTAAAAGACGACAATACCTATTAAGCTAAAAAAAAGAATTAGAAAATGAAAACAATACCAAAAGTTTCCTCCATTAAATAAACTTGATAATTTGAAACGGTCAACTTTTATCCTTAAGGGACAATGCCTTCTTGACCTTTTTCCTTTCTGAAACGATGGAAACGTGAGTTTCTCCTAGGGTGACGAAACTTCATTCTTTACCTGATGAAAATTAATATTCTATTAAAAGAGTAAACTTGGTAGGAAGCTCACTAAACACATTACGTAGCCTCAGATAACATAAATATAAAAATATTTTGCAAAGAACGTTTTAGTATGTAGGTACATGTCACATGTCAAATTTCCTTCGTTGCCTCATTATTTTTAAGCAACCATTTTCACACATTGCTATTTGCTACGTCGCAGAAAAAAAATACCTTATTTAATACAATGACTATTAATAATATTTTTGTCTGGGAAAACATTCAAAAGGAAGTTTCAAACGATAAAATCTATTAGCATCGTTCATTTTTTACATTATTTTAAGTAAGAATTTTGATTGTCACATTTCGGGTTTGGGTTTTATTTTCCCTCTTTCAACAATTGATACATCAGCATATTAAATGTCTTCTGTTCATAGCAATCGATAAAACTTTGCACAATTCTATCTTTCAGTAAGTTTTGTGTACACTTTTTCAAGACAGGTCCTTCATCAAATTTCATGTACAAAATAATATCAAAATCATAAGATGAGTTTTGAAAACCTTTCTCAAATTGTAAGCTTGAGGCTACAATTCATCTTCCCTCCGAATTTTCGTGCTTCTAATTATGCACTTGGCTACTAAGTACTTTATTTATTTAGATACATATTTACATATACAAGGGAATGTTCCTTATTAACGTTTACAATCAAGTTATACAACCCAAGATATTGGCTGGGAAGTTGAAGGCTATTAAAATCATTTTAATGAGTTTTTCAACAGCGATAGTAATCTTTTGAAAGATCAATTCATCCTCCGAGGCCATTAAAAATCATTTAAACATAAATAAACAGACGTGAATACTCATAAATCGTTAATTGAACGGAAGTGGATTATAAGAAATTTATTTTTCAATTGTAATGAGTTATTATTCTGTCTGCTAAGCTCGGCCGTGTTTGAATTTAGATTTTCGCTTACATTTCCCAGGCCTGTCGATGGAAAATTTTGGCAACATTAAAGAAGCCTAAAAATAATCGAATAATGCTGCAAAACCCTAAAAGTTCAAAACAAATGTTTCTCGAACAATGAAAAATTATTATTTATTAGGTAATAAATGAATGTTTTCTAAGGATTGAGAATGAGAATTTTTTTTCTGTTCTTTCTTGTATTTTAAGGAGCGAAAGTGGTCATGGACAGATTTGTTATTTAAAATCAAGTGAAAGAATAATTATTCAACTCTGAATTTCGTTTATGTTCAATATTGTAAGGGCGACAGAATTCTTCCACTTGAAGAGAATCATATAAAAGGAGCTCTTGCGGAGTAAGAAGTAAAAGCTTAGCATAGAAAGTGAGAAGCTAGTAGATAAGATATAGGAATTGAATGAAGTTTAAAGGTCTAAAGTCTATTCAATAATAAATCTTTGAAAATCATTTAAATAGATATCGTTAACCATTTTCTTATGTTCAAATCAAAATGATTGCAATAAATATTTGTGAAGTAAATGTGAAAGGTGTTGCATTAATTTTTCTACATGAGAAACATGTACATAAGTCATGTGATTTTTGTTAGCAAAACTCAATTAATTTTAAGACTCCTTTGAATAAATTTAAGAAAGTAATTGAAATATGTAAAGTTGTAGATTATAAAATACAATAAGTTAAAAACTTTTATGCTTCTTACGTATGAGAAATTGCTGCCGTTGTTATCTTTTCCACGTGATATTCTGTCTTTTATTGATTTTTTGAAAGCTTTTGATTATGTTTGCGTGTTACAAAAAAAAACGATGATAACGATGTCAGATTTGATTATCAAATGCTTTCAATCACTCTAGGTTATGAAAGTAGAAGAAATGAGAACAAAAATAACAAAGAGAAAAAGGCTTTCACGAATTTTCCGACATAGACATTAAAAATACTTTGAAAATATTTCCGTGCTTTAATCGGAAACGCTTTGAGCTCTCTTTATACCTTTTGCATATGTTTTATTTATGATAATTCTTTAAGAATGTCGTTTTGAGAAGTTGAAAGAAAAATTGTCATATAAAATCTTGTAATGTAATGAAGGAAATTGTCACGAATTATTATAGCACTGAGATAAATTAAGACATCCCATGAAGGATGTTTATAATGTTATGAACACTATTTTCCTTAAATAGACAACTATCTACCTAGCCTTTATTCAATTTAAAGAAAATCTCTTTATTTACTTTTATTTTCAGAGATTCTCTTTCAAGTCAATGTTCGAATTTATTTTGAGCAACACAAACTGAAAATGTCAATTGCCGATGTTGTATTAACTTCTGAATTAATTGAAATCAACACATTCCCTCAATGCTGAAAGGCTTTTATTGATTGTAACTGAAATAGAAAAGCTGATTAAGATTGAAATTCTTTGAAATGGAAATTAAAGAAATATAAGCTCAAGAAATTTATTAAAAGCTATTTTATTTATCTGGTTCTTAGAATTGGATACAAATCATTAAAAAAAGATCTTTCAATTACCTTATACATATTTTAAGATCAAATCAATTAATATAGTCGAAACTATTCAATCATTCGATGGTATGTTGTCATCAATTATGTTTTAGTGGAGTCATTTGAAGATTTAATTATTATTTTAGATCTTACGTGTATTAAATTGAATTAAAAAAAATTGAAATTATTAAGAAAAATTAAATTATAGCATTGGATGGTTAATTTGGGACTTTGATCCTTGAATTGTTCGAAAGGGATAAAGAGATCCATTTTAATCGACAACAAATTCATTCAATTTGTCGTACTTCAGCTTTGTCTTCTCATCGTCTGTGTTTACCAGCATCATAGTATGAGAATATCCCAATGCTATTTGAGAAACCTTCATTTCCGACATCTTTGTCACTTCTTTAGGTTGAGCTGACGATTTTTGCAAGTCACCCAAACCCAATTCACCAAAAGTCGGTGAAGCTCCCCAAGCAATTAAAGAATCATCAGCAGAAATTACAACAGAAGTGTAACCACATCCGAGATCAGTTATGTTCCAGCCTAATTAAAAAGAAATATTAAAAATTGAGCTGTTAAAGTTAAAGAAATTTTTATTACCAGCGAGATCTTGAACAGGCTTCGGATACATGTTAGCCTCTCCTGTTTTCTTATTCTGGCCAAAAAGATACAATTGCCCCTGATCTGGAATAGCCTACAAATGATTTCAAAGATAAACATTGAGAAATTAATGTTAAATAATTTATTTACCAATGTGAAAGAAGAACCACAGAAAATTCTTCGCACTCCACGATTTGATGAATCGAAAAATTTGATAAGACGTGGAACCATTTCATCTTTTTGTTCAGCATGACCCAAACGTCCAACGCCACCAAAGCCCCAACTGAATGCACGTTTCTTCGAATCAACTGCGACTGTATGATTGTTGCCACAAGCGAAATCAACAATCTGAACATCGTCAACTGGGGTTACATGTCCATCCTTAGCTTTTTCAATATAAAGTGGCACACGCTTTGGTGACAACTCGAAATGGAATGACATTTTGCTTGAAGTGATGAAGTATTTGCCATCAGTGTTATGTCCTAATTGACCGTACTCTGGCAGTCCAAATGTATGAAGGTTTCCCTTCACATCCAAAATAACTGAAAATTCAGCGCCACAGCCAACTTTAATGATTGGCGGGCCTGTATAGTTGATTCTTGTAACTTTTGTTATCATGGCAGTTGACGTTCCAACACCACACTGACCCGATTTGTTATCGCCGCATGCATAGACGAGTCCAGTGTCAGTCAAGAAAAGTGTGTGGTTTCTTCCACATGCTGCATCGATGATGTTGAAACCTTCCAGTCCAGGAACTGCTGTGGGCTTTTCGAAAGATTTCAAGACAGGTTGTCCCAATTGTGCACAATTATTGCGTCCTAAATAAAAACATTAATTAAAATTTAATTAAATTTACGAAAATATCTTTCGCTTACCAAAAGTCAAAGCTTTTCGATCCATTGAAATGAGAACGCTGTGAGCTGATGAACATCCACTGACAACTCGACGATATTTTTCATCAGAAAATCGATGGAAATTCCACAAGTTTGGTCGAATTTTTATTCCTCCTTTAGCATCAGCTCGTTTTCCGACAATATCCCATGTAATCATTCCAGCAATTAATAACTTTCCAGGTTCACGATCTCGAGATGCAAGCAACTCTTCTGGCAATTTTGGTAAGACAGCGCGCTCGTCAAAAGTCACTGGCTGAGCATTTCCATTACCATTGGCACCAACATCATCACCATAATCATCACTTAAATCAGAATCGAAGGAATCGTCATTCTTCTTCTTTCCTCTTTTCGCAGTCTTCTTAACAGGCTCGGATTTACGTTTTGAAGCCATCTTGAGTAATTTACTTTTCAAGTGATGTTTTTTTTATTGTTACTTATACAGAAGCAATCGATTAGCAAACTCAAACTAAAAACAAAAGTAAGAAAAACAATAATTAAAGTCTAAAAAGGATAAACTGTTTATAATTAAAGTAATTCAGAGAATTTTTAATTCAATTGTTTTCCACACAATCAAGATGAAATTGTTTTGAGGTGACCATGTATTAGATTTTATTGGAAGAGATGATAACAAAATAAGTTTGGTCTTCTTTAATTCTTTATTAAAAGAATTCTTAATAAATTTTGTTTGATGAATCACAAAAAACGACATAAAGATGGTCACCCATAATTATGACGCTCTTTTTGTCTGGGGACCACTTTTTAAAGCGTGAAAATAAATGATCGAAACATAATAATTCATTCATGCACCATAAGGAGAAATCAAACTGAGTATTATTTATGCAAACATTCAAATACGTTTAGCCTTTTCACTATAATTCCGAGTAATAACTTGTAAATTACAGTAATCATTGTAAAACTCCAAACAAAGAAACTTTGTCTTTGAAAATTTGCAAATATTTTGACAAATCATGTGAGATTTCTCTATTTCTAATTGTTACAGACACTAAATAGATTAACATAGTGTATTAGGATTTTATTTCAGTGAAGTATTTACCAAATTTTAATTAATAATTACTACCGGGAACACTTAATAATCCGCTTGTAAACTGCACAGTCTTGTTATATCAGCAGTTTGTCAAGGAAGGCTTTGTTGAAGTCGCAATAAATCATCACCTTTCAAATTACTAAAGGCAGTTAAAAATTTTATGATGAACTGTTATAAAAATGAAAAATTTTATTCGTCCTACTTTAATTCTATCTCAGATTGCAAATACACGAATAGACTAAACTGAATCAATTATTCAATGTTTGTGTTATTTTATGATTTTAAATTAGTGAAATATAAAATCTTTTCTAATACAGGTGCAATAATTCTTCAGAAGATTTTGTGAAGTTGAATAAAGCACAGCAATTATTGGTATTTTGCTGTATTCAGAAATTTTAATAGATCAACATTGTGAAATGCATCTACTTATTTGAAGCCGTGTTAAATATTCTATGCAAGTGAAGATGATTGGGACGAATCTCACCATACTTCTCTCCATTTCTCTCTTTTTACTCCTATCCGTAAGGGTTAATTCATTAATGAATTTCATATGTATGTTTGGATAATTCGTGAATGTAGGTGTAAAGCTACCTAATTAAAGATTAAACTGATTTTTAATGCAAAAATCATAATTTAGAAAAAGAAATTGAGCATCTTTTTCATCTAACTCAAGTGCCATCAAAAATCTATTTTCGATTCTACTTAAATTTTAATTCTAATGGAAATTACAATTTGTCAAAGATCACAACCGGAAAAAATAAAAATATTCTTGTAAATCATTAATGCAACATATTTTACGATGAACTTCCCCTTTTTTCTCTTCAGCTCTCTTTCAATTTTTGAAATTTCTTCTTTTCAAGCTTCTTTCTCTTCAGATGAAAAACATGCCAAGCTTAGTACCAAATAAAATGTGCCATGCTCTCAACATGAGCTTCGAATTCTCACTTTTCTAATTGTGGTGTTTTATATTTTTACTCCTCAGTCACCTTTGGAGCTTCGATCGGAAAAGATGTTTTGCTAAATAATTCTTAATAAAGTTCATTATTTTACATTATTAAATGATAAAAGTGTGCAATTACCAACAGCTCAAAAGCATAAGTTAACATAAATACGGATAAATTTGATATCATAATGCTGTTTAGAAAATTAAAAATATAAATGGTCGAGAGAGGAGTTATTAAAAAGTTTCAGTTAGTTCAAAATATTTGATTATTGTTTTGTTTTGATAACATACAAAAAATCAGTTAACAATATTGAAATTGGCGAATAAAAGTTGTGTTAACAAAAATATACTGTGAAACTTTAAAGATATTTGAATTAAGACTTCACAAGAAGTGCCGTTACTTTACAAGAAACATTTCAATTTTCAGCTCATCGCAGAAAAAAGAAAAAGAATAAGATAGATAAATAAAAGAATATCCAACGGAGTAAAGAATATTTCTCAGTTCAAAGGTAGGCAAATTTACAATCAAAATTAGACGAATATCCTTTTGGATTTCAAAATTATTTTATTAATTTGAAAAAGCTTTCTGATAAAAAATTTCTTTCTTGATTTCCTTGAACGAAATAATTTTTATCAAACATTAAACCACTAAACCACATAAGTTGATTTTATTACTTTAATTATCAATGACTCTACTAGAACTGGATGGAAGAGCTTATGGCACTTTCAAAAGCAATAAAGAATACTTTTTGACTTTTCTAAGACAATTAATATAATAAAAGTTATCCGCTGACTCTTAAATAGTCATTGTATGGATTAAGATCAGCCAATATCTATGTTGTGAATTAAATTACATGGATTCATGTAACGGGATATATATTGGAGAATGTAATCAATGAATAAAAATTCTTCGATGCAATTCTTTGCGAAGTCATATTAATGTTTGATATCAATTCAATTGAAAAAAGATGTTTTCATAGAAATTTTGGATTATCTGTTATAGACGTTTATTACATTTTTCCAAAAATATCTGATATTATATTTCAAAAGATTTTCAAAGCTTTTAAAAATAACTCTGTCAACAAAATGTACTTAGAAGTCAACTCTGTAGATTCGACGATCGATTTAGTTTATTAGATTTCACGTGTGCGTAATATGAAATAAAATGAACAAATCTTTACGAAAACATATTTTTGAAATGTGAAATATCTAAAAAGAAAAATCGAGATTTTGCTATTTCAGAACAAATGTTTTCAAAAAAACTTTTTCAAAGCTAATTCCATGAAAATAATTAATCGGTTGTTTAATTTAATATTTACGAGAAAGATTTGTATTCATAATGTTGTAGCTTTGTAAGGATTCTGTTCATCTTAAGTAATATTTTTCTTGTTTCTCATCATTTAAGATACTCGTTGGATGTTCAGTTAATATTTATTAAAAAAACGAATACCGTTATGTCTTCACGTATGTACAACAACATTATGATCAACAATCGTGTAAAGTTAAACTCATCTCATCCACAAACAAAAATGTGCGTAGAAACTTTCATCGTTTGAATATTTAATGGTGGATGAATTTAGAATTATTCAGTAACATTCTCAAAGAAATTTACAGCTGATGTATTAAAAAGCGATGAATGTTTTGATCAGTTCTGGTTTATTGAAATGCCTGTACGTAACCTACAAAAATTCTTTCAGAAACCAGTTGATTATGAGCTACATAAATTCCTGTTTTCGTGTCTGTTACTCGTTTGTTGCAACGGAAATCGTCTAACAGTCTGTTACTAGCAGATGATGATGACAATATGCACCTTATTTCATAATCGATTGTAGATATTGTATGGCCTTTACGTGTTCTATTGAAACAAGTTACTTAAGTAGCAAAAGCATTGATAAAATTACCACTGCTCAATATCCTCCTAAGTGTTGACTTTAGAAGTAAATTAACAGTATCAATAATGTAATTGATTAAGGTAATGTGTGCCTTCAAGCCACAGTTTCCATAGTGAGTAGTTAAGTTTGCACTTTTTATCACAAAAGTTTTCCTTTACAAAAATATCAAGAAAAGAAAATATTTCGATATTTATTTCAATCGTAACTAAGTGAATTAAGCAAAGTAAGAATATTGCTTGTTTAAAAGATTAATGTGGGAAAATGTTTTTGTTATTTCACGGACTGATTCTTCAAAACAGTCTTCAGTTTTTCGATTACTCAGTTATTCGATTCGTAACAAATAATTTCATTATTCTTTAAATGAAAATTGAAGAACTTTAATCCATTTCATATTTTTTTCTTTTAAATTTTCATAAGAGTGATATGAGAAGCAGTCTGCAACAATAACCAAACTAATCTTCTTTCAATCATTCAATTTAATTTGTAGTCTCTTTTATGTTTTCAAAATTTAATTAACGTTTAATAAGTAAGTGAAACATACAAAACGGGGTTGAGGTGTGTTTATTATGTTAGATGACGTGCTGTTAGCTTTCCTAATCAGTCATTGTGATCACTTAAAGATATAACAGTTGCGTAGTAGAAAATTCACAAAATCATGACCGAAATGATTTTTGAAAGAAACAGCAACGCACTGTTGCTAAAAAATAAACTTCATAAGTTTCTCAGCTTATATGAATCAAACATTGGGGTCAGAGCCGTTTAACTGTCTAGGTTAGTTTTTTCTCCTCAACTTCTTTTCATGCCATTCTTCGATTTCATATTCATACTCAAATAAATAATTGAGCAGGTACCTTTTATTTACGTAATCTTATGGAATGTTGCTTGAATAGTTGAGACGAAAACATAAATTACAAATAAGTATCCACATAACTAAATTTTGAAAACCTTCGATGAGATTAAAAGAGAAAGGAATGGAAAATAGGAATAATTTTATTTTGTTATTCATCTCATCTATTTAGTGTCTTGATTTGGCAAGTTCTTTTCTTTTATATGGCAATGTATACTGAAATGGATTTAATACGATAAATTTTCTCACATTTGTTATCCAATCCATGACTGCTGAAAAAAATTCACAATTTCATCGTAAGATGTGATGAATGTTACATTTACAAAAAGACATTTAAATGTCTATTAGATGAAGTTTGAATAATGGTTTTTCAGGTGGACCAAAACTTTTGTTATGTGATTTCTTTAAGTAGCAGAAACATCAACAAGACAGGTGTTAAGATAAATGCAGTTGATGTAATTGAAAATAAGAAAATTGTCCTATTAAAAACAGTTTTGTTGATTTGATGATACTTGAGTTGACGTTTCGTTCCATGTTGGTTCTTCTTTCATTAAAAATTTTATTCATTTACTTCTTCAACAGTTCATTGTACTATTAATTTAATTTTTAATTTATGTATATTTGAGTTTTGTGAAGAAGTGGGATGAATATTCCTTAAAAATTTACAAAATGTTAAAACGCATTCAATCGTAATATTAAATTTTTGGAATGGAATGTCATAAACCCAAGTTTATTCAAAAGTTTGTAAATTAATTTTCAATAGAATTTTATGAATAAACCAACAAGAAGCAACGCAATGTGTGAGTTTAGCATGCATAACAACAACGCAACATTCTGCATGAAACGGAAATAAAAGAAAGCCTAAAGTTTATAACTCACCAAATTCAACAACAATAATTAATCCATACCAATTAAAGCGTTAATTATGCACGATAATTTAATAATTAGATACATTATTACGCTTTACCTTTTTTAAAATAATGAATGGCGATGAGGATGTGACGCAGGAAGAAAAGCTTATTTAGATATGCTTTTAGACATTCCAAGTTCAATTTGAAAAGGATTATTGAAAAACAAGTCTTAAAAATAAGGCAAATTTTGGTATAAAAAACTCTAATTCAATCAACCTTACCCTGAGTTGTTTTGAGCAAATTTTTGATAAAACTTATCGTCACTAATGGAATAAAATTTATGCTGAAAAGATTCTTCCACTGAATTTTGTAAAGACAAGAAGTCTCTACATCGTTACTTAAAATTAAAAACAGTTAATTAAAATTCAATACACTTGTCTGTGACATGTTTTGCATACATAATTAAAAATGTTAGTTTTAGTTCTTAAGTGACAAAGGAAGTTCACCATTTAAGTTCACCTATTAATTTTCCATTGTTAAAAACAGTTATCGTTTGCTTCTAAAGTTCCTTAAAAGTGATTCATTCTTTACTCGCAGAACTAATTCTTTTATTCATCACAAATTCAATAAAAAATCATTTTAATGTATGTAGGAATCTCATCATGTAGGATGTAACTGAGTTTATAGAAAAATTCTCGAATTTTATTCTCTAGAATTCATAAAAATTCGTTCATACACTTAGTTAATGTTTTGTTTTGGAACTATCAACTGAATTGAGTAAATTTTCAAGAACATAGAGAAGCTATACGTATGATGATAATTTTTTATTACAAAATTACTACGATTTCCTCAATTTATGTATTTTGATGTTTATACTTGTTTGTAGATGACTGATGATAGCGATGCGATTAGATTTCATAGATAAAGATAGATCGAATGAATGGATCTTGTCTCAAAGTGTTCATTATTTGTTAGAAAAGTTTTTCTTTTGAGATATTGATGATTGTTTTTAAGCATGTGAAGTTCCTTTTATAATGCAATAAAATTCCCATCAGCACTTTTATCGTAGCCATTCCTATTCAACTTCTTATTTTAAATTCAATTTCCGATTACTTTCATGCAAATGGAAAATAGATAAATTTATCACAACTGTGCCATTATTTATATAAAAAATAAACAAGAATCCACGAGTTTGTATTTTCACGCTTTAGATGCAATTTCCTTGAGTTTCTCAAAAGTTTGGAAAGCGAAATTAAAGAGCAAAAGAACGAAGAACGTTTAATAAAATATTGTAAAATTTATTTCCTGTTTTAAAAATAGAGAAAAGTCCTAACAGGAGAAACTTTTTTTGTACCGGAAATTAAGAAGACAGCTTTTGGAATCTTTATTTCCTTTGAATAATTTAAAGTGGAAAGATTTTCCAATTGTTGAAAATGTTTTAAGAAATATTTATGATTTTACCTTCCTCAACATTCAAAAGTTTCTTATTTCAAAACATTCTAAATGTAATTGAAATTTGCGAAATTGTTACAAATTAAATAATCGAATATCAAAAATCGAGGCTAAATTAAACCTGTAAATTTAATCTACGCTGAAAATAAAATTTCATTAACATTTTCAGTTAATTTTTATTTTAATAAATTTCTTTCTTCATTTCTTGAATAATTTATTTTATTTATCGTATTAAATATCAAGTATCATGGCAATGTATCGTTTACGTTTAAGATTTTGTAGATTGAATAAAAGAAAATTAATCTGAACATTGAACGTAGCAAGTTGAAATTTTCAGTAAGTAACTTTGAATTTCACACGCGATTTAAATTAAAATTGAACTGAATCAAGAAGTTCTTTTGGGTTGCGGCTAAGTTTGCAGCATTCTACGTGAAATAAATTAAAATTGTAAAAGAAGAAACCACTATGAAATAAATCGAACAAAATGAAGCAGCAACAGTAACGAACCTTTGTCATTGCCATTACGTTTAATATCTTTTCACAGTTGACACAATTACATTTAAAAATTACTTCAATAGGAAAAGTGAGAAAATTAGCTTCTCTCAAAGTTTTATAATACTTATCTACTCCACAATGTTCAATTAAACATACCAGACTTTCTAGGTTTTCGGGCCACGAAAAGAAATAATTCGAGAAAAACAAAAACTAAATCCAACATGACATGGACGAGCCCATTTTAAACTGTGACAATTGTCGCTCTCGTTGAAGTTTACATATGCTAGAAATGAAGGTGAAATTTAAATCTGTAACAAATTGTTAAGTAAATCATTTAAAATAAGAGTAGAAAAACGTATTAAAGTAAATGAGTAAATTGAAAACAAGAACAGGTTTCAAGAAACTGATACTTACAAGATAATAATTAACGATCAATCCGATGATCTCACTTTTTTTTTTTGCAGATTCTCATTTATTACGCTATGCCTACATGTTTTCCATTTCTGAATACATTTTTCTTTTTTTATTTTGAACAGACTGCTTAAGTGGAGCTAAGCTATTTCACATTTTTTTCATCATCTCTCGTTTCTTAGGATTTGATCTCAATGAATTTAAAACAGTTAGATCAAATGCATTCATGTAAAAGAAACAGTAAAATAGAAGACTTGTTGCATTTCTTTCATGTTGAAGTAATATTATTACCTATGTCGTTTTTTAAAACATAATTAAATAATTGTAACATTTATCTAAATATATTTCCTTCCTTTTAAAAAAAAATTAGATCGGAAGGAAAGTTCGTAAATAATTTTTTAAATGCATTGAATTCTGAAAGTCCATCCTAAGTTTTTATAAAGTTAAATAAAAATCTCAAAAAATATGAAAGTTTAGTCATTTTTGGTGTTGTTCTATTGACCCACATTGTTTTGCACCATTGTTCATTACTCTTCAAATTCATAAACTCACGAAATAAGCTATCTTATTGAAAACTTAAATGAAAGGTTTTTACGATGATGAGGAAGCAAAAAGCTTGTTATCAGACTTTCGCAGACAAATGTTTCGGAGAATAAGGAAAATCCAAATGAATACATAATGTATGTATGTACGTGACTGTCGATAAAATTGCATCATATGTGGATATCTATTATGATCTCTGCTCCTTTTATATAAGAAATTTATGATTTTTCTCCATATTCTTGAATCGAAAAAAGTTTTTATCTCAATCGGTGAGAAGTTTAAATGTTTGTTTTATGGAAAGTAAAACAAGATGTAAAATTATTTATATTCTAATCGATTTTTTTTTAAAAGAAACTTTTCTTTCTTGAATTTTATTTCAGGAGATCAATTTAAAAGGATAGACGTGGCTCAATATTGACTACAAAGTTTAAACAAACCAAGGAATAATTCCAGGTTCAAAATGACGTTGGAACACTTCCACATCGTTGTCAGCCTTTTAGGATACTTTCTAGTAAGAGGATCGCTCGCCCAATGCCCATGGCATCAAGATGTTGTAAATTTACAAACTTCATGTTTATGTGCATATAATTTGGGACAAGAGCTTTCCGTTCAGTGCGATCAGGTAAGTGATTAATCACTGACATGAGTTGAGAAATGTTATTTATTCGCCTTATTTATTATTTATGTTATTTACGTTATTTATGTGTCTCTTCCATATTCGCCCAGGTTGATTTCACTACTTTGATTGCAGCTTTAAACAAATATGCTAAATTAACACCAATCGATTTACTTTACATTAATAACTCGACTATCAGAAAATTAGAAAATAAAGTTTTTCAAAATCTTCAACTACATAATGTTCAATTAAGCAGTTGTAAATTGAAACAAATTGACGAGAATGCTTTTCATGGACAAGAAGCACATTTGAAGAATTTAAACCTTCAAGATAATATGCTTGAAGAAGTTCCAGTGAAAACCTTGAGTTCATTGACGAGACTTAATCTTTTAGATTTGTCGAAGAATAAAATCAATCACATTCCTAACGATGCTTTTAAAGGTTTAACTAAATTATCAACACTTAAGCTTATGGACAACAACATTACTTTAGCACGTTTTTCATTGCGTGGATTGGAAAATTGCTTAAAGAATTTGAATCTTAAGGGTACGAAACAGAAACGAGTACCAGAAGCTGTAAGAGGGATGAAATCTTTAGCCTTTTTGGATCTGTCGTTAAACGGAATTCGCGAATTGCCCGGGTCTAGTGGCATTCGAACATTCGAGGGATTGGATTCACTAAGTGCACTTAATTTAGAGAGGAATTTGATTTCATCGCTAGGTGAATCGGCTTTTCAAGGCGTTCGAAAAACATTAAGCTCTTTAAGTTTGTTGAACAATCTGCTATCGGAATTTCCAGTTGGTGCTGTACACTCGCTCAAAGAACTGCGAGTGTTGGACATTGGATTTAATCTCTTGACGTCATTGCCTGAAACAGCTTTTCGTGGTAATCCGGCTGTGACTTTATTGGCACTCGATGGAAATCCTCTTCCAACTATTCCTGAGAAAGCATTAGCGCATATCAACAAAACTCTGCGAGGTCTTTCACTTGGTGGACGATTCCTTCATTGTGATTGCAAACTTAGATGGGTTGCTGAATGGATTCGAAATGGTGACTTGCAAGTGACTTCTCGCGAGCGCAACCCTCAATTTTGTGGATCTCCAGGAAGGTTCCGAGACAGAGGATTCTATTCAATTCAACCTGAAGAGTTGATTTGTGCTGAAACAGATATTGAAACTAATGGGCCGATTGGAGTTGTTGATTCACTTGTTCCAAAACCTTTCTCTGCTGCACCGACGCCTTCATCGACAACACTTTTTGTTACACCATCAACCGTTTCTTTGAATTCAACAATACACTATACCAGTGGATCCAGAAATCCTTTGCTGTCAACATCGGTGCTAACAACCACCACAGTTAAAACAATAAAATCATCACATTCGAAAAATTCATCGCAACGACCAATCGAAACCACAACTAAACATCCAAAAGCTTCTTTATCGACAACTCAAGTGAATGTTGAACATGGAAAAGCAACGACAAAAGCTCCAGTAAGAAATGCAAATAATTGGAGACAAAATTCAAATCAACCATCGCATAAGCAACGTCCGCCTTTAGTTCTTGGCTTTCCACCTCAAAGAGGTCAACAAATCGATGAGTCGAAGGAAGTTCAGGTTAAAAATGCTTTCAGGTAAGATTTATCTCACTCGTATCGTTAGAAAATTGACTCGTAAACACTTTTTAAATTTTGTTTAGCAGACAAGATAGTTCAGTCATTATTCAATGGGAATCTGATACGTCGAATATTCTTGGCTTTCGAGTGGTGTATCGATTGTTCGGAGACAAAAGCTTCAAACAAGGCCCTCCACTTGAATCAACTGAAAGGGAATTTAAGATAAAGAATGTCCCGAATCAAGAGTGTATTGTTGTGTGCGTTGTTTCTTTGGAAGATCTCGCAATAACTCCAGAGAATGTGCCTTATCAACAATGCCGAGAAGTGCGTACGGTTACCGCACAAACATCCAATATGGATAAAATCACGATTTTAGCAAGTGCCGCTATATGCGGGACAATCATCATTGCTGTTGTCATTTTCATAGCAGCAAGCAGGTAAGTTGACACCATTTTCATTCCTACTTTCTTCTTTTCTACATTATTTCGATAGAATAGAACATTTAGAATACATTCTTACTTTTCCAAACCAGACGACGTTCAAAAAAACTTCGAGCTATTCATTCATCTCTTAAAAATCCATTGCCGATTGCGGGACTTCCAGTTAACTGCTGTGCTCCAACGCCAAGTCCTAACGGTCCACTAGGATCACTGGCCACACTACAAGTTTATAACTCGCACAAGGTAAGCAAACTTGAAATCAAACCTGGTCTAGAAAATGATAAACCGGAATAACATTATGTCCCAATGGAATTAGAACACTTCATCTAAGACCTAAATAACATGCAAAAGTATTTTGGTCAATGTGCTATTTAGACATTTAAATGCAGTTGTTGGTTATTCAGAGATAAAATCCTTTCACCCATTTCGCCTAATATTTGTAACTAAATATTACCTACTTAATAATGATTCATGTAAATATATAAGATTGGATTAATTACAACCATTAAGAATTTATGTAAAACAAATTTGATATGAAGAGAAAAACAAAACCAGATGGAAGAAAATGAAAATCAAGTTCAATAAAAGTTTATTGATTTGAATTGAATTAATCATTTGTTTGAAGAACACAACTTTTGGATTGTTCATTGGGTACAGATAGTTGAAACTCAATTTAATTAAACAAAAGTTTAGGAACCCTTTCAAAAAATCATTTTGCAAACAATTCAAATTAAGTTAAAAAACTGTTTTGGATTGAGAAAAAATTTCCAGGTAAAGTTTTGCTAGTTTTTATTCTTCTTTCTTTCGAGCTAAATATTTAATCATATTAAGACATAATCCATTTATGTAATTATTCACTTTTGAACTCAATGGTTTGGAAAGAGTTCGCATTAAATATGCTACACATACATCATTTAAATCATTTCCCATCATTCATTTGTAGGCCTTTCTTTCCTCTGATACAATCATTCAGAGTTAAAACACGACTTACTCTTTGTTATTAAAAAGATTCATTAAAGCATTGTAATGAAATCTTGAAGAAACATTCAGCTTACAACTTTATAAATATCTGTATAATTAAATATCTTTCGGATAATGAAATTTATATCTTAATTTGTTATGATTGATTCTTCAACCTTATTTTTTTTATTAATTAATTAAAATCTATTTCACACTTTCTTTTCTATGAGTTTTAAACCCTTTTTAACTTTAAGCATAATAAGAGTGAAATTAATGCTCGAATTACTTAAGATTGCCTCTCCATCATGCTCTAGTTAACTGAAGCCAATTAATTTATACTTAACTGAGGAAAAAATGATGAAAAAAAGAAATTTCTTTTGTTTCACATCAATTGAATGTATGTCACGTGTATTTCTTCTTTAAATGTCTTGTTTCATGAATAATAGTGACGATAAATTATCTAACAATAACTCATTTCTCTGCATGTCCAAAGGTTAAATAATTATGTAACATCATCTTTGAATTATTAGGATTGGGACCAAGTTTCAACTTACAGCGGCCGCTCTATTCAGAGACCGATAATTTTTGGTATAGATCAACCACTAAGCATAGCTGACGACATGAGAAGTCACGTATCACATTTCTCAGCAGTTGGAGCAAAGATGGGAAAGCCAAGGTATTTTTGTTATTTATTTTATTTTGTAAATCTCAATTTAAGCATGGAATTTTTATTTTTGTTAATGCTTCATTACATATGTTAAAGATCAATTGCAGATGGTCAATCACATCATAGCTATTCAAATCAATCTCACCGTGGTTATTCAAATTCAGCATTTGCATCTAATTTGGTTAGCTCAAGACCTGGTAAGTTTTACTTAATTTTCATTTGATGGTAATTGAATGACTGAGAATTTTTATTCTAATTAATAGAACTGAGACAATCAAGAACATCTTTAGCAGCAGCTTCGGAGAGAGTTTCACGAGCATCGTATGCTGGATCCTACCACGGTGGCCCAAATAGTGTTACATCATCAACGCGACGAACACGACCAAGATCACGCTCAAGAGATCAGTTAAATGGTGTGCATTTGCATTCCAATCGACCCAGCAGCAGGTACAAAAAAATTGTGAAACTTTAATTAAAGTTTTTAATACAAAAAAATTCACAGATTCTCAACGAATGGCTCCGTTCATAATCTCAGCAATTGCTATGATACATCTGACAACTGGACAGATAATGATATGGAAATTTATATGGCAAGAAATGCAACAGCAAGAACTGGATTGGTGCCATTATGAGGCCGGCTTTTTATTTCCTGATGCTTTGAAGTCTTTTTTGATGTGGATTCAATCTTATGATATTTGTATGACTACGATAGACATCATGAAAACAGATCTAGCGTAGCAAGCGATTCTTTTCTTTTTATTATATCTCAAAGCGAAATACGAGAGTTGTTTGATAATACATCAGAAGAAATCCACAATGAAATTTGAAGTCGTCTTTGACTCGTTTGAAAAGCAATTAAGGGGAAGCGGAGACAGTGCCAATTTTTTTTTCATTCTCATTTTATCACTATTAACAGCGCACACTCAAAATAACATTAAGATTTCGTCGTCGTTCAACAAATGTGAAAAAAAAAAGTCAATCAAAATACGATCTTAAAAGCTTAGCTTGTGCTATTCTTCTTGAAATTCTTATCTATTAATTTCAAATTTGTTATTTCGATTATGTATATTTATATCCTTCGAATAGCAATTATTTATGAAGTGCAATGTAGCTGATAATTGTTATAGTAAATATTAAATAAAATTTATTGAAGTCTTAATTATTACCAAACTATTTGAGGATTTAATAAATCGGACCCTTCCTTCACATGTGAATGTAAAGTTTGCAACAATATAAACTTTTAGTATCAATAAATAAGTAATAATAGAATCTTTGTAACGTTAGATTTAAGATAGGAAAATCATGAATTAATTGTTGAAAATAAATTGAGAAATATGAATCTAGAACAAAAAGTTAATATTTTGATAAAAAGATAAAAGTGAATAATTATTAAGTTTGAACTTTTAACATATCATAGTTGATACTAAGTGTACATAAAATACTTTTACATAAAACATAATTTATTCATTAACATTCAGAAAATATATCAAGTTAAGTGATTATTTATAATTTAAACTTACATCGTCTATTAAGCTAATTATTTCAAGTTGAATTTTGATCGTTTTCCGATATTTTTCTGTTTGATGAATTGAAAATAATTTTAGACAGATAAAGAACTCAATAAAGCTTATTATTTCTTGTGGAAAGACTTTTTATAAATTTATGAGATTTTTTTGTTTTATTGATTTTTCTTCAAAGTTCCTGAGCAAATTTTCCATCCAATTCCAAATATTTGAAGAAGATTAAACATTTGAAAGTTAAACAATTTAGCGAATTCCATTGAAAGTTCTTTTGTACGAGGAAATTCCATTTTGTCATCATTATCTGGTCGAAATATATTTAATTGCAATGAAATTGAAATTTAACACCCATGCATTCTAAAAGCTTTTTGAAAAATTATCATGACACATCTTTTAACTTAAAGGAGATGAATGCAAGCTTAGAACGTAGAGGGAAGCTAAAGGATAATAAAAAGTATAATTTATCACTTCACTATCACTTTATGTGTTATATATGCTCATGGAAAAAATATAATACCATTCATCTCATCTCGTTGGCTGCGAAACCATTAAAATTCTGAAGTGCACTTCAATTTGATTCTCACATTGGATAGCATGTGTCGTCTTCCTGTAAATTGCTTTCAAAGAAATTCACTTTTGGAAAAGGTCAACGATATGTAGATGTGACAAAGAAAATGGTAAACAATTAAACATCAAGTTGAAGTTTTCCTTAAACCTTGCAATTAATAATTCATCTATCTTTTATGGTCTCTCTTTTCTTCATCATGTCACAAGATGTCGTCTTTCTTTTTATTTTTCTTTGCTTTAAGACGAGAATTTCGTACTTTTTATTACATAAAACATAAATAATCATGCTCATTTTGTGACATATTCTATACTTTCCACTAAGAATTTTATTTTATTTAATGTCAAATTTGTTTCCTTTGTTTCGCAAACCGCAAATTTCTTTTTGTCATCAAATTGTGGTTTAAGCTTGGACTTTTTTCTGGGATGTGGGAAAATGTACTTTACTATATATTATCATTAAAACATGACATTTCCCTTTCTTTCGGTACTTAACTTTGCACGAACTCGAATATAATTTCTTTCTGCTTTTCTTCTGTGCAAAAGTAGTGAAGAAGTTGAGTTAATGATATCTGTCATGAAACTTTTTTCTTCCTGTTTTCTGGTTTTAAACCTTTGGTCACAAACAAAAAATAAATTCTCATTTTAAGTACCTACTTTGAAAATGTAAACTTTAATTTTTGGATTAAGAATTTTTAGTTAAATCTCCGACTGATCATACAAAATTGACTTTTAATTGATTTTGGAAACATAAAAGAAGTTTAAGTTAACACATGATTGGAACTCAAGGTAGTTAACACGATCTTATAAATTTAAAGTAAAAATTGATGTTCTAGTAAAAAATGCTTGTAAACAGACACATTTACTTACTCATCAATACTTGAAAAGAAAATATAATGTAAATAAGATGCACAGTCGGGAGTTAACAACATAGAATGGGAGGTCGATAAGGGTATCTTAAATATTTCTCGTATGCATATAATAAGCAACGCTTTATTACTCATTACATAAATAATAAATTCAATAAAGAGAAAAGAAAACACCAATGGCTAACTATAACACTTATGATATTCAAATGAAATTGTAATAGATAAATTAATTATGTATGTTTATTCCATGCACTGTAGATAAGTAACATTTAAGCTAAGAAATAAAACAAGATTATGAGATTTCCTTTTAAAAACAATTCGTTTTATTACGCAGATTTCCTTCTTTTCCATAATGAGTCAAGATTATTTATTGATGAATTTCGTAAATAAGTGTTGTTAAAAAATTATGTAAATTAATTTTTTTCTTATTTCCATTTCTCATAAGAAATTTTAAACTTTTGTAAATTAAATATGCAAATATCTTTTGAGCTTTGACGTTAAATGATGAACAAGGAAATCAATCTTCTGTGTATTGGCAGGCCATCTTTACTCATTTTGACTTTCGATTATTTGGTACTTAACTTATGCAAAAGTTTTTCCAATTCAAAACATTTATGTTAAATTTATAAATAGTTAAAAGTTGCATGAATGTAGATATTTACATGAACACATCATTAGTAGAATACAATAAAGAAACCCTTTTGAATTAAAAGTTCCATCATCATTTTTTAAGAAACAATTTTATCGATCTTTCTTCAGTCGACTTCTTCTGACGCAAGAACACGTCATGGTTTAATGAGAGACGATACTGAAGTTTTTCCCAAACAATGAATGTGTGAGTTTCTTACGTCATTCGACTCTGAGATGAGAGAAAATTGCTTCAAGTTCTTTTCGATATCGCGCGTTTGTGTTAGTTCGCCTGGTGTAAAGTCGGAGAGAAAATAAATATTGATAGGCGAAATGGGCAAAATAAAGAGAAATATGAGAGCTCAGTTGGTTTTCCAACACAAATGTTTTTAATGGAAATTTTAGTTGCTATTCACTTTTAAAGAACAACCAACGAAAAATTAGGATAAGGTGGATTGAAAATTCTTTTTATCTAGTATAATGTAGAATATTAAGCACAGAAATAAGAAAGTGAAGGTTATAGTGAAGTTGTAAAGGTCTTTTTTATAATTATTTAACATAAGAAGCCGCATATTAAAAGTTAAACCAGTTCTTCAAAAAAATAAAAAAGCCTCTAACAAAGGAATACTGAATTCAAAAAAGGTTAAACTTTATTGGTGTTAGAATGAAAATTTTCTATTTTCCTCTAGTGTTATCTCAAAGTGATAGTACATAGATAGATAATATCCTAAAAACTCATTTCTAATTGTCTTCCATACTAACTTTGCAACATTTATCATGTAAATTAATCATATGAAAATAGAATAGCGGAGATAGCAAATTTGGATTGTCAAACAAACTTGAAGTGATGTCTAGACTTTCCCATAAGCTATGCGGAATATATTTTCAAGAAATTAATATTTCTGAATGACAACAAAACTAAGTTGCTGTCGTGTTACTCAAATAATCAAGTTGAAAGAAATCACGATGTTTACGGATGCTCACAGAAAAAAAAGATTTTTTTTCTCGATTTTTAAAGAGTCATGTCATAGAGATCGGTAGATTTTAATATTTTTTTATTTCTCCGTAACTCATTCAAGATATTTTCTTCAAGAGAGAAAAATGAAAAAAATATGTGAATTCTTCTTTTTTCTTGCTAATAATAGGCAATCTTTTCTGCGGCTTTGAACATGGTTTTTAATGAACGCAAATAGACGTGATGACGTCCGTCAAACTAAAGACGTGAATGCACGTTTGAGAATTTTATCACCACTCATTTTCGAACTGTTTTTTTTTCTTCTTTCTTTACTCAGCTTTATAAATTGTTTTAACTAATAAAACGTCACTGAAAAAACTTTTAGACATTTTTACCCATGACAGTGAATATTTGAACAAAATCGTAAAAGATTTCGAGTAAAAGTTCATGATTAATTTCTTGGATGAGATGATCAAATATTAAAGGTAGCATCAAATTTGAAGTTCAAGGTATTCAATACTAATCTAATTGAATTTCAAGTGTTAGCAGAGTATTAAATATCATCCAATTAATTTCATGAATAAGTGAACGGAGACAGCAATAAAGAACTCAAATGGTTCCTCCACTAGTGGCACGAACTGATATTCCAAATTCAAGATACATTACCAACAGAATAACGTGAAACGTTATGTTAATCTAAAAAATTGTTTTGTTTCATTGTTTACGCAATGAGCAGAATTTGTCAGCAGGTGTAATTTAATCATATCAAAAACAATAACAGAAAAAGTTATAGAAAACAAAAACAAAATTTCATTCGTCAGCCGGCGTTTTGAAAAAATAATTTCTTTGAATTTGAAATTGTGGGGGAGTCAAGAAATATCTAAGTATACATAAACCTTACACAAATGTATTGTGGAAATATTAAAATCCACCTGATTTTATGGTCAGTAGAAAGAAAGGCTCAATAGAATCGATCGGTTTATTTATAGAACGAATTACAATTTTAATCACGTAAATATTTGGATCGTCCATTGGCTGCTTAGAATTTATTCAAAGCTATCGTCTCTCATATTTCCACTGTTTATAACTTATATTTAAAACTTATCAAACATACTTATTTAATCTCCAAACGCACGTTATCTAATTATTATTAAATGTTACAATAACAGTGACTTTGAATTTGCTTTCCTTCCACAATAAGCTATTTCTGTAGCATTCAAATTATTAAAATTACCCACAAAGTAATCAATTTATTCATTGGTTTCAACAGTTTAAGCACATGAGAAGTTCAGGAGTAAAATGGAAGGAAAATTTTGAGATTTGGATGACGTTTGCGTGAACCTTTTTTCGTACATAATGAAATGGATGAACGCAACATTATAATAACGAGAATAATAACAAACAACAACGCAATGTCGTCTAATAACTCGACACCTCCGCAGTCTCTGACATCGTCAACGCCATCACCAGTCAAAATGAGCCAAAGCTTGAGTTCCAACTTAAATAATGGCGACAACTCGAAGGTTAATGAAACTAAAGGAGTCACAGTTAGCAATACAAATAATCAGAATTTGAATCCGTCCATCCCATTAAAATCAAAAACTCCAATTCGTGTTGGATTTTATGAAATTGAAAAAACAATTGGAAAAGGAAATTTCGCTGTTGTAAAATTAGCTCGTCATAGAGTCACAAAAAGTGAGGTAAATGCTTGCACAACATGCTCCTTTATAGCTTTGCAATTAAAAATCTTTATTAAAGAGTTAAGTAACAATTGTTACCACTTTCAATTACATAGGTTGCAATAAAAATTATCGATAAAACCAAGCTTGATGCAAGCAACTTGCAAAAGGTTTACCGTGAAGTAGACATAATGAAACATCTTGATCATCCACATATAATAAAATTATATCAGGTGAAGTAAAATTCATTTATCTAACTAAATTTAATTGCCGACTTCACTTATTGTACTTAAATTTTATTAAAAAATCTTCACAGGTGATGGAAAGCCAAAGCATGATTTACATAGTCTCGGAATACGCTAGTCAGGGAGAAATTTTTGGTAAGATTTTTATTAAACATTTTTCTTACACTTTCATAATTAAATTTCTTCATTTTAGATTACATAGCAAAATATGGCAGACTTACAGAAAAAGTAGCCAGACATAAGTTCTGGCAAATTCTATCAGCTGTCGAATATTGTCATAATAGAAGAATAGTTCATAGAGATTTAAAGGTGAATAAAATTTCATCCATTTGTCAATCATTTCATTATTTAATTCTTTAGGCTGAAAACTTACTTTTGGATTCAAATTTGAACATTAAAATAGCTGATTTTGGATTCAGTAACTTTTTTACACCTGGAGAGTTGTTAGAGACATGGTGTGGATCACCTCCGGTAAGATCAGACATCAAATGTATGTTGACAAAATTCTTTTATGATTTCTCATCACACAGTATGCTGCCCCTGAAGTATTTGAAGGGAAGAAGTATACAGGACCGGAAATAGATATTTGGGTAGGATTAAGTTAGGATTGTTGACGTCGATTTCAATATAAAAATAATTTCCTTTCATCTTTTATATATTTAGTCACTTGGTGTCGTTTTATATGTTCTTGTATGCGGCTCTTTACCGTTTGACGGTTCAACATTACAATCATTACGTGACAGAGTGCTGTCAGGTCGCTTTCGGATACCTTTCTTCATGAGTTCAGGTACACTTCAAGGTTTTAAACCTGCACCGGAAATGCTTTCACGATCACACGAAATTTAAATAAAATTAATTTACATTTCAGACTGTGAGTCATTGATTCGTAAAATGCTGGTTTTACAACCCAATAAGCGAGTAACAATTGAACAAATAAAGCGACATCGTTGGATGATGGCAGAGATTTGTGACGTTTCGTTAAATTCATTCGATGAAAATCTTTTCGGTGGAACATCAGCCAGAGAATTGAATGAGCAAATTTTGAGGATAATGCAAAACTTGGGCATAGACGCTCAAAGAACCAAAGAGAGTCTTAAAGTAAGTTTCGTTTTTGTTAACCACAATTTTTATTCAATTCATTTTATTCACTTTAGATGAACAATTACGATCATTACACTGCGTTCTATTTACTTCTATTGGAGCGATTGAAAAACAAAGATATCGTTGGGACACAAAACAACACAACACCAAAGCATCCAACATTGGATTCTCAAAGACGACGACCAAGTTCGATAGCTGAACAAGCAATGCGGAAGCTTGGATTGGGTCCACATCAAAGGTTTGTAATCTTTCAAAGTCTTTTCACATTTCTAACAAATATTTATGCATGCAGATCTGAGCTGCCGATATCAACTCGCCATCAAATGTCGAATGTCTCAAACAATCGCAGCTCAGAAGCAATATCAAGTATTATTCAAACCCCGATGTCGTCAATGACATTGCGAGATACAATTTCAACCAGAGATCAGTCACCTTCAACATCATTGATGAAAAATAGTCAAACATCATCATACTTTCACTCATTCAGTAATAATAATAATAACAATAACAGATCTGGGCATTTAGCATTCAGTAACAATGTCGTAACAAACAGTACAATGAATTGTAACAATTCATTATCATTAGAATCGCGGGAAAGAGAAAATAATTCTCTGGTTTTACGGGAAAGTGGTGTCCAATTGCATCCATCACGTATGTCGTCGTGCAATCGTTTTGTGTCGGGTGGTCTCGATCAACGAATTATTAAGCAAAGTACCGAAGATTGTCGACGATTGTTGCAGCAGGTAAGCTGTTGCAGTCTGTAATGAATTTGACTCTTCTTAAGATGTTTATTAATGGTAGTCTTGTTGTTAGGCTATAGCAGTTGTAAACACAGCCGCTCCATCTGTTGTTCCACCGCCCTTAGACCAAGTCTTGCCAGCGCTTGAACCCCGAACAGGAAATTTTCCTCTGCTCTCAAACGACAACCCCTCAAAGTCATTGACATCATCAAATAGCTTTGATTTCAAGGCAAATAGTTCTCAAAAGTTGCCGCCTTTTAACATGTCGCTAGAAGCTGCACGTCTCTTTCAAACATTGCAACAAAGTCCTTTACCATTGCCACAAGCTGATGTAATTAACATTTGTTAAAATTTAAATTTAAAAATCTCTTTTTTGTATGAATTTTCTTTATTTAAATTTTATTTTTCTTATTAAAAGACTGATGGCATAAAATATAATTTAGACAAGAATTCACCAAATAAAATAATTTTAAATAAGTTTTCCGCACACACCACAAAATTTTTATCGATTTTTCGCGATCTTTTTGTTTCTTTCTTTTATTTATTGAGAATTTCCTTTTGATTTTCTTAAGGAAAGTTTGTTTCTTAAGTTTATAGTTTCCAACATTTTAATGACACTTTGAATTTTATTTGTAGATGCATCCAAGTCAAGATCAAGCGGCTCTAGGATCGTCAATGAATCAGCAATGTCAAAGTGTTGAGAGTAACAACGTAAAGTTAGAGCGACCATTGAATATTGCTGAATCAAGGATAACTCCGCCATTCAAAGATTATTTAAATAATTTTCAAACTTATCAATATTTACAAAAAGTTGATCATCCTGAGATGTTTTCGAAAAGCCATCAAATAACCCAACAATACAGTTCGAGTACGGATGAAGGATGTGAAACTGATCATGGAGGTGAGTTTCGTGTTAAACATTAATTTAAATATTTAATTCATTCATTTCAGAAATGGATGAAAATGCATCACAAACAAATAAAGTTCCGTCTTCAGTCATTCATCGATTGAATTCTTATGCAAGTTCAAGCTCATCAAGCGGTGTCGCGACAAATTTTGTGTCGAAAAGTTTAAGTCAAAACTTGAGTTGTGATTCATCACGAAGCAACTTTTCTACCTTTGAAAGCATCGATCTTAATCTATCTGATTGTAGTGATCTTGCAATCAGTTTGCCATCATGTACAAGTAGAAATCTTGATGAACCAAATAGAGAAAATGGTAAGTAGATAAATTAACTTAAAACTTGAAATTGATTCATTTTATTCACAAAAGGTGGGGAAACAATTACATCGACATCATCTACGAATCATCCTTGTGTCTATGTTTCAATGTCGGGCAAGTCTAATTGCCTGTTTTTGAGGAATAATCCAATTGGACATTCACCAAATCGTGCGCTATCGCGATCTCCAATCGACTTTCGTCAAGGGCGAAGAGCAAGCGATGGATTAGTCGCACAAGGTTTAATTAATCAGGTTGATAATCATATCACTTCAGTTGCATTCAACAGCCAACGATTGCATGAAGCTCAAAAGGCAAAAGGTTTTCTGGAATTGCATTTGTTGCAACAAGAAGCTGCTTCATTATCTAGTCAATATCAAGCCAGTGTACCACAAGAAGAATTAAATATTAGACAAAGGGAGCATAATCAATTTTATGTTGCACCTTACAAAATGATGAGCGAAGCTAATCAGCAAATGTACGGATGTCAGAATGAAGATGGTTCTTACTTCAACAAAGCAATACTAAGCGGATTAACTTCTGACATTTCAAACTACGTCGGTATGATGAAGAATGATGACATTGCCGATATGAAGCAAATGTCATTGAACATAAACAACGATTCTCAATCTTATCAGCAATCTCCAGCCACTCCAAAAGCTCCACTTCAACAACAGCTTATGCAACATCGATTATTGCAACAGAAAAGACAAATTCTTCAGAAACAAGGAGCAATGGAATCGTCTTTAAGTCGTCGACAGATGCTACGACAACAGAGCTATAAAATGGCACAAAATCAACAGATTCTTCCTCCCTTACCGTTTCCGTTGAGCGAGAAAGAAACTGAAGATTTATTGGCTTTCCAACAAATTGTAGAAAATCCCAGTACACCCACGCTTTTGAAAACTACTCATTTATGCAACAATCAAGCATCACAATCAATTCCTTCGCCACCAATACAATCGAATGCGGATAATGTTGTGTGTGGAAATCTTACAAATAATTTGAATTCATGTCAAATAAGTGAAACTGCACCGCATGAAGCTTTTCATCCAATGATGTCCATGTACAGTCAGGTATGTCACATCCCGTTGTGCAACTGTTCATTTTTAATTTATTTTCTCATTTCAATCTGTTAGTTTCCTCCTACATTCCCCAATACACTGTTTGTTTCCAACTGGAATCCACAATCGTCAGTCTCTCCACCAATAATTGAAGAGCAAATGGAGTCAATTTAAATGAAACAATTATGTGACAGTAGTCGATTCACAGGAATTAAAAGAATATCAATTAATCAAAATATATACATAATAATCTGTAGTTAAAAAAATGAAAGACTGTTCACCGATTCCAGTTCTTTTATCTATTTATTAAATTAAGCAAACAATTAATAATAAAAAATATTCACAAATACATTCAATTTGAAGGCATTTAGACAGATAACTCATAAAAACAATTGAGACAACTAGAAATTATGTGTGTAGATGACATAAAAAAAGGTAAAAAAATTAATAAATTAGAATATAAAAAAATTTTCAACGATATCTGGGTAAAGTTATTTCAATCAGATTTCAACAAAACCAAAGACATTTTGGTTAGAAAAATATTAGAAAACTTACACAATCGACTGCAAACTACCTTCTTTGATTCAATTTTCTGATGAAATTTTCATAAATTATAAATGTTTTATTACTTACAAACAAATAATTAATTAATCTACACACTTCACTCCTACTTATTAATAAAACTTTGTATTTAAACAAATTGATAATTATCAACAACTTGTTTTGAAATATCTGAATTGTCAGTTTTATGTATCACCACAGTTATTATCAACACACATTACAGGAACAGAAACAATAAATAGCTTATAAAACTTTTCTTATCTAACTTATTAGTAAGAATTTTGATATGATCAGAAAGTAGTGAAATTAGAAATGCTTAGTTGATATGTACATGATAAGCATGAAAATGTCATTTTAGATAATTTTACACGTTCAATCGCGTAAAGTTCAATGTTCAAATTAGCAAAAATTATGTTCCACCTAAAATATGTAATTGGCGATGAGGAAAATGTTCATCATACTTAGAATCGAATAAATAAAATAACAAAAATTGAAATTAACATTTTTTACTCAAAATATTTACATTCTCAAAGGAGCTCTATTGAAATTGCTAACTTTAGAAAATATTAAATAAATCAAATACAAGAAGACTAAAATTAAATAAGAAGTTATGTAAAACATTTAATTGGAAATGCTTTCTACACATAAACTGCTTCTATTGTTATAAAAGTTGATTTTCAACTAATTTAATTAATCATTTTTAGAAAAGATGTGTGTAATGAAGAAATAAATAAATAAATAAAATACATCAATTTGTTGATAAGTAATGAACTTTTGTGTTTTGAAGTCAGTGGGAGTTTAACTTGATCGCATTAAAGCAGAGCGACATAAAAAAATTCTTCAAGTTGTTTTGGTTGCCTAAGTTCAAGGGACGAATTATTTCATAATTACGCTCAAAACAAATTCGATTTACTCTCGTAAATATCAAAACAATCCAAAAACAGCTGTAAACATAAATACAATCAAAACAGTTTTGTGAATTCACAATCGCATATTGAAAAGTTTGCCATTCGAATAAAATGAAATATTGAAATGTCTAGCAATGATCTTTTTTAAAATATTAAAGTGATAACTTACTGACCGATCATAAATATCTGCATGAGTTCTTCAAAAGCAATAATCAGTGTTTAAACACGTTCATACTTCAATTCTGCCTATGAATCTAATAATACGTAGTTTCTCTCATTTAAAATAAGGTAAATAAAATTTGAATACGAAATGAGAACAAACATTCGAAAATGCCGAAAATTTAAAAGAATTTAATTTTTGAATCTAACAAAATTATCATTGTGGGAAAATTTTCCAATTGCATTGAATGGTTAAAATTCTAGTCATAAGTATTGAGTAACTTCCTCGAATTGATAATTCTGATGCAAGCTTTTGTTGTGAATCATTGCTTAATTTGGGTTTCTAATAGATATCATTCTATGCTACAAATTATTTCGGTTACCTCCAACATACTTTTTTTCTAGCACAAAGATAAATGATAAGAACTGCATGGAGGTTTACATTTGAAATTGTGGAAAATTTATTCTATTTGTCTATTTGTTTCACTTCAATATGCGTAACTTATGTTTAGTTATCATTTGTCGATCGGAGTTTGTGACAATGCCTTTGACACAAAGTCTTGACAGAGTTGTTACCACTTACATCTTTTCACTCTCTCTCTCTCTCTCTCTTGACTTGACATTTTCTGAACACATACGAACGCATTTCTTTCAGAGCAGAAGAGAATGAAAGAACAAAAAAAAAGTTTTTCAAAACAGTTTACCAATTTTTCACTTCAGTTGATCATGAATAACGGTCGAAGATAGTCGCCCTATCCATAGTAGCAACAAGTTTTTTTAATAGTTTTTGACAACGAGAAACGTGCCTCCAAAAAAAAGTCACATAAATAAACTTGTTTTAAAGCGATTAATCTATTACTTAGCATATATTGGTATTTATAATTCATGGGCTGTTGTGTCTTGTTTTTTCTAAATTTATTAGATTGAACGGATTAGTAAATAGTTAAGGTAAAAAATCTATTAAATACATAATTGAAATTTCATTATTATTTGGTTGCATTTTATGATTTTGTGATTAAGTTTGCCAACTCATTTAAATAAGTTAACTTCTAAAAAAATCTCCGTCCTTAATTAGATATTTCTAAAACCACATAACGAGTGAAAATAAAATTGTGTCACCTCTGAAACTATTAAAGTATTAATACTTAGATATATGAATACATATGGAGGTTTAGTAACTTTATCGAATTATATTTATGTGGCAGTTACGTAAAAAAAATAATTTTTTGTTGCATTATACTTTCTACCTAGATAAATATTTCAATATTTCAAAGTTCATCGATCATAAATATTGTGAAATCCAAATTTTTACAAGACTGACATTATTTGACAACAAAAATAAATCATGGATCCTAAATTTGTGAATGTGCTGATATTGGGCTTTGGCTTCATGTGAGTATATCCGAATGTGTCTGCAGATAGAATTCTTTTCATCACTTCCTACTCATCAAATAGGTTCCTGTTTACTGCCTTCCAAACAATGGGAAATATCGAGGTGAGAAGAAATTTATCAATATAAATAAACATGATCATTAGTTAGAATTTTTTCCATCACATAAACACAATAAATTATAACGCACACATAATTTAATGAGCTTATGTGATGAGAGAAGTGATCAAGTGCAAACGATACATACACACATCCAAATTCATTGTTTTTCATTTATTTGATGCTGGATATTCAGCAACCTTGAAAAGAGACGACAAAGAAAGTGAAATATTTCCAGACTATTTATCAGCATGCATTACAATGCCGTTTAAATTTCATAAAACTTGTTTACTAAAATTGTGCATGAAGAAAAATTAACAATAAAAGTTAAAAAGAAAAAATTTGTGCAAAAGCTTCGTAATAAATAAATTTACATTGAAGTTTCCGTGCAAAAAAATTAACAGTGACAAGTTTATTGAAATATTGCAGGATTTAAAGATCTGAAAGTGGCATGAACTGAGGAGATGAGCTAAAAGATTTTTATTTTATTATCAACAGTCATAAAACTGCCAAATTTCATTTTTTTTATTTTACCTTTAAACAGTTGAATATCGAAATGCAAATTGCATAAAGATTTATTTATTTGTTTACAATAAAATGTTGCAAGTGTCATCTTTCAACCCGTTTTAATCCTCTTGTAATTATTGGTGGAAATTTGAGGATCCATAAAACGAAGATGCACAAATTGTTTTGCAAAAACTAACTTTTAGTTTATGAGATTGACCTAGTTTGAGCTTTTTGAAGAGTGCGAGAAGTATTTGGAGTGATATGAGCTTCTTGTCGATGATAACCTATTTTAATTATCACATTAAACGCTTGAAAGGCGCGTATAAGCCAAAGCGCAACATACAATCGACTCAAGACGTCATTTGTTAGTAATACAACCAGCACTCATCAATGATCGATTTGATATGTATCTGCGTCGTAACATCTCATTTAAATACTAATAAAAAACGAAACTTATCACTTGTCGAGTTCGTTGCCTCTCCATTTACTAAAGGAAAGACATATGAAATAAGTTTAAAGAAATATTAAAATATTTTTAAGTAAAATAAAGATAAACGAAACTAAAATTGAGGTCGTAGGATTTTGACAAAAAAAATAGTTTTAAGTTGTTTATCATGATAATTTGCTAACTATTGAGATAGATTTGTAAACATATATGCGAAAATATTGGAGAAAGCGTGAATTATCATTGCGAATTTTACTATTCATACAGAAAACAGTGCTTGACAGCATCCATGAAGATGATCCGACGTTCACAGGAGATGGATACATAAGCTTAGCCATTATTTATGCTGTTTTTGCTATTTGTAATTGGATAGCACCGCCTGTTATCGCATTAACAGGTCCAAGAATTGCCATGTTGATTGGTGCAGTTGCTTATTGGTAACACATAAATTATTTAATTAATTATTTACGTAAAAATTCGTCATCTTCTTCGCTTTCTTCTCAGCTCATTTATGATATCATTTTTATGGCCGAAAACATGGATTCTTTATGGTATGAGTGCTTTACTTGGAGTGGGCGCTGCAATCATTTGGACAGCTCAGGGATCATTTCTGTCCAAATGTAGCGACTCTTCCACCATATCTAGAAATTCAGGAATATTTTGGGCAATGTTACAAATGAGGTAACTTATAAATTAATATTTTAAATTACCGAACAGTTCACTGACCATTTTCATTAAACTTTTATTAGCATGTTTTTTGGAAATTTGTTTGTCTTCTTCCAATTTCAAGGGAAGAGTCACATCGATCAAACAACGAGAACGTTGGTGTTTTCCGTCCTCATAGGTGTTGGTGTTTTAGGTTTCTTCTTCCTGACAGCATTACGACCTATCCATGAGCAACGCGTTGTTGATGCTATTGAAGGAGATGTTGACGATGAACTTGATAATCCATCAAATGACGTGCGAGCTGCGTTCAGGAACTCTGTAAACTTGTTTTTTACAAAGGAAATGCTTCTTCTCAGTCTGACGTTTTTTTATACTGGTTAGTGGAATAGAAAAGTAACAAATCAAGGTAATGAAACGTCAATTTTTTGCAGGTCTTGAACTGTCGTTCTTCAGCGGAGTTTACTCACCAAGTATTGGATTCACTCAAGCCATTGGTGAATCTGCCAAACAACTTGTTGGCTTATCAGGAATTTTCATTGGAGTTGGTGAAGTTTCTGGTGGTGTCCTGTTTGGATTACTTGGAGCTAGAACATCAAATAAAATTGGACGCGATCCTATTGTGATTCTTGGATTTATCGTACATGTCATTGCATTCTTTTTTATCTTCTTGAACTTGCCAAATAATGCAAATCTAGGCGACACAACTGACATTGGTGAGACGAATATCATTGACCTTCAACGGATTATAAAAATTGTTAATGTATTCATACAAATCCCTTTCACTTTTCTCTTCTTTAATTACTTCAGCGTACTTGACCCCTCCACTACCATCTGTTGCCTTGTTATGTTCTTTCTTACTTGGATTTGGTGATTCCTGTTTCAACACACAAATTTATTCGATGCTTGGGGGAGTTTTTAAGAAAAGTTCCACAGAAGCTTTTTCGATTTTTAAATTTACACAGGTCAGTTTCATTTTTTGTGGTCATTTAAAAGAAATTTTCACAAGTTTAAATTTTCACAGTCTGTTGCTGCTGCATTAAGTTTCGTTTATTCAACACACTTGGGATTGAGACTTCAAATGGTCATCCTTGTAATAACGGGAACCATCGGCACAGTAGCCTTTTACACAGTCGAGTGGGCGGAACGGCGCAAACAAGCAACAAATGAAGAAATGATAAAATCTTCTTAAGTTTCGACCTACATGAAGTTCTCTGCTCAACATAGCAAAATATAAATTGTTGTATTTTTTTATGCCATTAAAATTTATTTTTATTCAATTGAAATTGGAACAAATATTTGGACACTTTTTAATTATTTGTTTCAGAAAGAAAAATGAAAGAAATTTATACAATCGCTAAAGCATTTGTCTGAGTTTCGTGGCTTAATTGTGTTTGAAGGTTTGACAATTTGTTCTTGAGGACTTGAACACCCATCAGAACAATATTTTCTGGTTTTAGGGCACCCGCAGACTCAACGTTGAAGAAAAATTTGTTAGGCTTTGCTTCCCAGTTGTATTCTGCTTCGTCTGAGTAAAGTTTTAACATTTTAATTGAATTCTACGAAATAAATAAAAATTTCACTTACAATGATCGTCGTCTAGCATGGAATGTTCGCTTTTGGGCCATTCATCAGGCTTTGGGAAAAGTGTATGCCGCATTTCATTATCTGGATCATATTCAAATGACACTCCTGCAGTTGGATTCCATTTTGCGTGCTCTTTCCCGAATCCTTTTTTTGCATAAGCGCGAAGTTTTAATTCCTGTCCTTGACGAAGTTTTACTATAAGAATTTCTTCAGTTTTTTCGCCATATTCGTTATCATCTTCATCACGATTACGGGCTGTAACAGGGAGAACGCGTGGATCACTGGAATTGAGATCAGCTGTAGTCACTAAACGCGTTTGCTCATCATTACACTTCACGTCCAACGTAAATTCGACACTGCATTCTGGACAGAAATCCACACAACCGCAGTCACGACTGTACATCATTCGATCAACTACTTCGTCAGATATTAAAGGAATTAGCCCGATGCGATGAGCTACAAATGAAAAAATTGTGAGAATTATGTTACCGGCTTATGAGCGAGGCTATGTTCACTTACCAATAAATTCATCAGCCAAAACTGTGGTATTTGATTCCAATTGAACCCAATCAATAGCGATCGTTGGAGTTTCTGCTATAAATATTCGTCTCAGACTATTTGCAACACTAAAATATCAAAAAACATAAACAATGATGTTTTGTTTCGAAATTTTCAATTTTACCTCAATTCTGTGTCCTCAACAATAAATTTTACATTATCGTTCGAGAGTTCAGTGATGCCTACGGATGGTTGATTTGCATAAGGCATTTTAAGACTGTTTAGATCGAGATTAAAGAATTAATAAAAACTGTGAAAAAATTGCTGCGAACTTTGTATTTGTTTGTGTGGTGTTTACTGCTACCTCGATTATTCTTAATCTAACCCCATTCGAAAGCTAATCTAACCCTAATCCCATATAACATAAAGGAAGAACATAATTTTTTAATTTGAAAATTGTACTAGATTTTTCAAAAATAAATTTTTATCGGGTAGTTTTTCCGTGGACTGGAAAACACGATTTTCATACAAAGAGATTCCGTGCGTTTAATATTTTCTCTGTGCGTGAGAATTGTACACTCTCCACCTGAAACTAGACTTTGGGGAGACGAGTTTCGGGTAGAAAGTGTAATTAGAACAATTTAATTGAATTTCTTAGCTATTTTTAATAATTTAAAGCTTGGAAATAGTTAAAGCTGTCCGCGAAAATGTTTTAACTCATGCTTAGCATAAAAAGATCTTCAAATGAATGTGATTACTGAATAAAAACTAAATAAGCATATAAATAATGTAAAATAATATTATTGCAAAATTTTTAACACAAGTAAAGTTAATAAAGAGAGCTAAAAGCTTGTCTAAAGATTCAGAAGTGACTCGATTCCTTTAGTAGAACAGAGCATTTTATTTTTGACTGTAAAAAAATTGAAAAAACAAAAAATTAAGTGGGAAATATATGTTTATATATATTTCAATTGTGGAAAAATAATAAAATATTTGTGTTGAATGCAAAACAGGCTTTCAAAGTCTTGAACTTCTTTTACTGAATGGATGAAACTGCGACAGGCATATTAACTCAGCCAACAAAGCTATCAATTCCTTTATTCCATAGCAATGATAAAACAAATGAAATAAAAAGCGAAGCATTAAATCTTGTTTTCAAATTGCAATCTTCGAATGAGTCATCAATATCAGCTGATATAAATTATGTCAAATGCACTGGCTCATCGACGCCCAAGAAATTAAGCCCATTGAATGAATTTTTGAAACCTCATAGTATTCTTTCGCAAAATAATTCATCAGAAAGCGATGATGATGATGATGAAAATTCTAAGAAAGATGAAATTAATTTATATCCGTTGACAAATCAAGTTGGTGGACACACACGACTATTATTGCTGAATGACAGAACAGTTATAAAACCTCTAAACGTTCGAGAATTGGAATTTTATCAAAACATTCCAGGCAACGATATTCAAGAGTTTGTTCCCAGCTATAAAGGTAAAAGCAACATAAGTTATGAACATGAATGAATGAATGAATTAATCTGAAGATATTTGAAGAAAAAGAAAGACTAAAGGAATTTCCTAAATTTTCGTCATTTTCTGTCAATGTATGAGTGAGACATAAATGAAAGTAATTGTGTGTAAAACTAAATGCAAACTCAAAAAGGAAAATCATTGATTTTCGCTTTCATTTCCACACAGAATAAAATTCATGACTTTAACCTTGACAAGTTTTTTCAACAAAACTCCAATAAATTGTTTTATGTTTGCTTTTCAGGAGTGATGCAAGCAACAACAGGTGAAACTTGGGAGAAAAGGTACAGCCCAAACTTTCGGGATGTTGATCCTTTAAAGCGCCAAAGTTCAACAAAACGAAAACGAGACGATGTTCTACGGTTAGTAGTCATGCTTAGTTTAAACATATTAATCATAAGATGCAATTAACAAAGGTTATTCACATATAATACAACAATGAGCACAAATATGTGTTTCCTTTGTTTCTTTCTTTCTTTCTCTCTCTTGTTTCTTATAATTTGCCACAATAAACTTTTTTTGAACTTTAGCACAGTTAATTGCTTCTTATAATGTTACAATCAATTAAGATAAATGATTTTCTCATCATTATATTTATTAATATTTAGTAATTGTATCTAATATCAAGTTTCAAGAAGAATGTCAATCCAATCAACTACAATGTTGCTTGAAGGTGTGCACAATTCACATTCATGAAGTTGTATTTGAATTTAAAATGATTTATCTCAGATGATGTTCTAACGGAGATTTTCAATTGACACTTAAGATTAAGTATATAATTTATCAATGACTTAAGCGTTCAACCACTCGCTTAAATTGGTCTGATAAGATTCTATTTTTAATTTTTTTTTTCTTTTCTGATATAGCAAATATCTTATCTTGAAATTGATAATGATTGTAAATTTTAAAATAACAATTTAATGTCTTGTTTGCACCAACAACATGTATTTAAGTTGTTGTATGAAACTATATATTTAGACATTTATTAATGACACTATTTATAAATCTTTTTTTGTATGAATTCTTGAAAGTCTAATGAGAAAGAAATTTTAATTCAACTTAGAATAAAGCACGCGCGATCTTATTGTCTTTGTAAATATGACTTAGTAACAAAACTCAAGTACTTTTATCACACGTGTTATTGTTTTATTTCTCAGCTAAGGTATGAACAAGGACTTTAAAAATATATCTACTTAGATATCCGGCGATCACATCAAAAATATGTTTTTCCAATACATTTTCTAATTGAGAATTCTCTTCTTGTCTCTATTTTTTACAGAATGAAAATCCATAAAAACGGAAATGCTTCGGAAGTTCTTAAAAGTATTTCGTCTTTAGACAACTCTAATAAGCAATGTTAGTATTACAGCTCCGAAAGTCGGCGATAATTTTCAACTCTTGTCAAATGTTACGATGAAAAGATCAGAGAGATGATGAGACGATAACTTCAAAGCTTATTCAAAATATCGACTTAGGCTTGATCATTTGACTAATTAATTTATTTCTTTCGAAATGAACAAATTCTCTTCATGTTTGTCTCTTCTTCCCATTGAAAAATTTCATACTGCTTGATATTATCTCTTCAAAACAACAACTTAATCCGTTTCTCACACACAAACTTTTGTTTTCTTGCCAATTGAATTCATTTCATTATGTTCATTTTTCATTTTAATATTTATTCATTTTTTATGAAAGTTCCTTCCTGATGATTCAGATAATTAAGCAACAAAGAAGAAGAAGAGGTTGGAGTGTTTTACATTTTATCACCTAATTAACATTTAAAATAACTTTTTTCAGATAAGAAGCCGATGAATGTTTGAATTTCTTCCTCTTGATCAACAATTTTACTCGTTTTTTTGTTTTCTATTCATGCGTTTTATCAATTAATACATTGTTTGTTTGCATATTAATTTTTGTTTCTTTGTTTATTTATTTTATCACATCATTCACTTCACTAGCTCAAATATTTAAGAATCATCATATTAATTTCCTAACTCATTCTTGTTTAACTTTGTTTTGTTTTTGGTAAGTTTGAAGCAGTGATGGAGTTGAGCTTGTTTAGCTTTTATTTACATTTTTAAATTCAAGCTCCATCACTGCACTGGTGTGAAATGAAAAAAAAAGATAATTTCTTGGATATCGTAAACAAAAACATCAGCTTTGATGAAAATAATGTATTCAAAGTGAGCTTGCTACGTAAAATGATAAAAACAGATCTTCAGACATATTTATTTTATTTACTTTGTTCCACATGTCATTAAGTAGTTTTACTTATTTTTTTTTTGCAAAACGACAAACAAACAGCAGTTATGCAAATAGATAGATAACAAATTTTGAGCGTAAAATAAATATATTTTCTTCTCGTGTTGTTCTCGTTATAGACTTCTTAATGTTGGAAAATATCACATCAAAGTTCCGCCAGCCTTGCATTTTGGATCTCAAGATGGGAACGAGACAACATGGAGACGATGCATCAGCTGAGAAGCGCTCAAAGCAAATGGCAAAATGTGCTGCTAGTACATCAGCGAGACTCGGTGTACGAATTTGTGGATTGCAGAAGTTTCTTATCGGAACAAATGAACCGATAAAACGAGACAAGTATTGGGGTCGCAAATTAACTGAGGCCGACTTTAAGAATGCGCTTCATGATTTTTTTCACAATGGCACACGCTTAAAGAGAAAAGTAATCGAAAAAGTTCTCTCAAGACTCGAGCAATTGCATAGTGTGATTGAAAAGCAATCAAGTTATCGATTTTATTCATGGTAAGTGCTGATAAGAACGAAAACGTTAAAATAATTATTAACTTTTGATAATCCAATTAAAATTTTAACAGCTCATTGCTTCTTGTGTACGAAGGAAAAGATGACATCGAAATTGAATCGGAAGCAAATGAAAATTTACTTGAACTTAACTCCAACAATTACGATGCTGACATTTCTAATTGTTCTACTGACATGAATTCATCTCTCAACACATACCGTCGATGTTTGTCAAATGAAGAAAATGATTTTGGAATTGGACATGACGACGAGTCAATCAGTTCGTGTACGAATGATGAAGAGTTTATAAAGAAAGAAGAGGGAATTTCTTGTAAAGGTCGTTTAGATCGTCCAGAATCTCTTCTTTCGATGGATTCTTGGTTGAATTATAGCAATAGCAGTGACGAGAGTAGATGCCAGAATTTTATCGACCATCAGAAAGGATCGAATTTGCTGTTAACTGACGATGAAACTGCACAAGATAAAGACGACGTTGATGTTTATGACAAAATTAATTTCGTCAATTCAAAATCTTTAGTTTCGTGTAAGAAATCGAAAATCGATCAGAAGAGAGATGAAAGCAACTTGAATCCGTTTCGCTTTCCAGCAAGTCAAAGCAAGGCAGCTATCTTTGAGGTGGGAACAAATAAATTTGGACATGAAACTGATGATGGCATTGAAGTTGAATTAGAAGGTGAAGAAGATGATCAACTTTCATCACTTAGCAGTACAATTGATACGATTATTGTGAGTGATTCGGGTGAAACAAAGTTTTTCAATTCTTCTGGAGAACAAGAAGATCATCCGAGCTCCAAGAAGAAAAAATCGATCAGAAATGATAAAGATGATAAAGGAGAAGTTAAAAAAAAAGAAACTCAAACAAAATTCTCACCGTTAGTTGATGTACGCATCATAGACTTTGCACATGCAGCGTTCAAATCAAAAAATTCGATGAAATTACTTCCAAAAATTGAGAGTGAAAAAATTCATCATGGGCCAGATGGCGGGTTCCTTACTGGCATTAAAAGCTTGAAAAATATTTTGTCGAAAATTATTGAAGAAGCAACATAAACGAATTCAATTAACGCTTCTTCTCAAAGTGTACAAAGTCATATTAAGTAAAGTTTCATTGAACTTATTTTTTTCTATTCTTCATAACCAATTGTTGAATGTTTTCAACAATTATTCATTTTTTCGATTTAGTTCATGTTGCCATTGATAATTTTTAGTTTTATTTCCCTTAATTTCCCGTGCGTGTGTGAATGTAAAACTGGTTGATTAAAGTTTAGCAGAGAAACAAATAAAAAGAATGACAAAGTATTTCAAGCGCCATGTCTCATTTGTTGATATTTTGTTTCACTTATTTCTTTTCTTTTGATTCTTCTTGACATCATTCTAATTAATGTATCGATATAGTTGAACTTGATATGTTTACAAAAACGAATTGTATGTTATGTTAAAATAAGAATGTGAATAGAATTAGGAAAGTAATGGATGAATAAAAATAAATTTCGAATCAATTAAGAATCATTTTCATTACCTTTGTCAACAACTTTAACATTTCTAATTGAAAAATTTTTTGTAATAATTTAACGGACTTTGAGAATTCAACATTTTGGTTTACATTCTCGAGCAATTCTTTTTTAAGTGAAACTCACAAATGTAAACAAGAAATTATGTCATGCGAATTAAACTCTAACAAGCTTTAATGATCATCTAAATTTTCTAGATATTCAAATTATAAAAACATTTCAGACAAATTGTCGACAGAAAAAATAATTTCTTGTTTATTCCTTTTCTTATTGCCAGTTGATTTCTTTCTTCTTTTTGTAATTCTTCACGGAACACGCTTTGATTGTAATTGACGTTTTCTTTTGGGTCATAAAGTAGCATTAAATAAAACTTTGAAAAAATTTCGAAAAATTAAAGTTTCTTTATTTTAAAAGAATCTTTTTTATCACGAAACAGTTTAAAAGTATTTTTAATTGAAAGAAATCAATTTTGGCACCGTAACATCGCCACTTAATGGAAGATCGTCGTCGTCAGTGTCGTTTTCATCAACGCATTTACTGTTAACACTTTCAATGTCTCTCTTCTCGATTGGGGTTGATGATTCTACAGGAAGTTCTTCATTTGATATTTCAGATGATCCTTCAAATAATCTCTCAAGAGTTTCATCATTTTGTGAAACTTCCTCATCATCCAAAGGATTTTCCGAACGTTTTCTAAGACCAAAATGATAAACAACTCCAAAGAAAGTTATTGCAATGCCAACAATCAAACCAGCTAAACTATAAAAAAGAAAATATGACGCATTTTTATCAACATGGCACTTGTGGTTTTCTGTCCAATCAAATCGAATTTTATCCATCTGAAAAGTGATAAGAAAATTAAAGTTAAATTTCAAATGAGTCATCTTTTTCGACTTACTTTGTCTTCGATGTCAAAGCATATTTTATTTTCTGAAGATTCTCGAATTTGTTCATAGAAACTGTTGACGATTTGATAGTATTTCTGACAATTGTTGCATGTGACGCTATTGTTTGATCCATTTTTGTATTCAGTATTAATACATTCCTTGTATTTATCTTGAAAATCGAAAAATTCTTCAGTTTTTCGACTAAAATTATGTTTAAATCCTGTTGCTTCATTGTAACAATTGTCACAATTAGATGACTCCCATATTGACTTGACATAGCTTACTACACTATCTATCACGTTCATTCTGTTCTGCCTGAGAAGTGCATCAGCACACAATGAGTTTCTGGTGTGATTATCATGGACGATGAAAAGTCTTTCATAGTATTTTAGTGTTAATCGATGTGATTCGTACGTACAGTTGTTGGTACAAATTGCATAAGGATTGTTATTCATAATTGCATGTTCAAGAAAAGACCCAGTGCATATTTGAATTTTATTTCTTAAACTCATGCAATCAATCGGATCAATTTTTGACTCCTTACAATCGCTGGAAAAAAAATTAACAAAATTCGAACGTTCAACAAAATTTGCTTTTGATCTAATAAAATAACTTACCAGTCTTCATCTTTAACACATTCACAAGATGATGTTAAAAACAGAATTAAAATTAAACAAAGTTTTATAATCTTCCTCATTTTAAATTACAAAAATTTTTGAAATATGCCGCCGATCGTACTGCAAAACAAAGCGCAAGTAAAAATTTTAGTACCTAATCTAAAGTGAACCGGCTCTACAAAAATTCAAATGAGTGAAAGCTTTTGTGAAAGCTTATTATGAAAACCGTTAGGCTTTTGCAACCACAAGAAAAATTAATTTCCTTTCATATTTTTTCAAAAAATAAATTATTAATAAAAATATTATATTCAGTGGAATAAAATCACCTGTTGATATATTTAAAACCTTTCTTTAATAATAAGTAAATTCATGAAAATATATCCGATTTTATGCCGAGGGAGGTGGAAAAAAGTTTAATTCTAGACGCGTTGACCTTGAATCGTTGTTGGACATGGACATTAGCATAATAAAAGAAAGTTGAAACGTGTAGCTTCGACAACTGCTTTTCCATTTGGTATAAATCAACAGCGTTTAAATATATTAATATGTCTACCTATAATGAATTCAGAAATTATTTCTTTTTGGGAAATATTAGTGCGTAAGTAAGCACTAAGAAAATGTATGTTTACAAATTAGGAAAAATAATTTTCTAACTTTATTTTGAAGTAGATAAAAGACACTGTGACTAGACTGGACGACGCCAATCTTGCGAGCCTGCTTAGAAATATTTTCTATACTCTGACAGTCGCAGTTAAATCACCAAAGCAGGAGCAAGTGTTTTTATATTCGGTGCTGACGGAATAGTAAGTTTGAATTTGCGTGACTGCCTCCAAATTCGTTGACCACTGAAGAAAGTAATTTATATAAAAAATGTGTAAAATCGATTTCAATATACTCAAGGCGAACATTCGTCTCAAGCTTGAAAGCTTTGGGATAGTTGTGGCTATAATAAATTTAATTATTGTAATTGCTGCTACAATATTTTCTATCCTTCGCCTTATTCATGGTGTAATAAGGCATGGTAATGGTAAATCATAGACAATCGATTTAATTTATACGTGTTACAATTTTTTCCTTGTTTTTCAGATGCATTTATTGTTGGCATTTGTTTCTTTGTCTTTGTTATAATTTTCCTCGTGGCTTTTGTATCATTTCAACTGATTGATGGAGTTGGTCCGGTAAGAAAAATCTATTTGTGTCTCTTATAAAAGAAAAAGTTCTAAATGAAAAATTGTTTTTAGCAGAGTAAGGACAATATCATCTGGTTTAAAAACTTTTGTTTATTAAATGTCATATCCTGTGTTATGATGATAACCGTAAGTTTATACAAACCCCCAATCGAACCACCCAAAGAAAAAGCAGAGAAAGGTGTCATTGTTGTTATATCCTTTGTTATATTTTTGGTTTCAATTTACATCATCTTTTGTTTCTACTCACTCTACGTGAAGTTTCGTGAAGATAGAGTTCATAAGGTGGACAGTAGATCGTCATCATTGGCAGGTTAATGGACTTGTTTTGTGACATGATAGCAAATTGTTTTAGAATGAAAAAAGATATAAATTATTGAAATGTGAACAAGTTAATTAATTTAACCAAATTTCTCTCAGGAATTATATTGAACTTAGCTCAATTTCCTCAATCTACCCCATACATAAATAATATGTTCTGTTTTATCAGCAGAGATAAATTATAATTAGATGAATATTTACACATGCTCCAATTAGTGTTTAATTAAGAGTAATATGCCTTTGAATTTTAAATGTGTGACATCTGAAAACAAGCTTGAAAATGTTATTCTTGCTCAACAATATTTTCAAAATAAAAATATCTAATTAAGTCAATTTAATTGCCGTCATAAAAATCATTCTATGGAGGTGGAACAAAAACCTTTACTTTTATTTACAGTTTCATTACTACCTACCAAAACGATACATCATTACGTATGAAGCAATATAAGTAAATGGAAATCATTTCATTTCGTACAATGTTGGTCCTTTAAATTTAATATTAATGCTGAATCAACGTAGATATGATGTCCTGGATTAATGATTTCTTTTAAATAAATAAACATGGAATGATTCAACGCTGTTGTTGTTGACTTGAACATTTCTGTTCATATGTCAACAATTATTCATAATAAATAATTCAATATTTTTGTTAATATTATGTTTGCCTTGCTTGCTCATACAGATGCATAGAAATATGTTCACAATTACTTAAATTTTATTGAAGCTTTCAAGATAATTCCGTCATATAAATTTTGATGTGTGTCTTGCGATCATTTAGAGTTCATTTCATTTCAAGGAGAGTCAATAAACTTCATCATGAACTGAATATATTAAAAAACTGTTAATGACTGTTTGAACCGAAGTTAAGGTAAATCCTTATGTGTGTTCAATCAGTTACGAATAATTAGGTTTCCCAAAAAGGATAAAGGAAAATCGATTTATTTCATTTTTTGCTTCATACTATCATGAACGTTGAGAAATCCTTTCATTAAAGAGACAAAAGTTCACTTCCATTTCCAAAACAAAAAACTTGTCAGTCTAATTTTTTTAAAACAGATGATTTGGAAAACTGGAAGCTTTTGCAGCACGATGGAATGAAACACTGACAACGTTAAAATCTTAAATAAAATTACATTAAAAAAATCTAGGTAGTAGCAAAGTTGTTGAATAATAAATAAAAAATTAATTGCATAAATCGATAAGATTTTCTTCTCAGAAATCTTGGCAATCTGACGCGGAAAATTCGGAGTATGTTTGAAGAAAACCATGACGAAAGCTTTATAAATAGTTAATATGTTTCTTCATTAAAGTTTCTATCTACCCTTTCCGATCATATTCGAAGGAAGCCAAGTAAAGGAAACTTAAAACTTTATCAAAACCAGGAAGCTCATTGTTGAACCTAAAGAATTTAAGCTTCCTACGTTAAAACGTTTCAGACCAGAAATGAAACGAAGAATTTCCGGATGGATGGTTAGAATAATAGCAGAAAATAGTACGAAGCTTATGAACTTTGAACTTATTTTATTTTTTCGCATAGTGAAAATGAAAATAAATATGCATGGAAAAGGCGAGAATAGATAGAACATGCAGAAACTATCTTGACTCTATTAAATTTAGAATATCCCTGAATAAAAGCTTATTCGGCTTTATGTAAATTGTTAAGTTTAAATGAAAAAAAAATTCTTACGACGACGTTTCAAAATTTTCAAGTTCATTTGCATAATATTTTTTAGATCCAAAAGGATTTGAAACTCGGTTTCGGTCTTTATCTACATAAATCTCAGCATGAGAGAAAAAAAGTTGGTCTAACTTTTCGTAATAGTTTTCATCCTTCTGAGATAAAGTTGTTATCCACTTTTCGTCATTTATTTTGAATTCTATTATTGTATATAAAGCACTCATAATTAAAATCTTTATTTATACAACTACATATTAGATATTTCACTTCAAAGATTTATCCATTAAATTTTAATATCGTTGCTACACGTGTAGTCTAATTATGGAAAAGCTAAGCAACTTCTCTCTCATTCATTTGATAAAGATTTGATTTATTTGAAATAAAAAGCTCCAAAATTATGAAAATATCTAATTCATTTCTAAATGATTAAAACTTTTTAAGCATCTTTTCAAAAAAAAGAGTAAATTTTCCAATGGAATTTGTTAAAACATTGAAAAACTTCGCATGAAAATTATTTCATGATAAAAATACTTTCACTTAGTTTCAGTGAAAAATACATTCAAGCTTCAAGTGTTTTACATTTTCTCTTGATAAAAGTTTTCTTAAATTTTTGTTTCTGCGCTGTAAACAATAATTAAATTCCTCTGTTGGTGTCCAACGGAACATAAAAAGAATTTCGCGCACAAGGTGTCAAGAACAGTGATAACAACAAGAGCCAAGAATCGTGTGATAAAAATGAGGTTGAATTCCGAAAGACAGTTACTGTTTTATGAATTTAAGCTTTTATTATTATTAGTACAATTAGGTGCTTTATTTTCCAAGCTTTATTTACAAAAATGTTGAATATTCATCATTCGGTTTCTATAGCAACCGTTGCTACATCAGCCGAGATGAATTCTTTTATAATAAATGATATTAAATATCAAAGAATAAATAAAGGAAGCCTAAAAAACGAACTCCATCATTTCCTTCAACACAGCTACACCATAATTGACTGATATAATATTAAAATTAATAAAAAAAACGTCAAGCAAATTGACATATTGTAAATATTTCTTTATTAAGTCATATTTTACATCGTTGAAAGTTTCAGTTCAAATGTGAGCAATGTTAGTTTATTCAGTCATGTGTTGCTTATGTAATATGCTTCCATGAACATGAATCACAAAAATATATATCGAAGTATGATTCCGAGTCGCTGCTTCATTCTTTGTTCAAACCATGTATGAATTTTTTTATTGATTTTTCTATTCTATTCAATATTTAACTTCTCTCACATGATAAGGGTGAAATTGTTATTTCTTTTCTGTATAAAATAAATAAAATGAGAATTATATAATGGAATTGAGCTTGTGCTTATCAGTTACGAACGATTTCTCCAATATATTTACTAAAGGTTTTGGCAAGTAACAATGAATATCCAGCAGAAAAAGATAACAAAACAAAACATGACAGCAGAAAAAGCTTAACTTGTCTCACTACTTTTATTTTTATCGCTCATTGTAAGTCAGATGTGCTATCAATTAATCAAAATTAACAAGCTTCTGGTGTCTTCAATCATATTAATAAAAGAAATTTGCAACTATGTCACGAAAGTTTGATATCAATTAGTCTAGTCTCATCAGTAACCAGTTTGTTACTTTTATTTGTTATTTGAAATGAAATTTCGAGTTACTTGACCCAAAGTATTTCAACAGATTCTGTTCAATTAAACTCTGTCAACCCAAGATTAAATTGAACACATTTGTTGCTCTTTCATAATATGTAGAAGAAGTTTTATTAATCTCAAGAGTTGTTAGATGAATTGTTTTTTAAGATTCTCGCCGCCATCACTTATTTAGTTTAAAGAATTTACGTAACTCAAAAGTCCCATTAGACACGTTGTTGATGATGCATCCCTAAAGCAATTTGCTCCATATTCTTGTTATGTTACATTTTACCGATTATGATGATTGATTGAAGTTAGGGTTGGTTTGAAGCTGGGCTATATTTTACTTCAGATTTCTCTTTTATTCCGTTTAATGATCTGAAAAAAAAAGAAACCATGTGGTAATCTACCCATCTCAATGAAATTGAACTTGAAGCTTCATTTGATAAGTAGAAGTTTGTTGAGAAAAAAGAAACTCTTTAGCACTTTATCTTACTTGTCTTTCAAAAAGAAGTGAAGTATGTGGAGAGAGTTTCATCAAATGAATTGCTCGATATCTTCTAAGAAGGAAAATAAAACTTTTTCTCACTTCATTTTGAAACATGAGGAATGCATTGTGAAAAATTCACTAAGATTTATTAACAAAAACACGAAGCATTTTAAATATTTTGTATCTATTCATGTGAATTGATGGTGACTTGTATTAAATGTCATTCCAATCATTTATGTAGCATGTTCCAAAGACACACGAGTAGCTCTACTCCTTCTGAAAAATGAGACGAGAAAATTGCAAATAATTAATCATCAGTAATGCTACATCCTGAGATACATTCTGTTCCCAAGTGCTATACGTACAAAAGCGTATAACATTTCTCATCATCGCATAAGTAAACTCATCGACTTCATGGTTGGGATAATGGAAAAAGAAAAATATTTTCTTCCTGGAAGATTAAATAAAATTTTCAAACGAGCTCAGGGAACATCAATAAATATTTGAACAGCAATCGAGATTATTCTGGGAACGAAGTAGAAGCAGATTTTCTTAACCTTCTGAAAGAAGCCGAAGAGATATTTTTAAAGTTTCCAGTTCTAGTATCAGTATGAATTTTTTTTAAAAACTCTTCACTTCCTTTTAACTCTCAAGCACCATTGAAAAAGCTTTTCAAAACTTTTAATTACATCTTAATGATTTGGTTTTCCTTTTTGTTCATTTCATGTAAAATTCTTTTAGGTTGAACACAAAAACTTTCCTCGAAATAAAATTTAGACCACAAATAGAAAAAATCCCTTATATAAATGTTACAATGCCGAACAAAGCTCCGAGCCACATGATGATGAATTTAAATGAGAAGAATGGTCAGATTTTACAACATTATGTAAAGTGCTTTAATCCGTTTTCGTTTTTTTATGGTAATCTCGTGTTCACGGGTTTGATTTTTTTACCCCATACTCGAGACGGGCTAAACGAATCATCATTGATACATCTGGTTTTTTACTCGTATGTGCTTACATAGATTTATGTAATTTATTATTACGTCGGGAAACATGTGCGTCAACCATGAACCAAATGCTTTTGTATTCCTTGACTTTATCTCTGAATTTTTCCGATGAAACATAAAAACAACTTCAAAATATCTCTTACTCATTCTTCGAGGAAACAAAAAATAACAACATTGGAGTATCGCTTATGAAGATTTATGACTTTTTCATGGCTCGAGATTATAACGAACAAAAAGCCTTTTTTTTCTTCATATTAATCCACGATTTTGTAGACAGGAAGAATATTTTTGTTTCTCTTTTGTCTCAAGGATGTTTCATTTCATAATTGTCTAAGCAAAAGATTTTTTTGTAATGAAAGTATCAAAAGAAATCTCGTTAAAATTAATAAATTCATTCATTTCTTTAATTTTATTCAATTACCTAGGAAATGCTTTAAAAAGCGAAATCAGCGAATGTGTCAATGTTTCATCTCAATGTTTTCCAATGTTTCATGGAAAATTAAAACATTCGAATAAGGACTTTTCAATGCTTTTCATGAAAGCTCGTTTCAGTTTGTTTCATAAACTCAATTCGTGTGCACCATTTCAAAATTCCTTGGGAATATTTTTGATATTATAGAGGAAAACTAATAATATTGTGTTCGGTAATTCAAAAAAAAAAAAAAATAAAATAAAGCTTTCTCGGTGAAATTTCTTCGATCGAAAGTGAACATTGAAATTTTCAATTGTAAAATTGGAAGATAATTCTCAAGTGATATTAAAAAAAATGAATGTTGTTACATAAATCAATTCATCTCTTCGCAGAAGATGCCCTTTTTTTATTCCATCCCAACTTAAGGGCTTTGTGTAGCGGAAATTTAAGTGACGTTCTCTGAAAAAACATCGTACTGAATTACATTACGAGCTCAAGCTTGACGATGTCACAATTTTCTAACTCCATGTTACCATGACGACACATATCCTATTACATGCTATTAGAAGTAAAATAGGCAAAACAAAATGACATCAAGATATTTCACGTACCAAAAAACGACCAAGCAGACACAACGTTTTACTTGTGTTACGGAAAAGAGTGGAATCGTTTTCAATAATAAAATCAATATCTGAATGCTCAGATTTCTCGTTGAAATAAGAATAACTTTGAATAAAAAATTTAATTGATTTTGATTTAAGCTCGTCACAAACACTCGAACACATGTTTTATTGTTATCGTTTGGATAAGAAATGTAATTTGTTTACATAGATATATCCAAGTTTCCTCATTCCATGACGTTGCAAATTTATCATGTCAATTCGTTTTATTCAACAAAACGATTGATAAGAACTTTTCTAAGCCGCCATCTTCAAAGCCAAAAAAGCAGAGAACGTGATAGAAAGATTGATTTTTCTCATGTTTTGTCAAGACGAAAAGAAAAATTACTTTTCCCAAATAATTTTACTTTTTCTTCTTTGATAAAATTAATGAAGTTGTGGAAACTTTTTCATTTCAACTCCAAATTACTTTCCAATCAATTTATATTACAAAATAAAAAAAAAACTGTCAAACAAAATAAGATTAAATGGTTAACTTTCCATGATCGATTAGATAATGATTTTTCTCAAAATAAACTTAATTTCTCACACTTTTTCCATCCAAAATTGATTAATGGTCAACCCAGAAATGTAAATAACTTACCTTGATTTTTCACAATGAGATGCTAAAGAGGGAAGTTTAATTTGATAAATTTTCTTTGACGTAGATTCCCCTACCTACACCCAAATTATCTCTTTAATTTGAGTTTAACTTTCAAGCCGTGACGTTAACGTTTGAAGACTGTAATATAAATAAAATATCCATAAAAAGAAGAGTAAAAGATATAAATAAGGCAAAGTTACGGGTAGATGGAATATTTATCTATGAAGCAATGATAATTATCTATGAAGCGATGTAATTACATCAGAAGGGCAATTTAATTTAATTATGCTAATAAGTGAATGTTCTTTTCTGAGACCATTCGGTCGTTTCAATATTTATTTAAAACTTGGAGGATTTCTTCAGCTTTAAACTTTCTCGTGAAGTGTATGAGAATACTGCAAAAATAAATAATAAAAATAAATTATTTCCGAGAAACATTATGAAACGTGGTTGTAAAATATTGTTCTTTAAAAGCCACAATTAAATTTTTCCACGAAAACTAAAGTCATCAATGTTGAATATTTACATTATTCGACAGTTTCTATGGTTTTGGAACATGATATAAGCTCATTTTCCACCAGTTTATTCGCATATGCTTCTGCATTGTTTACAGAAAGGTTTCGTGTCTAGAAAGACAATAAAATGAAATGACAATGTGAGAAAACAAAGTGCTAACTCTCCATATTTGAAAACAACTGTCCTAACATGAATAAAATTCTTTTCCATCGATTTTTTTCCTTTTTCCTGTTTAGATATTGCAAGAATGAAAGCTAAAAATGTTTTTTCCTTTTTTCCATTCATCCGAGGCTAAATGAAATATTTATTTATCATGTACTATGACTTAATGTTTTGTCGATGGGAAGTAACACGATTTTCAGAGGAAAAAATGATGGGATAGATATTAAAGGGAAATCAAAGATGTTTGTACACGTGAAAGGAAATACTTAAGGAAATGCTTGGAAAAATCGATGATGATATTTTTCATTGTTTTGACATTGTTTTGTTCCTTTCCATTCACATATATTCATCCGCATGACTTAACTGATAACTGCCATACACAAACATATTGATCAGTCAAGAATTGGAAGTGTAATCGATGAGAAGCAATTGCTTTTGTAATTTTTATTCTCATTGCAATAGGAAAGTTATTTTATTGAAACTACGGAAATTCTCGAGTTCTGATGATCAGTAAGGTTTTGTTTTAAATAAAAGTTCATTTGAGTTCAATAATCTATATTTTAAAGAGTAAAAAAAAGTTTTCTTATCAGACTTTAATGTATTTATTAATGGATCAGAATAAATTGTGCTGCGGATGAGTGATTAAATTATTTTTTAAATGTTCGCTACCATGAACATTTGCTTCGCTTTTAATTGCAAGTTCAGTGAAACGTCTGAAAGAACAACATCCATTTCAAAGCGATTTTATTAGATATCAAATATATTTGAATTATCCTTCAAGTCACTTCCAAGAAATTAAAGCTTGGAGATAATTTCAAAAAGCAAGCAAGCAAATTTAAACAAAAACCTTTTATAATTTCAGATAATAAACAAAACTAATTCCTCTGAAAATGAACTAAAAGAAGACAAAAAAAAATTAAACAATTAAAATTCTAGATCAACAAAACATTTCGTGGACAAAGTGAAGAAAAGAATCAGAAAATGAAAGTGACATTAAAATGCTGTGACAATTGTAAACTCAATTAAAGCAAATGACATGCTATATATGCAAAGACTTAATTAAATTTAGATAAAATTTTACTCATAAAAGAAAAAGAGAAATTGTTTGTTTGTTATGATGAAGGCTGTCTTCAGGAAATTGTTCAAAAGCTCAAATAAAGATAAAGTAGCTGTAGCAGGCACCAACAACAGTAACAAAGAACAAGATGGAAAAAATAATAAAAACGTCAACGACAGCCCATCGAAACGAATCAAATGGTAAGATTGAAAATAAAATTATCACAAAGTATTGCTGACAAACAAATAAATTTCTTTAATAAATAATAAAAAGGAAAATATTAAATTTCCAAGGAAAATCTTTAGAAAAGTAATTTTTCCTGTTTTTCATTTTCATTGTTCATTTTCATTGCGCATTTCCTTGATTCATAATTAATGTGACAGCACAAACAGTCGTACTTAAATTTTATATTTATGCTTCTTTGTTATCCGCTGTCCTTAACGATTCTTCTGGGATCATTATATGTACGATACAAAGTATGTTCTATTTATTTAACACATTATGTTTGAAATTCTCTAAAACCAGATGGCAACAAATGAAACAAAATGAAAATTTTGTTGCTTATTTGATCAGATGAAAAGTAAAATAATTTTGATTATTATCAGCAATTCCATGGTTGTGTTTAGATTCTAAACATGCACTGAAGCTTAAAATTATGTCGTTGTTACGACTTTAAACGCTTTAGTATCCACATTCCGTTGTCGCTCATTATTTTTCCGAGTAAAGGATGTGTGTACATAAAATATGCTTGCAACATGATGAGAATTGAATTATAAAATCATAAACATGCATACTTATATATCATAACACCGTCTCATTATTTGCATGTCTGCTTTCATAAACACTTTTGGGCCGGAAGGAAAATCTTATATAAAAGTCTTTTGTGATTTACCGAAGTGGAAAACAGTAAAAGGTTTCACATCTGCATTAAAAAACATTTTTGCAAGAAAGTGCCTTGAGGTCATTAAGTAGATTATGTGAAAACAATTTTCGCTTGATATTAATTTTCTGTCAAATTTTGTTTCATATTAAACAGAAACAAATTCAATTAATGGAATTGTAAATTAAACAATTTTATGAGTTATCACATGTACACTCACTCACTCAATACGGTTATTGTTTGTATAAATGGAACATCAGTCTCATTAATTTTAATCAGCAAACGAGCGTAAAATATTGCGTCATTAACATTAATCACTTTTAATCTCATGCGGTCGTCATCACGTCGGGTTTTAAATTGTGGTTTTATCCTTTTTTTCTCTTGTTCTATATTTTCAGTAGCACAATTGCGCCAAATAACAGCAGTAAATCGAAGCTTCCAATTGTACCCAAAATTGACACAACTATCCGAGCCAAGCGATTGATGAAAGAATTTCGAGAACTTCAGAAATCAAAAAACGATCGAAATGAGAAATTTTTTTCGGTAAGAAGAAATTTGATGTGAAATGTGACAAAAGTTTTCAATTATTGACTTTTCAGGCTGAATTAATTAACGATAACTTATTCGAATGGCATGTTCGCCTTTATCATCTTGATCCCGAATCACCATTGGCACAAGATATGGAAGAGCTCAACGTCCCTTGCATTCTTCTTCATCTGATTTTTCCCGATAATTTTCCATTTGCACCGCCATTTATGCGAGTCGTTGAGCCAAGGATTGAGAAAGGTTTCGTCATGGAAGGTGGCGCTATTTGTATGGAATTGTTAACACCAAGAGGTGAGTTGTTTTCTCATTCTATTTTCAGTTCTTAACTCACAAACTGTTATGACATAGGTTGGGCTTCAGCATACACAATCGAAGCAATTCTAATGCAATTTGCCGCCAGTTTAGTCAAAGGTCAAGGAAGAATTTGTCGAAAAACAAAAGTCAATAAGGAGTTCAACCGAAGAACAGCAGAAGAAGCTTTCCGTTCACTTGTCAAAACTCATGATAAATATGGCTGGATAACTCCGTCATTATCAGATGGCTAAAATGGCAAATCATTTTATTTTTCCCCTCTCTGTCGCTCTTTCATTTCAAGATTATCGACCCAGAAGAAGACACAGACATTACAAAAGAAGAAATATTATATCCATAGATTGAGTTCATAAAAATATGATTTGACACGTGTTGTTGTGCTTCTAAAAATAAATCAAAATCAATATATTTCCGATCTTAATTTTATTTTTTTATCGTTTTAAACGGATGATGCGACATCATCATTCTATGAGTTTTCGCCTTTTTCATGACAAAAGAACAAACAAAATATTGAAGTTTGTTATGTATAAAGAAAAATTCCGGTTAGAGATGAAGCGAAGAGAAATCTTTTAATCTTCTTAATCTACCCATCAACAGCTTCAATTCAAGCAACTCGATGTCAAAACTTATCGTCAATGAATATTAAATGATATAGAAAACAATCCTTCGGTGATTAAACTCTGAAAAGGCACTTCATGGATGAATCAGAAGACAGAGTCGAGTCACAGAAAATTAAATTAAAAAACAATTCAATGCAAAGAATTGAATTAGAAATAACTCAGTTTCTCGGTCTGGTCGTCTTTTATCCTCGAACAATTATTTGTTGTCAAGAAGAACTTTTATTTCCTGAGACATTGATAACTTTTGACTTTCATCTTATGAAATAAAAGTTTCTCGATATCTTACGATGACATTAGATGTTCTCACATTTAGGATAAAAAGTTGTCGATGAGAATCCTCTGGTGAGTCGAAGGTTCTTAAGGCAATGTTCTCTTACCGATCATAAATAATTCGAAAAGAAAAGTTTTCTCCTTGGATATCTTGAAAAATATTATTTGCTCAACAAGGAAATGTTTAACTTTTTCAAAGCTCGTTTGAATTGTTTCATATGTGGGAAGTTTGCTTAATGTCCCTAAGGCCAATGCCATTTATTTACATTTAGAACATTTTTCGAGAAATCACATGATATAATCTTAGGATAAATTAAATTTAATTGATTTTATGCTCATTGCAAAAGATTTTATGCTCATTCCAAAGATTTTATTAATAACAATTGTTGATAATAAAAGTAAAAATATATCTAGACATAAAACATAATTGTAAAAATAATTTCCAAACGAGCCAAACCTCCACGATTTGATATTTATCATCGATATAGTATATATTGTACTGGAAATAAACAAAATCTTAAATGAAGCCTCAAGTATTTTATTTTAAAAGACTTATTTCTATTTTCAGTTTTCAGCTAATATTTAGACGACATTTAATAAATAATTTAAGCTGTATAAATTAAGCTGCATTGAAAATTAATCCCTTTGATGAGATATTAATAAATACCTATCTACAAAAATTTAAGAAACGTTGAAATAAAAATTTAATTCAACCTGAACGTGAATTTATTTACAATGATTATTTCTAGAATTTCCATGAAACTATCAATGTTTCAATAAATAAAAACATCTGAATATTGACATGAATATAAATTAACTGTAACTGTCGTACTTTTAATCAAATAGGAATTTATAAACTAAATAGATTTTTTTAAAAATATCACATATTGTGATTCTATGTTAGCTACAGCAATAAAAATTCACTGAATGGAAATTTTAATTATTTAAGCTCGAAATCTTCTGCATTAAATGTATGTTGATTTCATTTTTCGATAGATTTTCTTGGGAGAGTATTCAATAGGTCTTACCATATTGAATATTTTCCGTCCGATTGGAAGATCGGGAAGATTATCGCGATCCCGAAACCTGGTGTCGATGTTTCTTGTATTATTTCTATTTTTACTTTTTAAATTTTAATTTGTTTTTTTTTTAGCTTAGTTTAGGTTTAGAATTAGGTTTAAGTTTGTTTTAGATGTTATTTTACTACGCAAGTATTAGTAAGGTTTTTCAGAATTTTCCTTACATTCATTGCATAATTTTCGCAAGACACATCATTCATTTACACATCAGAAATTTCCAGTGATAAGATAGGTTTAAAATCGTTAGATTAATACCTAGTCATTCCATTTTGTGATATGTAGAGACATAATCAAGCAAGGCAATAAATCGAGATTTTTAAAACTAAAAAAACTAAAACTGATTTCATTTCGCAGTGGGTGTAACTCTCGTTTTTTTCATGCTGTGATATCGAAAGAGAAGTCAAATTGCGTCATAAATTTTTTCTGTTTTCTTGATAAAAAAATGTATACCTAAATTGTGAGATTGATCAAATATCTAAAAGGTTAAATTCACATTCATTTTTTTTTATTTATTTACTTTAGATTATTTTATTTCAAGAATTTTGACCTTTATGTTTTATTCAAGAGCTCAAGAGTCATACTGCTGCTTTATCAACTTTTCTCGAATTACAAAGTTTTATTAAATTTTCAATTGTTATTCCACTCTTCGTTTTCTTCTTTGTAAATTGATAAATATCGCTAAAGGTTTAAATCCTTTTTGGCAGAAATGTTAACAATCTTCTTTCAAAAGTTTCGAGTCAGCTAAGTAATTAGTATTTAATTTACTGTGGAAATTATAGTGAATTGAATAAATGAGAAGGCAATAATTTAATCCTTCTTGTTATCTTCTTGCTACGATAATGACGTAAGTAATCTCATTTATAAATTTAATAAAATTAAAGAATAATCATATAAAATACTCATGGAGTATAAACATAATATCTAACCTGTGCAGTTAAACAAATTTCCTAATTGAGGAAATATCTCTCACCAGTATTTATTGGTCAGAGAATTTTGACTTTTCTAAAAACTGCTTCTTAAATTTACCCGCCATTATCTATTTGAAATATTTCTCAATTCTTCTCACAGATGGAGTATTTCGAACTTTCGATATTGGCTTCAATAATTAATGTCACAACAATATTGATCATTTGAATTAATAACAAATTGTTTGAAGGATACATTATGATTTTGCCTTTCGAAATATTAATTATACTTTTTCTTATGTTCACTTTATTCATAAAAATAACCTCAGAAATTAATGATCAAATGAAAGCGTAACTTGTTAGGTATTTCATAAAATTTAATAAAATTCCTAAATAGCAGTTCCTTTATAGCATAGAAGACTGTTGAAATATTTCAAATAGAATTTAACAGACTGAATCAAATAGGTTTTCATTTATGCTCATAGATCTCGTCGACATTCATATTTATTTCCTTAAAAACATTAATCAACTTTTAATGTTCTATCAAGAATATTCTTGATATTCGACTGACTGTTTAATTAAATGACCTTACGCCTATTCATTTTCTACTTTCATCGACATAAAATATTTTCTGACGTTACTGACGCACAAAAGGGGGCTAAGAAGTTTATATTTTCCGAAAAAGATTTTATTTTTCGAAACCACCACAGAGCAACCGAGAGGTTTATCAAAAATCATTAGTTTTTCAGTCTCTTTTGTACGCAGATCATCAAGTTTCTTTCACGAATGAAGCTTGAAGAGTTCATTAATTAATATTTGCTGTTCAGTTCCATTGTTTAAGTTTATATTAAGACTGAAAGTGAAAAGAAACTTTTTGTGAGAAGACTAAAAATATCCACAAATGGATAATGAATCAAAAATTATATTGAAAAAATGTTCATCACTTAACAATCTTCAGCTTCAGAACAATCAGCAAATGTCAATGAGTCCAACACCAACAGTAAACAGTCCCGTACAAAGGTAAAAATTAATTTATTTTGATTATTTAACCACAAATATAAAAATCAATTTTCCGACCATTTTTTTTATCTTTCGGATAATTTTTTTGTTGACTTTAGGGATCATCTGTCACTTTCGCTTCTGACTCCTCGCACTCGACGATTTTCATGCTCAAGTAATTCAAATGGAGCCAGCAGTGGACTTGTGAGTCCAGGACCGCGTTTAGCACCACGAATCTCTCAATTAAGACAAGAAGAATGCATCGACATACAAAATCGTGAAGCAACACATGAACGAGAAGTTCATTCAGCGATTTCAATATCTCAAAGTTATGAGGATCTTACGCTGGTGCTGAATGAAAGTTGGTCGTTCAAGAACAGTGAAGAGTTCAGTAATCCTCTTCATGTAACTTTACCACAGACAAACGCTTGCTCGTCGCCATCACCGACCAGGTAAATTCCTTTAAATTCATTCCTTTTCTCTTCTTAATTTTCAAATCTCGCCACAGTCGTCACAACGTAGTACGCTTACAATATGGAATGTCACCATCACCAACACGAAGATCTTTCGCCACACGACGCTCGATGTCTCCAATTGCAATTCGTCCCAGTCCATTGGGATCTGTCAAAAGAAAATTCGAAATGATTGAAGATGGAAATTCATGTTCAAGCTCGACTTCTACATCTCAACCTTATAAAAGAATTTTCACTGAAAGGTAATTGACACACACAAACAGTTGCTGGTCGAAAATTAATGACTATTTTTAGTTTTAGTCGAGGATCTTCGCCAATAATGTCGCCTTTACCGATCTGTCCTAGTCCTGATTCATCAACAAACAACAGTAGCGAAACTGGTCGCTCAACGCCAAAGATGTTCATCACAAAAGCTTTCAATTCAATAACATCATCACCATTATCTACAATCTCTTTGGAGAATGATTCTCCATCACCATCATCATCAGTAAGTGTGCCATCATCAAAAGATCTTCAAATGGATGTTGGATCAACGTCAGGTGATAGTGGCGTTGATGCTAATTCTGACGATATTGGCTCATCAAGTGAATTGGCTGGTGATATCACAGTAAAGGATGAGAATGAAAAAGTTTCATCAAACGATGAGATGGACGTTCTGGAGCCAGAAACATCGCCATCATCATCATCATCATCATCGTCATCAGCTTGCATACCAATGACTATTGATAAGGAAAATCTGTAGATTTATGTTTCTAGTGATTAATTGTGCGAGCTCGCATTATTTTATTTCTATTTTTTTCTGTCGCTTAACAAATCGCCGCCTACACACAAAAGACGACAAAATTCTAAAAAATTTTTATTGTTTTCTGCTGCAATACTTCTTTTTAACTCAAGTATGATGATGTAACATTTCAGTTCAAAGTTCAGTTTTAAATTAACATTTAAATGCGAAACAAAAGGAATTTGTTTGTTTTCGTCATCATAATCGTCATGAGTTCATGGACAGAGTCTGAAATCTTAGGGAATGTTAATTCTTTCACGTAATGTCTATGTTAAAAGGATAAATTTGGTGAATATTTTTTAATATTGGAATCCTTTTTTAAATCAATTTATTTTTACCTCTCTGTTAAATTAATTAAAAGTGTGTGAGGTGGGGGCGGCAATTAGCTTCATAATCATTAAAGAAAAATGTTTCATCACAATTAAAACTGACGAAAACATTGAACTTCTTTAAGAGACGAGAAGATTAGAACTTAATGAATATAAAAAAATCTGATTTGTGTTACTAATTAATTAAAGAAAAAAAAATTGACGAGGATGGAAGTATGGGAAGACATTTAATTAAATAATTCACTCTATGAGTGATGCATCTTTGACTGCTCTTAAGCCATCTTGATTTCTATCATCAAAAAAAGGCATCAAGAATGAGTTGAAATAATTCAAAACCGACAATGAACGAGAAGAAATTTGAGTGTTTGAAATTTAATATCTAAAAAATAAATTTTTCATATCTTGAAGTACTCTCAGAAAAGCTTCTTAATAAAAATGATTTAAATTTAAACATTTTAGTTTTTGTGTTTGAATTTGAGAGGGAAAAATTCTTTCGAGGCTTCTACGGTAATCTTCGAAGTCAGAGGCTTGTAAAAAGTATTGACATAAAAAATGAGGTAAGTAACTTATTAAAACTCTCTTCCATTTCCAAAGTGCCAATCCTAACTTAAAACACCTGAAACTGAAGCATCCTAAACGAATATAAATTTATGCCAAATAAATAAAAATCAAAACTTGTTTTTGAACTGAAACTTCTTTATTATCTTTTTTATTCAAAAGTTATAATTCAAACCTCATAAATAAATATTAATGACTTACCCGATATTTTGATGACGTTTCTATCACATTTAAATTGTTTTTACCACTGTAGTCAACTCTTGATAATGGACCGGAGAGATTAATGAGTGAAATTTCTTATTGAAAGCATTTCTTATCAAGAGTTGACTGTATAAGCATAATTGTTAATTAATATATGATCTTTAAAAGGATATCTGCAGTTGAAACTGTAAATCATCAATGTGATAATCAGAAAAGCTTTCAACTACCCAAAACCAGTGCTAATCAATAAATTTTCCAGTCATCAATCAACGACTTACCCTTCAATAATATCGCTTTAATGATCTTTGATATTCATCTGCTTATCATCTGCTTTCCTTACCATTTACACTTCGATGCCCTTGAAGACAAACAAAAGAGAGAAAAAGTTCAAGAAAATTCAACACCAATTTGTTAATGACATTTAATATAGAAAGCAAAATGCCCGAGAAATTCTTTTCTCAAAGCACAAAATTTCTTCTTTTTTTCATTTCACAAATTCAATTTTAAATATTAAGATTATACAATAAGAGAAATATAAATGTTGGTTATTTATGTTTTAATAATATAAATTTCAATTTTCAAATCAATATTATGCTGCAAAAATTGTTTTCAATTAAAATGAGAGAGAAATGAGTCAATTTCAAACATTATTATAAGTATCATTGGAAGAATGTGCTTACATACTAAAATATTTATCAAATTCACGAGGATAATAAGAAAAAAAAGTATTAATGTTGCAATTCTTATTCTTGTTAATTTGCATAAGTTGATTTCTGTAGATATTTATGAGTATGGTGGATAATCATCAATAAAAAAAGAACATAAAAGTAATTTTTCATTTACTAAATTATTAGCATACATATTTTCATTATTATATGTAGATAACATTAATTCAATTAAATATTTTCAGTTCAAATATGATCATCATCAATATTCAATAGATAATACAAACATCATTCATGTACCTTTTTGCTTTTGCTTTTATCTCTCAAACTCAACTGACCGATGCGCATTACAGTTCATTGAGCATTTTCTTTATCATTTCATTTTCCTGCTGAAACTAATAAGAAAAATAATAATACAAATTTTCTAATCACATGTGTCAAAATTATTTATCATGTGAAAGTTAAGTTATTATTGTGAGTACGAAAATTATCTCAAGATATTCATCATAATAATCAAATATATGAATAAAATATTTCAAATATATGTGAAATAAATTCAATACAATTTTATGTCATTATTAAGAGTGTCAATCAATGCTTAAGTTAAAGAAATATGCAATTATTATTTAAAATAAATATTACAATTCTTAAATCGCATGAAATGGTAAATAAATTTCTTTATTCATCATCTTACCCTTCGATTGAATGTAAATTGTGACATCAATCGTTGACATGTTTCAATAACTTTCTACTGTTATTTGTCAGAAAGAGAAATAAAAAAAAATTCATTTTCATATGTGAATGACAAATTGCCAAACAGAAATTAAATAACATAAAAAAATTAAGAAAAAAAACGAATCAATGAACTATGATCACATAAATATTTTATCATCAAGTGCAATGCATGTAAAGGATCATCGATAGAACGAAAAATTAATGTTTTTAATTGTCAGTTCGCTATGTTCCGGGGAAGATTTAGTTTCTCCGTCTATTTAACCGAATAGCTTGCAATTAAATCATGTTTGCATATTTTTTATTTCTTTCTCTCTCACTAACTCGCGTCCTGACGCCTGGTCAATGCTGTGTGCTTACTGCTCAAGTATGCTTTTACAAAGTCACATTAAAAAATGTATTAAAATTGTTTAACTTTTCAATAATATTTATCAAGAATTATGCTAAATGTTTGCTTCATTTGCTACGCTATAATGTTTGTATGTGATTTAAATTTTCATATATCTAAAGATTATTATTATCTTTTCTTTTAAATACTTTCATCATTTCGATAGTAAAAATATAAGAAAAAAACAGCATCAGGACTAAATAAATCAGAAAAGAAATTGAGATGCGAGCTTACATACTAAGTGTTGAGTAATTATGTAATTTATATATTTATAATATATGTAATTAGATAAATGAAAAAAAAACACGTTTTCTTACATTAAAAAAGATAAGAAGAATAAGAAAAACTGAAGTTGACGCTCCAAGTGTCCTTTTTCCCTTTTCCTATCCTCGCACATTTTTATTTCGATGAATTATCGATGAAATGCTAAACTTTTTTTGTTTATTTGTATTTCGGTTTTTATTTGTGCAAATTTTTAGATTTTTTCTCTTTTTCTTGCTTTATTTCTTTGCAATTCACTTTTGATGGAATACAATAATGAGAATGAATTGAGGATTGGATTGTTGTTTGTTTGTTGGGAATGGATTGAGGAGAAGGACAAACTGTACATACACAAAAAATATTTTCATCAGGCAAAGAAAAACAAATTTTTCTTTTCTTTTTCTTTTTAAGATTTCATATCATAAGTCGCTCTGCAAGTAAAAGTATTTGTGGAAATTCCACAGGTTAAAATTTTATAAAAATAAATTTAAGAAAAGTGTTAATTAAGTCAAAGGTGAAAAATTAAAAAAGGTAAAAATAGAAACAAAGAAATAAAAATAAAGTTCATTTTCTTCAACTGTACAATAATCAATCATTGTTTAATTAAACTTTATAATTAAAAAGATAAATTGTTGTAAATGAAACAATAGAAGGAGGAAAAAAATAAACAAACGAAATAATCAAGAAAAAAGTAAAGAGCTTGAAGCAACTCACCAATTCTTGTCGGAGTTGTTTTGTTGAGCGCCTGGATAACCTCCAGGATACTGATATTGTTGTCCTTGATATCCTCCATTATACTGCTGTTGAAATTGCTGATAAGCAGCCATATTTTGAGCGCCTGGATAAGCATTGCCAGCTTGTGGTTGAGCCTGTGTTGCCTGAAATTAAACTCATTTAAAATCACTCAAAACTTATTAAAGAAAATTCTTTTCTCACCTTTGCAGTTGCAATTTGCTTTTCAATTGCTTCCGCTTCTTCAATTTTTCCAAGTGAACGATAATAATTAGCCCACTCTTGGCTATAATCTTGCGTTGCAGCACCTTGTTGTGTAGCTGTTGCTGCTGCAGCTGCTGCGGCTCCATTTGTCGGTTGCTGAGGTGCATGACCTAAATAAAATTCAGAAGAAATCGGGATTTGTTGGGAGAAGTGTCGATGAATATCCAACAATAGTTGGACCAATATTTACCTGAGACTTGTCCACCACTTTGCTGTTTTGCTTTGACCTGAGCTTCGATTGCTTCTGCTTCCCTCGTCATTCCCATTGAGCGATAATATTCAATCCATTGCTGAGAATAATCTGGTTGTCCTTGAGCTATTTGTCCTGGTTGTCCAGGCATATGTCCCGGTTGGTTCTGATCCCATCCTTGATTGCTTCCAGCTCCATATCCACCCCATTGTTGATAAGGTGCTTGAGCATTTTGTCCACCAAAACCATTTGCTGGTTGCGTTACAGTTTGCGATCCAATATGAACAAGATTTATGTCCATATTTATTTTATCTTGAATTAATCGCTTTGCTTCGTCGACTTGATGTTGTTCACCTTTAATCGTGAATGTTTTCTCAACAGTCTGATTGGCAGAAACTTTCCTGTCCATTTCACAATGTGCTCCTGATTGTGAGTTAATCTGTTTGATTGTATCACCAGAACGACCAATAATAATTCCACATTTTGATGCAGGCACGACAAATTGAAATTGTTCTTGAACTACTTGAACGCCGCCGCCGCCGCCACCACCACCGCCACCTTGCATTTGTTGATGTTGCTGATAACCTCCGGAATTGTTACCACCACCAGCTCCATTCCAATGTCCTTCATTATTACGTCTCATAACACTTTCGATGAGATCTTCAATCATTCGTTTGCCATCGTCAACTTGTTGTTTTGTTCCTTGGATCACACAACGACGATCTCCAGGTCCATCATTCTTTGTTTGTAAGAATTGCAAACGACATCCAGTTTCTGCTTGGATTTTCTTTATCATATCTCCACCTTTACCGATGACAACTCCGACAGCAAGTTTCGGTACGAAAATTTCCATTTGTTCACCACCTGGTGGTCCACCGCCATAATTTCCACCGCCACCATGACCGCCGCCATGATCTCCACGATCTTGGTGTCTATTATTGTAATTGTTACGATTATTTTGTTGCTGCGAGTCGCCTTTATCTTGAATAAGCTCATAAACAAGTTGCTTGGCATGTTCAACTTTTTGTGGATCACCAGAGATTCTAAGAGGCTTTTCCATCTCCTGTCCTGGGCCTTCTTGAACGACGACCATTTTAGCACCAGTACGTTCCTGAAGCTGCTTAATTGTTTCACCACCTTTTCCGATAATCAAGCCGACTTTTGAGCCGGGAATCATAATTTCGTCATAATTATTTGCACCTAAGCCAGGTCTTGGGTTTGGTGGGCCATTTCCTGGAACTCCGGGCACGCTACTCTGTGGAATCATTTTACTGATTAATTCTTTTGCCTTTTGAACAGCTTCTGGGTTAGGAATGGTTGAGTTTTGTTGATGATAGCCACCGGGCTGACCGAGACGAGCGGCAACTTGAGCTGCGGCTTGTTGTGCTTGTTGAAGATGTGCTGGACTCATCGAAGGATTACCTGACCAATCAGAACCTCCACTAAAGCGTTTTGAATTGGGCTCGTCGTCAAAGTCGTCAAGTGAACGTTTGTTATTTACTTGACCAGCAATTTGAAGTTTGGCAGCGACCTTTAAATAAAATGAAAAATAAAATAAAAACAAATTGTCGTTAAAGATAAAATTGTCGCGTGGGTGATGTCAATCAACTTTGAATTTCTTTTTCTGAATGCGTAGCATCAAGCGTAGTGTGATAAAGAATCGATTTCGAGTAAGAGACAAGGACGGAAGATTTTATGTGAGAAAACGGAAAGAGACAAAAAATTCCACCATGGCGGATTCATGAAAAAATATTTCTCACATAAAGTGCCATAATTTACGAAAACTAACAACTGTATGTTGATAAACTCAAGCACTGATATGCTTTTAACACTTTGAAAGGATTTTTTTGATTTAAATCACTATTTTAAATGCTTTTTTGTTATCTTCTTTTTTATCGATTTTTCTTCTGGTTTTCGGCTAACAAATTTTATTCTTACTTGGCGGGCTTTCTGTAGTGCACTGTTATTGTAATTTGAAGAATAATCACTCATCACTATACGGAAACTGATAAAAGGTTAAACAAAACAAAAATGCGACCTAAATTATTAATTTTATTAAAGTCATCAGTTGAATGTTCAAGATTGTTGTGTTTAAATGTGTTAGTGAAAGAGGAAAGGAGAAATTAACCGATATAGCAGGCTAAATTATCTAGTTTCAGGCGGAGAGTGTAGAATTTGAATCGGTTAAATCGGTTCAAAATCGGCATTTCGCTAAAAATAATTTTTTGTTGACATCGAGAATTAAACAAAACTGCTAGGAAATTTAAGTTAAAGTTGTCAACAAAATGGCAAGTGGACCAATAGCCGAAAGAAATCAAGGTAAGTTTCAAAAGAATATGATAGAATTTTATTACTATGTTACTATTTTGTTTAAAAATTGAAGTTATTGAAAATTAAAATTATTTTTCAAAAATTTCTCCCTAGATGCAACTATTTACGTTGGTGGACTTGATGAGAAAGTAACTGAAACATTATTATGGGAGTTATTTGTGCAAGCTGGTCCTGTTGGTGAGTAATAAATTGAAATCAAATCTTTTCAAAAAATCATTAAACGATTATCATCGACACAGTAAATGTTCATCAACCTAAAGATCGAGTTACTCAAATGCACCAAGGATATGGTTTTGTAGAGTTTCTGGGAGAAGAGGATGCTGATTATGCAATCAAAATCATGAACATGATAAAGTTATATGGAAAACCAATAAGAGTAAACAAAGCTTCAGCACATCAGAAAAATCTCGATGTTGGAGCCAATATTTTCATTGGTAATCTTGATCCAGAAGTTGACGAGAAACTTCTCTACGATACATTCTCTGCTTTTGGTGTTATTCTTCAAACACCAAAAATTATGAGAGATCCTGAAACTGGCAACAGCAAAGGATTTGCTTTCATTAATTTTGCAAGTTTCGAAGCATCCGATGCTGCAATGGACGCCATGAATGGTCAATATCTTTGCAATCGTCCCATTAGTGTATCGTATGCTTTCAAGAAAGATTCTAAAGGCGAACGACATGGATCAGCAGCTGAACGATTACTTGCTGCTCAAAATCCTCTCAGTCATTCCGATCGACCTCATCAACTCTTTGCAGATGCTCCAGTACCACAAATGATTCCAATGAATCATCACATGAATATGATGCCACCATTTGTTCCACCACCGCCTCCTTCGTAAGTTTACAAAAGCACACAAATTCATTTAAACTTTGTTTAAATTTTCATTTTGTTTATTTACAGTGCCGGCCATATTCCGAATCCACCAATGGGACCACCAGCTTTTCCAAATATTCCGCCACCTCCGTTGCAAGCCCCACCACCTCCACTTCATCCTCCTCCATTGCCACCAAGGTAATTTCATAGTATTTTTTAATTAATCTGTACTTACATTTGTTTTAATTCTCAACAGCTCTTGGCCTGCAAGTTTTCCACCACCACCCCCGCAACCCTATTTTTAACTTTCATAAACATAATTTTGTAACTTTTATCACCACTGCAGTATCTGCATCAGAAAGTATATAAAATAAAAATAGAATCTTCAAGCGAGAAATTAATTTGAAAACTCGGTTGTGTGTTGAGTGACAAGAAGACTGTTGACGATAGAAAAAGTTTAATTATTTGATGCTTAAATATTCGGTGTAAAGAAGGTCTCCATGGATGTAAATTAGTTTTCTAACTTTACTCCATTCATTGTCGTTCATGACTTTTGTATTTCCGATGTTGTTTCGCTCGAAAACAGAAACGTAAATTGGAAAAGCTTAGAGCATTTGTTCGTAAATATTTATAAAAAAAGGAAGAAGACAAAAATCCAAATCCCATTGAAATGAACATAAAAGAATAATTAAAGTATTATGTTAATGTAATCGCTATGAGCAGGAAGAAATTTTGAAGAAAAAACACGAGATCAAATTAATTAAAAATGCTTAGAGGAAGAAAGCAGCAGCAGTCGTGAGTGTCATACGAGAAGAAATTATCGTCTTATTTCATTGTTGAATTGGAGTGTTTAATTACGAATCTCGTTTATATGGGTGAGAAGTGGAATGGGTGAAAGATGGAGTGTGAAAAAAAGTTTAGTCAACAACACTCTTTCCTACATCGTTCATTTTCTTATCAAGTTGGTAAAGAAAATTTCCTACGTTCATTACATGCAAGCATCGAAGATGATAACAAGAGAAGAAAGAAGAAGTCAAAGATTGTTCAAGTAAATTTCACACTCGAAAATATGCTACGCAATCCTAATTTCTTTTTTCTGCCATACAAATTGTCTGCAAAGTTGAAAGCAACGTCAGTATGTTAATTAAAATTACATGAAAATTATAAGAACGTTGCTATGATCACATGAAAATCAGTTTCATCCTCAATAGATTTTATTTTATGCAAATTTAAAGATGATTTCGTTTTCTTCAATTTAAATTTCTTCTGTTTGTTCATGCAAATGAAGGAATTTTCATGTGAGTCGGAAGAATTTACACCGGAAGTTTTTTGTGGGTGGAAAATTTACATTTTCCTGAACAATTCAACTCATTTTCTTCACTCTTCCCATAAGATTTTAGAAGGAATGAGAATTATGTGTGTATTCAGGAATATTCATTATATGACGACGCTCATTGAAACTTGAGTTAAAGCTTCGAAATGAAAACGGAGTCTTGAAATGAACATAGAAAAACTTTCCACTCGTAGCAAATGAATTAAAAGTTATCTCATACATTCTCTTTTTTCTTTCTTTCTTAGAAAGTTTTATGATGTCTGAAGGATCTTCACTTCACTCCAGAGAGAAAAGAGAAATGTTCATAACAAGTTCTTAAACATGAAACGGAATTTCCTTCCTCGTGATGTGGAAATGAAGCCAGTATAAGTTTCATTCACATCTCCATAAAACAATTGCGCGAAAAAAAAATCACAAGTTAGAGGAAGTGTTCTCATTGTTTTGTTTAAAAATGATGATGAAGAAAACTGTTTGAGGAAAACTTGTTAATCATATCTGATGGGGAATATGCAAAAAAGGAAGATGAGAAACTTCCGTCTCAGGAGATTCTTCAGTTTTAAAGGGAAACGATATTTTTTATATTATTTTGCTTGCATTCGTGAACATCTCTTTGGAACTTTGTAGATAGAAAATTTGTAAGATTCTCCAAATTCCAACTAAAACTGTTCTTGTTTCAATCTAATTCTCAGGTACTTATCAAGTGTTGCTTAAACTACTTTAAACTTTCTTTTAATCAATGAAAATTTCTTCTCTAATCTTATCTTGTTTTATTAGAATGATTACGTCGAAAAGTTTTCTTTGAAATTCTTTTTCTTTTTTTAAAGATCTTAAGAAGAAAGTGGAAATCCATCAGATGTTTAAATAAATTAACAAGAATTTTGAATAAATTAAGTTGATACTAATCTCTGGAAATAAAATAAACTATTTAAAGTGAAACTTAAGTTTAAAATCAAATAAAAAGTTTTTAATTCATCTGCAAACAAGTTGAGTTAGACACAAGTTGCACTTTATCAAGTTTAATTTTTTTAACAAAAACATTCATTTTTCCACTTTGAATCTATCAGCTTAAAAGTTGGAACATTGAAAGTTTTATTCACCAATGACACTCACATATTTCTTCATAACATCTTCAAATATTCCATTATGAAATTCTCTTAAATAAATAAACGAAACATCACATTTTTGCCTCGTAATTGTGCGCTCTTCATCTACCAAGTAAAAAAATTGCCTTTTCACAAAGTCGATTTAGTTGCTGCCTATAACACATCATGCACCATGATCTATGATGGCTTCTATGGAAGAATAAAAATAATCTTAAGACGAAAAGAAAGAGAGAGAGAGAAAGATAGAAGGAAAAAGAAGAGAAGTAGAATATTTTGCAAGTTAAAGTTTTCTGTTGAATAAGCGAAAAAAAAAACATTTTCATTTCCCATCTCATGACTACAAAGATGTGAGATGAGAGAACTTATGGATGGAGGGAAATAGACATGTTGTATCATGTTATTCCATTCAATAGAAACCTCACCAATGCTTTAGTTATGGTATATCATGATAGAAAGTTTTTTAAGCTTTCATTGGTTGCTCTCTCACGTCATGTACAGTTAAGGATTATCTAAGTCTTAAGGGATGAAGTTGAATATTTACTGTTCGATGTAAAATTGTATTTTAGACTTTTGGATATGAAATGAATGAGTAATCTTGCTTGATTTTATATTCGTTTAAGATTGAGACATCATTCCATCAAACTTCGAGAGCTTTTCATCTTCAGTTGATTAGAACAATTTGAAACAATTTAAACTTTCACATTGAAAGTGTAGGTAAATTTCCCATCAGGGCACTTAATGGCTTCATTGGAGTTCTGAAATTGTTACACCAAAGACCAAACACCATGGAAATGGAATGATTTTTTATTTTTATTGTTATTTCATTTTCTTATCTATTTCGTTTCTTGTCAAATCCCTAAATTCTCTCATATCGCTTTTTATGAAGATAAAGCAAAGATGACATGAAGAAAATCTACGTAACAAAAGCGAGAAAAGAAGAATCAGTTTCATAATTGACCTCACTCATGTTTATGCCTTTTCCATTCATTCATCTATTCTTCTGTGCTTACTTTCAATTCCACCCTTAAAAATTCCATGATCCTCGAGAAATCATCTTCATCTTTGTGTTCAAATATATTTAAATAGGTGAATTGTTAAAATAGGATGATTACCTAGGAAAAGAAAACTTTTTTGCCTCAAAGATAGATAATCCACGTTTATGTTTCCTGTTTTGAAAGCATCTCCTTTCTCCCATCTCGATCCCCCATTTGTATTCATCGTTAAAGTGCTTCGATGTGTAAATGGCATGTAAAGCATATAATTACGTACATAATGACCCATGTATTTGAGCTTCCATTCCAACGACATCATCTTCGATTAGCACGTGGTTTTTCATAATGGAAGGACTTCCAATGAGAGAATCCTTTCCAATAATGGAAAAAGGAATGAAAAGTCGAGAAAAATGCAATGATAAAAATAACAGTAAACGTTTCGAAAAATCACAGTTGAATTTATTCTATCATTTCGATTGGATCGGACAAGTGATGTGATGCTTGAAAAGAAGCTTTAAATTTGGAAATTCAATTATTTTAAGATAAAAAAAATGTCACAGAGGTTTATTAAAGCTTGAAAGGATTAACATAACATTGAAGCGTTATAACAATATCTGTGCAATGACAGCAATGTGAAAATTCAAAAAATTTTATCGCATCATCAACAAAAAAAAGTGAACAGACCATAAATAGCTTAAATTGTAAAGAAGGATTAAAAACAATAAAAGGAATTAATTGATTTTCTTTCACTATTTTAAATTAAATGAATAATTGATGCAATTTTAATCTCGCAATAAAAAAATTTGTTGAGAGTTCATTTAAAATTAAAATGTCAAAAAAATAAGGAAAGAAAAACTTCTAAAAACGTTGAGGGTGAACCACAAAGAAAACAAGAAAAAAAAGCTCATAATGGAGCACAAAACTGTCCAATAAGTGAATTACTGGTGCGTGAAATGTATTCAATTTTATATCGCATCCCAACTTTCTTCGTTCAATGTGATTGTGAGGAAAATATAAATTGAAACGACAAAGCATAATCCCATTGATATTTTAATGTGTTTATAAACCGGACAGAGGAAAATAAGGCTAAAGAAAGGAAACGGATGGTTATGTGCTATTTCATACACACATTAAAGGCCATCAAGTGTTGAAAATGACCTGTGCTGTGAAAGACTCGTAAAATATCATTTATATCCGAATCGAATATATTTAACAACCCAAACATATAAACACCATTTGAGGAGAAAAAGGGCAAAAGATTGCCTTTCGTGTTGATCTCCTCCCACGTAAAAAAAGAAGAAAATCACCCAAAAAACGATCTCACATTTATTAATACAAGCAATCACATAACAATGAAATTCACAAAACTTGTCGAGTGGATGCTGATCCAGAGTGGTTTACAGTTTTTCACATTTATGATTCTCGCAGGTATGTGCGATATTTGTGCGCTTGTAATCTGTTTTGTGTCATAATTTATATGCCATAAGTGCTATCGCCTTTTTATGACATATTAAAAATAAATCCCATAACGATTCTGAGATTTATTCAAGAGTGACACGTCAGTCGACACAGACCACGAACATCATAGAAAGTTAATTAAAATCCAACAATGGCCAATTCAACATTAATATCCGGGTTGTTATTTTTAATGTTGAACTTACCGGGGATGATTTCAGGCGAAAGAATGAAAAATAACAGCGGCAACAGCAAGTGAAGTCATAAATAAAAATTAACAATAATGATTTAATGGATATAATGTGTTGTTGCAAACAGTTGGGGGTATTTAAGAGCTATAATTGAGTGGAGCCCTCAGTACCTCCATGATGATGAATTATATTAAACATTTACGTGGGAAAAAGCCAAGAAAGTCATGACGGGCAATTTCACTTTCTCAAGTTTCTTAAATTTCTCACGTTGAAACCAAAAATGTTCATTGTTTCTTTTTTTCTATTCTACCTTCTTCAAAGTTTATCAATTCCCGCCACCTTGAGAGAATGTAAAAGTTCCACAAAAAAAACAAAAAAATGGTCTCATTGAGGTAATGGAATTTCTCAGCTCTTATGTGGGCAGTCAGTAAATTTTTCAGGGCCATTAAGAAAAGAAAAAAGAAAGTTTTTCTTTTACTTTCTTCATTCACCTAAACATTCCTTCCCTTGAGGCGATCGGCCTTTGTTAAGTTTTCTTTACTAGCTTTTCATTTCTTCACGCCGTTAAATGAAAATTTAGAGAAGGAAACTTTTAAATATTTTAGGATTCCTAATGGATTAATGGATTTGAATATGAAAACTTTTCGAAAAGCTTTCTTTCACAGATATCTGAATGAAAGTTATTTGAAATGATGCTATAAACTGTGAGATTGTTTAATGGTAATTAACATTGAGAAACTTGAAATTTAGGAGGAAAATTCTGAATATTTCCTGAAATTAAACCTTTTTTAGTTAAATATTGATAAATTCATGGATAATATTTTTCTAAAAAGTAGACAATTCTATTTGCTAACCTTTCTTCTTCCTCGAATGAAATGAAACAAAATAAATTAAAATATTTCTTAAGATTTTTAAACATCCTACGATCGAAAATTTTTGTAAACTTTACCTTTACAAATCGTAGAGGCGAAAAGAAGTTTTTCCGCTCTGTTTGTTGTTTTTATTACGTTAAAATGTTAAAACTTTTTTTTCCTTTTCTTCTTCTGGAATTTTTTCATTAAATAAAAAATGTACACGATAAGCGTTGTAAATCCATTGGATGATGCTCCAAGGATTCGCATCGTTTGAAAACAAAAAAAAAACTTTTTGTTCGTTTCGCAATTGCTAAAAATTGTTTTTCTTTGTTTCTTGTCCTCTCTCGATTTGTTGAGTGTTGAGAATTTTGCTTTGCAGAAAAAAGGAAAAGAAAGAAAAGAAAACTTTAAAACATATAAAACACACATAAATCTTGATTTCTTTACGGCATTCAATAAAAGGACAAAACATAAAATAAGAGAAATATTTTTCTTCCACTAAAAACTTGGAGAACGAGAAAAGTTTCGTTTCGGAATTTTAACGAGACATTCTCAATATTTGTGGGATTTAAAAAGTTGCTCTACACATGCCTTCCGGTTCTTTCTCGACAACAATTTCTACCTTGACTTCTGCTAATGTCTTGAAGAACTTTTATGCTTCAAATATGAAAGTCGAAAGTTGAGAATAAATGTTTATCGTGTCTACATGCTTGAACGCAATCGTCGTTCGTTGTTCTTGGTCGTTGTAAGTATCACGAAATGAAATCAAACAAAATTTATGGAAAATTTCCTCAATCACGTACATGTTTGTGTATAATCATGAAAAGATATTAGAAGGAAAGTTTTATTCAAATAAAAAATGTCAGTAAAAGGGCAACAGGTAGCCAAACCGTCAACAACGACGACGTCGACAGCGACAAAAAAAAAGACGTGAGGCGGCAATTTCTTTTCCTTTCATTTTCAACCTCACCTGTGACTTGACACTTGGCACTTTATTTAAAATTCTTATTCTTATTTCAAATAGCCTCTGTAAATATAACATTAAGCTTGACAGAAATCCATTACGCTCATAAATAATTTCTAGATTTTTCACACTTATAATAAAGTAGGTTTTGGTAGCAGACGAAGGTGAATTTAACAGGAAGGAAAATGACATCAAAGATCATAAATTTGAAGCAATTTTTCACTGTTTTCGTTTTCTTCTTCATCTTTGTCTTCCAATGAACGAACTTCAGAAAACAGAAGAAAGTCACATGACAAGTCTACGTTAAGTTGACGTCTTATTATCTGAAGCTTTCCACTTATTTTATTCGTTAAATCGACGCCATTTCTTAAATCTTGCATTAAATTACCATTGGAAAGTTCTTCTCCGTGAGACCTAATTTCATAAAATTATCATTTGTTATGCTTTTTGTGTCAACATCGGCTTTATAGCTCGCTTTCATAACAACTTATAGATTATGTTTTATTACTAGATAGTTTCCATCTCTCTTTAGTTTTTTGTTCTCCCTCCCTATTAAGCTATCATCATGAAAGCACAAAAAAGAACATGCCGAAATGTTTGCTTTACATACACTTCAGATCATGGAAAAGCCTGGGAAAAGTTTTGAATAGAAGATGGAAAACTGTTCATTGGGGAGAAGTTTATGTCGAAGTTGTTTACGTAGTTTTTGTTAAGTTTTTCATCTCTCAATGCTCATCGTGAAGTGATGAAAAATCTGAATATCTCCAAAATGTAAAAAAAAACGGAAGAACTTTTCAAGACTTGACAGCGAATTATTGTAATAAGATTTCTTCCTATTCTTCGACCTTCATTCCTGAGTCGCTTGTTTTATCCAACAAAGAATGTAATTTTATATTCGTTAGACCTTTTTCTTTGTTTCAGTTTCATCTAAAGACAAGACCATGAGATGGGAGTCGAGATATTCAATATTATTTCCATGCATAATTTTGCTGTCGCTTTCAAGTCGAGTCCCTACTTCAACAATATAATTGATGACTGGGAGGCAAACAGCTCGATCTCATAAATGTTTGTATGACGTAAAGAATTCTTCCTTTTTTTGTTTTACTTTCTTTGAAGAGATTTGAGAAATTAAGGTTAAAGCAACCGCCTTCTTGTCTTGGCCTTGGCAGATGTATGTTTGCTATGATACCGAAATATTAGTTTGGATATTTGTAACTGAATTAAAACGAATGATATGAAATATTACTGGGACACGTGGGACTAATGGATAGATGGAAAGGAAAAGAAAATTCAATTAAGTTTATTAATAGTCTAATTATAACAGTCAAAGCCATAAATAATAATTTTCTGATAGCTAAATCGGAATAAAGTCTTATTAAATTCTCATCGATACATGTTACATACGTGGGTGTATCAGGATTACAAATAAGAAAGAAAAAGCTTTTATATAATCTTGATGACTTTTAAAAGTGTTTACAAATCTTAGATAGATTTAATGTGAGTAGATAAACGTGCTTAGTATTGAATTCTCATCATCGTTTGAATCAGAATTGTGTTGGTGTTTGCTGAAAATATTTTGCTCTTCATTTCTAAGTTACAAGCTTTTTCCTTTTATTCGATATTTACGTCAATGACTTTCATTTAAGCTTGTTGATGTTCGAATGCTGAAAAGTGACACAGAAGAGAAAAATTATCTTTTTATCTCCAAATATTTTTGTCTTTCTGTGCTGTTGCTTTTTGGATGTTTGTCGAAAATATGAGACGGAGACTTCAAAGGAATGTTTTCAGTAACAGGATAGAAAAAATGCGATGTGGACACTTTGTCGCCGGAATGAAACAAAAAAAAATAAAATAAACATATAGATATAAAAAATGCCAAACTTGAGATCTTAAATTCTTGTTGGTTCAACATAAGGTTCGAGTCATACTTAATTTCGGATTTTTATCAAAGGAAAAATATTTTATTACAGCGGAATTGCAGATTAATCTTAAAGTCTCGGAGTCCGTTTTTGTTTTAAATGATTCTTTTATTTTTTGGATGATATTTGAGTCATTTTGAAGGATCTTTTTCTTCTTCTTTGTACTGTAAATAGGACATTTTGTCAAATAAGAAGTTGCTGGGGCATCTGAAGGGTCTATTTAAATGAAGACTCATTAAGAATTGGATTGAGTTGCATTTATATAAAAACATTTTCAATGAGTTTACATGAGACGCAAAAAGTTGCTAAAGATACTTTTTGAGGAAATGTCAAACTTAATCAAATTTCAAATACCTAAATGATACCCAACATCAAATTAAGTTCAATTCATATGAACAAGAGTGAAGTATCATTTGCTTGTTAACAAGAGACGTCAGAGAAAAAGGTCAAACTCTGATTACAATGTTGATTTAATACGAGAGCTCATTTAAATGACTTTTCTATCTATAATAAAAAAATTAAATTGCAATTCATCTTTTAATAAAAAAATTAAAATCTCTCCATCAAAAAAGATTTAATCGTTGAAATTTTGATTAATTAATTGGTAGCTCTACTAATTACTATTTCTTTTTAGACAATCTCTATTCGAATCTGTTTTTTCCCTTCATCGAACAAACATTGCGGATGTTTTAAACATGCACACTTTACAGAGTCAAACAATTGCCAAAAGTGTTTTTACACTCAATCTCAACTTACATTTGAACCTGTTTTTATATTTCTTGGAAGGAAATTGAAAACAAACGAAGAGAAGTGGATGAACAACGAATTTTAAATCACAAATTAGCAAATTCCATTGCCAGCTCCATTTTCAGCAGTAAAAACAAGGAAAATTGAAATAATTTTATAATTACAATTTTTATTTTCTTTACTTCTTTCTCTTGCTTTCTCTTGCTTTAAACTTACAAAAAGAAATTTGAAACGAAGCCAAACATAATGTAGAAGAAAAGCTTTTTTACTACTCACCTCGATTTTATTTATTTCATCATGCAGTAAATAAGTGTACGATAGTTGGTGTTGTTCACTCTTGCATGCTGCAATTCTCAAAGGAGGAAATCATTTCGCTCTCAAATCAAGGCAGTAGAAATATGAAGCTTTTAAATTCAAATTTCAAGTAAAAAGATGAAGGAAAATATTTTTTTTTGATTTTACTTCCTTTTTATTATTAAATAGATTACGGAGAGACTCAGAAAATGTTAAAAGAGGAAGAAGAAGCTTTTAGAAGATTCTGTGAATCGCAAGCTTTCAACATGAGACATTCACAAAGGATTATACAAGACATAAATTCTTGGGAGTTAAATCTTTAGTTAAAGCTTACTGTTTGACGCTTTTTCAACGATAAAAAATGTGATATAAAATAAGTAAATTATTTGCTTAGGATATTTCTTTCAAAGTTACGCTGTTCAAGCATAGCCATAAAACATAAACCTGAAGGAGAAATAAATTTGAAAACAACACAAGGAAAGCCAAGCTATTGTTAACTTTTTTGAACTCGAGAGAAAGCAAATATTTGCTTATGGCATCAGTGAGTGTATCATGAGAATGAATCCTTATTCATATTCTAAATTAAAATAAAAGGAAAACTTCGTTTTCTTTGTCACGTAACAAAGAAATAATAAAATGTTTACGACTACATACTGAATAAAATAAGTTCAAATAAGTATGATTGTGATATCATCAACAAACAAATCCCTGAAGATTTTATTATTGCAATGAGACGAATCTACTTCGTAGTAAATAAAAAAATGAAGATCAGTAAACGAAGAATGTTGAAGATCGCATTTCTGTCAATTTTCTAAACACGATATGTTCCTTTATTCCATTAGAAATACGATGACAACATCTTAAAGTTTATTCTACACACCGTTATTTAAATAATGTTTATTCTGTTGCCGCTATTTGAATATTTCTCTTGGTTTAAACTTAATTTAATTGATGCTTCAAAAAATGCTTTAAATATTTTAAAATTTAAATAATTTACATTGAGAATTTTGGGAATTCTTTGAGAGGTTCACCAACTGAATGTTTGAGAAATTCTTTGTACAATTAAGATGTTGAGGTTCTGACATTGCAGAGTTATTGTTGATGTCAATAACTCATGAAAGACTTCATAGATTGCAATGTGCTCTTTCCAGCAGACAGAAAACTTTAACAAATAAAAAATGATGCTTGCACGTCACAATTATTGCATTTTATTTCGCATCAATTTCCAACAAGAATTAATATTCAAATGTTCTCTTCAATCTGAATATCCATAGAAAAGTTTTTCCCTCTTTTTTTCATGAAAATTATTTATTACGGATTCATTTTAAAATTCAGCCAAGTTATGTTGCTGCTCAAGCTCGTTCTTGAGTGAAAATAGTTTCTGTTAAAACTTCCCAATGAAATTCAGAGCTTGTTATTTAAAGTTTAATGGAATTTTTATTCTATGTTTCACTCCTCGTGAGTGTTGCATCAGCAAAATCATAATAAAATGAAATAATACAAACTTTTCATTTTTGTTATTAAATTATACAGCAATATTGTCCGAGCTTATTCATGGATAAGTAAAAGTTTTTGTTTCGTAGCTCTTAGAAGACTTTAGAGAGTTTACAAAAAAATTTTGGCTCATCAAGCTCATAAACATTTTAAGTGAAGCCGTTAGCGTTATGTAAATAATTTTCGTGAAAACTTTTCGACATTTTTTAAATGTTCGTGGTTCGTGGCTGTTGGAAATCTAAGCTTTATGGAATTTGCATGCATTTATGGATTTTGGTAGCATAAGTGAGGGCAGTAAGAGCTTCTTTCTCTACAATTATATCAAAACATTGTTCAATTATTTCGAAACAAAAAAGTTTCTCTCTCGTTTCCTACCACACTGTCTAAAAGTTGAAAAGTATTTTTGTTTTTAACAATTTTTTATGTTGTGTAATTGAATCAACTGCAGGACATGAAGTTGCAGAACATTTTTGATGTTTTTAAACGGAGAACGGAGATAAGAAAATAATTTAATTGTATACAAGCTTTTTAAACTCAATTTTTTAATTGACATTTTCTAACAAGAACAAAAACTTTTCTCATTTTCCAGACTTTGCACTGACGCTGAAGGATGTCCGAGTACTTGTGCCGGCGGCAGTGCGGCGAGGGGAAAATGTAAATTTAATCTGTCAATATGATCTGGAAGGTGACACACTCTACTCGATGAAATGGTATAAAGGAAAGCGTGAGTTCTTCAGATTTACTCCGAAAGAGAATCCATCGCTGCAAATCTTTCCAGTGCAAGGCATTTATGTTGAGGTATGCACAATAACATAATTTTGTTTTTTATTTAACCACATTTAAATCATGCGGTTTTGTTGGTTGCTATGTGGACAGGAAAACCTTTCATGATGGAGAATTAAATTTTAGTTTTGTTAAAGAAGTTGCCTCCATCATCATCATCATCTTTGTTTGTTTAAATATCTCATTCCACGTTTCTATTAAGTAAAATTCTCCTTCTACTCGATACTTATTCCCACTGAAATTAAACGAACAAAAACAGACAACAGTGTTGTTAAATCTTAATCCCATGTGAGATGCTCGCGCTTATTGCTTGTTGTAAAATGTTAATTCATAATTGATTTTTATGTTGTTTTTCTTGCTGCTGTTGTTGTTTTTCTTTCTAGAAGCCTAAAGGAGTTTGCGTTGATTTTATTTATCGTGGAAATCTGTAAACCTTAAAAATATTTGTTCGGGATTTGTGTTCAGAAAGAAAGGAAATTTTAATGAATTCAACATTATGCAAACGTTGAGGGTTGAAAGAAATTCTCGAATATTACTGAAGTAATAAAATAATTTCTTATGTCTTATGTGAATTGAAATGCCGGAAACATCAGTTCTTACTTTCTTATATTTCTCGTACGCACTTTTAAGAAAAAGCTTTCGGAATTGATATCATTCTCCGTTGTTATCATCATGAAAACACCTCCGCAACCTTACAACAATGTTTATCTTATTTATTATACGTGAGTGAAGAGGAGCAGGTGCGAAGCTGTTTTGTGAATCGTTTTAATGTTACCACAGTGACACTGAATCAATTAACCTTACAAACATGAAGACGCTTAATCTTACCATGACACTCTAACTCGTGCCATCGAATATGTAAGACTTCCGCTGTTAAATACAAGAAAAAAAACTCAAACATTCACTAATTTAATTTGCAATGCGACAAAATATTTTTTATTTCGTTTCTTCATAAAACTCTCTACGTGATAAGCAGAAAATATTGTTGCTTGCACATTTGCAGGACCTAAACATGCATTTGGCATTGAGAAATGAAACACTTTCGTAACATAAACTTAACTTAAAGCTTTTAATTTATTGTCTTGCGATGAATAATGATTTCTCCATTTGCAACTCGGCAACCATTACTTGCTTCTTTTCTTCCAACGTAGCATATGGATGTTAGCACCAAGATTATTCACCGAACCATTGTAATGAAAGACACAACAGCAGCAACTATCGTTTCGATTAGAACAAATATCACGAAGCCGCCCACAAGTTGTGCTTTTAAAATAAAGTGTTTTGTGGTGAGATTTATTTGCATGAAATAAGGAAAAGTTTAAAATGCAACTGAAAAATGGCGAAGCCAAGGACAATGCACATACTTATAGCATTGCAATTCATAATCACAAATTTTCTAACATGAACTTCGACTAAATCTTGCTTTGTGAAAAATAGAATGCAATTGCAGCAACGACGAGCATTTCTCGCTAGAGTTAAAAGGAACATAGGAAGCCAACATATAAATGTATGTTGTGTCGTTTGTATGCTTGTGAAATATTTATTAATGGAAACAAATTTAATTAATGCATACAAATTATTTTCTATGAAGGTTCGTTTGGTGTTCAACGCATGAGAAGTTTTCAGTTTTATTCACTCGTTTCATATGTTTACGTTTGGTGAGAAATTAATGCCACATAATAGAAATTCTCAAAACGAGCGTATTTATTATAACAAATAACGCATCCATAAATTGCACATATTTTAGGCTCTCATCTCTCAACATTTACATACTGAAAGCATTTATCATTTCGTTTGAATAAAATACAATTCATGGTGAAGATGACCAGCGGTTTTATGCTTTTTTCTTTAGTGAAAAACATCTGGTTATCCGCAACCTCAAACACATATTAGAATGATGTTTAATTTTAACCAAAAACATTCAGTAAGTGGTATTGCGATGTTGGAAAAATTTATTTCATTTCCATAGCTTCAATTTGTCTTCTTGTTGTTCGTTTTCTTTTCATACAATTTAATTAAATTACATTTTCCGTCATTTTTTATTACAGACATCAAAGTCTAATCGAAGCTATATCACGTTAAAATCAGTTGAACCATCGATATCTGGAAAATATGTTTGTGAAATATCTGCTGACGCTCCATCGTTTCACACTGAACTTGGTAAATGAAATATCGAAATGTTTATCGCTTTTTCATTTACATTCCCACAATTAGTTTCTAGTGAGATGGAAGTTGTTGACGTGCCTCAAAACAAGCCAGTTATCACAGAAATCAAACCACATTATAGAATAGGAGAACTGATACGAGGCAACTGCACCAGTCAATACTCACGTCCAGCTGCCAATTTAACGTGGTTGGTCAACAATAATCCAGTAAGTGTGATTGCTGTTTGTGAGGAAATTTCATTTAACATTGCAGACATGTTTTCTCACTCTAATTTTTGTATTTTAATCAACTAACAGATTGCTGCAACGATAAGACAATATCCATCTGTTAAAGATGAAACTAGAAATTTATTCTCAAACACAATAGGATTGTTTCTCCGGCTCACACCACAACATTTCGCCAATGGACGACTTAAGGTACATAATTAATTAATTAATTATTTCTTTCTTTTTACTATTCAATTAAAAACATTTTATTTCAAACTTAAATTTGCATCTTATATGTCAAATTAAAAGTTTCTTTGAAATTCTCTTTCACATAACAAATAATTAAAGGAAGAGAAAAGTTCAAAGTTGCTAAGTAAAACTTAAGAAATTGAAATTAGTTTGCAACAATTTTAACTTCATTAAAATTAAGTTTACCTACCGTTTCATTTGATGAAATAATTTTACTCGTTTCTTTCATTCTAAGATTTCTTGTATAGCTAGATTGTATACCTTGTATAATGAGAGGGTTGATAAGATTATTGACGAGGATAGACCGACAGTATTTTCTGCATCAGCATCACAGTCTTTCATTGATATGCCATCGTCACATTATTCATCATATCATGATTCACATGATTCCGTAAACAATCATAATGATGCACAAATACAAGGTAAGTTAATGGAAATGAAGACAGTTGTACTTACTTTATTATGAGGAAAGTTTGTACAATGAGAATCTGTGCTTGTTTAAAAGAAAAACCATAGCAATGATAACAAATGAAGGATTTCTTCTCAGGGTTGGGAAATTATTCTTAAACTTGTGTTCAACTTGAGATGTTTGAATATTCAAGCAACTCCTTTCTCTGATCCTTTTAAATAAATATTCAACGACTCAAACATGAGTTTTTACACAAGTGAATGTCATTGAGAGTGGAATAGAAGAAAGGAGAAAGAATTATTAATTTAAACATTACCATCAGTGACTGTTATTACTGTAGATGGATTTGAGATATCTAAGCACAGTGAAGAAGAGAAGAAAGAAATTGCTTACATAACAACATTGCATGAACCAACTCTGAAAGCTTTCAATGAAAAGAAGATTCTTATGCCTTTGGGATGCACATGATTTCTTTTCATGACAGAAAGAATTGTCTTTTGTTATTCGTCGAATCACTTCAAGTGTGTTTCCTGCAGCATTCAAAACTTTTCTGTACTTTCCCTCTTTCATAGTTTTCCATCCTTCAAATCATAAACTTTAATATTTGATAATGATAGCAGTTGGATGTGAAAGCACATGAGAGTTATGATTTCATCTACGAGATTGAACACTCAGGCAGAGTGGAACCTTAAAAAGGTTTCATGTGTGACACTTAGAAACGAAATCTATTTGTACTGATACCTCCAAGGATTTTTCCCATTCAAAACCTTCTATTCGTTATCTGATTTACTATAAAAAAAAGTTTTCTTCCAACTTCACAATATATTCAGATGTCAATTTTAAACATCAAAATGTCTCTTGTTTATTGAGAAAGATATTTCTTCAAGTCGTCAAACTTATAGTTTCCTAAATTTCAAATATAAAAGTTTATGGTTTTAAAAGTTCATCTCTTTAAAAAATTAAATATCCCAAACACAAATAACTTTACTGACAACATTTATTTTCATATATTTACAGCAGATTCATCAAGCATTGGAACATCCTTCATGGTGAACATCTGCAGAACATTTATTCTTCTGTCTTGTGCTTTTATTGTCATGATTCATGATATTATGTTGAAGTAAATTGATGGGGAAAACATCAAGGTGCTTAAAAATGAGTTAGAGAATTTCAAACTATTCGGTATTGATATTATTAATGGAACTGTCTGTAAATATCTTAACTATAATAATATATCAGTTTGTATTGAATATATAGAGAAATAATAATTATAGATATGGAGAAAACTTTTCAATCTTCAGAAAAGTCATTTAAATGTTTGCATTATGAAATGTAAAAATGGTGAAATTAACTAGATTTATGCAAGAGATGTAGACAAAAGAAAAATGTATAAAATAATAAAAATTCTCTAAATCAAAAGTCGAAATTGAATGTGAAATGTGGTAGGTATTTGATTTCTATTTCAAACATTTCTGAATTAAATCACAAAAAACGAAAGAAATAAGTTTCCCCCCGCATTCGAAGCTTTTTCCTTATCATAATAGACAATAAAAAAATATTTTGGTATTTCCCCATAATCACCAAAAAGAGGAAAAAGAATTCGAAAAATGAAAACTTTTTTATTATCTATCTTGATAGTTCTTTTAATTTCGATTTCATATCTAAACCTGATTTGTCTGGAATGTTTAATGCTTTTTCTTATGCTCTGCTTCTTCCATCGGGAGCAGTTGCAATGTAAATTTATGATGCAAAAATATTATTCTGTAATTAAATTTTCTCGATGAATGAGAGAAATAGAAGAACAAAGATCCAGACAGTGAAAATGTGCTTCATAAATTGTTTGAGCTCTTCGAGTAAGAAAACTGTTAGTTATTGTATCATAAAATGTGTTTCAGAGATGAAAAAGAAAGAAAATAACTTTTGCATTCCCATTTTCATGATAGTGCTCAAGTGAATACAAAACAGAAGAACAGGAAAATATAGAATGCAGAATAATTATCACGTTCTTGTTAAATATCACACTCTTGCAAATAGAAATTGTACTTCATGATGACAGAGTTATGGGAAATTTGTTGTATGATTTAAAATATCTTGAGACGCAATAAAAGCAACTAACATACAGACAGAGATAGAAACATGCAAATTATGTGTTTTAATTTCAGAAAAAAAAAGATTCTTTTGTAACAATTGAAGAACTTTCAACATTTCATCTTTAATTAATGTGAAATGATGATAAATTGAGGGTTTCTAGCTTTTATTTTCAGAGACATTTACATTTCAAAGTTACATTTCTTATCTACGTAAGCAAAAACTATTTTTAATGTTGTTTGTAATTAGAAAGCTGAGTAAGTAAAATTCTAATCACATGAAGTGAATCTTCATTAAAATTTATTTTAAACATTAATTTTCAGCATGACATCATCAACAGATTAAAAATACATAAAATCAAATAAATACTCGAATTTAAAATGGCAAACATTGAAAATCCACTGTTAACACATTTCATGAATAAATAAATTTAATATTGAAAGTTTCAATGTGCATTAAGTATTCAACTCCACGGCAACAAACTTCTCTAAAGTTTAAGTTGAAGAAAAAAACAATTAGGAAAAAAATTTCGTTTTCAATCAAGTAATTGAAAATTGAATTCTTGAATTTAATCTTTGCCTGATGTTGTTAAGTTAGTGTTGGAAATGTACTTTTGAAAATCCGAATTCATATCGAACTGTAACAGAACAATCCTGAAGAGAAGAAATTTTCTGTAATTAACGAGATTAGGATGAAGAAAATGAATGAAATTTACAGATAACTCGTCCCAGCTGAAACAGCCTGTAAAAATCAAATTTAGAAGTCTTACATCGTCTATAAGCAATTCTTACTCACCGAGAATATAAAAGTGTAATTCAATTTAAATAAACCCAATCCGTGGAAATGGAAAACCTAGCAAATGAATCATTCAATTGATTTGAAATTAAATATAAATTTACTCAACTGAACCTTTTTCCGATGCAATATTTGAAGAGTAAATGACTTCATTTTATCATAAAATGTTTCATCATTCAACATAAATGCTGGCTTATTCTGAAGAATCTTATGAATTATCAAAGCCGATTCACATAATTCATCGCAAGTGTAACTGATTTACGAAAAGTTTTAATGATTTTTTGTCTTTCTTCTTTTAATGTCTCACCTGCAACTTCTCAGCACAACGAAAATTATTATCGACATTAAAACTCCCCAAAGTATGAAAGATGTTGCAAAGAGAACTAAGTGAAGATTAATTCCATGCGACCAAAAAACTACCTGCAAAGATTTTTTTCAATCAATAAGTCGTCGCATAATAAATCAAGAAAAAAAGTCGTTATTGCTTTTGTTTCAAAGAATATTCCAAAGACCAACGTCACGAACCCTCCCATGATGTAAATCACCATTTCTGTAAGAATCAATTCAATAAAAAAGGAAAGAAAGTTATGAAATAAAGCGAAAAGAAAAATAAAATCTGAGAAATGAAAGAAAGAAAAAAAATTGAATTTCAACATGAATTTTTTTTCATTCTTTCTTTTTAAGTAAAAGTCTTAGCAACGAGCTGCGAGACTCCTACCAGCTGAATACAAATCGTTGAAATTTTCAGCAATGTCAGAAAGCTTGTCGTGCATTGAGAAGATTTCATTCATTCTGAAATGTAAATTTAATGGATAATCCAATTGAATTTGCTCATTGATTTTCTTATTGCTTGTTCTTGTCGCGTTGCATCTGAAAATGGATTTGAAGAAATCAGAAAATGATTGAGCGTTGTTGTGATCGACGTGAATATTAAGTTTCTCCCTTTCATTTCTAGCAAGCGCAACCTTGTTGGTTGTTGCCTTAGAATGTTTCAACTTCTCCTGGTTGGAAGCAACATTTGCTGTTGCAAGTGAAATTGAATTAACGCTGTCTTTGTTTGATTTAGTTTTTGCATCCAACAATTTATCGTCTACCGTCGAATCAAGCTTCCTCTGAATGAGATTCCCAGTTATTGAAAATGGTTCGCCAACTGAACTCAATTTGATTTTGTTAGTGTCACTGTCATCGAACAAAGCTCGATGCAATTTAACGGCAACGCTCGTGGGTTCATTCGTGTCAGCGATGTTGTTTAGAAACCTCAAGAATATAAATAAACAAATACGCTCATTTATTTAGTTCAATTAAAGAAGAAAGCTTCAAGTATAATTAACAAAGCATTGAAACTTTCCTCCGCTTCAACTCTCATCTTACTTGTTAATTAATATGAATCGCTCACGGATCAAATGAACTCCAACAATGAATTGCCCTAAACAAACGAATGCAATGATATATCAAGAAATATTAAAGTTAAAGCTCCATCAATAACATATTTGAAATTAAATATGACTTTTATGTGGTTGTGTGCATCTTATGATGATGATTCTCTTCCATTTTAAGTTGAATCAGTTGGGAATCGTAAGTGAAAAGAAAGTAGAAGAACTTTTCCATCAATTTACTTCTCTTTCATACAGAACTCTGCTCTAATATATGAAAGGGAAGCTTCACTACTACTTTTACTATTTCAACTTTGACTTCTTATATTGTGGAAAATTTATACAATTTTACTTCCGAGAAGAGAAGCGAGAGAGAAAGAGAATCATGAAGATAAATTTAAGTGAAAATATCTGTTAGATATGAAAAGGTTTTGTGCAATAATACAAACCAGCTGTACACGAACTGAACATATATGGTATGATACAAGAAATAACAACAATAATACTACTCATGTTGCCATACAATCTTTTATGTTTTTGCCATCATCCAATTTCGTTTGTCGCACATTCAGTGATGACGTTTGTCGAAAGTATCATGAACGTAATCGTAGTTATGAAGAAGAGGAAAAATAAAGAAAGAAAATTGTATTATAAATTATTGGATTTCCTTTCTTTGTACAATGTAAGATGCTATTGATAAGATTGTAAATACTTATATTAAAAGATTAAATAGAAAAGATATTTACCCTTGAAAAACGCAGAAATCAAAACCGCCAACAAAGCAGAAAAGAATCAGACAAGCAAACGACATTTTCAGTTGAAATATAAAGGATGCTTTCAAACTAATCTGAATTCGATCGCAGAGATCAAAAAGTTCATCATCAATATCGCAGATTTTATTGATGAAAGCATTCAATTTCTTTGCTTTGATAAATGAGAACATGAAGCATGATGTGGTTGTTGCAAAGCCGATTATGACATGCATCAAATGTCCTATTCGATATTGTGAGAAATAATTTAAAAACACACAAAAGAAAATTAGTTTTCGCTTTGAATTAAACGTCCTTTTAGATGTTATGAGAAATAATTGAAAGAGAACAAAGGAAAATTATTTTTCGCTATGTTGAACTGATTGATTGTTATTCGATATATTGTCAACCTTAATTGGATTTTTATGAAATTCTTTTCAAACAATGTGGGATGATATAAAAAGAATCATTTTCCTCTACAATTATATTACTTTTTTATCTCCGGCTATGAACTTTATCTTAATTACCTTGCCAGTATATTTTTAACGATTATTAACTCTCTATAATTACCAATTAAACTAATGGTAGGAAAGCTTCCAGCATTCTCATAAGTTTTTACTGCGAAGAAGTACATCGAAGCACAATATAAACTATAACAAAACATGGAGAATGCGACACTGAGAATGGTGAACTTTAAAACTGTTCTGTTCCTCTTTCCAAATTCAATACAGAACGGAAGCTGCCCCAATGCCTATCAATAAACCAAAATTTATAATGAAAAAAGGTTGAACTTAAACAAACCATTGGCATAGCAGAAGAGAAAACTTTCCATGTTAAAATTTACCTTTGAAACGAAATAAATTGGCGAATTTGCCTCTCGAAAATGTAAATTCTCAAGCTTTCGTCCTAAACTGGGATTCATGTTTTACTTTTACTTTTTTTCTTTCTTCTTTTAGATCAAACACGAAAAATTGTTTAAAATGAAAACGAGATGATGAAAAGCAAAAACCTTTCTGAGAAGCAGAACGAAAGCTTTTCAAATGGCTCATGGCTACATGAAAGTGAAATTAATCGAAACATCAATCAAATATCTGTATGGAAATAAAAATACTTGACATAATGAACGTTATTATCATGATGGCAACGAACGTTTCTCTACAGAAATGAATAATTAAAAACCTGGTTCATGTTCATGCAGAGCAACTTGAACAACAAAATTTTCCACGAGAAACACTTCAAAATAATTAATAATTAAATTAATTGTGAAATTAATAATTAATGCTGTGTTTATGCTCCTAGAAAGATCTCATCATTGACTAACCATAATTATGGAATGAAATACTTTTCCATAAGATTAAAAGCTTCATTTTTGATATCATAAACATTCAAGCATTCAAGATCAAACCACGTTTTCGGTTGCAGGCAACAAATGATGCTATTACTAGCGATAACTTAATTATAATTAGAGATGATAAACTTTTACGTCAATAATATAAATAAACAAACCACTGCCTTGACCACCACCATATGTTGTTCTGAATCATCTCTCGTAAGCGAGCTTATACTTTGTCGGCAACTGAAAACGTGCTTCGGTTTAGATTACAAAACAAAAACAAAAAGTGGAAAGAAAGAAAGAAAAAAATTCCCACTCTCTGGGGCATTCTGATAAAAAGCAACCATCGGGGAGACGATGATGACGCTTAAAAATATATCAAGGCTTTGTTTACAATTGTCGTACGCTGAGTGTTTTGAGGGGAACGCCAGCCATAGCATACGCCAATTCTTATCATCAACAATGAGGTTTCTCTCAATTTAACTTTTATTTCTCGCGCATAATTTGTATATCCGCTGTTTCCGGTTGTTCTCTTAAAATTCAGCATTATAATTGATAAGAAATTCATTATAAAAGCAGCATCGCGAAATGAAATCCTTTAGTCGTTTTAGTTCAGTTGGATAATAAATATTAAAACAGTGAAGTGGAAACCAGTGACAAGTGAAGAGTGCCAAGAAAAATAAAGAAGTTTATGTCTGAAGCGCTCATATATAATATTAATGTATATATAGAGAGAGAGAGAGAGAGACAACGACAGAGTGAGAGTGTGTCAGTTTTAAAGCGCTGTAACTAATTGTGCACTTGAATATTTTATATGGATTAATTCTAAAAAGGCGAAGCATTCTCTGGCTTCCATTTAACGCTTGTTTGTGTTGTAGGAGAATTTATAATTCAAGTGTCATCTGAAAAATATGGCAAGCTTAAAATGGATTTATTGTGCGGTGTTGTTTGAGTTGATTCTAAGTGATGCTGCGTCACCAGCTGGAAGTGGCACCATTGTCTTCCCAACAAGCGATGAAGATATTGGAAAGTAAATGTCGTGAAATTTATGAGGTTTTTCGCTGTCGACAATTGCCAATAGGCGTTCTTGTGTTTTTCTTTCCAATTCAACAAGTGCGTGCTTGGAAGAAAATTTTCTTCTCTTCGTTAAACAAGAAAATTTATCGGCAATGGTAGCAGCATGGGGAGCATAAATAATTGGCTAAAACATTATTTCTCATTATCTAAGAAATTTTTTCTTCCCCTCTCAGTTCATTACAACAAAATTATAAGTCAAAATGGCAAATTGGCGGATCATCTGGTTCAAAAACTCCAATTAAAACAATAAAAACGTCTTCGTATTCAACGCGAACAGGTTTTAATTCGGAACCATTATATGTTCGTTATAATGCTTACAACACTGGATCAAGTGCCCAAGCGTAAAGTGAAATTAAACAAAATTACAAAATTATTCGCAATCTTCCTTCGAAAATATTTCATCTAACATAATTTTCATTTAAACCTTCTTTAGGAACGCAAATTCGATGAATTACAACTTTCAACCTGGCATGTTTAACGCACCACCTGGCTATGGTGGTAGTTTCAGTGGATCATCCGCTTCAGCGAGTTCATCTTCCTTTTCCTATGGTGGTAATTTAAACGTTTTCCTCAGCCTCATATTAAAGTCACTTCAGAATAGCAAATATTTCTGCAGCATTTCACAACTTTTTGTGATAAAAATGTCTAAAAATAGCAGACTTCTTGCTTTTTCGGGATGGATGTAGTGAGTGAAACGAGCGAGAAGGTCAATGCGATAAATTTCATTATTTCAAAACTGCTAAAAACTATAGTCAGACATTCAGAAATGAAAATGTTTTTGTGCATTCATGTGGTTTTTATCATCATTTCTGAGAATTTCTGTGATCCTTTATTAACGCTCTTGATAACTCTTTCGAAGAGAATGAACACAAGAGAGAGAGACTCAAATATAATTATTATTATGTTTTAATTTAAAAGCTTTATGAGAATATTTAGTTGGAATTTTGAATCATCAGTCAGTAAATGGAAAAATAAATCCCACACAGAAATTGAATGAATTCCTTAGCAAGTGAACATTAATTGTTTGTCAGAATTATCGACATCAGAAATAATACAAAATAAATCCTCTTTATCCTTCTTTTAAATCATAAATACTGAAATATCAGGAGTACAATGCACGTCAGAACCGAAGCCACCAGCAAATGGACGAATGAAATGTGCTTCGGGTAGCTGCCAGGTTTCATGCTTGGCTGATTATAAATTTCCAAACGGTGCTGATACCTTAATTCTTCAATGCATGAATGGACGATGGATAGCGAAGAGTTTCGAAACGAATGATATTCCACCATGTGAACGTAAGTAAATTTTGCTATTGGATATTGAAGCATTTTACGAGCAGATAGTCAATAATTTGACATTTTTAATTTTCCACGTTATTTTTTTAGCTGTCTGCTTGCCAGCTTGTGTCAACAAGGGAATATGTGTTGCACCAGGACAGTGCAAATGTCCTGAAAACTTTATGGGGCCGACATGTCAATATGAGAAAAAAGTATAAACCGATCAAAAAAATTTCTTTTTTATTTTCCGATACTTAATTTTTCTCTTCCAGCTTTGTCTAACGTCACCACCTTTACCAGCGAACTCAAAACGAAGCTGTTCACAGTCGTGAGTTTATGCTTCAACATAAATATTTTTTATGATCATAAAAACATGAAAGTAAACTTCAAACGTTCATTTGTTTCATTTTCCAGATTATGTACTGTTTCGTGCATGAAAGGTTGAGTCTTAAAAGATTATTTTCAACATTTGCAATAACATCCGTTTTAATATTTTAGGATATAAATTCCCGGATGGATCTCTTTCTATGAATCTGCAATGCATGGATGGTGAATGGAAGCCTGAACAACAAAGCTTAAAGCTAATACCTGATTGTGAACGTAATAATTTATCGTTAATGATGTCAAAGCGATTAACATAATTAAAAAATGAATTTAATGCTTTCAGCAATTTGTGACCCGGCTTGTTTAAATGGTGGCAAATGTTTATCGTATAACGTCTGTCAGTGTGGCAAGGAATTTAGGGGACCACAATGTCAGTGGGGGATAGATCGATGTGCAACAACAAAGTTGAATTTCAACGGCGGTTTCTCATGTTCTGGATCTGCTGATGCAATCAAATGTAAACTTATTTGTCCTAAAACTGTTAAATTTAGTTTTGAACCAGCTGAGTTTTATACTTGTCTTTATTCGACTGGAGAATTCACGCCAAATAAAGTTCCGCAATGTGTTTTTCGTAAGTTGATTTTTTAATTATTTTATTTCGTGTCAAATAAATTGATACATTTTGAAATGAAAGCTTTTTGAAAATGTTTCAGATTGAAAAGTTTCCTTTTTTTACTCTTTCAGCTCCCGGAATGAAAGTCACACAATCGGAGCCGATTAGAACTTTTTCTCAAACGAATGGAACTTTGATCAAAAGCGGTGGTGAAAAGTCGTACGTTGTCGAAGTAGGTGGTCAAGAAGAGATAATCGAAGAGACAGAAACCATAATAAAGAGAAAAATTATACGAAAAGGAAAAAAGAAAACTTATGTAAGATTGTGTGAAGTATCAAAGTTCAGATAGAGAAGAAAAATGCATTTAAGGAAACTTTTCTCATTGTTGAGGTTTTGTGCCATTGGTGGCATTTTAAGAGAAAAGTTTCGTTTAAAACTTTGAAGCAAGAAAGTTGTCACTGAAGAAAATTATTACAGTGGTGTTCAATGCAGTAAATCAAGTGTGATAAAATAAAATTTTCTTTTCGTTAAAGACTGTAGATGAAGACGAAGAATTCTTTGAAGCGCCAGGTGTCTACTCATTGTACATCATTCAGGACTTAGAAGTGACTTATAAAACACCAAAGCCAAGTGTTTGCATGGCATGGAATGGCAACAAATTCAAAACCTTTGACGGCGTGACTTACAGTCATGAGTTGGCTTGTTCTCACACGTTGCTTCAAGATTTTGTCGATGGAACATTTAACGTAATTCTTCGAGCCTGTCCTTTTGATTCCATTCAACCATGTCCACATGCTTTAGAAGTTTTTATGCAAAATGAACAATTCACATTTGAAAATAATGGCGGTCATGTAAAAATGTTTACAACCAAGCGTGAAATTCCCATTCCTGTGCAAATGACTGGCTTGAAAGTAACTCGATCGGGTACGGACGTGAGAATAATTTTAGAGCAAATTCCAATCACAATCACATGGGATTCAAAGGTAAATCTTTCTTCCTGTTCAACTAAATGAAACTTATTGGAAAATCATTTTCTACCCCATTTCTCTTCTTATTTCATTTCATGTTGAAAAACATTGAGAAGGATAAAAGAAAAATTTCTTAACACTGTTATTAAAGTTAAATCTTATAAATTATTTCATTTCCATTTGGAAATCTTTCAAGAAATAAAACATTTTAGATCTACTCAGAACATCTACCTAAAAAGTTTTCCAGTAAGCTTTTCAATATTCTTCGACCATGACATCTAATCTTGAATATTGAATATCTTTAAATGGACATCTTAACCCTTGACATGAATATTTTAATTTTTAAATGATTTAGAAATTTATTCAAATCGATGCAACTGAGAGTATGTGGAATAGAACAGCTGGTCTTTGTGGCACAATGGATGGCATTATGAGCAATGACTTCATGTCAAAAGATCGGACACGTCATAAAGTGAGTTGAACTCATTTCCATTAAGTTATTTTGAAAGTTTGTTATAAGATTCTTTCTATTCATAAGTTGGCATCAACATTTGTTGATTCATGGCGTGCATTAAGCATCGACAAAAGCAAAGAAAAATGTCTCCAACGGTCACAAGCAATCACATCTATAGCTTGTGAAACGTCCATTGAAGAAAAAGCAAATCTCGTGTGCACAGATTTGTTAAAAAATCCCAAAATGAAAAATTGTTTAAAAATGTTCGACGATGAAATTCTAATGAAAAATTGCATCTCAGACTACTGTAGTTGTAAAAATGGATACGATCGGACTGAATGCATTTGCGAAGGATTTTCTGCTATCGCTAAAGACTGTCGGTTCCGTGGCATTATGCTTGAAGATGGATGGAGGGATTGGCAGATTTGTCGTAAGAATTTCAATTTAAAAACTCTACAACTCGTGCTCTTATTACAACATGTCACATTAAGCCACTTTTTATTCGTCTTTCTTATTTTCTTCATCTCACAGCTTTGAATTGCACAAATGGTCGTGTTTATAAATCATGTGGACCATTGAACGAACCGTCATGTGGCTCGGCCATCGAGAGTGATTCATTTAACTGTCGTGAAGGGGGCTTTTGTCCCGATGGAACAATTTTAAATGATGGCACTTGCGTGATGCCAAAGAATTGTCCATGCAATCTCAAAGGCAAATCATTCCCACCAAAAAGTCAAATTAAACGTGATTGCAATACTTGTGTGTGTGACAATGGCAATTGGAAATGTACATCAGTAACTTGCGGGTCACGATGTGCAGCTATTGGCGATCCTCACTATATGACATTCGATGGAAAACGTTATGACTTCATGGGCAAATGTTCTTACTATTTGATGAAAACAGAAAGCATATCAGTTGAAGCAGAGAATGTTGCTTGCGATGGTGCAATATCAGAAAACATGAACTTCTTACCTTCCTTCTCAAATGAACTTCCATCTTGTACAAAGTCGTTAACAATTAAATTTAATGATGTTTCCGGTCAACCGAGAATAATTAAACTTAAACAAGGCGGATTTGTCCTTCTTGATGGTTTTGAAGTTTCCAAACTACCAGTCGTATTGTCCAATGGTGCAGTGAAAATCCGACAGCCAAGTTCAAGCTTTGTTATCGGTAAAAGTCTTTTTCAGTTTCTTCCTTTGTTTAAGAAAAGGAAACTTCTTTATAAACTTTTCTTATTTTTCCTTTTCTATTTACTTTTACAGTTCATTTCGTAAATGGGGCCACAATTTGGTGGGATGGAGCAACTAGAGCATACATAGATGTTCCCGCTTCTTATCGTGGAAAGACTCAAGGGCTTTGTGGAACGTTTAACTCGAATATGCAAGATGATTTCCTTACTCCGGAAGGTACTTTATCATTGTAAAATTTCCTTATTCTCTTCTTGAATGTTTGAGATCAACTGACACGATTATGGAACATGATTCTAGAGAAAATTTCTTTCAAAAATATTTGCAATGTAATGGTCGTTCGACTAGGATAAGCACAATTTCATAACTAAACCATTTTTCAACATTTTTATACGTTTTCATCATCTTACTTACAACGAACAAACATTGCAAACAATAAAATATTAAATGTTGTTTTATATTTTCCAGGAGATATCGAGACTGTTGTCTATCCATTTGCAAACAAATGGCAAACAAAAGATTCTTGTGATTCCTTAAATGATAAATTAATTGCACATCCATGTGATGCAAATATCGAGAATAAAGCAAAAGCGGAAGAAATTTGTTCTAAATTACGAGACAAGATATTCGAGGAATGTCATTTGTTTGTGGATCCTGAAGAATTTTATAGTGATTGCATGTATGATGTTTGTGCATGTAAAGGCAATGATATCAGTCAATGCTTTTGTCCTATATTTGCTGCATACGCTACAGAATGTACACGACAGGGAATTGTTCTTGAATGGCGCTACAAAATCTCTCAGTGTGGTAAATAATTCTTCTTCGATTCTCGTTTATATCGACAATATTTATGCAAATAACTTTAATCAATTTTCACTGATTTTCCTTTTATCGATATTCAGCTATCAATTGTCCCAATGGTCAGGTTTTCCAACAATGCGGTGAAGCATGTACTCGAACATGCAGTGATTTACAAAGTGAAACTGAGTGCCAGTAAGTGAATGCTTTTTCCTTGTTAAGTGATTTTAATTTTAATCACAATATTCACAGCTTGAATGTTTGTTTGTAAGTAAATTGAAAACTTTTTCTTCTTTCTTATTCAGATTGCAATGTGTTGAAGGTTGTCGATGCCCTATGGGGCAAGTCCTTGATGAGAACAATGAATGTGTCACGATTGCGATGTGTAAATGTTCATATAAGAATTTAGAATTCAAACCTGGATATAAAGAAGTTCGTCCGGGCCGTAAGTACTTGGAGTTATGTACATGCTATGGTGGACGTTGGAAATGTGTTGAAGCCACGGGAGATGATGAAATCAACTATCCAGCAGCTAGTGATATGTCAAAGAAATGTTCAGCATCTCGCAATGAAATATTCACAACTTGCGAACCTGCTGAGCCATTAACATGCAAAAATATGCATTTAAATGTTTCAACTTCAACTGCTTTATGTCGACCAGGATGTATGTGTAAAGACGGATATGTACTTGACAGAGTTTTGAAACAATGTGTTTTACCTGAAAAATGTTCTTGTCATCATGGTGGAAGAAGTTACAGTGAGGGTGAACACATTAAAGAAGATTGCAACACATGGTGAGAACATTGAATTTTATTTACTCGCTTTTCACATGTGAATTGAATTTCGTGGATAAAAAGAAATAAAAAAAACTTTACAGTTTGTGCAAAGGTGGAATATGGGATTGTACAATGAAAGCTTGTGCATCGACATGTAGTGCTTGGGGCGATTCACATTTCACAACGTTTGATGGACGTGAATTTGACTTTCAAGGTGTCTGTAGTTATGTTCTATCGAAAGGCAAACTTCATGATGGCGATGGATTCTCAGTAACGATTCAAAATGTTTTATGTGGTTCAAATGGAGTGACTTGTTCGAAATCATTGGAAATTAATCTGCTGGGAAATGAAGTGGAATCTTTATCCCTTTCATCCGACTTACCTGTACCTGGTATCAAGAACAAATTGAATGGTATGAATTTAAAAGCTTAATCCCTTCGTAATTGAATTAATTAAATATATAATCTTATCTATCTCAATCCTCAACTAACATTTATTTTTATTCTCAATTTAGTTTGATAAGAACTTTATCGTTTGAATAACATTCGCTTCGACAGTGATAGGTTCAATCAACATATTTTTATTTATAGCCTCTCAATTAAATTTTATAAAACATCAACACATAAAGCAAGATTAAAAATATTTCCCATCACTGTCTACAATGAGTTCAAGATTGAAACTCAATTTTAATTAAAAACTTCTTTAAACTTTTTTGCTTTGCAATATCATTTGACATTTGGACATTTCTATTCATACCTTAACAAATGTTCATTTCATTTCAACAGCAAAGCCTTTGCAAAAGATGCTCACATATCGCTCGGGTATTTTTATCGTTGTTGAAATACCCCATATCGGAGTCATACTAAAATGGGATCGTGGCACGAGAGTCTACTTGAAACTAGAAAATCGTTGGAAAGGTAAAGTTCAGGGATTATGTGGAAATTACAATTATGATGCCCTTGATGACTTCATGAACCCTTCGAATGGCGTCGAAAGCAACCCAATCATTTTCGGACATTCATGGAAGTTGGAAGATTCATGTGCTGGTAAAATTTATATAAAAAAAAGGCAAAATAGAAAAGTTTTCTGAGACTTAAATCTGTTTTTCTATTTTTTCAATTTGTGCTTCGAAATCCTTTTAGTTCCAACCGAACAAGTTGATTCATGTGCCCTCAACCCACAAAGGAAAACGTGGGCACAAAGAAAATGTGGCTTGTTGAAATCATCGGAATTCGCTCAATGCCATTCAGAAGTTTCTGTTGATAGCTTCTACAAGAGATGCATCTTTGATACATGCAGCTGCGATCAAGGCGGTGATTGTGAATGTTTATGTACAGCTTTAAGTGCTTATGCTTTTGCATGTTCATCGAAGGGAATTTTCATTCGATGGCGAACACCAGATTTATGTCGTAAGATTACTGAATGAAATTTCTTTTCTTTAAACTTTTAATAAAAAGATTTTCTCGTTTCATAAAAATTCAGCTATGCAATGCGATCCAACATGTTCCAACTATCATCCATGCATCCAACCATGTCCAGCGGAAACTTGTGACAATTTAATGCACCCGCTCAAAAATCAGCGACTTTGTAATGCTGACGTATGTGTTGAAGGATGCAAGTTAAAAGAATGTCCTGAAGGAAGCGTTTACATGAACAACTCGTATAGTGAATGCATTCCAATTTCATCATGCAAGCCAATTTGTCTTGAAGAAAATGGTGTTACTTATTATGAAGGCGACATTATGGCATCCGATTCATGTCATACATGCAAGTGCACGCGTGGAAATAAAGTTTGTTCAGGGCTTCCTTGTGCAATCAGTGTGCCCGATGTAAGATAATATTTTTAAAAAGAAAATCTTTTAAAGAAACTTAAATGCTTCTTCTTTTTTGTGTCACGTTGTCACGTTTAGGGTATGGATGGGGATATAAAATGTCAAACTGGATGGTCAGCATGGATTAATCAAGACATGCTTGAACAATCTGCTGTAAAGTCATCGAAATCAAATTATTTCAAAGAAGATGACATTGAACCATTGCCGAATAATATGCAAATGAAGAATTTAGTTGGAAAGGGTAAAGCAGTTTGTTCGACAGAATCATTTGCAGCGATTGAATGTCGTTCAGTTATTGGTCGTGAGAATCCTAAGAAAACTGGTCAGAATGTTGAATGTTCTCTAGAGAAAGGTTTGATATGTAAAGGTCAGTGTTTTGACTATGAGATAAGAGTTTACTGCGAGTGTGATGAGTCATCGAATGTCATAACAACTACAAAACCGCAATATACAATAGCAGCACAACCGAAACCAACTCAGCCTGCATTTATTGTCCCAGTTGCTCCAACTAAAGCACCAATTTCCTTTATTAAGGTTTGCGATCCAAATATTCCAAATGTTGAACATCCGTTAAGTTGTAAGAAGTTCTTGCAATGCGTTCAATCTGAAAATGGTTCTTATATTTATGCTGAGAAGACATGTGGAGATTCAATGATGTTTAATCCAAAAGTTATGGTGTAAGTTTCTCTCAATTAATCTGAGATTAATCTCAGGATTAATGATTTTAATCCAGATTAAAAAAATTAAATCCAGATTAAGTTAATCTTCTTTTTTCAATTCTCTAAAAGTTAAATTTTTATTCCATTTTTAAAGTTGCGATTGGCCAGCTAATGTCATAAAAATTAAACCAAAGTGTGAAGAAACTGAAACACCTCAAAATGATTGTCCAACAGGATATGCCTGGAGTGACTGCGCAATTCCATGCACTCGTGCTTGTAATTATTACAGTCAACAATTGAAACTTGCCGGAAATTGCACAGCTGGTAAAGAATGCATTCCTGGTTGTCTACCGGAAGATTCAGCTTTGACTTGCAAACATCCGAAATTGTGGCGTGATTGGAAAAGTTGTGTTGATATTCAATCTTGCACATGTATGGGACCGAATAATGAAATCATGAAGGTGAGTCAAATAAATGTTAATGTTATTAACATAAATATTTTATTATGTTTTGTCAACAGCCAGGACAAGTTGTATATGTTTCCGAATGTAAAACATGTCAGTGTTTAAACAATGAATATATTTGTGCAAATGTTCCATGCAAGAAGACAGTAACAACTTCTCGACCAGTTGACGCTGCTCCGACAGTTCAATCGAAGAAAATTGCTTATTATCTTACGATTTGTGATCCAAGTGTTCCACATATTGAACATCCAAACAGTTGTTACAAGTTCTTACATTGTCAACCAGCACCTGATGGCTCTTATATGTATGCAATAAAGACTTGTTATCCCGATATGATGTTTAATCCCAACACCATGATTTGTGATTGGCCAGATTCAGTTAAGAAAGTGAAACCTGCTTGTGGTGTTGATGTTGGTGAAATCGATATTTGGGAGTACGAAGAAGTTATAATTACTCGCAATAAAACAAGTCACATCTCAGGCACAACACAACGTTCGATTTATGATAAAAAAGTTACAACAAAGCCTGGATACATCGTAGAGTCACTTGCTTATTACATTCGAGTTTGTAACCCTTCAGTCGTATCTGTTGAACATCCAGAATCATGTTACAAATATCTTGCATGTGAACAAATAGCAAATGGATCTTATATGTATGCTGAAAAGGAATGTGGAAGTGGATTGATGTATAATCCAAACATTTTAGTTTGTGATTGGCCTTCCAGTGTTGAAAAAATTAAACCAACTTGTAGTGATAAACCAACAACACTTAAAGCATTTGATTTAGTGAAAGAAACGCAATCACCATTTGTTGTAACTGGAATAATTTCTCATGAAATAACGAAAACCGCTTATTACTTGACAATGTGTGATCCAAGTGTTCCACATATTGAACATCCAAACAGTTGTTATAAGTTCTTACATTGTCAACCAGCTGCCAACGGTTCATTCATTTATGCTGTGAAGACTTGTTACCCTGACATGATGTTCCATCCTAAATCAATGGTTTGTGAATGGCCAGAATCTGTGAAAGCAATCAAGCCAAAATGTGGCAGTAATCCTGGAGAAATAGAAATCTGGGAATATGAAGAGATTAAAATAAGCAGAAGTACAATTCGTTCACATGTTACGACACCTAAGACAATTATCAAATACACTGAAAGTCCAAGCATTTCCAAGGAAGTCATTCACAAAGCTTATTACTTAACAATGTGCGATCCAAGTGTTCCACGTATTGAACATCCAAACAGTTGTTACAAATATTTGGAATGTCAAAAAGCATCAAATGGTTCATTCATTTATGCAGTAAAAACTTGTTACCCAAACAAAATGTTTAATCCAAACTCAAAGTTGTGTGATACACCAAATTCTCTGAAAAATATTAAACCAAAATGTAATGTTGATCCTGGAGAAATTGAGATTTGGGAATATGAAGAGATTTCTGTGATTCGTCGAACAAGTCGTTTTCCAACTGCAACAGAGAAAATTGTTTTGATTTCATCAACTGAGCGACCAGAATACGGTTTTGGTGGAATTGTCGCTCCTTATTACATTCGAACTTGTAATCCTACGATAGCAGCAACTATTGAACATCCTGAGACATGTCATAAATATTTGGAATGTGTGAAGTTACAGAACGGTTCGTATATTTATGCAGAGAAGACTTGTGGACCTGATTTATTGTATAATGCTGAAAAAGAAGATTGTGATTGGCCTTTTATCGTTGAAGAATTGAAACCGAATTGTAAAGAACAACCAGGTGTACTTGATTGGACGACAGTTACACCAAGACCAGCGACATATGCGGCGAAGCCAACAGAAAAGCCATACATTGTCCCAAGTACTATAACACCACCCGAGTATTGTGAAGACGGCAAACTTGTTCCACTTCTTCACTTAATTCCTGATTCCGCTTTTGAATCAAGCAGCATTCTCAGCAAAGCTTTCAAACCAGAAGCAGCACGACTTGATACAAAGTCAAGTGACGAAAATGCTGGAAGTTGGTCACCTAAAACAAATGATTTAAATCAATACTTGCAAGTGACATTCCCACAATCATTGCCAATTCACGGTGTCATTATTCGTGGCAATTCCATGTTCGATCAATATGTAACGAGTTTCAAAATTCTTTACAGTCATGATGGAACAACTTATCATGTTCTCGAAGATAAAAAGAAACGACCAAAGATTTTCAGTGGTTCTGTTGATCCTAAAACGCCAGTCAAATCAATATTTGAAATTCCAATAGAAGCAAAGATGGTGAGAATTTATCCAATATCATGGCATGGCTCAATAGCACTTCGTGTTGAACTTCTGGGATGTGAGACACATTTGATGCCGATAACTTTTGCTATTGAAACGACGACAACATCCGTCTATGAATTTGCGAGAGGTCTTGGCGAGAGAACAACAACAACAAGCAGCACAACGACGACGAGAATTCCGATATTTACTGAAGGAATTGTTGAGCCGCTTTGTGATGATCCACTTGGAATTGAAAACAGTGCAATGAGTCCAAATCAAATCACATTTAGTTCGATTAAGGATGCTGGTTCAGTGAAGACGAAAGTTCGAAAGAATCCTTTAGAGATAATTAAACTAAGTTCAACGAGGGGTTGGATGCCACTAACTGTTAGCATGACAGAATATGTCCTTGTAAGTTGAAACTGTCAACTTTATGTTCTTCTTAGAATTTAAACAAATAAATTTTATTCACAGTTTGACTTTATTGAAAACCGAAAGTTGACTGGAATTGTAACAAAGGGCGGTGAATACGGTTGGGTGAAATCATTCAATGTTCTTTATTCACAAGACAACATCATTTGGAATAAAATTGAAGACGATTCCGGTGATGCGTTTGAGTTCTTAGCAAATGTCGACGCGTATAAAATTAAAAAGAATTTCTTTAAAAGTCCTGTCAACGCTCGTTACATGAAAATTCAACCAACAAAATGGCACAGCACAATTGAATTAAAGATTGAGCCAATTGGATGTTTTGTTCCTTACCGTAAGATTATTGTCGTAATTTAATCATTAAATATTTTAAGTAAGTGATGAAAATGTTTTATTTAAAGCTGTCATAGCTCAAGCAGCCACAACTAAACCTGAAGTTGAGATTGTAACGCCGAGTGCGTGTGGTCGAACCTTCAATACATTTGACTTCACAGAGTTCAAATATGACATTTGCAATCATCTTCTTGCTCGCGATGCTGCTGATGAGAAGTGGAACGTGATCATGAAGAAAAATTGTTCGAGTGGAAACAACATTTGCAGAAAAGAGATTGTGATTAAAGATAAAGTTTCCATGTACACTTTGACTCTTTACCCATCGTTGACTGTCAATCTCGATGGATATCCGTAAGTCGATGTAGCTTTTATTTTACTTTCTTTTGATCTGAAAACGAAAACGTGAAAATTAAATTTCATTACAGCTTCACAGTTGAACAATTGCAGAAAACGAATCGGAAAATGACTTTTACAGTTTCAAAGAACGGTGGAAGTTTACTTTATGTTTCGCACACACATGGAATTTGGTTGATGTTTGATCGATTCGGTGACGTGAAGTTTGGGGTGTCAGGAAAATATTCTGGAAATGTTGATGGCCTTTGTGGCTTCTTTAATCGTAAAAAGACTGACGATAAACGAATGCCTAATGGAAAAGTTGCGTCATCAACTGTTGAATTTGGCGACAGTTGGTCGTTGAAAGATGTTGGTCAAGTTGATTGTAAACCTCATGTTTGTCAGAAAACGTTACAAGATGTTGCTTGGACAATTTGTAATTTAGTTAAAGACAATGTTTTCAAATCATGTCACGCCATCATTGACCCAACAAGCTTCATTTCGAAGTGCATGGAAACAGCGTGTGATTGCTTATTGACAAGTTCGAACGCTTCATCCGATTTAGATACGTCCATGAAAGAATGCAAATGTTCAATGTTGCAAAATTATGTCGTTGATTGTATGGCAGCGGACGAAGCAGTTCATTTAGAGACATGGAGATCAGTACATTCTTGTGAAGCTTCATGTGAGTCGCCGTTTGTCCATCACGATTGTTATCGACGAAAATGTGAAACGACATGCAATAATCTTCGAGTTGCTGAATGTTCAAAAGTAACTGGAACATGTTTTTCTGGTTGTTATTGTCCATCTGGAACTGTCCTAAAAGATTCAACATGCATTCCAATTAGTGAATGTCGTGATTGTGTTTGCGATGGTTTTGGAAAGTCACAATACTTGACTTATGATAGAAAGAACTTCACATTTGATGGAAACTGCACTTATCTTCTAACGCGCGATATTTCACTGAAAAACATTCACACGTTTCAAGTTTTTGCTACCATTGGCCCTTGCGATGCAAAATCTCAGTCAACATGCACGCAGGCACTTCATTTAATATACGGCAATCATATCATTCACATAGAAAAAAGCACGACAAACAGTTTCAAAATCATCGTTGATGGAATGACATTGAAGAGTTTGCCATTTAATCAGAAATGGGCGAAAATTGCTGAACAAGGAAAATCTTTGAGTATTTTACTTCCCGAGTCTCAAGTAGAATTGCAAAGCGTTTTTGAGACAATGTCATTCAGTGTAAGTTAGAGTTTAATTTCTCATAATTGTTGTTAATTGTCATCCTTAGTTGTTGTAAGAAAACTTTAATAATTTCTATATAATCATGTAGATTAAAGTGCCGAGTGTTAAGTATGGAAGTAAAATGGAAGGAATGTGCGGAAATTGCAATGGAAATCCTAACGATGATATCATCACAAATCCAGCAAAAACAGATTTCCCGAAAGGTGCAAGTTCAATNAATCAATACTTGCAAGTGACATTCCCACAATCATTGCCAATTCACGGTGTCATTATTCGTGGCAATTCCATGTTCGATCAATATGTAACGAGTTTCAAAATTCTTTACAGTCATGATGGAACAACTTATCATGTTCTCGAAGATAAAAAGAAACGACCAAAGATTTTCAGTGGTTCTGTTGATCCTAAAACGCCAGTCAAATCAATATTTGAAATTCCAATAGAAGCAAAGATGGTGAGAATTTATCCAATATCATGGCATGGCTCAATAGCACTTCGTGTTGAACTTCTGGGATGTGAGACACATTTGATGCCGATAACTTTTGCTATTGAAACGACGACAACATCCGTCTATGAATTTGCGAGAGGTCTTGGCGAGAGAACAACAACAACAAGCAGCACAACGACGACGAGAATTCCGATATTTACTGAAGGAATTGTTGAGCCGCTTTGTGATGATCCACTTGGAATTGAAAACAGTGCAATGAGTCCAAATCAAATCACATTTAGTTCGATTAAGGATGCTGGTTCAGTGAAGACGAAAGTTCGAAAGAATCCTTTAGAGATAATTAAACTAAGTTCAACGAGGGGTTGGATGCCACTAACTGTTAGCATGACAGAATATGTCCTTGTAAGTTGAAACTGTCAACTTTATGTTCTTCTTAGAATTTAAACAAATAAATTTTATTCACAGTTTGACTTTATTGAAAACCGAAAGTTGACTGGAATTGTAACAAAGGGCGGTGAATACGGTTGGGTGAAATCATTCAATGTTCTTTATTCACAAGACAACATCATTTGGAATAAAATTGAAGACGATTCCGGTGATGCGTTTGAGTTCTTAGCAAATGTCGACGCGTATAAAATTAAAAAGAATTTCTTTAAAAGTCCTGTCAACGCTCGTTACATGAAAATTCAACCAACAAAATGGCACAGCACAATTGAATTAAAGATTGAGCCAATTGGATGTTTTGTTCCTTACCGTAAGATTATTGTCGTAATTTAATCATTAAATATTTTAAGTAAGTGATGAAAATGTTTTATTTAAAGCTGTCATAGCTCAAGCAGCCACAACTAAACCTGAAGTTGAGATTGTAACGCCGAGTACGTGTGGTGTGTGTAAAGGTATTCTTGCACCACGACCTGTCAGACCCAGTGCCTGTACATGTTATCCACCACTTTATTGGAGTGGCTCAGAATGTGTACCACAATCACAATGTCCTTGTGTCGAAGGTCACATGATTTATGAGATTGGAGAGACTTATCAAACGGAAGATTGTGCCGATTGTATTTGCAAGATTGGTGGCGTTCCAGATTGCAAGCCGAAAGTTTGTGCGCCATGTGGTCAAGGTTTACGTCGCGAATCACCGAAATCTTGTTCATGCCAATGTGTTCCATGTCCACCAGATACAATTTTATGTCAGACAAGTGGAGAATGTATTCCTGAAAGTTCATGGTGTGACGGAGTTCAAGATTGTCCCGATGATGAAAAGAATTGCATAATAACCGAAAAACCGATGATTTTCGTTAATCGAACTGAAACATTGAGTAAGTTCAATAAATCAATCATGATAAGATATTAATTAACTTCATTCGTTATGCTAGTAATTACGAAGAAATGTCCTGATCCAAGTTGTCCACCAGGCTTCAAGATTAAAGCAAAAAAATCGAAAATACCTCGAATGATGACGAGATTTTCTGAAGGGTTTGTTGATTTTATTTCTTTATTTATGTTTTCCAAAAATAAATCATTAAAATAAATTTAGATCTGATGAAGATGATGACGATGATGACGATGATGAGATTGAATACACTTCAATGATCAAAGCCAAATATGAAAGAAATTATCAATCAACACTTCCAATAAGTGAGAAGATTAAAGGAATTGAATCCGAGCATTGTGTTGAATTTATTTGTGTGCCAATTGTTGAGTCGCCTGATTATGCTGAAGAAGGTCAAAGAACAATGACGAGATGTCCGGAACCAAAGTGTCCAAGAGGTTACATGATTCGTTTGCAAATCCAAAAAGATTCAAAAGAATGTGCAAAGTAAGAAAAGTTTTGAAAAGAAAAAGCAGAATTTTCATTTTTCATTTTATTTTTTTCAATTTAGATTCTCTTGTGAGGCAGCTGCTGTAAATGACGCTGTTTGCAATGTCACTGGTCGAACCTTCAATACATTTGACTTCACAGAGTTCAAATATGACATTTGCAATCATCTTCTTGCTCGCGATGCTGCTGATGAGAAGTGGAACGTGATCATGAAGAAAAATTGTTCGAGTGGAAACAACATTTGCAGAAAAGAGATTGTGATTAAAGATAAAGTTTCCATGTACACTTTGACTCTTTACCCATCGTTGACTGTCAATCTCGATGGATATCCGTAAGTCGATGTAGCTTTTATTTTACTTTCTTTTGATCTGAAAACGAAAACGTGAAAATTAAATTTCATTACAGCTTCACAGTTGAACAATTGCAGAAAACGAATCGGAAAATGACTTTTACAGTTTCAAAGAACGGTGGAAGTTTACTTTATGTTTCGCACACACATGGAATTTGGTTGATGTTTGATCGATTCGGTGACGTGAAGTTTGGGGTGTCAGGAAAATATTCTGGAAATGTTGATGGCCTTTGTGGCTTCTTTAATCGTAAAAAGACTGACGATAAACGAATGCCTAATGGAAAAGTTGCGTCATCAACTGTTGAATTTGGCGACAGTTGGTCGTTGAAAGATGTTGGTCAAGTTGATTGTAAACCTCATGTTTGTCAGAAAACGTTACAAGATGTTGCTTGGACAATTTGTAATTTAGTTAAAGACAATGTTTTCAAATCATGTCACGCCATCATTGACCCAACAAGCTTCATTTCGAAGTGCATGGAAACAGCGTGTGATTGCTTATTGACAAGTTCGAACGCTTCATCCGATTTAGATACGTCCATGAAAGAATGCAAATGTTCAATGTTGCAAAATTATGTCGTTGATTGTATGGCAGCGGACGAAGCAGTTCATTTAGAGACATGGAGATCAGTACATTCTTGTGAAGCTTCATGTGAGTCGCCGTTTGTCCATCACGATTGTTATCGACGAAAATGTGAAACGACATGCAATAATCTTCGAGTTGCTGAATGTTCAAAAGTAACTGGAACATGTTTTTCTGGTTGTTATTGTCCATCTGGAACTGTCCTGAAAGATTCAACATGCATTCCAATTAGTGAATGTCGTGATTGTGTTTGCGATGGTTTTGGAAAGTCACAATACTTGACTTATGATAGAAAGAACTTCACATTTGATGGAAACTGCACTTATCTTCTAACGCGCGATATTTCACTGAAAAACATTCACACGTTTCAAGTTTATGCTACCATTGGCCCTTGCGATGCGAAATCTCAGTCAACATGCACGCAGGCACTTCATTTAATATACGGCAATCATATCATTCACATAGAAAAAAGCACGACAAACAGTTTCAAAATCATCGTTGATGGAATGACATTGAAGAGTTTGCCATTTAATCAGAAATGGGCGAAAATTGCTGAACAAGGAAAATCTTTGAGTATTTTACTTCCCGAGTCTCAAGTAGAATTGCAAAGCGTTTTTGAGACAATGTCATTCAGTGTAAGTTAGAGTTTAATTTCTCATAATTGTTGTTAATTGTCATCCTTAGTTGTTGTAAGAAAACTTTAATAATTTCTATATAATCATGTAGATTAAAGTGCCGAGTGTTAAGTATGGAAGTAAAATGGAAGGAATGTGCGGAAATTGCAATGGAAATCCTAACGATGATATCATCACAAATCCAGCAAAAACAGATTTCCCGAAAGGTGCAAGTTCAATGGAAAAATTCGCTTTGAGTTGGTTGGCAGATGAGCCTAAATTGCAACTGTCAGAGGATAAAGACACTTGTTATGTTGATGATGAAAGCGACTGCCTTCCTTTACCTCCAGAAGACGACCCTTGCTTCAAAATTCTTGATGAAGACATTTTCGGTCAATGTCACTTTGTTGTTGACCCAATCATGTACGTCACCGCATGTCAACAAGATTTGTGTCGAACTGGACCGAGTCAAAAAGGTTCTTGTGAAACTGTAGCCACATATGCGGACGAATGTGCTAAAAATGGCGTTTGTGTTGATTGGAGGAAAAATAATTTCTGTACTATGGATTGGTAAAACAAGATTTATTATGCATAAATATTTCATTTCTCATTCATTGAATTTTCACAGCGTTGCACCATTTGTGTACAGCTCATGTGGATGTTCTGAAACATGCAAGACAATAGAAGAGAAACAAATGAAATTATCATCTATTAAGGATGCAAAGAACGCTGAGAAGCTGAAATCAATTTGTAGTACAACATTACGGGAAGGTAAGAGACCATTAAAAGCTGATTAAGATCGAGACAAAAAAGAGCAAATAAATATTCTGAGATAATTTATAATTCATAATTGAATTTCTTCTTCTTAAGGTTGCTTCTGTCCAAATGGAACAGTTCTTCATAATGGAAATTGCATAAAAGAAGTAGAATGTAAAGTCTGCGATGATGAAGTAAGCCAATTAATTTTGATGAAGTTTTATTTACAAGAAGATAATTTTATGGTTTTGATAATAAAATCTACAAGGGTCATCTACCAGGTGACATTTGGCATCCTGATGTCTGCACATCGTGTTCATGTCGTAGCGATGCAAGCATACAATGCCAAAAAACTGAATGCCCTTCACAACAGACTATTTGCGAAATTGGATACAAAGCAATTGAATCTTCCACAACTGGAGAATGTTGCAAAAAATATGCTTGTGTTCCCGACATAATGCCCACAAAACCAACATCATGTCCTCAATTAGTTTTGCCCAAATGTGGTTTCGACCAGACAAATAAAATTATAAACGACACCGATGGCTGTTCCAAATTTATTTGCGGTAAATACAGTGAAAGAACCATCTGCAAATGAAGAAACAAAAAGAATATTTAAAACAAATCTCAACTTTCTTTTTCACCAACTCACAGATTGTATTCCAAAAGAACAATGCAAATCAGTGCAAAATTTCCCGACACTTGAGCCCGGCATCAAACAAATAATTGACACAACGGGATGCTGTCCGGTGTCGAAACTTGAGTGTGATAAATCCCTTTGTCCAGCAAAACCATCACAATGTTCGGAAGCTTTCTATACTCTAGAGAAGATAAAGTCGGTCAATGCTGAGAATTGTTGTGATATGTTTGAATGTCGTAAGTTAAATTGAGTTAAGAAAGAAGAAAAATTGTTTGCGTTGATTTTCTGTTTTCCTTTTTTCATTGACCGTAATCAAACAAAGGTCCACCGTCGCATAATTGCATAGCAGATATCGAAGGAAAAAAAGTTCTGAAACCAATTGACGAGAAATGGCAAACAAATGACATTTGCGAGACTGCTGTCTGTGCATTTGACACAAATGGGAAACCTATAATTAAGAAGCAACGTGAAACTTGTAACACTCGCTGTCAGTTGGTAAGTCATCAGATTTTCCCTTTGTTATTTTTTGGCTTTGGCTTTGAATATTTAACGAAACAGTAACATTATCGCTTCTAATTTTCTCGCGACAAAAACATGCAAAACAAAGGGATTCGAGTTGAAGCCAATACCAGACAAATGTTGTGGTCAATGCGTTAAAACAAAATGCGTTGTGGACAAAAAGTTGTATAATGTTGGTGCTGAATGGAAGAGCGCTGACAATTGCACGACATTTATTTGTAATATTAAGGACGACGAGATTTTCATTTCTTCGATGATGCCGACATGTTCTGATGTTTCAAATTGTCCCCCATTGATGCGTTACACTGATGGTTGCTGTGAAAAATGTAAATTGGAATCACTTTCCCAACAAAATTGCTTACCCGAATCACTTGCTGAGAAAGTCACACTTGGCTTGATAAAAACTCAAATACCACCTCATGGAAAATGTCAAAACTTTGAGCCAATTCGAGGTGTTACACAATGTTCTGGAACATGCAAATCTGGAACGATTTTTGATCCAAGTAAGTTGAAAAGCAAACGAAAACTTTTTCAATTAAAATTTGAAGTAAATTAATTTGTTTCTGACTATAAAAATAAACTTCTTTAGTCACTTTCCATCAATTGAAAAGCTGTGACTGTTGTTCGGTAAGCAGTGTCAAAGAAATTGCTGTTGAACTTGTGTGTGAGGATAAATACAAGCTTATCAAACATTTCAACGTTCCATCATCATGTGCATGTTCAAAATGTGGCGCCGACGACATAAAAAGTCTAAAATTGACGGCATCGTCATGAAACTTAATTAAATATTATTTAATGAAAAATACCTCATAAGAATTGTAGCGTTAAGTTGCTTTTGATTCTACTGCTGCGAATACCAACCTAGAATTTAAGCTTTTGGGTTCATGTGAAATGTTATTAATGTTTACCAACGTATACGTAAAGCATGCTTTAATTTTGCTAAAAACAAATAAAATTCATAGAAATATGATTTACAATCAAACATTTTCATCTCTGATTCAATGTACTTCGTAAACAGTTTTCTCTACGAATTTTCACATGATAAGCAATTAAATTTAGATTTGTCTGACTTGAGTTATGAAAGATTTAAAGTTTGATAAGAATAGAAATATGACGGAGAAGCTAAGGAGAGACGAACTCACGCCAGTTTTTTTCCTTTATAGAAATGTGGTCGAGACAAGTGGAATGATGAACGGCTGTGTTGACTTGATTTAGATTTATTTGTGGTTGAAATGGCAAAATAAGTTTGCTGAACTCTTCATTGGTTTATTTCATGAAATATTTGAAATATTGTACATTCTAAAATTTTCCATTCTGAGGTTTTACATCAATTAAATTTCAGACTATTTGGAAAGATAATTGACATGAAAGGAATTTCGAGACCATTCTTGAGAATTATGAAATATCCGACCGAGTTGTCGATGAAATTTTCTGTTCCACTTCTGCACAAGTTTGAGAGCGGCTTATTTGTTATCAACTGTTACAACTTATATTGGATTTAGGTGTCGAAAGATGAAGGATAAACAATGCACAAATTCATTTTGCTATGCCGACAAATGTTGTCATAACAAAAGTTGATGCAAGCAGCATAAATATATGTTTATGTAAATATATATCTTGATAAAACTTTAAACTTAATAAGAAAGAAATATTTTTTCTGTAAAAGCAAACATATGCGATTTTGCAGGAGAAATGAATGGAAATGTGGGAAAATTCTCTTGATGTGCAAGCTTTTGACGGATGAAATTTCAAACTCTAAAGTAAAGAAAATTTACATAAAATTTTCTTTGTTTTAAAATTTCAAACATAAATTCAGATCGTAGAGTCGTGCCAAGTTATAAGCTTCACAGAGTTCCCTTTGATCTGATTACAAAGATACTCAGAAATATTCACAAATTAAATTCAAGAGATTAACTTTTCAAACTCTGAATTCGAAAGCTCATCCTATTACTTAACATTTAATTGCCTTCCTCTAATTAAGGAAATTTATTTTTGTTTTGTGAATAAGCATATCAAATTCTTCTATTTACTCTTGTTACGATTATGTTTTGAGAGTTAAGCAGCTTATTATTGTCATCATTGTATCATCAAATGTTCAAACATTTTTATTTCCAAATAAACATTTCTAGAAGAAAAATTAAATATTTGCAGTGGTAATCTATCTTAATTAAAATCGAGTGAAGTTTCATGTAAATTCATTTCAATTAAGTGAAATTTGCTGTTCCGAAAATCGACAATTTTAAATCATTTCAATAAGTTAATTTTTTTTACATAAGTACGCATCATGACCTTCACATCCACCCACACTTTCTTTATTCAATCACGGCAATGTTTTTCCTTCCTTTTTCTTCATTTCTCAGCTTCGGCAGATTTCTTTTCCTTCCTATTTCAGTTCGTCCATTTAACAAAATATCATTTGTCGACATATGCTGACCAGAGGGAATACATTTAGGTTTTTCCTCCGAACATGTCGTGATCTGATGAATTAGAGAAACTGAGTAAGAGCGAGATGGAGAATGTTACCAAATATGTTTACATCAGAAATTTATGTATGAAAATTCGAGATATGAAAACAAGAGAAAAAAGAGATTTTTCAGTTTTTGCGAGTGGGAGTTAAGCAATTTATGTTCATATGCAGAAAAACGTTGGTCAATAAATCTCACAATGACTAAAAATGAATATTTTAGAAACATGACGAAGACTATGGTGAAAATAAATTACATATTGCAGAAGCGATAGATGTCAAGCTGGTGAATGGCATTAATAAAATGATGTCAAATATGAAATAAGTTTTTATTATGAACAACATATTATGTTGTTGCTGCTTATGTTTGCTATTCAATTCTCCACTGCTTCCGATAAATAGCCGATATAAAACTAAACTAGTGGATTATTGAACGGTTGTTGCAATATTTGGTTGGCAGTAAATATAAATCCTCAAACCGTGACAAGTTAGACCAATAAAGTGAACAGTGTTGACTTAAGTTTATCAATAAAATACTTCGAACCACTTCCAAATATTATTAAAAATCTTTGTCAATAAAAAAATTCTGTTTGCTTTGTTGATGGCCCCTAAGGATATTTAATTGAAAAAGGCTTCTACAACATGTTGAAGTATTTGAAGCTTTCAAATGGAGAAGCTTTTATCGCGTAATTAAACCAACGCAAACAACAAACGTTGTATGTTGATCGGGATTACCCACATGAATAGTTCTCTTCATTGTTCAGTGATTAAATATGAAAATTTCATTAATTAGATCCGGTTATGAAGCGAGCGAAATATTCTTCATGAATTAATTTAAAATACATTAAAATCGTATATCAAATTGATATCATCACANCCGATATTTACTGAAGGAATTGTTGAGCCGCTTTGTGATGATCCACTTGGAATTGAAAACAGTGCAATGAGTCCAAATCAAATCACATTTAGTTCGATTAAGGATGCTGGTTCAGTGAAGACGAAAGTTCGAAAGAATCCTTTAGAGATAATTAAACTAAGTTCAACGAGGGGTTGGATGCCACTAACTGTTAGCATGACAGAATATGTCCTTGTAAGTTGAAACTGTCAACTTTATGTTCTTCTTAGAATTTAAACAAATAAATTTTATTCACAGTTTGACTTTATTGAAAACCGAAAGTTGACTGGAATTGTAACAAAGGGCGGTGAATACGGTTGGGTGAAATCATTCAATGTTCTTTATTCACAAGACAACATCATTTGGAATAAAATTGAAGACGATTCCGGTGATGCGTTTGAGTTCTTAGCAAATGTCGACGCGTATAAAATTAAAAAGAATTTCTTTAAAAGTCCTGTCAACGCTCGTTACATGAAAATTCAACCAACAAAATGGCACAGCACAATTGAATTAAAGATTGAGCCAATTGGATGTTTTGTTCCTTACCGTAAGATTATTGTCGTAATTTAATCATTAAATATTTTAAGTAAGTGATGAAAATGTTTTATTTAAAGCTGTCATAGCTCAAGCAGCCACAACTAAACCTGAAGTTGAGATTGTAACGCCGAGTACGTGTGGTGTGTGTAAAGGTATTCTTGCACCACGACCTGTCAGACCCAGTGCCTGTACATGTTATCCACCACTTTATTGGAGTGGCTCAGAATGTGTACCACAATCACAATGTCCTTGTGTCGAAGGTCACATGATTTATGAGATTGGAGAGACTTATCAAACGGAAGATTGTGCCGATTGTATTTGCAAGATTGGTGGCGTTCCAGATTGCAAGCCGAAAGTTTGTGCGCCATGTGGTCAAGGTTTACGTCGCGAATCACCGAAATCTTGTTCATGCCAATGTGTTCCATGTCCACCAGATACAATTTTATGTCAGACAAGTGGAGAATGTATTCCTGAAAGTTCATGGTGTGACGGAGTTCAAGATTGTCCCGATGATGAAAAGAATTGCATAATAACCGAAAAACCGATGATTTTCGTTAATCGAACTGAAACATTGAGTAAGTTCAATAAATCAATCATGATAAGATATTAATTAACTTCATTCGTTAACCAAAGTGTCCAAGAGGTTACATGATTCGTTTGCAAATCCAAAAAGATTCAAAAGAATGTGCAAAGTAAGAAAAGTTTTGTTTGAAAAGAAAAAGCAGAATTTTCATTTTTCATTTTATTTTTTTCAATTTAGATTCTCTTGTGAGGCAGCTGCTGTAAATGACGCTGTTTGCAATGTCACTGGTCGAACCTTCAATACATTTGACTTCACAGAGTTCAAATATGACATTTGCAATCATCTTCTTGCTCGCGATGCTGCTGATGAGAAGTGGAACGTGATCATGAAGAAAAATTGTTCGAGTGGAAACAACATTTGCAGAAAAGAGATTGTGATTAAAGATAAAGTTTCCATGTACACTTTGACTCTTTACCCATCGTTGACTGTCAATCTCGATGGATATCCGTAAGTCGATGTAGCTTTTATTTTACTTTCTTTTGATCTGAAAACGAAAACGTGAAAATTAAATTTCATTACAGCTTCACAGTTGAACAATTGCAGAAAACGAATCGGAAAATGACTTTTACAGTTTTTTTATTTGTAATATTAAGGACGACGAGATTTTCATTTCTTCGATGATGCCGACATGTTCTGATGTTTCAAATTGTCCCCCATTGATGCGTTACACTGATGGTTGCTGTGAAAAATGTAAATTGGAATCACTTTCCCAACAAAATTGCTTACCCGAATCACTTGCTGAGAAAGTCACACTTGGCTTGATAAAAACTCAAATACCACCTCATGGAAAATGTCAAAACTTTGAGCCAATTCGAGGTGTTACACAATGTTCTGGAACATGCAAATCTGGAACGATTTTTGATCCAAGTAAGTTGAAAAGCAAACGAAAACTTTTTCAATTAAAATTTGAAGTAAATTAATTTGTTTCTGACTATAAAAATAAACTTCTTTAGTCACTTTCCATCAATTGAAAAGCTGTGACTGTTGTTCGGTAAGCAGTGTCAAAGAAATTGCTGTTGAACTTGTGTGTGAGGATAAATACAAACTTATCAAACATTTCAACGTTCCGTCATCATGTGCATGTTCAAAATGTGGCGCCGACGACATAAAAAGTCTGTAAATTCATTTCAATTAAGTGAAATTTGCTGTTCCGAAAATCGACAATTTTAAATCATTTCAATAAGTTAATTTTTTTTACATAAGTACGCATCATGACCTTCACATCCACCCACACTTTCTTTATTCAATCACGGCAATGTTTTTCCTTCCTTTTCTTCATTTCTCAGCTTCGGCAGATTTCTTTTCCTTCCTATTTCAGTTCGTCCATTTAACAAAATATCATTTGTCGACATATGCTGACCAGAGGGAATACATTTAGGTTTTTCCTCCGAACATGTCGTGATCTGATGAATTAGAGAAACTGAGTAAGAGCGAGATGGAGAATGTTACCAAATATGTTTACATCAGAAATTTATGTATGAAAATTCGAGATATGAAAACAAGAGAAAAAAGAGATTTTTCAGTTTTTGCGAGTGGGAGTTAAGCAATTTATGTTCATATGCAGAAAAACGTTGGTCAATAAATCTCACAATGACTAAAAATGAATATTTTAGAAACATGACGAAGACTATGGTGAAAATAAATTACATATTGCAGAAGCGATAGATGTCAAGCTGGTGAATGGCATTAATAAAATGATGTCAAATATGAAATAAGTTTTTATTATGAACAACATATTATGTTGTTGCTGCTTATGTTTGCTATTCAATTCTCCACTGCTTCCGATAAATAGCCGATATAAAACTAAACTAGTGGATTATTGAACGGTTGTTGCAATATTTGGTTGGCAGTAAATATAAATCCTCAAACCGTGACAAGTTAGACCAATAAAGTGAACAGTGTTGACTTAAGTTTATCAATAAAATACTTCGAACCACTTCCAAATATTATTAAAAATCTTTGTCAATAAAAAAATTCTGTTTGCTTTGTTGATGGCCCCTAAGGATATTTAATTGAAAAAGGCTTCTACAACATGTTGAAGTATTTGAAGCTTTCAAATGGAGAAGCTTTTATCGCGTAATTAAACCAACGCAAACAACAAACGTTGTATGTTGATCGGGATTACCCACATGAATAGTTCTCTTCATTGTTCAGTGATTAAATATGAAAATTTCATTAATTAGATCCGGTTATGAAGCGAGCGAAATATTCTTCATGAATTAATTTAAAATACAACTATTTTAATTGATTTCAATTCGATAATCAATGATTTAATTTTAAAAATGAATTTAATTTGATTCTTTGTTTACTTTTTGAAGAAATCTACAAAGTAGATCAAAAATAAACTTTTCCACCTATACTTAAGCACACGTGCTCCATTTTCGATGAACCACAATAATCCAAGTTGAGCCAAAAAAAAATGTCTAAGTTGTGCCCCTCGTGTCCAATTGAAGACAAAAATTGCAATGTTTTCATTTTCAATTTATGTTACTTAAACATCATTGGATCGGTCTCCAAAAAATTACATAAACAGTCAATAAGTGTAACAACAGTTTTACGTTTACTTTTTTCAATTCCATCGCCCACAACGAAAACTATACTTGTTGAAAGTTGAAATTTGTAAAAAAGATGCGAAATTCATGCTAACTTTGGAAAAAGGCTCTAATGATTTCAATGACCTTTCATGCAATAGATTTCTTTCATTAAATAATTACACTGTAGATATATTTTTGTATAATTAAGTAATATTATAGAGACGAACAAAGCTGGTCGATCTGAAAGTTCTTTAATTTCCCGATCCACATTCCAGCTCTGGTCGAGAGTAGGTTACTTGTACAATTTCATTATTTTATTGTAGAACATTAAGTCAAAAGGCATTTCACTTATCATTCTAAGATTTGACAATTTCAATCTGACCCAAAATCGAGATGATAATTCTGAAAAAAATTCAGAAATTCCAATTCATATTTCGCAATAAATTTTTGTTCTCAATTCAAAAGCGTTGATTGAATTCACTTCATTCCTTCTTTTCAGTATCTTTTCAATTTATATTCTTTAAGTATTCATTTAAAACATAGATANTTGATCTGATTACAAAGATACTCAGAAATATTCACAAATTAAATTCAAGAGATTAACTTTTCAAACTCTGAATCCGAAAGCTCATCCTATTACTTAACATTTAATTGCCTTCCTCTAATTAAGGAAATTTATTTTTGTTTTGTGAATAAGCATATCAAATTCTTCTATTTACTCTTGTTACGATTATGTTTTGAGAGTTAAGCAGCTTATTATTGTCATCATTGTATCATCAAATGTTCAAACATTTTTATTTCCAAATAAACATTTCTAGAAGAAAAATTAAATATTTGCAGTGGTAATCTATCTCAATTAAAATCGAGTGAAGTTTCATGTAAATTCATTTCAATTAAGTGAAATTTGCTGTTCCGAAAATCGACAATTTTAAATCATTTCAATAAGTTAATTTTTTTTACATAAGTACGCATCATGACCTTCACATCCACCCACACTTTCTTTATTCAATCACGGCAATGTTTTTCCTTCCTTTTTCTTCATTTCTCAGCTTCGGCAGATTTCTTTTCCTTCCTATTTCAGTTCGTCCATTTAACAAAATATCATTTGTCGACATATGCTGACCAGAGGGAATACATTTAGGTTTTTCCTCCGAACATGTCGTGATCTGATGAATTAGAGAAACTGAGTAAGAGCGAGATGGAGAATGTTACCAAATATGTTTACATCAGAAATTTATGTATGAAAATTCGAGATATGAAAACAAGAGAAAAAAGAGATTTTTCAGTTTTTGCGAGTGGGAGTTAAGCAATTTATGTTCATATGCAGAAAAACGTTGGTCAATAAATCTCACAATGACTAAAAATGAATATTTTAGAAACATGACGAAGACTATGGTGAAAATAAATTACATATTGCAGAAGCGATAGATGTCAAGCTGGTGAATGGCATTAATAAAATGATGTCAAATATGAAATAAGTTTTTATTATGAACAACATATTATGTTGTTGCTGCTTATGTTTGCTATTCAATTCTCCACTGCTTCCGATAAATAGCCGATATAAAACTAAACTAGTGGATTATTGAACGGTTGTTGCAATATTTGGTTGGCAGTAAATATAAATCCTCAAACCGTGACAAGTTAGACCAATAAAGTGAACAGTGTTGACTTAAGTTTATCAATAAAATACTTCGAACCACTTCCAAATATTATTAAAAATCTTTGTCAATAAAAAAATTCTGTTTGCTTTGTTGATGGCCCCTAAGGATATTTAATTGAAAAAGGCTTCTACAACATGTTGAAGTATTTGAAGCTTTCAAATGGAGAAGCTTTTATCGCGTAATTAAACCAACGCAAACAACAAACGTTGTATGTTGATCGGGATTACCCACATGAATAGTTCTCTTCATTGTTCAGTGATTAAATATGAAAATTTCATTAATTAGATCCGGTTATGAAGCGAGCGAAATATTCTTCATGAATTAATTTAAAATACATTAAAATCGTATATCAAATTGATATCATCACATTTAATATCATTTTTCTCCTCCTGTTTGGCTAAAATTCAAAGAATTTTCATTATTAATTTTCCAGGATATTCATCGATGTTTGTTGAACGAAACAACCAGAGAGATAATATTTATTTAGTTAGCATGTACATATATCATGTAATGGCTTTCTCGTACAAACACCCACGATGAGTTCCATTCCATATTTCACCTCACACTTCCTTATTCAACAATTCTACATGATTACAAGTAGAGACGTTATGATAATTTACTGATTATGACAATATTTGAATAACTTTCACAACAGGAATGAAACACAGAAGGAAAAGAGATTTCAATAACTTGAATCTGTGAATTTCAGATTGATCATTAAATTCATGAAGAAATTCTTTATTAATTAAATTTAATTTAATTTCCTTCGAATATCTTCATACAAAGAGATTGCTGAGAAGCTTCTTTAAAGCTTGAGGGTAAGGAAATGTTTCTCTTTCATGAATCAGATGCTAAAAATTAAAATGTTTTCATAATTTCGTGCTTACATTGTTGAAAGCTATTCGTGAGCCTTCCAGGAGGTTGTTAACAATGTTAATTACGGATCAATGAATAGATTTATTTTTATTCATATTAAATTAAACTTGAAGTAGGTGGAAAATAAACAAATCGTAATCAATTAAGGTTGAAAAACTTGAATTGTTTACATTTTAAAACTTTTTATTCAACAAACGTTATAAAAATAATAATTTTACAATTTTCCAAGTTTCTAGCGAGTATTTTCCGATTAAAAATGCTGAGATGCGCTCGAGGAACATCTTTGTGGCGACGATTTTTCAAGTGAAGGCGAACAAGATCTTGATCGGCTCGACGTCATCGACAAATTCTTCGGATACGAATTTATTGACGACACAATTTGTCGAGGCATAATCGATGTTGTCGTTGTGGAGATAGAGGGTGGAGCAATCGATGTCAAAGTTGATGTCGATACAGATCCTAGTGGATAGGACAAGCTCATTTTTCTCTCACCATAGTTCATGTAATGACTGTTCAACTGATTGTTCAGTTGATTATGAAGCTTATTCATTTTATAGTCTTTTCTTAAATGCTGTCGAATTTCAGTATGACAATGCTCATTGTTCGTTACGATAATGTCACCCGCGTCAGTTGTCGTCACTCGTGCTTTGCAATTATATTTTCGCGATAGATTGCATTGCCAATATTTTTTATCCTTTCGAATATATTGAATTCCAAACGAATAACCATCATGAACCAACAAAGGTTTGCCTTTAAATTATTTAAAATAAAAAAGATAAAAAATTAAATTAAATTCCGTGGGTGGTAAAAGAATTTCTTTTTATTCATTATTCACCTCTTTGACTCAACATGAATTGTAGCTTTCCGCTTATCCAACGTTCGCCTGGAAGTACTGTGAAAAATGATTAATGGAAATTGAAAGTTTTTCCTTGATTGAAATAAAGGAAAAAGAAAAGAAAAAGTTTATTTTCATGAATTATCATTCAATTGCGTAAACAGCTGTGGTAAGGATGAAGAATGAAGGGAAGGGGAATAATCAATTATTGCTGCTTGTTATTATTGTATCAATATTCATATTGGATAAATTTCTTGTTTGATGTTGTTGTGCGATTTGCAAATTATCTAATGACGCGCTTATGATTGGCGTGATTTGTATATTGCTATCCAATTGATTTAAGGCCAATGAAGGTTGCGATAAAATTCCATTTGGATCTATGTCAGACAATTGCGAATTCAAAATATTTGTCATCGAAAAGTTATTGTTGTGTGCGACATTTGAGGCTCCAAAATTCATGTTCGCATTCATTTGCTGTTGATTTATCATCGTCGGTGATGGCATGCTTGGGATTTGATTTGACAGTGGTTGGGCGAAAGTTTGAATGTTTCCGGCGACTGTTTGCTCGATTGGCAGATCTATTTTAGCGCCAGTTGAATTTTTGACATGTGGAGGATGGTTGTGGGTGCCTGTAGTACTCATGATTCGCCCTTGTGCTGTAATACATCGAGCACGACAAGTTGTCAATCGATATGAACGGCTGGTGATTTACGATTATTTATTGAATCATAAGAGAAAGAAAGAATTGAAAACATTTTTGTTTTTCTTCTTCAGAGTTCTTTTTTGTAAAGAGAAAATAAAAAGTAAATCACCATAGCCAATAAGTTTTCATCCCCTGCTGTGTAGCAACAGTGTTATTGCGATTAAATATCATAGAATTGTGAAGTAGACTTGTAGCTGATAACATCGTTACGTTCGAGAGATTCGTGCTGGTACCTGTTGAAAGGTACAACAAATTTCATTAGAATCATAAGCGATTTAAAATCCTACTCATTGATATGTATGTTAACATTCAATATGGCAACAATCTCATAAAGCTTTGAGAATTAAAAGCTTTGTCGACGAAAATAAAGATTTAGTGTCAAACATTATCATCACACATTTGGCTTTGCTCGACTTAAATTTATTTCTACGAGTACGTACATCCAATTTTTTTAATTATCATAATATTTTTGTCTCTCGATTCGTTTTTTGTTTATTTATGTGAAGAAGAAGACAAAAAAATGATCGTTTCGAGTCTCTAAAAGCGTCGAAATTATTTAAAATTTTTTGGGTCAAACATTGCTCAGAGTCTTTTATTTTACGATTAATAACTTCTCCTTCAAATCATCAGAAGCTTGTTGTGCTTCTGTGTTTTTTAGAACGTTATGGGATTTATCAGTTTTATTATTATGATCTTTGATATTTCCACAACTTTGCTGTTTTTTTTTTATTTCTTCTCTTAAAAAGTTGTCATTAACTGTGAGAATAAATCAAGTGAAATATGCTGATGTTTGTATAGTTTATCAAAGATTAAACTTGCTTCCTTACACATGTAACCCTATAAAGGCATCTAAAAGTGAAAACGATTAAAAAGTATCTTTGATCGACTCATCAACGACTCGAGAGATTTCTCATCGATCAACCAGAAGTGTTTAGCTCGGCATAAAACGAGGTCACATTGATAAACGAGAAAAGAATGAAATCGTTTTGCTAATGAAATATTTTTTAATTAGCTTTTAAGACATTTGCTTCATGACGGAACAAACTGAATGACAACAGACAAAAAAAAAACGATGAAGAATTAAAGAATGAATTGAGAAACGAACGTCATCGTCAATCGTTTTGTTTCTCTGATATATTTTTCTGACTTTTAACCTTTCTCAAGTCTACTAAGAAAAAAATTCCCTCGTAAGCAAACAGACACAGGAAACCAATGTGTGCGCGAGTTTCTTTTTCTCATCTCGTCTTGATTCGATAAAAATAATTTCATTTTTAACCTACGAGCTCGTTAAATCGCATTTTTATTCGTTTAGAGAACTGATAAGTAGACATCTTCAGAAAAGCAGCAGCAGCATTATCGAGTTGAGATGAAAAAGAAAAAACATTAAAACTTGAATCGAATATTGAAAGACGTTTAAAATTATATTAAAGAAGTTTCTTTCTCTCTTTCGCCCTTTTCTTTCCCTCCACCTTCACAAATATCGTCTCGAAATAAAAAGCAAGGAATAAAAAATTGTCTACGTTGCGCAATGAATGATAATGATGAATTTACATAAACTTCTTTTTTCCTTTCAAATTGTACGGAAATTAGGAATGGAAAGTAGTAATTGACAGTTTTCTTACCTGCAGGAATATCCATATGAATCGAAGGTTTCGATTCATTTTGCATTGTCATGTCGTTGTTTGAAAAGTCTGAGAAGTTATAAGGAAATGTAGCATTGTGCATTGAGTTCATGTTGGAATTTTCTATGAGAAAATAAAATAAGAAAATCATTTAAATATTCATTCTTCAATTTTTCGGAAGAATTCTTACGATATTGAAGCCCACGATAAGAGTTGTTGGGACTTTGTGGTTGAGATACTGTCACATCATTGACTTCACGCTTCACTGAATTTGTGTCAAAGCGTGGAGATTCATTGATTGTCACTTGAGGCTGCATCGCTTGTGGCAAAAACATATCATCCGAGGTCATATTATCAATGGAATCATTCATATCACTATCACCGCTAATATCATTCATCATTTGATTTCGTTTGATTTTCATTTGGTTTTGACGCTCAACAGTATTAATTTGATCCATAGTTCGCTTTTGGCCAAATGGTGATGTTGGCGTTTCATTCATTTTTAATGCTAATCAAAAGAAAATTTAATTAAATCGAATTGCCAAATAAAACAATTGTAAAGTGAATTATCGAAGAAAAATTCACCTTTTGCCGAATGGTTATCAACAGATGATGTTGTTGAGAGAGGCGTTGATGTTATTTGTCGATGATTTTCCGCGTGATTTCCACCGGAATTGAATTGGTGTTGAATATTATTGCGTGTGATAGAATTATTCGCGTGAAATTGACTGAATGTTGAAATCACCGGATCAGAAGCTTTCACGTTGTGCGTGTTATTGTTGTTATTATTGTTGTTAGTGTTTGTTGCCAATCCTTTGATTTGTAACGATTCCGCAATCGACATGAATGATTGTAACTCTGCTTGTTTAACATTAACTTCACCTTGATACATAAATTGTAAAAGTTCCGACATAATCGAGTACGACACATCTTTGAGGATAACTGGAAAGAGAGAGAAAATTTATTCACAAATCATCATTGAAATGATTTTGAATGGTTTATAAAAATCTTTTTAAATTATTCAAGTTTGAGGGAAGATAAGAGAAGTAATAAATTCAGTAATCGGATGTTTATTATTCTAAGGAGTTTCACAAAGTTTCTTTTATTTTCGGATTAGTTGGTTGTGCTTGCTGGCACATTTATGAATCTTAAAATTTCAATTTTTCAGCAACATACAGTGAAGTTTCTTTAAAGTATCAAACTACGTGAGCTGATTTATTATCATACATGAATAAATTGTGGTAGGAAATAAATTCAATTAAGTCGTCAATTGGGGAAAAGGAAAAACATATTTACATCATCAATCTCTGAGATAAATAATTTCTCATGGCTGTGAACCCACAAACCAAATTTAATCTTTATCTTGTGATAAACATGAATGTTTATGATCAACCTAATCAGTTAGTAAACATACATTGAGTCAATATCGTTATCCAATAGAACATAAGTTTAAAGATTATCATGTTGTAAGGCATGAGGAAAGTTTCTCAATTCTTTTATCTGTTGTATTGATAGACTTTACTCTCAATATTTGATAATTCTTTTATTTTCAATTTTTTTCTTCTTTCATCTCATTCCCACAGAATTTTTTGTTCCCCACCTACACCTCCCTTAAATATGTGTGTTTATTGTTGGAAACTTCTACACCGGAGAAAAGAAAACTAAACGAACGAAAACAAAATTTCTGATAACAAACACACAAATAATGGATATTCAACTCCTAAGCAACTAAAATGCTGAAAATGTTTTCGATTCTCAATCGGCAACCGATTATTTATGGTCTCGATAAAAAAGACTACTCGACAAAACGCAAAGTGGAGAGAAAAAAGTTTCTTGAGATATCTGATAAAAAATGTTATAAAGTTTAGTGCGGATAACAAGAAGGCAGTTTGCATGCACGAATGAGTTATCGATAGATAAAAAAAATATTTTGACTCACTTATTGGATGTCGACATGGGTTGTTGATGAAAATCTCTTTAAAGTACGGACTACAAATCGCTAACACAAGTTTATGACATTGTAATAGCTGACCATCGCATGCTATTGTGCAATCAACAAAGTCACCGCGATCAAATAAAGTCTGGAAGCCTGTCGAAAGGTTTTCTGCAAACTTCAATTTATTCCAACATAACGCAAACTCTTCCATTGTTGTGAAACCATGCGATAGATAAAGGATGAAATTTTTTTAATGAATGGAAGTAAAGCTTTTGTTGACTTGTCTTGTTAACTAAGCCACCAGACACAGTGAATTTAAATCTGAATTCTTCTTTTGAATTTTTATTTCTTATTATTATTATTACGTCTTTTTTATTTTTATTGTGTGTTCGGGGATAACTGATAAACTTCTCCAATTAAAATTTAAATTTATTTTCTCCCGATCTCTTATTTTTATTGTTTTGTTTGTTTTAAATGCCGATCCGTACGGCATCGATTTCAAGCACAAACTGAAAAAGGTTTATCATCAAACTTAAATGAAATATATTTTCTCTCAGTAAATTTTTAACGAATCTGTTCTTATCATTATCGGTTCGGGGGGAGAGGTAAGTCAGTGTTACCAGAGAGATAATGAATTCTGTTGCTTACATGCTTATTTATTTCATTTGTAAGTAATCTACTTAAAGCTGTTATCTTAATCTTGACCATTGAATTGAGAGTCAAAACGTTTGAGAGTCGATGAAATGATTTTCCTTCTCAATTCAAAGCTAATATTCAAAATAAATTCTCAATCTATTCACGATTGAAGCTTCAGGAATGAATATGAAATCAAGCAAAGTTTAATTAAAGTTACAAAGGCAAACAGTAAAATGTTGGGAAAGTTTAGGGAAAAAACTTATCAGCTAGCAATGATAATTTGTTTGCTCTTGTCGTCCCATGAATGGACCATTCAATTTACGTCGATATCGTTAATGTTAAGAATAAGGAAAAAGCAAGGAAGAGCAGAAAGAAAAAAAGGAAAAGGAAACCGAGAATCATTAGGATCTAAATATTTACCTTCACTCAACAACTGACGGGATAATAAAATCAAATGGAAAAGTTCTTATATAAATAAATCTAATGATACTTTCCTTGCACGGGAAAACAAGATTTTCCAATGGAAAATTCCTTTGTATCAAATGGAAAACTGGAAATTTCATCTTTAAAAACAAATTGATAGGCTGCCGGTTTCAGAATAAATTTTCCTTCTCATGTCCTCATCTTATAACCTTCGATAGCATCTTTGACGTGCGACAAACTGACGTCGTCTTAAAGATGTCTAAATTGAATTTTCTTCGAAATAAGATTCCATTTCAAGATCACATGAACACATTTTAGGGAGAATGTCTAAATAAAAAGAAAAAAAGATTTTGATGTTAAATTAATTTAACGATGTCTACCTTTTTCCTATAAAGAAATCATTCTAAATGAAAAAGCAATCGAAATTAAATCCTCATTGTCGTCCACGAAATTGCCGTCTTGTACAGCATATTAAACCCTCATTTTGACATTCGTGCGTGCTTGCGTCATGTCATGAATTAGCGTCGAAATAATGAAAGCTTAACTTACACAAAGTCACATAATAACAGAGCTTTCTTCTGCTACTACAAATAACTCAAAACATATTTTAATCAAAAAATTAGTCCCGACCAGCCCTCGTACATATCCTTTCGCATCTAATAGCTTAATGCCCATACATGTGGCTGGCTGGTCGGAAACGAGAAAAAGAAGAACGAAACTAATGAATGATAGGAGAAATAAATAAAATACATCTGCGATATTTTTTCCCTTCTAATTCTTCTTGTTCTTTAACGTCTCTGGTGTGGGTATGAGAGAGGGTTAGAAGGACAAAGACGAAGACGAAGACGGAAAGGAAACATGTTGTTCCTAAGCTTTTTCCTATTCTAAGTTAGCTTTATTATCTTGCTTTCTCCCACTTTCAGTAATCCGAGATGGTGAGTGAGATTTTTATTTTCGCATTGAAAGTTGGAACAAAGAAGCAATTTTTCTTCTTTTTACTTTTTTTTTTCTTAAAGAATTGATCATAAAAAAATGGAACAGACAAGAAGAAGGAACAAAAAAAAGTCAAAAAGTCGTGGGTTTTGGTAAGATTTGTGCCGAGAGAAAATTCATTATGACTATTGTAGATATTTTTCATTCTAGTCTGTGAAGTAGAATGATGAGAGATAAATTGACTTGCTTTCCTTTCTTTCTTTCATTATAAACAACAGTTTTCCTTCGTCTTATATTCATAACATTTATTTCATCGAGAAGAAGAAATATAAAGAAACGAAGCTTGAATAAGGATGGAATGTGATGCACGTCGTCGAATAAGAAAAATGAAATTATTTATTTCTTTCCAAATATAAATTCACTGTTCACTGTTCTATATTATGCACATATTTTCTGATAATTCATCTACTGTTTGTGCATGTAGAAGGAACTGTTGGCAGCTTATATTGATATTGTTTTTTTTTTGTTGGTGCTTTTTCCACGCTCCTTCGATTCGTGCCGCAAAAAAAAGGGAAAGGAAGGAAAAAATAATAAATTTTTGTTTGCGATTTTTCCTTTTTTCGAACAACAATTCTTCTATCAATTTCTATCTACTTACTTGTATGCTTCTTTATGAGAATTTTTGTGCTATCTCGTCTATCTTCAGTTTTACTCGTATTAATAAAGTTCGAAGCATATTTTTCACAGAACGTGATTTTGGTTTTTCCATCTCCAATTTTTATTTCATTTTTGAAATTATGAACCTTTGAGACTTGCTTCATTGCAAACAAAATTTGCTTTTTGAACGTGAGCTTGTGTTATTGAGTAACCGAACAGAACGGAAATATAATTAAGTTTAAATTGTAGTTTATCACTTTCTGATGAAAATTGAAAATTGGAAATAAAAAAACTGGTTTATGATTAAGCTAGTCAGAGCTTTAAAGAATATTTTTGGCAGAGAATTTTGTTGATTCTCTATGCAGGGCCTTGACTCGTCTCGCCTGAATTTCCATAATTCTACTCATCAGCGAACTTGGCACGATTCTGTTTCCACTGAACGGCTCGATTCATCATATGACTTGGCTTGTTTCATTTTTTGTTGGCACGACTCATTTTATTTTCTCATACAATGAGGTAAAGCAAACAAAAATTCATTTGCTCATACATAATTTCAATGAGCTTGAATTAGTTTCAAATCTAGAAACATCCTCCACACTGAGTGAACATCTTCCTTTGAAGAAATTGCTTCCACCTTTCATCCATTTATTTAATGATTAAATTAAAATTATTCAACGTATTTAAATAAATTCAAAACATTTCTCTTCAACTTCTAAAAATAATTTATTTCACTTTTTTAATGTATGTAAATTTAGCTTTCAACTTTTTTATGTACACAGAATACGAAACATTAACATACATGCTTTGAAAATATTTTAAATAAAAAAAACCGCACTACAGAAAGCTTTTTCCCTTTTTCAAAGCTTTCCTCGGTCAAAGAAATGGGAAAAAGGTGAAAATTATTTTTGATGCTGCAATCAAAAGGAAACCTTCTGACATTGCGGTTCAATTGGTTTCAGATTTCTGTTGAATCAAGTTTAGGTTAAAATTTAGCACCTCGACTAATTATTGTTTGAAATGAATGTTTTGGTGCTTGATTGTGTAGATGAGATTCACAAGATCGATTAAATTATTCAAACCATACTGTTCGTAAACTTTCTCCTAAAAATTTTAGATATTTGTAATCCAATTCTGTTTGTATCAACTCTCTATGCAAACTCTCTTAATGCTTTTCCCATGTTAACCCAGCTAGAGTCATTAAAAACTTTTAGTGTAAATACTATCAGGCAGAGGAGAGAAAAAAGTAAAAAAAAAATTAAATGTTGAAGATTTTTTATTTCTGTAAAAGCTTCGTCGAGTCTCTTAACTATCTAAATGTGTTCCCATTCCATTTTTGCATAATGATAACTGTAACTGTTGTTTGGGTTTTATCTCAAGAGAGTTTAACAGTCAAAAACATTGCTCTAGACTCCAAGTAGTCGTAATCGAAAACGATCATTTGCTAGCTGGCGCTTTAAAAGAGTGAAAAAAAAATTCGACTACAAGTCATTAAATTTTATTTTTATGTCAAAGCGAGATTTTCATCAATTTTAATGTGTTTCCTGCTGATTCCAGCAATGAATTTTACTCTCATCTCCCGGTGTATGTAATAAATGAAGAAGCTGAACAGCCAAAGTCCAACGGATGTGATGATATTTGTGCCAGATGCCATTAAAGTCGAGTCTCTTCTTGCCAAGCGTCGCTTGATAAATCAGAAAAACGAAGATGAAACTTATTGAGTTGTGAAATTCAAGAATTGATACTTTTCGTTTCCCTTCAGCTTAATAAGCTTTTTCAGTGAAAAAAGATCGGAGTCACTTAAAGAAATTCCAATGTTGATACTGGACTTATCGTTATCGCTGAGTAAACACATTATTGTCACCAACAATAGATAACTCGCCAGAGAAAAAGGTAGAAATCGAGTTTTCGGATTACCGTTATCAGGTGACATGTTATAAGATTTTCCACTTAAACTGGGTGTGAGAGAAAGAAAAGCTGCTTATCGAGAATATTTTGGTTCGCATTCTTTCACTTCTTTCTTAAGAGAAAATTCTTCAATGAAACTTATTTATGTTGTTTATGTTTGAGGAAATCCGCTTCACCTTATTTATATTTTTTCTCTTCCTTCAAAGTTAAGTAAACTCATGGATGCTGCAATTCAATTACATCATCAGTGAAAGGAAAACTTCAAAAAGATTAAAAGATCAAAGGTTCGGGCTTTGGCAATAAATACCATCAAAATCTGTTTAAATTTAGAAAAATGCCTATAGGGAGAAACTCGCAGGTGTTCAATATTTTCATCGAAATAAGAAATATTGGATATGTTATTTGGACGATTTACTTTTATCACTTCATTTAGCGGAAGAGATTATTTTCTTCTTTTTCCTCATCTCATCATGACATTGCTACTTGTTATGCTTCAAATAAATACTTATGTAGGTTGAAAAGAGTTTCCTTCAACCAGCAACCATAAGCTGATGTTCATGCTTGCAAAGCGATATTCAATTATTCCCTCTTCAGTGCTAAAATAAATGTCAGATTGTCCTCGTTCTTCCGTGGCAAGTATTTAAAATACGAAAGCACTTTCACATGAAAACCAAAGCTTAAACCAAAGCCACCCTTGCCGCCAATCTTCGAGCAACATTTATTTAACAATGAAGTGGATCGGCTTCATAAAATCTGATTTATTCAGATCCATAAACAATAAGCCGTAGCCTACATGTTTATCTTTTCGTTCGAAATATCCAAAGCAGAGCTTGGTGCGCTCCCGTAAACATAAGCATAAATTTCTGAACCGAAAAAAGCATAAATTTCATATTTTGATATTCACTCACATGCCGGCATGCAAAATATTCTGAGTCACTCACTTACTCTCTCTCCCTCCCTCTCTATCTCTTTTTTCTATAACATTCTATGTAACCCAAGAAGGAAGAAACATGGCATGCACTAAATATTCAGATTTCACAAAGACCGTACACAAACACAAACAAAGATGTTCATGTTCGGGAACAGGAGTGATCTAGTAAAAAGAAAGCACAACAGACAAAGTTTGTTTAACATAATCGTCAGAAGTTAAAAGTTGGGAACACCTGACTGGTTCTATTGAAGCAATTCCAAACAAAAGATTGTATAAAAAGAGCGAAATGAAGAAGAAAATGTTTTCACACAACAAATATCCTTGAGGCATGTTGTTCATAAACATCTAGTAGACAATTTTCGAATACCAAAAGGAACGAGACGGAGAGCAACGCATTTCATACACAATAAATTTCGATATTTATTGATTGCCTTTTGGCTCTATACTAGCTTCGACACGAACATCTTTCCACCCTTTCCTTCCATCCCAGATAAATATTATGTTCGAAGAAATGTATTATGTAGTCTCCCGAAATCTTTTCTTTTTATGTTTATGATGATGTGTGCACCTTGAGAAGAAAAGTTTATGTTGTTTAACCGTGAAAAAGGAAAAGCAAATTCCCTTGAAATTTTTTTCTTCTTTCATCTCCAGATGGTTAGCACGCACAGTCATAGATTTATGATGTTCATGGGACGCTTTTATGAGACGATATTGAATGCAATATGTCATGTTTCAGGTTTGGTTCTTATGGGCAATCGAAGGAATGACAAGAGAAATCAATAACGTTGAACCTGATATCGAGATTCGTGAATGGATGAGCATACTCGAACCTAATCACCGTAAACGTGTCGCCTTCATCATCGCATCGGGTTCACATATCATTCATATATTCTTGAAGACTTTTCTCTTTCTGAATTGCAATAAAATTTTATAACATCGATTTCAACGCTCAATTGCTTGACGCTGTTTAGTTGTTAACAATTTTCTTGCTCACAATTCTCATGCTTTGCTTATCTGTTCAAGAAGAGTGGCAAGTATAAATTTAGATAATGTTTAACATGCATGATACTTGCTGCTCATTTTCCACACAATTTCAAGTACATGATTGAATGGATTTGATGGCTGCTGATGATTCCATAAGCTCTTGTGAAATTTTCATGCATCCAACATGTATAAGCTTAGAAATTTTTATGTATCTTCGAAAAGTGAATAATATTTTCCGAAATCCGTACTTCATTTTGCGAAAACAGATTAATCAAATAAGCTTTCATGCAGCTTGCGCTTCTTCTTTATTTTTTTGTTGAACAAAAATTTTCCACATCGTCGTCTCGACTGTAAATTTTTAATAATTGAAAATGTAAACCAAACGACGATAGAGAAATACTTTTTGTATTTTTAAGAATTTCCTTTGCTGCACCGTTATATGTTTGCTTGATGTAAGATTTTCCCAGTCGTTCTTAATTCCATGTCAATAAATCAAATCAACGAAAGAAGGAAAAAAAATATTAATGCTCCCGGAGACGCAGCGCACATAAAAAACATTTCTCACTCACAACAAGAAAGTATCTAAATATGGTATTAGTGCTTGCTTCTAACCAACCAAACAGCCAAGCAAAGAACCATCCATCGATAGGAAAGGAAAAGCAAACGGCAGAGAATAATTCATAAGAAAGCCGAGCTTGAAATTTTCCTTCTTTTCAGCTTGGGCGCCAATCTCAATGAAATGGCCTTACTCGATAAATAATGGCTTGGGGGGCTGAAAGCAGCAACGTTAGAGGGAATTGAGAAAAGCACATTCGTAACTAACGAGTAAGACGGAGGAAATTACAATAAAAATAACTTTCCATATTACACACAGCATGAGTATTGCGATGGCGAAAAAAAGAAACGAAAAGATTGGCCCAGTTGTCGTCGTCGTCGTCGTCGTCGTTGTCGTCAGCGTCTTTCACGCCACAAAAATAAAAAGAAAAAAAAAAGTGAGAAAGAAAGAAGAAAGACGTGAAAATGAAATATAAATTCAAATGAAAATAAATTTCAACATTTAGCGACATTCATTCATTCTTAATGCTGTAATGTAAGCGATGTTTCAAGGGAAACTCTACGAACACACAGGAAAAAAAGAAGAAAGAAGAATTTTTCTACTTTATTGCCCTCTCCAATGTTGATTCACATTCAAGGGACGCGAAAATTTCGCACAGTTTTCCTTTTGGCCCGTTTTAATATTTTATCGGAGAGAAACGCCAGAGATTGAGCTTATGTAGCTGAGCTGAAAGCGAGAAAGCTTAAAGAAATAATGGAGTGAAAATTCCCTGGCAATATTAAATGATATCTTGTCGTCTTTCACAGCTCTAAAGTTTCCGTTTTCATGCTTTTTATGGAGTGTTTATGTTGGCACTTTTTTTTTGGTTCGTGTCTAGTACTTACTTTGTTCTGTTTGTCTCTTTGCCATCCTTTTAAAGTCACTGCTGGTCTCTGTTTCATTCGAGGGGATGATTTGAAAGGAATGTAAGTTTAAAGGAAATAGAAATTCAATTATCAATCATTCGAACTTCATTTCAACATTATTTTAGAACTATCCCGTTAATCTTTCTAGGAGTTTCTATTTCTAGCTTGAAACATCTCAGCTGGCTAAAGAAGAAAGAAAGAAGAGTCGTCTTTGAAGTCGACAGCAATAAAAGCACATAGAAACTAACTTGATGGTTTTTACGACTTTTCCTTAAACTTTGCCATTGCTTTTGCTCTTCTTAAGCTCAGTTGCCTCGAGTCTATATTTTCATTATTATCTTCAATCCCCGCCGGTTCTTTATACGCTGAGAAGGTTTAGTTAATTAAATATAATGGCAGAAAACGACGAAATGTTTTCTTCTGCAACGTGTTATGGTGAATTAAGCCTTTTTAAGAAGGAGAAACCTTAAAAGAAAGTCTCGGCACTTGTTGCATTATGATGATTATTATCAAACAACATAAATGAGGTTTCACTGACGTTTTCCGCTTGAACAAAAAGCTCTGTTGAGTTTGATGAGATCACCGTAAAAAACGTGGATTTGGTTTTTCTGATGCAGCACCGCAAATGCTTTTCAGACTTTAATGAAGCTTAAAGCAATCAAGAAAAAGTTAAAAAAAATTATGTAAAAGCTTTTGACGTTTAACAAAGAAAGAAATTTTTTTTTTCAAGATTACTTTATAATCAAATAACATTTCGTTTATGTCATCCCGTCTCATAAAAGATTTGGAAATGTGATGAAAATTAAGTAAATATAGAAAAGTTTCTTCTATCCATTCAGTATCAATAATTAAATGTTTTCACATCATCGATCAAAGATATTGCGACAGTTCTATCGATAAGCGTTGATGTAGAAATAATAAAACTTGTGATGCGGTCTTTATTTATTTATTAACAAATCGTTGATACCACCATAAACACCACCAGTCGTCACTCGATGACGACGAAGGGAAACTGATGAACTTTGAACAATTTCTCTCTCTCTCTCTCTCTCTCTTCTTCTTCTTCTTCTTTATTTCTTTCTTCTTCTTGATTGATAAAAAGCTTTTGACGTCGTTCGAGGACGGAAAAAAGAATCTAGAAATGATTTTTTAATGAGAAATTGATGGCAAAAAATGTTCTCGAATGTTTAGTCGAACAGAAAAAGGAAAACTGAAATTTGTTTCGTTTCCATTCTTAAAAATACTTACAAAACGTGAGTTAAAGGGAAATGAAAAGTTAATCTCGTGAATTTGTTGTGACGTTTGGTTTGACCTTTTTACGCCAATAAAAACGACAATGACATTGCGGGATGAAATTGAATGTGAAGGAACGATTAGAGAAATATTGACGAAGCCTTAAATGTTTCACGAAATGAATCAACAATCTTATCTTTGTTAAAATTACCTTCTCCCACTTCTAAATCAAAGAGATTTTACCCCAATTGAAATACTTGTGCAAGATTTTTCGTTTGCTTTATTTAAAAAAGGGCTTGAAGAAACATGGAGTCAGCCACGATCTTGGGTTGATTTCAGAAGTATTTAATTCGCTTGTATATATTATTATAATTTCCTTTTTTCCATGGCTCTTCCTTTCTTTTACTTCATACCATGGACAAATATTTCCACTGAAACCCTCCTTTCACTTCCGCTTCGAAAACAACATTGGCATTCAGAAAAATGTGAAAAATGATGTAATAAAAGCAGAGAAAAAAGTTTTTCCCTCTTTCAGCTCATTTTATTGCATCAATTCCGCAATGAAAATGATTAAATATTTCTGATTTAATAAATTCTTTTCTACTTCAGTAGAAAACCACCCTCGCAGTTCTAGCTATTACCAGTTCTTATGCTGAATTATTTCTCTACTACTGTTCATGTTAAATGGGAAATGAAAAGATGAGTCGAATTTCCGCTTGCAACCAAAACAAAGCGGTTTTAAATCCGCGAGAAAATGTTGTATTCTCATGGTTTCATGCCACCATTGACAAACGCGTTAAGAATTCTTCCTCGACAAGATAGATTTATTTATTTATTTTATGGTGGAGAATGTTGTTTTCCTTCTTTTCTTTCTTTCCATTAGTACGAATCAAAAAATGAAGAGAAAGAAATCCGAATGTTGAATTGAAGAAAGTTTTCATTTGAAATATTTTAACGAAAGAAATTCAATTCGCGATTCTTTAGCGAATTTTCCACAGCTTTACCAATTTAAATGAAAGAAGCTGCTGTCGCTGCTCGAAGAGAGGAAAACTCATTTGTGGCCTTGTTTATTTTTTTTATTGCTTTCATTGGGATGTAGGAGAGTTGAAAGAAATGTCACAAGCTTGAATGAATTTCCCTGAAATTTCCCCTTAAATGCAATTAATTATCTTATGGAAACAGTGAGGAAAATTTCATTTTCCCTACAAAGTGTTTAACTATTTGTCTCTTCTTCCCGTCATTGACAAATGATTTCAGTCCTATGAAATACAGCGAAACATAAATAAATAAACATACGCGGAAAAATGCTACGACAATAAATTTAAATTCTGCGTTACTCGATTTTTTATTTCTTTTTATTGGAATTTTTCAATTGTTGAAGAAATAAATTCGGCGAGAAATTTAATTTGTTGTCGAATTGACATCGGGGTGACGACTGACATAAATTTGCTTCTAACTTTCTTTGCGATGTTGTTTTCCTTATTCCGATTTGTTTTCCTTCTTGTTGCTTTCAATGTTCGAAAGTATTTTTGATGAAAAAGTTTCACTTCCGCGGGTTAGAATTCAACTTCCAACCTTTTTCAGAATTGCTCTCAAATTGAAATGATAAATGAACTAAGTTTAAGAACTCTTTTTCTCATTTTGATTTCGGTATGTCGAATGACAAGTATACGAATCCAATAAAAGATTTGAATGAATTCCTCAAAAGTAAATGTTTGTAAAACCTTTGAATTTCGTTAAACTTTGCTTTCAAAACTTTCACAGAAATCTATTTCAAACGTCCCGAAGTTCCAAACTATTGTCTTACTTCTTTACTTTTTTAATTAAATTCCACTTGAAGGATGAAATAAATTAAATTTTTTCTCTTCCAAAGCAGACATTACTCAAAAACATTGCCGTAAGCTAAGCGAGCGGTTTCTCTCTTATGGTCAACTTTTCTATGGGGGAATTATTAAAGCAGAACAGAACTTAAAGAATGTTTTCATCATTCATCGTAATATTTTATTAGTTTTTGTTTTCGAATCTAAGATTTGATTGTGAATGTCATGACAGAGTATTTAATAGCGAGATGAAAATGAGCCCCCGCTAGGAAAGAAATTTCTTTTTATGGATTTCTGTCTGTCAATGCATCGAAAACAACTTTACAACAGTTTTATGTCAGCTTTGGGAAATCGATGTGAAGCTTTCAGATTGAAAATCCATCTGAAAAGAAATCTTCCTTCTTTATGATTGAAAAGTTCCCTGAAATTCAATTTCATCGATGATTCTTCTTCTGTTCACTGTCAGTTCATCATGGATTGTAACAAATAAGTCAATAAAAGAAAAAACTTGCAAACACAAAGCGACATTTAGCGACGCTTACATCAAACGAGAATCTTTTAGATTATTTTCCCTGTCGAAAGCAAAGTTGTGAACATTAAATTGCAATTAAATCTTACTTTTATCGGCAATTATCTTTCCAACTCTCATAGAAACTTGCAAACAATGCATTAATCTGCATCCGGCAAGATGAAAAAGAAACGAATCGGAAACTTTCATTTCAGAAGATTTAAAAAAAAAAAGTCATTTAAATATCGTTTAATTAGGTATATTGATTGTAACGTGAAGTGGGCAAAAGGTGAATTTGAATTCAAATCAGGTAATAACTAGAACATAAGTTCTGAAGAGCTTTACATAAAATTACGCTAAAACTATCGAAAATATTTAGATGAAGGAAAGGAAAATTCCTTCAAACATGCTTGAAGAGTGAAATGAAACAAAAACAATTTTCAATGCAAAAACTAAAATATTTTTTCCATATCAAATAAACAAACAAACTTCCACCTTTGCATATTAAAAATTTATTGGATTCATTGTATTACGGAAACATTTTCATGCATCAACGAATTACATTTAAAATGCGCTTTTTATTCTTCAGAGCATCAAGCAATTTTTATGAAAGCTTTTCTTTCCCATTTTTTCTGCATCACGATTAAACTTTGCAACGTAATTCAATTTTTTTTCGCTCTCTGCATATTCTGAATTGAAATGGGAACAGTTTAAGATGATATTTAAGCAGAAGAAGAAAACAATTGAAAGTAAAAGGAAGGAGAATAATAAGCATAATTTGTGAATAAAGATGAACGATGATGTAAGATTTGTTGATAAGATGAGAGAAGTTGGAACTATGCCCGAGATTTTCATCATCGATGTTAATATTCGTGATATGAAAAAATATTTTCCTGCATGTTGGTATTTTGATCCATGAAGAAGACGTCCCAATATGAGTGAATCAATATTCCATCACGTTAGACATTTTTCCATCGATGATAGAAAGCTCCAAAGGATTTTCAACATCATCCTTCGATGTTATTTTCAGAAAATTGAAATTGTTGGCTCTCACAGACTTTGTTATATTCACATTTTTGCTTGCATATATTTGGTACGAAATTCCAGGCTTACTTTGAAGTTAATGTAGGAGCACCATAATATCTAGCGAAAATGAATTAAATGTGCGATTATTCCGTCACTTTCACACGTTCCTTTGAATTGTATTTCATAAGATTCATGATATTCGCTGGCAAGGGAACTAAAAATATTTACTCCCACTAAGTAAGGTCTTGAGGCAAACTCAACATACCGTTCTTGGTTCAAATGAATTTCATTCTTGTGATGCAAATATGCAGAATGCAGTGAAGCATATCATTACGAAGTTAAAGAAATGATTTCTTTGTTTGAGTAAAAAGTGTCAGAATGAAAATTCATCCCTTGACAAAAATGTAAATGAAAGACTGTGCTGGGAGTGAAAAATGTTGTTAAGGTTTCGTTTGTTTTATTTTCTTTCATTGTTTTCCTCTTGGTTTTTACTTGGAAAGCAGTCTCGTGAATACTATTTTAAGTTTTTGTTGCGAAACTTGCAATTTACTGCTTTTTATTGCCACGTGTGTCATTTAATTTGAATAAAATATTCTCGTGTTCTTGTGCATTTGTCTCTTCTTTCTCTCGAAGGACTTCACATGAACACAGACGAAGCTTAAATATTCATTTCGCATGAAATTTCCATTCGAGAAACTTAATTATGTTTCCTTTTTTATTCCAACTAAATATTTTATGAGTAAACATAGAACGAATTCTTGGAGAAGACTTTCCACTGTTTGTGTGTGGGTGGTAGATTAAGATTATTACGAGAAACCTGACTAAGAATTCGATAGTAAGCAACATTTATTGCTACTAATTTCTATAAATCTTCTTGCGGTTTTTAGATAAATTTGTTTTTGTTCATTAAATCAAATTTTTCTTCAATTTCAGCCTGACTGTCTTTACCTCTTATGCCTTTCAATTAATTTGAATGTTGAAATGAAAACTTCAAAGCTTTTTTGTTGCTAAGTTTACTATTATTGAAATAAATATCTTCTTTGTAGTCAAGGCTTGCAAAATTGCCAAATTTAAGTCTTGTCAGCCTTGAAAATATTATTTTTCTTTTCAATTTACTGTAACTGAGAGAAAAGTTGAGAGTTTAGAGTAAGTTTTCAATTTATTTACGTTCTCTGTGAAAAACTTTCAGCACTTTTCTAAGAGGAGAAAAAACTTTCAAATAATAAAATAATTTTAATGGTTTTTACTTCTTTTAAGTAAAGTTGGAGAAAGGGAGGATGTTGAAAGCAAAACCGAATAATTAATCATTTTGAAGAAAAAGAAGAGGAAAAGAGAGTTTAAACTGAAAGTATTCAGTTAATTGACTCGACTTTTCTAAGAGCATTAAGTATCTGAACTTGTTTTCATGTAGATGTTCTTTTATAAAGTATTTGAAGGTTTTCTGAGGTTTTATTGAAAATCAAATTCATCAGAAATATTTCTATAATTTTTCATTTCCCACTGATAATTAAATTCTTCTCTTCTCGAGATTTACACATTTTAAAAGTTTTATGCTTTTCATAAAACTCAAATATTTACTGCTTCATGTACATATTTCAACAACTGTTGCTCGGTACAAATTTATATCAACATCTTGTAAATTTATTTAATTAATATTTTTATATCTCACCAGAGATGATCCAATTTTTGTTACAATTTGTTTATCAAACAATCAAGATCCTTCACCCAACAACTACTCAAATTATGCAGTGATTCAAATCAATAAATTCCAAAAATCATGATTGGAGCTTGCTTAAATATTTCTTTTGATTGATTTTCATATTCAATGAAAAATGTTGACAACAACAGATAACAAAGAATAAAAAGTTGATGTCAAAAATCATGCTTAAGTTAAACATCACAAACATCGCTTTGCAAGTATCGACACTGAATAGCTTATCATTGAATGATATTTGTATTATACACATATTGTCGAACAAATAATGTTAAATGTTTATCTCAAACAAAAGAATTTTTCTTAGATTTCACTGAAACGTCTTCGAGATTATTTTTTTCTCGCATCAACGTAATCACATCACATCATTGAAGCAAAATGAGAAAAAGGAAGGAAAAAAAACAGAAAGCTTAAAGAAGGCAAAATTAAATATTAGTCGATAAATCAGCTGCCGTTCACATGTGAAAAAGAAAAGCGGAAAATAATTCGGTGAAAATTGGCTGATGTTATGGAAAATCACTTCAAAAAAAAAAGGAGGGAAAAAAAGAAGAAAATTTAGAAGAATTTCTATTTTTGTGTTGGAAGAATTTTTTTTCTCCAACTTCACTCTCAACTTTTATCATTCGACAGCGACGTCACAAGCGAACTCGAAGCAGAATGTCATTCATTCCTTCCACAGCTTGTCGTACAAGTCAAATGTTATTGTCATGAAGGCATTCGAAGCATGCGATTGTGATGCTTTACATTCCACCCCGTTTATCATCCGCTGTTATTTCTCATTCCGCTCGTGACAGATTGAGTGGATTTTTATTATGAAATGAAAATTCCTATTCATTAGTCTCTATCCATATCCCTGTACAATCTTTTCAACTCCCCCCTAATTCCTTAGGAATGAAACGCAATAAAAGAATAAGTAAAGTATGTATTGTGGTTATTCTTATAATAATAAATTTGCAGATTTCATTTGCTATTTTCTGTAAGTATTTCGTCAAATTTGTTGTAATCTTAAAGCGACTTGGAAAGCCAAAGCAACACATTCTGGCATTTCATCGTCCTCACTAACTTTAATTTTAATTCATTTAACCGACAACTGCTGCTAACAATTTTTTATCAGCGCAATCAGAATGTTTAAGGTTTAACACTTTTTCATTCTTAAGGACGAGAGAAAATTTAATTTCTCGAGCATCAAGTGCGACGGTGTGAACAATAAAATGCTCCCTTTTTCCACTCTTTGTGGAACATAATGATTAATGAAGGGTAAAATTAGCTTCAAAACGATTCATTAACACTACACCATAGTTTTCTTCTTATCTGACTTGTTTGAACATTGCATTTTTAGCCTTCATACTGTGATTGAATAGGGTTGCAGGATCTTTTTTTTCTTGTTGCCTGATGGTGATGAACGAATGAAAAAATGTGTTAAATGATGGAATACTAGAAGGTCAAATAGCTGTCATTCAGCTTGATTAAATTAAAACAGGGGTTTAGAGACACTGAATGAATATACGCAACCTCAATTTCCACAAAACTTCTTTCCAACTCTTCCTCATTCATCCAAAAGCTTGATTGATTAAAAAATGATTGAATTAGTGAATACGTTTTTGAGTTAGGTAATTATTATATTGTGACTTAATTAAATTTCACTTGTGAGAAGATATGAAATATTTATGCAGTTAATTAAAAACTTTATAATAAAGAAATTTTTCAGTCCATTAAGTGAATAAGAGAATGAAATAATATTATTAGCGTGGTACACATATTTTCTTAGGAATATGATCGAAATCTTTATTTCCCAACGGAATTCACTTGAATCAGAATGTTTTTGATCAACATTGTCATGAAACATTCAATTAATCACGTTCAGCGCCATCTATTGAAAACTATGTTATAGGAAATATTCAAAATAATAAAATCCGTTAGATCGCACTGAATTCTTAGGGGAAAATAGTTTAAAAGTTTTTTGACGAATTTTCCATTATCCAATATTTTTTGTTAATGATTTCTTAACAGTTCGAAACAGAATGTAAACAATCTTCCATTGTTTCTTGTCTTGATTCTGAATCAAGAAAACAAAATAAGATTTCTCTTTAAGTATCCCGTAGCGAATTGTTTGACAACACATTGTGACTTCATGTAGTGGCAATCAAATTTCGTTCAATATAACCAAAAGATTTCCTTTGAATACACCTGGAACAATGAATGTATTTGGGTAAAATAGAGTCATTTCTTAAATCTCCTGTTGACAATTTATTACAATTCCTCTGTCAATTCTACTGTATAAATGGACGGTCCAATACAGCACGAGATAAATTTTGTATATGAGAGTCTTTGAGAAGCATTAATATTATTACTGATTGAATAGAATGGTAAGTTAAGGTTAAGGTTCCAGTTGCTACAGAATTCGTGCACTCACATTGTTTTGTTTGTAAACTGATCACCAGAAATCTTGGGCAATTGAAAACAAGGCTATTATGCTTTGAAATTGTTTATGATGGTTCTAAAGACCACACATTTGTGCAGCCTCTTTTCTGAAGAATATGATGTTGGTGTCGACTTCTGATGCTTCCATATCATGTGTTCGACTTTTAATGTTTTTTTTTCAAATTTTATTTTCTCATCAGAACCAGCACTTTATTCGAAAGAATTCGAGATTTGATTTCCTGATAGATGAAAATTTCTCTTTTTTATTTCTGATTGAAATTGAGAAGGGTTTGCAATGGAATATCAAACATTCACCATATGCATCTTTGAATAACTTAGAAATAAACATTCATAATTTACGATTATTTTACTAAGTGCATTCTTTCGATTGAAAAACATTTAACACTCACTCAAGTCAATTTACTTCACAGCTTAAAGCGAACAAGTGAAAACGTTTGTTTCAGCTACTGATGATTAGTAATCGATTGGTTGGCGTTCGAGTGCTTGAAATGTCGCAATACCTTTTAATAGCAACTTTATTTATGACATGATTTTAGATTTCTCAAGTGATTGCATTGATGATTAAATATTTTAATCTGCTTTTAATTTCAAACAGTCGTCTTATCGCGCTACTATGCTTTGTAACGACAAGTGACAATAACTGGTTAACTTCTATCAGTTATTGAAGCTAATTAAATTAATTGTGATACATTTTGTCGGTGAATAAAAATTTCTAGAAAATTTGTCGGTTTTTCCTTGTAATCGAAACTCTTAAACTTTATTTTGGTCGGCAATTAAAACAACTTTAACAGATTTGTGTTTTTCCATGGGATGTGTTTATGAATGATGAAATTGCTTAATTCGCTTGCTGATTATTTACTTCCTCAACCATTGAAAGCATTCATGTTTGGAAATTGAATGAGGGAGAGTCAAAAATGTGTTAAAGTTATGCAACAAACCAGTGATCGTGTTTGCCTTAAACTGTGCTTGATTTTCAAGGGTCAAATGTTATAAAAATTAGTTGTTGTATATCGACTTCAGCATCGCATGATTTCATTCCCCCAAAAAGCCATTTAACGGTCATTTAACCTACGAAATCAGCAAAAAATATTTTTTAATCTCATGTTAATTTTAATAAAGAAATCTCTGCGTTTTAAAACGTAATAAAGAGCACGGTTGTTGTGTTCTGGCATGATGTGAACAACATGTAAATCTCGCACAAAAACAGCACGAACCAACAACCTGCTTTTTTGCAGAAGGTCTTGCTCTAATTCTCGATAGATCTGCATGCAATATCCTACTGTAAAAAAGAAGTTGAATGAGCTGAATTATGATATTTCAACTCGTGATTAACTAATCTTTCAAAATCAATTATTCAAATGTTCATGTAAATTTTCTTCGCATTATATGAAAATTCATTTACAAAATTTCCTTTTGATGTCAACTTTTATTTACTCAAAGTGTAATTGAATTTTAAACTGCTGAATTGATTTTCTCTCGCTTGAAGCGATGACAAAGTGAAGTGAACAGCAAACAGAATTAAAAACAGTTTTCTTACTTTGAAGTGCGGCATAATTGGACTTTGATTGGCTTCGGAAATTGTTCATGGGAAACTGAGTTTTGTTGTTTCTAACACTCATGCAAAGTAAGTAACTGAAAGCAACATTTTAGGTACAAAAACCTTTCGAACATATTTTACAATTCTCTAAGCAAAACAGAAAAAGTTTATTGCTGAAAATTCACTAGAGATATTTAAAAAAGGTCTTTGTCGGTCCGTAAAGGCGTACGACTGCCTGTTATATGGTATTCCGCTTCTGCAACATTACTCGTGTGCCCTTTGTTGGAAATATTATTTTTATTAACTCATAAAAGTATTTTTTACCGTTTTATTTTTAGATCGATGTTGTTTCAAACTGCGCAATAAACGCTAGGAAAGTTTTTCAAGCTTCTCAACAACCCACACAATGGAATCTTCGGATCCCGGGAAAATTTTTCTTGTCATGACTTTATCAACTGCTGCAGTAACTTCAGTAAACATACGAGGGTGGATAAAGTTTTTCCATTTTCACAACGACAAACGAAAAAGAAAATTTTTCAACACCATCACGGTAACTAAGCAACGCACTGCCGCAATCTCCAATCACATAGTCGATATGCCTTCCGACCCTCGTCCAATCGCAATGCGAGCTGAAATGATTGTGAATTGTATTCAAATATTTGCATTTACATTAAAAGCGTTTATTTATTTACCTCATACGATATTGGAGTCGTTTCTTGTCTCTAATTAAATTTGCACAATGAAAACAGTGAACGACAGAAAGTGTTGCCACATTGAAGAAATCTTTACAATGATTCGAGTTGAAATCTGGTAACATTAAAAGTCATTTGCTTCCACGCGAACATTTCTTTCTTTTTTCAATTTCTTTCAAATGCTTTTTCTTTGTTGCTTATGAAGGCAATAACCGTAAAGGCTTTACGACTTAAAAAATGGCTTTAGCTTGTGAAAATTTGCTGCTATGGCAGCAGAAAATTTCCCTCTTTGAATGTTGTTTTATGTTTTTATTGAAGTAAACGGTCCTAAAACTTCAACAAACATTTCTGTTTCGAATCATAAAATCTCTTGATTAGTCGAGGATTCATGGACGTTGCATGTTGTGAGTAATTATTGACTTGTCAACGTTTCTCTTTTCCAGTGAAAACATTATTAGAAATTATTCGTTTATTGCACAAGCTTTTCCTGAAAAGAAAGAAAACGAGTTTGGCCAAATCCCAGCAGTTTGTCTTGAATGATCTGAAACAATTTCAAACGCCATTTTTAATCACGCGTATCGGAGAAATTCTCTTTTATGTCTTATTTTATCAGTTTTTAAAAGGAAAAATGAGATAAACGAATGTCAACGTTATCAAGGATTCTATTACAATTTTTACGAATTTTATTGCCCTAAAAATTTTATTATCTACTTAAAGCCGAATAAGTCACGAAAAGATAATTAAAGATTAAAGAAGTTTAATGTTTCACATTCGAGCATTTCTCTTAAGCAGAAAACTGATGAAGACAATAAAATTATTCAAAAAATTTAACTTAATGAACATCGATTAAGGGAAATGAATGAAAATTTCTTTAATCAATGAATAAAGCGTTGAATCTATAATTTGAGTTCATTTAAAATCCTTTTCTCTCTTCTTTCTCCACATTTCTTAATTAATTAACAGCGCACGTGATTAAACGATTTTCAATTTTTGGCGCCTGCAATCACGAACGCACGGGTGGGTGATAGCAAAAGAATTTCAAGAATCAATGAAGGAATCCACTGTTAAAAAATACTTTGAAATTAATTCGTTCCACATTATTAAGTTTTGTGTCTATTAATTTCTCTTGCTCTGCATGATGTGCTGTTTTAGCCCTTAATGTGTTTTCTATTGTTCCGAAAACTCTTCGATTAATACTGTTGGATATCTTTTGGGGAAAAGAGAAACAATTAAAGGTGAAGCTCGTTATGAGGCGTGAAAACCATTTCGTCCACAATGAATCGACACAAGCGTCCTTTCTCGCTTTGACAAGATTGCAGTTTAGAATTGTCAAAATAAACTAAGTTAAGCTTATGGGGATTATTTGGAAGTGACAAAAATTACCGAAATTCTCTTTAAATGTCACAAATCTTTCTTGTGACTAAACATATGAAAACCTTTTTAAATATTTCTACAACAAACACTTTCAATAGTTAAACAGAAAGCAATTTCTCGGTGACTGTTGTCTTAAAAATTCTTTTACAACATTCGACATTCACTTTCGTTTTATGGTTTTATGACACATTTCAAATGTTCGAGCTTTGAAAAACAAAAAAATGTTTTCAGTAAAACATTTCGTAAGAAACTTTTATGTTGTTTAATTGAATTAAAAAAATCTTTTAATGCATTTTCGCTATATTTTCTTCTATATCGTTTAAATACTGAAAAATATTGAGTAGACGGAAACAGAAACTCTGAAAAGTTACCAGCAGGTCGTGTGTCAACTTCATTTCGTCCTTGACTTGAAACTCATTTTTCAACAGGCCCAACAAGCAGTTTAATAGAATCATAAATCCATTAAAGACTCAGCACAAAGCGCTCTGAACCGTTTTTAAAATTACTTAGTAAATAACTGACCCAAGGACATACATACAATTATGTTCCTAAAAAGCAAAACACTGCATGGAATAAGTTGAGTGAAAAAATCGACGATTACGTGCGACCATCACGCAAATCATTTTGTAATTTTGTCTCGAAATGTTTTTTCCATTCTCGAATTCCCTTAAAAGTCAGTCAAGATTCAATATCTCCGCTTATCCCTCAGGGTCGTTAACTAATTAATCGCACCTCATTATCCGTAATCGACATGCTTCGACACTTTCGTAAATTTGTTAATTCCTGTTTCACAAAAGTGATTGTTCAGTTTAAACACATCGAGAAGCGTGTTCATTGAGACAACATCAGAAATTAAATTCTTGTTTGAATTTCTTTATTAGAGATTTTCAAACAAAACCTATTAAATATTTGTGGACAGCATGAAAATAATTCGATGATGTTCAAAGATTGAGACATTAATTTCCCAGAATTCTTTCAGGGTGAATACATAAAGCATACATCACATTAAACAAATGGACCAGGAGAATGAACGTCATAATGAGTCTAAATTCTCATTGACCTACAGCAGTGCTCATTGTATACGCAACACCATTGCCAGCTTTTATCATCAAGGGCTCATGAGTTAAAGAAGCCATAAAAGCCCTGAAACATGTTGTTTATACAACCAATTTCAAAATGCAATTTAACAACAACAAGCAGAAGGGAAAAGGACACAAAAAATCCCTGAAAATTTCTCTTTTGTCACAACTCAATGCTGTTTTAGAATATTTACGATCTTTGCTACCTTGCTGTGAAGATTACTGATTTCTGTTTACCCTCAGAAGAATTAATTAAATGTCTTGTCTCTTGTATTTTAAAGTAAACGACTCACCGTGAGTTCCTGGATCGTTTAGATGAATTTTTGTGTTTAACTTTCATAAAGGTTGCAGTCAGTCACCCTTTGTGCTTGTGCAAGTCGAAAAAATATTCTTAAATTCATCTTTCAAATAAAAGTCGAACCATATGTTGAACATTTCAATCTGCCACAACCAAATGCTTCTTTCGTCTTTTCTCTTTTTCTTCTGGTTTCGCCCCAAATTAAATATTTTTGTTTTTCGAAGCAGTTCGAAATTAAGCAATCATATTTGTACGATAATTATTTATTACACAAGAAAGAACGCCGATTCGATAATCTTTATTGCATCTTGTTTTATTGTGTGAAGATTTTCTTTGCTTTATAATTCGAATTCCCAAACAATTTCGTCACTGTCATGTCAATGTCTCGAATGTTCGTTCTCACGAACTGTTTTCCAGGATGTTATCATTGAATTTCATTCCTTTGAGTCTTCTGTTTGTTGCATTCACTGAAAATGGTAGTTTAAAGCACTTCAGATTACGCCTTTAATACTTTTGATAATTTAAGTGGTGAAATAAACGACAGCCATGAAGAATATAATTTGAGATCGACAACGATCCACTTAAGTACGTCAAAAACTTATTCGCTTCGCTTTGACATGAAAAATCCTCTCGACTCGTGATGTCGTGATGCGAAGATTATTCGTCGTCAATTAGCCGATTATATTTCATCAGTTGGCATCGTTCGATTATATTTATTTTAATGTCTTTGACCCTATTGAAAACGGTTCATCTTGATCTTTTGATTTCTTCCCCATTTTATGTCACGACGCGACGGTGAAATTTTGTCGGCGCTTTTTTTCACCTTTATTTAAACTGCAATTGACATGACAAAGATTTCTAAATCACAATACAAGATTGTGGCATGTTTAATAGCGCGAACGATGAGCCAGATATTTTCTAATTGATGGAAATTTTATTCAAATGACTTCAACAATTGATTTCGGCTTTTTAAACTTTTTTTTTTTCATTTTGTGTTCATTCGTGTTTCTTGTGGGGACGACGATGTCTTCGATTGTTAATCTTAAATATTGAATGAATGGAATCGTTATGTGAGCAAACATTTTGAAAGGAAGAAGCTTTAAAAGAACTTCAATATTACAAAAGAGCTTTGGTTAGACATGACTTGTGTCTGCACGGACAAAAATTTTCTTAAAATATTTTATTGCGATGAAGTTTTATACGACGCAAATTTATCTCAAGTTCTGTGAAGTTGGTCAAACATTCCAGGAGTATTGGATGGAAGAAATCATCACTACGACAAGTTAAAACTCTCCCCTTTTGATATATGCAGCCAATGAAGAGTTTTCGGGATCCTGGATAAGGTCGGGCACCGAAGAATGTTCCATGGCAAATTGAGTCAAGATCTACTTCAGCTTCAGTTGTTGACATTTCACCTGATTCGGAATAAAATGAATCAATAGTTGACTTTTCTGTTGTCTCAGATGTTGTTGATGCTTCTGTTGTAACTTCTGCAGTGCTTGTTGCTTCAACTTTAGAACTCTCACTTTCCGTAGCTTCGGTTGAAGGTGAATAAGTCGAGTCAGTCGATGATGCTTCTGTGTCATAAATCAGACAAGTGTTTTGATTTCCAGCAACACAAGTCTTCTTAACACTATCAAACACTTGATAAGATCGACAAGTTGAAGAAAAGGAAAGAAAAGCAATGCAAGTGTAATATTTGGAACAATCGTCAGGATCTGCAATAGTTCCTGTTCCAGCTGTTAAGCTGTCACATGGATTTGCCGACAAAACTTTCCCCGTTAACATTAAAAGAATGAACAGCGATAAATGAGAAACTAAAGATATAAAACAAATTAAATTATAAATTTAATTACTTTCAGTATTTTTACCTCTCATGTTTCTTTCCAAAAAATTTTTTAAACTTTGTGAATGGAATGTTGAAGAATGATTAAAAAGTTTTTATTTTCGATTGACCTTCTTATAAAGAAATGAACTTTATTAACGACAAAGGTGATAAATTGAATTAGGCTATCAAATGTTTATTAGCTCCATGGAGAGACTTGACGAAATATTTTTTCTCTCCGTGGAATTTGCGATAAAAATCGCTGAAACAATCGTGGATCTTGTGCGTTTAGTTTAACGACACACCTATTTCAACTTGAGTCTTCCACTATTCTTCGCTTTTATTCTTTATCAAGAGGTGTGTTTATTGATTCCTTTATGATTTTCCACAATTTAATTATAGACATTGCATCTCCTTCTATTTGCGTTCCAATTGCTGATGAAACCATTGTCTGTGATATCTCAGTTGGATCATCATGCAAACACGTATAATTTTTATAATTTGTTGTCCCTAATACCGATCATTTCATGCAAATTATCTGCCATTGTTTCTGTTGTCATGTCGTTGAAAAATTGCTAAACACGTTCCAGATAAAGAAAACGAAACGAGGATGAGAAAAAAAGGGAAAAACAAAAAATTATGATTAATCTTCAACAATTCACGTTCCATTTAAATTCGACACCAAGTTCTAGACGCCTTTAATCACTTCACAAGAAATACAACAAATTTACTTCTTTTTGACAACTCTCCAAGCTGATAGGAGATCGAAATGAGAAAGTTGCATAACATTCATATCTGAACTGAGAAAACCTTTTTCCTTCACTGATGCATGTAAATTGTGTCTGGTGAAAGAGAAAAATTTGTTGCAAGTGAACAGGGTCATGAGAACGAAATGTTATCTCAGAACGTAAAATGTTTCAGCTTAGGAGTGTGAAGAAATGTTCATCGAGTTTCAGTGGTGAATGAAAAAGTTTGTAAACTCACTGAATATTCGTGTTTGTTGATGTCCAAAGAAATTTATGATCTTCGATCTTTTAAAAGGACTTTGAGGGAAAATTTCTCGTGAATTTGTTAATTTTGGAATTTTAATTTCTTGTAATGAGTGAAGATTCTCATGCCTTTCATTCATGACTGAGAAAGTTAAAGTCGATGAAATTTGAGAATCTTTTTTATGTTTTGTTTATGCTGCACACTCAAACATCACAAAATAATTTCACTCGTCTCATTTACATTTGTAAGTTGATTAATAAGGGTCCGATAATTTAGATTTATTTTCCAATTCTTTTCACCAGATGAACATAAATCATTCACTTCATTTTCCTCTGCACTTGTTGATCGTTGAAATTGATTTTTTATCGTAAGATTATCGCAATCTTGATAAATATGAAATGAAACAAATTTATGCAAATTTCAGATTGAAAATTTGCTTTGAAATCTTTTTTCCTGTGTTTTGTTACCGCCCTTCAGATGGCAAATGAGTGAGTAAATAAATAAATGTAACGATAGCTATTATAATGTTACCGTTATGAATTGAACCCTTTTCTCCTCCGGAGCAATTAAGATGTCATTAAACTTTACAATCTTGAACGACAGTGATCCTATTATACCGTTCATCATTTTGCTTACCTTTCTGCGTAGGATTTAAGCGATGTAAATAAAGGATTAAGTGACCGAATGAGCGGTGCCATTAAGAACAGAAATCTTTCCTTACTTTATTGAATGTTTGTTATGTTCTGGCAATGGTTTAATTTAAAGTTTAAGAAACATAAATGTTTAGAATTGTTATGATGTTGAAAATCTCCGGGTTACACTGCGGGATATATATGTCGACGTTTCTAAAATATCGCCCTAAGTTTATTTTTCTTTGAACATTAACACAACATTTGTTATCATTTTTGATATGTGATACAAGTTGAATTCAGACTTTCAGTAGCATTGCGATTTGCTAAAAAAATAAACAAAACATCAGAAAGAATGACAATTTAATCTTTTCTGAGTTTTAGTTTTTTCCAGAGTGGTTTCAGATCACGAGTTTCATTACGAACACATTTTAAAACGACGTGCGATGAAATTTTAAATTTTATGTGAAGTAGAAAAATTATTTCGACTTAAAGCTTTAAATCTTTACGAGAAGTTTCCACAAATCATAAGCTTTATGTCCCTGGATTTAATATTATCATTCAATTTGACTAAACAACTCCATAAATAGATTATAACGTCCCACAAATAGAAGGCAACTGCTAATGATTGCTCGTGATATTATTTCTAATCGAAGTGACTCATGCCACTTTCAAAACGCAATTCGCACAATTCAGACTTGTCGGTTTCATTAAAAATAAAATCGAAGCACGTTTTTATTGCGATAATAATTAGAAGCGTGAATCAGAATATGAATAACAACTGTTTGTGAATATTTAGTTGGCCTCCAGATAGTGTTTGTTGTTTCAGTTTTTACACCCATTTCAATGCATGTTAACAGAAGCAGAATTTTTAACGCCCAAAAGCAAAAAAATCCTTCAACTTAACAAGACGAGAGCTTCAGGTATATGAAGTAACATTAATAAAATAATTAAATACAAAAGGATTAAATTGGATTATCTTTAAAATTGTTGTAAATATTTACGAAAAGAAAAATGCAATATAAACCTATAATTTTTATGTCTCAAAATTGTCAACTCTTTCTTGTTTTTGCCTTCTTTGTGTTTTTGGGGATGGGCATTTCGGAATGTTCTTAATGGAACCTTGAAAAGGATTAAAAATTGCTTAGTTGGTTCATAAAATGTCCTTGGAACTTAAAGGGTGAAAGAGTTTTGAAGGGAAAGGTTGCAAATATTTTAACTTTTTTTTAAGAAGTTTCAAGGAATCAATTTTCTAATTTCATGAATTATTCTTCAAAATCACGTTTCTTGTTTTAATTATTTATTCTTTTCATTATTGACAAAGCTCCTCTGCTTATTCTTCAGATTAAATCTAAACAACAACAAAGTGTCAAACATTTTTCTCTTTCGTCTTTGTCTCTTTCTAAAACAAACATAAATTGAAGTAAATAAACTATCTAAATAAAGATATCTATAAAAATATTATTTTCTGTTCATATCTGTCCCTTTTTACTTTCCTTTACAACAAACAACAATGCGGATAATAAAAATTTGCAATATAAAATTTTATTGCATGAACATGAAAAATTGTCGACTCGACCTAAAAATTGTCAACGTTTGGAGTTAAGTGAAACGTGTAGTTTCGACAAATTTATTAATTTCCAGTAAGTAATTACGATTCATTAATTAAACAGGAAGTGAAATCTTCAACTCAATAAGGATGAGCAACGTTCGAAATATTTACGAGCAAAAACAAAACCTTCAAGCCACTAATTTCACACCTTTCTTAACTCTTAAACATACAGGAAGGATTTCGAAATGAAACTTGACGATTTCCTTGTTGATTTTTCTCCTGTCAAGTGCGGAAATCTTTTGACAGTTTTCATTGCAAATTTTAAAAAGGAATAAATACAAAAAACATTTGTCAAAATATTTTAGAGAATTTCAAATCATCTTTGTTTTGATTGTGACTTTCATCATAAGCTTCTGTGTGAACTTTTCTTTTCTGGAATTAAATTAAAATCTCTTTTTCATTTCATAAAATATTAAAACTTCTAATTTGTTCCTTGACAAAACATTAAAAAGAAGTTTTATTTAAATTGTTTATTGCTAAACTGCTTTACAACACTGCACATCGAGTCACCGTTCATAAACATTATGGTGCAGGCATCGAGTCATGAGTCTTCACTACCCCGAAATGAGAAGACGAAAGAAAGAATGTTTATGAATTTATGAATATTTTCATTTTAACTGATCGTCAGCATTGTATGCTATTGTAAAAATTAAAAATGAACATTTATAGCACATAATACTATAATAGTTTCCAAGTAAAAGAGTGCAATCAATGGAAGGTAAAAGCAAAAGGACTTTTCAAAATCCATCATTGCTTGAATTTCAGAAGTTGAAGTTTATTCAAGGGAGTTTTGAGCTCATAAGTCGCAATTGAAATAAAAGGGCGACTCATGTTTATCAGATTGCGATGATATCAATAAAACTATTTTGTCGGCTTTTCAAACGATTTTTATAGCCTCTTTTGCCTTATATGAAGTGAACTTAATTGAACGAGCTTGTGTCATCCTTCTGGGAAGTCGGCTTACAAAGGTTGAGTTATTAGATATCAGGTTGATAGCTGACAACATCAATAGAAATTAAAATGAAATATCATTGCGATATTTGTTGGTTTTTCTACTTCGACAATCGTTTGTAATTGTAACATGTTAATAAAAGCTACGGTTCATCATCAAACATGAAGTTTTATGATCATTCTGCAAAAGGTCTCCGTTATCACATTCAATCGAAATATTTATTTTCTCATACTTAATTGCTGCAATCAGATAATGACAGTCACACAATAATGACATTCAATACCCTCCACACCTCGAATGAGTTTACTTTGGAAACAAGCCTGATGATCATATCCACTTATCAGCTTCTACAAAACGAAAGCATCTGGCATTGAGTTGATCGCAATATTTTTTTGCGAGTTGAAAAAGAAATGAAATGAAATGAAAACCAGTTTCAACTTATCAAAGAAGCAAAAACATTATTAAAGTTACGTGAAAAAAATATTTGTTAATCTTATATTTGTCGACACTTCCACAGCATGCTCACGAATTGTAAACAGTGAAGTTGTAACTGAAAAAGTTAATAAATTTATTGTTGATGTCGGTGTGATAAGTTTTGATCGCACCGAAAAAAGAAAGAAAATGTTTTTTCATTAAATAGACGAGAAACTTTTTTTTTTCGCGTTGTCGGTGAATTTCATGAACATCAAAAGAAACGAAACAACTTATAAGTAAGCAAAAAAAAAGTGCGAGGAAGAAATGCTTGAGTGATGTTTGTAAGTAAGTTGTCAAAAAATAAATTGTGAATGATATAAAACACGTAATTCTCGAGTATCAAACACGCTTATCAGTAAAAGTAGTAGTCGTAACGTGGATTAAAGAGAAACAACTCATTTTGTTTGATGAACTGGAAATAATAATGAAGTTAAAAATAAAAGTTCTAGTGAAAATGTAATCATAACGATGTACTACAACGAACCTTTTTACTTTACCCGCCGCGCGCGGCTGATAACTCGAAAACGTCTTTTTGGTGGCATTTTAATTTTCGTTCTGGTGGAATGTTTGTCGAATGTTAAAAGTATTTCTTATCAACATCAGAATATAATTGAATTGCCGGCAAACAATCGAGCGCGATTATGGAATTTAAGGTGGCTCAATTTGTCGTCTTATCTTCGATGTTTACCAGCCTTCATGAAAGAATATTTTTTTAAATCGATATTTAAGTTTTGATAACTTCACTGATTGTCTCATTTGGAATTAAAGTATCAAGAGTGATTTTCCATCGACAATAATCCATAAGTGTACACAATAGTTGACATAGTGCAGTTGAAAATCGATCGATCATAATTAACATCAGCCGTGATTTCAGTGCTTTGAGTCTCGAACTATATAAAATCTTTATCGATTGTTGTAAATCAAATCAACAGAATTTTCTTAACCGTCACGGGTTTTCCAACATCTTCAACGTTGTCACCAATGGTAGTTCCTTCAAACGTGTAATCAATCAATTACTGTTTGTGCAAGTTAAAACATTTCTTTCTTAAAATAAAAATCATGTTGTCGGTAATTTTTTCAGTAGCCAAGAATCAATGTTTCTGTCTTTGATAAAATGCCGACAAAAATCGATTTTCAATTTCATAAAAAAAGACTCATTTCGAAGTTATGACTTGATTTGAGAGCCTTCTTCTTAGGTAAACAGAAATTCATTGGCAATAAAAAAAAGATGAAGAGTGAAGATTCATTTCACTAACAACTAATAATAAAAACTAAAATTTGGAAATCTTATTGCACATTCATGTCGCCCACGAGCTCGCACTGGTAGGACAAAGAAGGCAGATCAATTTCACTGCATTTTCCATCTTTGTTCGGTACGCTCACTAAACGATATTATCATCAGAAGACCTTTTACCTACGAAGCTTGAAAGGCTGACGGAGAAGAAGACAGAAGAGAGAAAGAAGAAAAAATTATGGGCGGGATTTCAGTACGTCCCCACTATTCGTGTGTGTTTGCTCTGTTGTGTTGTTTATGGATAGCATTTCGAGTTCTGTTTTTCCATCTATTTTTATTGTAGTTGTTTTCTTTTTCTTCTTTATACTGTACACGAAAATCTATTCATTATTGTTGCTGTTATTCCACTACAGTCGCTTGACGTTTACACACTCACATCGCTCCGGATTCGTGAATGTAAGCGAAGAGTGAAAAAAATAGAAAAAGAACACAGAAGTTGAAGTTACTTCCCTAGAAGTATTTGATAGTAGCAAATCAGTTGATATTTTTAACTTGTTGTCTAAACATCTATAGTTAAAAATATTTTTTTCTTCTTACTTTTTTTTATCTTCGCTGTTTAGCGTCTTACATCGCATGAGATTTAAAAGAAAGGAAAATATCAAAAAAGATTTTGTGCTGTAAAAGGAAAAGAAAAATATTTGTGTGATTATTTTTTTCTTTCATGAAACTGGTTTTCATGAAACGAAATCGAAGTTTAAAAAAAAATAAATAAAATTTAATGATCGCTGAAGATATTAGTCGAAAAAGGATTCTCAACAACGAAAGGACATTAAATAAATGATGAAACATTAATTTATGAAAATAAAATTATTTCAAGAAACAAAAAAAAAGAAAGAGAAGAGAAAAAAGTTTCTCAAGTGACTGTGAACAAATAAATAATTTATCAACGAAAAAAAAGAAAGAATTTTTAAAGATATTTTTATTGAAAGATATTCAAGAGAAAAGTTTTGAATAAATTACACAAGATAACCGTTGGATTACAGAAAGGAAATCATGTCTTTGAAGTCATCTTCAACGTGTAGTGAAATAAGTATCGATGAGATTCAATCGCGCGAAGAACAAGGTAATTTAATTGTCAATTAATTTCATTGAAATTATTCAGCGAAAATAGTCGACTAAATGTTTTCTTCCTTCTTTTTGTTGCATAACAACATCAACATAAAAAAACTTTTCTATCTTTTCCCATCAGATTACTCGTCAGATTTTCCAATCAAGCAAGAGCCTCAAGCAACTGCTTCACCAATGCTAACACCACCACATACACCAACCGAAGAGAACACAGCCAGCATTCAGTCAACACGTCACAGTTCTTATTACGAAATGGAGACAACAATAAAACATTCACCGAGACAGCAGCCATCACCAACGCAAATTTCCAGTACTTTGAGTCAAGACATGACAGCGAACAATTATCAGCATCACTTTTATCATCAGACACAACAGCATCCAGTCTACAGTCAACGACTGTGGCTTCAACAGAACTCGCATACACATTTACCGTTGACCGGTCAGACATCCCTACCCCATGCAGTTCATCCCCAAGCCGCCAATTTACAGACACCGTATGCAATGACTTATGGACAAATGCATCAGCCAACCGGGCCATCATCTGCTCAACATCATGCTGCTTTGATGAGCCATTGGATACGAAGTGCTGCGATTTATCAACAACACATGCATCATCGTGGCTATCCTGATTATCAACGACTACCATCAGTGGCAGCACGCAATGGACTGGGACCATTGAAAGTTACTGGAACGGCTGGAACACGTCCAAAGAAACAGTTCATTTGCAAATATTGCAATCGTCATTTTACCAAATCCTACAATCTTTTGATTCATGAAAGAACGCATACTGATGAACGACCTTATTCATGCGATATTTGTGGTAAAGCCTTTCGTCGTCAAGATCATTTAAGGGATCATCGATATATTCACTCCAAAGAGAAGCCATTTAAATGCAATGATTGTGGAAAAGGATTTTGTCAATCGCGTACTCTTGCTGTTCATAAAGTGACGCATTTGGAAGAATCGCCGCATAAATGTCCAGTTTGCAATCGAAGTTTCAATCAAAGAGCCAATCTTAAAACTCACATGCAAATTCATTCAAATCTTCCATCAGAAAATGAAGAAAGTGTCACGTCATCATCAGTGGAGCCGATTTTGGATTTATCACAAAAGTCATCAACACCATCACCACACAAGAGTCCATTGTGTCAGACGGGAATCGTAAATAAGAAACCACTCGGATTTACAATCGATGAAATCATGAGACGATAAAATGTGACAACAAAGAAGAGACATGAAAAGGAGAAACTTCATCCCAGACGCTTGTTCCCGCTAGTTGTCTTAAAGATTACATAAATCCCAAAATTGATGTTCCTTTTTTAGCGACATGACGAAGACAACATACGTCAAAGAAATGGACGAGAGAAAGCGAGAAAAATAAACAAGCAAGCAAAAAAATAATTAAAATTGTTACCTTAAGAGAATCATCCAAAATTATTTAGAAGATACTTTATTAGATTGCACAATTATACTCTTCCTCGCTGTAAAAGTATTGACATGTTGATGAGAGTTGAATTATAGACGAACAATTGAAATTGCAACATCAAATTTTATTATTTCTTTTGATAATTTTGTGTGCTTTTCATTTTCCGAAGACTGATATTATGTTTAATCAAAGCTTCATAATTCAATTTAAGATTTCCTAAGCATCAGGACTTGAACTCCTAACATTTTCTTTAAGTAATAAATCAGCCAAAACCGACCAAATCGATTCCCCTCTTGATCTCAGATAATGTCGCGTGTTCAATGGCTTAGAAAAATAAACGCGCGAGATCCAATCAAACTTAAAGAAGAAAAAATATTTCATAACAAACGAAGCATTCAAAGGTGAATTTATTGTTATTGTATGATGAGTTTTTAATTAAATTATTAGGCATTAATGTAAATATATTCAAGTTAAGATGTCACCCTATGTATAGTGTAGATGAATGTTTAGTGACTTTATTCAGAATAAATGTTTCCACAGAAAGAAATATATTAAATTACACAAAGTATTAAATTCACATGTTTCTCTTCACATTGTCGTTCAGTTTCAGACTATTTGATAATTTATTTCAGTTCACTACAACGACGGTTAATGACGTAATGACATGCAATGACAAAATAAAAGGCTCAGAAATCATTCACAATGTGACTGTTGCTCGGTGTCATGTTTCAGTGGTCAATATTTCAGCACGAATCATTGCATTCAGATGAATTGTTGATGACCTTCAAAGACAACTCTCAGGGAATATTCAACAAGCTGGTAAATGTCTTTAAACGTCATCCAGTGCAAGTTTTCCTTTTATTCAACTTAACATTCAGGTATCTATGCCATTTTAATCGCGATTCTTGTTCACCAAGCATGTCAAGAGCCGATAACAGAATTGTATTTCATACGGAAAAATTAATTGACTACCGTTTAATATATTTCATCGGTATTTTAATCAACAATGTTTCATTTGAACTTTTCCGAATTGATAACGCGTAGAGAGAAAATTGAAGTCGGGAGCCATAAATTTTCAATCGAAGTGTTGTTATTATTGAAGTTATCAACAATTTTTTTTTTTGGTTTCCTAATATTAAAAAAATAACGTCGATGATGAGATAAAACTCTGGCACTTCAATGCGTGATTGTATATTTATTCAGGGGAAAATATTAAGGTAAAGATTGAGATTAAGATAAGTATGCTAAATTATTATCTGAATGATGTTCAATTTAAAAATGATTCGCTATTAGTCTGTCATTCAAAACATTTTTAGCTTGTCAGATGTTAAAAGAAGCACCGGTTTCCGAAAAATTTATTTATTTTATTAATTATTTAATCAATACTTTGTTGCTTTATCCCCCGAACTGAAGAAGTTGGTTGGGACTTTGAAAGTATAAATTACGAATAGATCTCTAGACTGTCCTTAATTGCAGGAAGGCATAATTTTCAAAGTCTCGTCTTTCATTATTGATGAGCCATTGCAATGGTGTTGTGGATCCATTTGAGAAACCAACAATTTAGAATGATTGATATTTCTTTCCTTTCATGGGATTCAAATTCAAAATCGAGACCAATCGAGGCAGATCAACAAATCAGTTTCGCTACACAAAAATGCAGTTTTAATATAATTATTTTTCTGTTTTTAAAATTACTTTCAATTAAATCAATTCGTTGATGATTCCTTCACTGGAAAAAAGATTTCATGGGGATCAATTACAAGAGAAAAATAAATTAAAAATTCAGAGAGAATAAAAAGCAATCAATCAAACTGGTTGGACAAGTGAATTCGCAGTGTCTTGTCGAAATGTTCTTTATATTCCGCGAAGATGAAATGTAAGGATGGCGAAGGAGTCGAAATATATCATTAAAGGATTATCTCGATACGTGGGTTGATCCACAAATGGACAATTTTAGCCTCAAGTTTCTAATAGCAAAAGCTCTCATTTGCGTGCTGATAATTTTAGACATCAATCATTGACCTATTTGAGACTTTGGCTTTCTTTTACGGCACTCTGCCATAATTGTCTTTGATTATCCACGTTTTAGGATATCACAATCAACAAAGAAATTATCAATTTTCTGGAATCCCATTCCGATAATTTCGATTTTTAGTCCTAAAAAACGTTTTAAAGCGCAACCGATTAGTCACTTTTGTTTATTATTATAATCTTCGAAGACTCCAAACATTTATATCGGACTTAAAAATTGTTTTTCTCGTGAATGTGCTTTACTTTTGATTTCATTCTCTCTTCTTAAACAGCCAAATGGATTGATAATGATCATGAGAAAATATTTTTGAGTGTGGCGTAAGAATTCGCAACAAAGTTTTCATGTGAATCTCATTTTGAAGTAACAGACAGAAAAAGTTTCTCTCACAGTTCTGTAGGACGCTAATAAGTAGGTGTCGGAAGCTTATTTTCTTTTTATCTGCTGACTATTTAATGAAACATAAAATGCGCAGCAGAAAAGCGCGACGCAACCAGCGCATTATGATTTCTTTAACTCGCTTACACATTCATGACCCAAATCGTCAACGAAATGCCATAGGCGGGGTCATTTTGATGGAACATGAAATGTTGGAGCATAAAACGCTTAAATACGATTAATGTCTTATCCATATGAAAGCCCGCCGGCGCCAAAATTATAAACACATATAACACACAACATTAATATCGCCAAACATTCTCAGATTCAAGGGGAAAAAAAGAGAAAACCGAAAGACGAACTTCTAACTTCTAAGCCTCCACCGCATTTTGAACTGTCTCTCGATCGTATCATAAATTTAAAAAGTTGTTCTCTTTTAACCTTTGAGATATTAAATTATATGTCTTTGAATTATCATAAATCGTTGCGGGAAGAAACGTTGAGAATCTGAAGAAGTTTTAGGGTAAGAAATTCTAACTGGGATGATCTTAAATTAATGAATTTCTTAACCTTTTTTTATTCCTTCAAACTCACTAGACTTATTTTTGTGGGATCACGAAACGTGACTTCTAATACTTCTTACGAGCAAAACCAAAAAAAAAACCCCTCAACATGCAACTTATGAAGGTTTATGACTTCTTCGCAAAACGAATAAGTCGCTGCCGAAAATAAAACCAGAAGATTGTTTTATGCTCATCCAAGGAATGCTTTGAGGATTTTTAATGATATTTTAATTGCAATTCGAGATGATAAAGAAGAATTTGTACAACAAAGTCTTTTATCATCTTTCAGCACAACTCAAAGGCAGAACCTCAATCAATTGATGCCGTTAGGTTTGCAAAACATGGATAAACAATAATCAACCCACCGTTAGAAACACCAAAGTGATGTTTCTTTCCTTCTTTCTTCTTCAATTAAAATTAAGTTTTACTCATTTTTCAGAGCACATCTGAAACAGCAAACCAATCTTTCACGACTGGGTCATCAGTAGCCAAACCACAAATTAGAAACAAAAACATTTTCAGATTCTGTAAATTGAAGATTCTCGTTAAAATCTTTTTTGTTAATTATGGGATGTTTAGATTGTATTTCTTTTATGATCATTCATTCAATGTGATTTCATTGTTGAATATTTGCTGATGATCTCAACGTTTTCAAGCTAATTTCTATGATTGTTGATCGTGTGAAAATTGAATGTAATAGGAAGCGATTTGTTTAAAATGATTAAACGTCAAAACAATTCCATTTCAACTTAATGTTGTCATTTAATAATAACGATTTGTCAATCTTAAATATTGATAAGAAACATTTTCGAATAATCTATGAAAATATTTTGAAATTAATTTTTAATAATTAATCGAATTAATCAAAGAGAAAATATTTTCTGCACAAAAACAATTTTCAGCTGTTCTTTGAAGCATTTTCAAAGCGTTAATGAATCATAAATTAAATTTATTATGGATTCGCCGCAATCTTAAATTTTTACACGATCTTAGAAAATAAAAAAGGGACGCTTTTATCTTGCTAATTAATCTAAGTAGAAGAGAAGAAATCGAGAAAAGTAGAAACCGCAGGTTGACAGTCGAGAAGTTGTGAATTATTACATCTCTCAATCGATGGCATCTCAACAGGAGAATTTTTCACCTGTCTTTACTGATTGCCTTGAAATGTATCTTATTTCATTTCATTCTCATCAACTATTGTCTTCACAAACATAAACCCGACATAGTTTCTCTCTTTCAAGAACGAAACCAAACAAATTATCGAAATAAATTCAGTTGAAATAAAGTGTTGATTTTTTATGTGTTGATTCTAAAGAATTTCATTTGAGAAAATTAATTTCTTCATATTATTTCATGAAATGATCTAACAATGGGGAGTCTTTCTTGTAAAAGATTGTAGAATAAAATAAAACAAGCAGGGGCAGTGAGTGCGTAAGTTTCTTTTAAGTTCTCGTCTAATTTTTTACGAGTTTCTGGAATTGATGAGTGAACAACAGGCAGCATTCACCGCGCATAATCTTCCTCCATCTCTCTCACTCACTCCTTTCTAAAATTGCCCTGAGAATTTTAGACAATAGACAACAACCATTTCCAGATTCCCTTCTATTCACATCGCTCGAGAATTAAATGTGCAGCTCAGCCATTTAGATAACAAAACAAGAAAGGCTTCACCCCTCTCAGCTTTCAACAACAGAGACATCATCATTTTGTAAATTATTGCGGTATAAATTTCAGAAAGAATTAGATACATTTCAGCGAGCACATTTAAAGGAAGGTTGTGGCATAATGCGACCATTCACTATAATGGGTGAATTCGGCAGTGAATATCAAAGTAGTTTCATTCACTGTGCTTGTTAGATTTTCATTTTCCCCTCTGGTCGGCTGTTCATTTTAACACATAATTTAAATGAATTCAAATGCCCAACCAAGCACATAAAATGGTAGATGAAACAGAACATTTCATGCTGCCTAATAAGTTGCTAATTAGAATAACAAATTTTAATGTTTGTTGACGTCCCAACCCAGTCAGAAACAATTTCCTCGATTTGAATTTTGTTAAATATCCGAATAATCTTTTGTTGGTTTAAAGCAAACACGGACTGGGTTGAAAGCATGTCGTGATGCTTTTTTGTGGTGCGTTCACAAATGTTCTCACCTGGCCCATAAATTCTACGTTTTAACTAAATTAATTTGCCTACTTTATGGCTGCCTACAAAGCAAACATAGTGAAATTCAGTGGAAAATTAAGATTAACTTCTAGTTCATTTTTCTACTCAAACTAGGTCAAATTTAAAGGTCACAAATTCTGAGAAATTTAAGCTTATCTACCATGAGAGTTTGACATTTTAAAAGATTACTTTTTATTACTTTTTATGAGAAAGTCAATTTAGTTTCACTCAACTTGATGATAATGTTGTTGATTCGTAAACGGAACAAGCTTAACGCAACTTTAGTTTGATGTTTCAGACTTTAAATGGAATCACACCTCAAAACTCAAAACAATTTTCAAGGCAAAGCGCATATGAGTGTAATCTTTATCGCCTTCTAAAACACTTTTCTCTCCCTTACTCTGTCAATGTTGAACATCAAAACGCACGTTGGAGTTTCTTGGAATGTAGAAGCAGTTTGCCGACCTTTTTTATTACTTTATAGCCGTTTAAATTCAGTTCTCTTTTATTTATTAAATGTGTAACTTAAGTGAAAAGAAAAAAGCATTTTCAACAAATTATTACAGAATTTATTTTTTATTTTTCCCACCTTTATATTATATGACGAGAAAACGCAATGATCTTGATCCAAGTAGTGTTGCTTTAGTTGTAAAAAAGAACCTAGAAACATGACTAATAATTTTTTATTGCACCCCATGCTCACCTCTTAAAGGTGATCAAGCATTTCGATAAATGATAAATGCTCAGCTTCTCCCTTTCGACCTCGATTCTTGTTAATATTACAAGTTTTCCGATCACTGTGTTTGATAAATTACAACCAAGCTGATGAGTAGATTTATTATTCTCATTTCAAGCAACTCAACAATAACGCGGAAGCTCTGTCGAATTTGACGTGGTGTTAATTTTTTTATTACTTATTTCGTCTTGTAAAATTCTTAATAATCTTGATTGTTGTGAGGTGAGAAACGAAGAAAAAAAATATTTCAGAATGCAAAAAAAATCTATTTAGGTTTAATGAGTTTAGAATATTAAAAAAATTCTTTATGATCACTGATTGAGATAATTTGTGAACGAATGTTGAGCACGCAAATCAGCAGATGCTCGAGATATTTTCATCACCTGTTGGCAACATAACTAATTGAAAAGTAATATAAAAAGGCGTAACAGCTTTAAGGCAACATACAAATATGCAAAACCAAAACCAGTAGCCAATCGCATGCATTGAAAATTGATTTCTTTTTGATTGATGTTTCGTCAATTTTCCTGTGGTAAACAAAATTAAAAAAAACTTATTCAAATTTCTTTATCTCAATTTCTTATCGATTAAAGTGAAACTATGAACATTTGAGCTTCATCAGCTTCTTGATGCATTTCATTTTAATCAGAAACAAGTGAAAGAAACTTAAATTGGATGATTATCGTCGTTGCACGGTATCCAAGCCAAGCACAAATTCCTCAACGATAAAAAATCTCTCTTAACTTATTATTTTACTTCTCTCTTTTAATAATTTTCCATAAAGTCGGCACACGCTCGCGGGCACACTTCATTTCCCACGGACTAAAGCGAGTTGATGTTGTTTAATGCATTTTTTTGTTATATAAAATTATATTTCTCTGACTAAAAGAAAAATGTTATAAAAAATTACACAAATATATTTGCGAAAGAAAACAAAATCGAAACTGTGCATTTATGAAATGTTTCCAAGTTGAATTAATTTTTAAAACTCTTCCTTTGTGCGTGAATGCTTCAAAGCATTTTTTTTTTGTTAAAACGTGCAAACTTTTATACCTCATGCTTATGCACTTTTTTCTATATAAAATTTTGAACCCCAAAAAAGAGTCCACGACGGTATTCATGACCTTTAAACTCTGTTCTTCTGAAGTATCCCATTCATTCAAAATCTTTAGGCATTGTGCAATTTTTTTATATTTTTTGGATTGAAAAAATATTTTTGTTGAGCCTTAAAAAGCCTTTGGGCTGTTGAAATCTTTTTAAGAGGCTGGCGAAATTTTCAATAGTTTTACAACGCCACCAACGCATTGTTGGCACATAAGAAATGAGTTGAAATTATAGAGCGATTTGAAAAAGAAGGTTGCAATTAAAAAATTAAGACGTCTAATGGTTGTATATGAAAATGGAGTTGTTCGTTTCATTGTTGAGCCCTTTTAAGTCTCCAACCGATCAACAACATGTGATAAAGCCGATAAAAGTTTTGTTATCTGATCAAACTGCCTGTGGTACTCATGGGGATGGGATTTTTTCTTCAGGTTTTTATTTTATTTAGGCGCAGTCGCCTCAAAAACATGTAAGCAAAGGTAATTTATAGAATTCTCCGTCGTCGTTTGTTTTAAGACAAAAAAAAACTCTTAATTTGTTGGTGGTATTTTTTGAGGTGATGACTCGTCGTCATTCTCGTTTGGATAAGATTTCTTCATCTGGTAGTTAATTTATTATTGCATGATATTATGTTTGTTTTGTCCTTTCCTGGTTTTCAATATTTACTAGCGATGGACAATAAATCTGTCACCTTAAACGAGATAATCGTTCTCAAAAAGAAAGAAGGAAAGAATGGAACTTCATAGTTGTATTGAGTGTTGAAGAATGTGAACGAGACAAATTTTTCATCACATTCTTTCTCACCTTTTAAAACAATTCAATTAATTTGTTTTTTATTTCCTTTTAACAAATTCTTATGTGAACCGGATAGGGATTCAATGAAGAGTGGAGACACGCGTAAGATCATCGAATAGGCAGAAAAAGCGAAAGAAAACAAACTAAAGAAAAGAACAATGAAGATGTTCTGCTAAGGCGGTTATGAACAATAAAGTTAAATTGTTTAAACAATGCAAGAAAAAGAAAATATCGTGCAAACATTATGATTATGACTAGCCTTGGTTTTGTTCTGTTGGGTTTGTTTACATTTTAAGTTAAAATGTTTTAAGTCTCATAATTCAGAATATTATAAAATTACTTTGTGACAAAATTCAAAGATAATTCCCGTATTTTTAAGCACAGCTAATTTCATTGATATTCTTTCTTTATGAAATCAATTTACATAAAATTGTCTCCATTCTTTATACACAACATCATCAGAAGAGAAGAAACCTTCCTTAAAGTTAAAGCACAACAAAGCATCAGACATTTGCGTATCATCAAATTGAAATTATCACTCGCTAAGAAGGAATGAGAAATGTTTTTAAGATGCTGGCCCACCCAAACATTGATTTTTAAGAGAGAGAAGTAAAATTTACACCACCAAAAGTTGGCTGAGAAGGAAATCACCGTGTAGCATTACACATTTGTCAGTTTATTGCCACGCTTAAAGATAAAGATGATGTCGACGACGAAAGGAGGGAAAAAGAGACAATTTTTATTTGTTTCAACGTTGTAAATTACGCCCGGTGGGATTTGTACAATTCCAGGTAGGAAATACTTATGTAGGAGAGTTGGCGGCAGAATCTAACAATTTTAAACGACCCAATGCTGCCCCTGCATCAGACAACCATGAGAATAAAATCGAGGAGTAATTTTAAATGCACGAAAGTTGGAATAAATTTTAATTTTATTGGTTGATGGCATGAAATGTCGGACTTTGTTGATAAAGTTTAAAGTTACTAATTATTCTTCTACCTTTGAGGAACAACTTTATATCGAAGTTTCTTACAAACATTCATGTTGCAAGATGATTTCCTTACAAATAAAAAAAAGAAAGAAATATTTAAAAGTCGAAAGAAATGTCACGTTTACGGTCGAGGAAATAAAACACAAAACAACAACGTATCGGTGTTAGACATTGATGAAACCAATTCAGACCACCTTGTTTGTCTCTTGCTTTCAATCTTACCCCGTCAATTTATTATTGATATTAAATTAAATTCATTCCGACTGAAAAGCAACAACAAATTTATTTCAAGTTGAATTCGGTTTTTTAATTGATTTCTGACTGAAAGTTGATTGATCTTTAAAATATGAAATGCACAGAAGTTGCAATTTTTCAATAGTTTGTAAGCAATTGCATGAATTAAAGTTGAAAAATGTTGTTGTGAAAGTTATGTTCAACCTGAATAAGAATTCAAGTGGCTATAAAAATCAATGATGCGTGATTAAATGCAATAATTCTTTTGTCTGATGAGGTGTTTCTTTCGTGATCCTTTTCTTTCTCCCATTTCTATTCTAAACAATTTTATTGTGACTCAAAAAGTCATTGGTCGTCTTTGTGTCCATTCTTCTCACTTCGTACCCGAAAATATTCTTTGACAATAAAAAATCTCATCACACAATGGATAAAAAAAATCCAAACTTAGTTTTGATGGGTTTTAATAAAAAGTAGCTTTTATGTTGATGATTATTACAGATCTTTAATTCAATAAAATTACTTTTGATCCCTCACCAACTTCGATTGTGTTATTGTTTGGTTGATAAAAGGAAAAGGAATTTTACACAAGAAAAAAGTCAAAATCATTCGTCGTCGTCGTGGGAAAGTTTCACTTGTCTTTCCGAATGAAATTCTTGTAACGATTTTATAATTGCATTGTAAACTTTTCGCTTGATTTAATTCAACACAGAAGACTACGAAGTGAGTTTATTATTCTAATTAAATGAACGCTAACGAAAGAGACTCATGAGAATGAAAATAAAGTTTTACAAGCGCAAAATTTATTTGCCATACGACGATAGTAATTTATTTCTTAAATTGTGCTGCCTGATTGCGCTTTAATTATACTCATGTGAAATAAATCGCAATGAGACCTCATCGAATCATATAAACGAAGCATCATTTAACTTTTCTGATTGTTTTACTGTCGAAATGTTAAAGCTAAGATTTGGCAGACAGAACGTTTTACAAGGCTAAAAGTTCTCTCTGAACTCTTCTCTTAATGGTAAGTGTTGTGAATGATACGCTATGGAATGTTTCAAAGAAGCATTGAGAAAAATTTTCCCACTGAACATCAAAGCGAGGGCAATTTTGTGTTTTATTGAAGCTCGATTCAAATCATTTATCTGCAATTACCATACATCAAAATTTACAACCAAACTAAATTATATCGAAATTCCAATGATTGCAATTCGTTGCACATGATCCTGATCAAACTGAATCATCTCAACTCTTGTAAATAAAAATTAAATCTTGAATGATTCTCACAGAAGTCTTCTTCTCTTGTGTGATCATTAACAATGGCATCTGAAAAATGATCAAGTCATTTCAATCGATCGTCATTAAAATTCTTTCATATCACAAATTTTTATGACAAATGGAAAATTCATCTTGAAATTTTGAAGATCCCTTTGTTATGTCCACCCTTTTCACCCGCTATTGTATTTAAATTTTCATAAAATATGAAACGAAATGTGTTAGAATAACAATGATAACAAATAATTTAATTCTTCTTCTGGTCGAGCACAGCAAAAGAAAGCGACAGTTCATGATCATCAAAAGGGTATCATAAATAAAGGAGAGAGGGATCGTACTACCTTTTGATGTCATGAGGTGCGCATCATGATTCAAACCTTCGGGAATCGCTTTGTTGTCTTAGCGGAATTTCTAAGAAAAAAATTCTTTTTACTTTCAAAAGATCCTCGAATGAAATGAAAATGCTTCTTAATACAACAAACGAAATCTTTCTAAATATTTCATGTAAGAGAAATATTTTGTTGTCTTCCATGTCTTGGTCGGTTTAATAACAAGCATGCGTGTTCGTTGAACAATTCTTCTAAACTTTCATCGGCATGAAAGAAAGATATAAATATCAAAAATAAAAGTTAAATTTGAACAAATAAAAATCCTAATCGGTGAAGAAAAGAATCGTTTTAGATCGATGGCATAAAGGAATCCTTTCCAGTTGGCCTTTTATCCCATAAAAAGAAGGAATTAAATGCTGATCCACCTCAAACATATTATGTGATGAAGTGGAAGCAACTGCAAGCCATCAAACTGCTGGTCATAGTTCTTGTTCTTCTTTTTGAAGTTCCATATGTTACGATCCCATAGATGGGCCGTGATCATCGTGAAACAAAAGGGAGAGAAGGCAATGGATTATTTATTGCCACTCATTTTACCTTCGAGAGACCTTTTGCCTGTGCATTTTGATTGTTTCAATAATTTCTTTCTTAGCATGAGTTATGATTATACGGCTAATAATACAAAATTGGTTGTAGATCTTTTTATCGGTAGAATTGTCAGAATTTATGTTTCTATTTTTTGATCCCTTCTTGCTGTCAGATTTTCTACACGAAATTTGTGGATTTTGAAGAACAGTCGGTTAATAAAGGTAACAAAAGATATTCACGCAAAAAAAAAACGAAAACGTTATGAGAGTCGTAAAAGTGCACCAAATGCATCAAAGCACGTTGCATTTATCGCTGAAAAGGCCATTAAGATGACCATAAAATCATTCGTCGAGTTGACTTTCAACAAAAGATTTCTGTTCTCGCGAACTAAATAAAAAAATCTATTATTTAAATTTAGTGTTATTTATATTTAAGGAGTCGAAGAGGTTCAACATTTGATCTTCAGTGATGTTCATGTGTTTGGTAACAAAGTCAACGAATTACAATCGCAAACCGCAAGGATCATTGATGATCAACAATCCTGGTAAATTCTCTCAAATCCGCACCTAATAAAGCTTAGGTTCATAACAGTCATAACTTTTCCATGTCTCGCAATGTTCTTGACCGCAAGCAAAAGTAAAAAATGATTTTATTAATTTTGGTTCTTTTTCTGGTTTTCTAAAACATGAGAAGAAAATTCTTTAGAATTTAAAAACTGTTTAAGATTAGAATCAGTCAGAGTTGATGAATATCTTTGATAACTTCTACTCATCGGTAGCAAAAAAAATGAAATGAAAGCAACCAGAAAATAATGTGCAATTCATCAAATGATTACAATAATTAATCACGAAGTAGAAGAACCAAGAACTGCAACAGACTTTTGAAAAATTACAAGAACACTTTGAAATGAATTTTCCATTTCCATCACAAAGCAAATAAAGTTGAAAAAACAAACGACGGATGGCATTGATTAATCGTTCGAAAGATGCTTACAGTTCTGAAGTAGTTTGACCGATTGTCAAAACGAGCTACAACTCCAATAGTTTATACATTAACGCAACCATAAGTCATGTGTTTCATGTTCTTTCGAGAATGTTAACATCTTTAATAAAATGTTTTCCACAATTTTTTTTCTTCTTCTGATCGTTATTAAGTATAAAATTTACATACGATGGTAAAAGCATCTCGTTTGTTTCAGTCTTCATTTTTTTTTTGTGAAGGCAATAAAAACATTCCTTTTGTTCTTCGCCTCTAGGCATTATAGTTAATTCAGAAGCGCAGCAGGAGTTCCCTCACAGCCAAATGTGAAGTTCAAGAGATTTTTTATGAGTAATTTTGAGAAATGTTAAATGAAAATAAAATATATTGGGTATTTCTATCAGCAGTTAAATATAATAACTGAAATGGGCGGGGAAGGTTGAGTGGAGAAGACTCTTCTTCATTACCTAAGCAGTTTAGTAAAAGAAACTTTACTTTGATATCAAATGCATAGGACGCTCTCTACGGAAGACTCATAAATTAATAATTATAGCGAATAAGATTGAATAACCCAATGCCATAAATTTTGGATTCAAAAACGAAGACCATTTGGGACTCTGAAGAAGTTTCTTTATTTCTCTATTAAAATTTAAATTTTTTCTTCTCTTTCATCGTTGCCATGCATTTTTTTTTCATTTTCACAATCAGTCCGACACCGGACAGTGAATTAATGATAGTTTGGAGATGAATATGACTGCAGATGGAAGCAAAACGGAAATGAAATGTCTCGCGAATAAAATCGTCATAAATCATTCGTGGAAATCGCAATTTCGCAATTTAAACTGTGAGATTGATGTATATGAGAATTGCTTGTCTCCATCGGAAATTTTAACATTTCAGCACCGACATTGGTCATTTAATTTACGGTTTCAAGATGTAATAAAAACAAATTAGCGCAAACAACACCAGAGAAATAAAAATTGAATTAAATCGCTTAGTTTGGTGAGCCTTTAGGGGTGGGCGTCAGCGAAAAGCACTTAATTTGTATATTTTCCTTTAACATTCTCAAACACAGATGGTCCGAAATCGAAGTTTATTTTGTATGTTTAGAGAACGCGCCGAAAAACAATCAAAAAGTGAAGTTTTATGTGATTTTAGAACTGTTATTAAAGTGTAAGCGTGGTTGTTGTTTTTCAACAATGTTTCAGTATTTCTGCAATTGTTGGAATCAAATGCGAGTTTGTATTTCCCTTCCATGCTTCTCATTAAATCCACCTGACTGACCATGACAATATCAATGAACGTCTTATAATCTTTAAAGAAAAGGAGCTAAAATTCTTATCTCGAATACTTCTTGAGTGTTTTCTAACACCACACATTCTGTCGTCAGAGTAATTTACGAGTCGATTTTATAATGTTTGACCGGAAACGAGACGAAATAAAATATCACATTGGCTCGCCACAAAATACAATATTTGAATGTGAAATTGGTAATCTTCTTGTCTGTTGCATATTTTTTTTAACTTTACTACATTTTATAATTTTCAGTGGAAATTCTTATCACTTTCATGCCAAAATGAATTTAAGCCTCTGAAGAAAAGTTTTAACATTTTAAGGATGGTTAAATGTTATTTTGTTGTATGAAGACTTGTCTCGTTACGATAAATATTTAAATTTGTATAAAAAAGAAACCACAGTGCCAGTGTCTTGTTGACTGCTGATGCTTGCAAAATTATTAATGAATGATTGTCACTTGGGAATGATTTAATGCAACTTTGTACTTACTTTGTTGTTGACAATCGCATATTATTTACATTCACAAAATTATTAATCATCCAAATTTGTTTCTTCGAATGTAAATAATCATTTATTGATTCTTTTCTGTTCTCATCTCGTAACAAATTGATATAAAATCTTCAACTCTCCGAATTTAATCTCGCCATTGGGGGTTTTTAAATAAAAGTCATACAAAACAAGATGATCCTGATTTCATAAAGTAAACCATCTCAGCACGTTACAAAGAGAGGAAATTTCTTAACATTATTGGGAAAAGATTCGTTAAATGACGTTGCAGTTTCTTCTTCTCTCCCTGAATCGAAGGAATGTGAAACAAAAATTTCATTCAGCTTTACAGTTTCATATCATGAAAAGTGTTTGCTCGTCTCGAATGAGATTTAAATGTTGAAAGTTTCGTAATTTATTCCGACATTGACAACATGACCAAAGGAATGTTATTAATGATCCCCAGGATGTTGTCATTAAATTATTAATTTCTTCTTTCTCTCCTCGTGAACATTACCTTTAATTATTGCACATCATTCTCGTTATGTTCGCTCGTTGTTTACCTGGAAATGTCGAATTCTTCTGATGAAATGCAGAATCAGATTATTTATTCTTCCTGATCTCCTACCAATTGCTTCAAAATAAAACTTCATCAATAAACAGACAATTGGATGAGTTGAAGATTAATAAGGCTCACACCATCAATCAAACTTCTATCAAAGTACTACCTTTGCTTCCCCGTAGCGAACGACTTATGCTTGCAATGCGAGCTAATCACAATATTGTCTTGTCCATGAACAGCGTTCATTGGAAAATTAAAGCAGAACATCTCTCTAAACAAATTAACATGAAAACTTATTGAAATTCAAATCAAACTTTGTTTTTACAAGATGCTGAGAATCAGTTGGTGTTGATGCTTCTTTCTTCACATTTTAATTCCTTCTCGAGAGTTAATGCTGGTTGAGTAATTTCGACAGTTCACACATTTTACCTTTTAATCTTTTTTTTTTCTCGGGGATTATTCTGACGTTCCTTTTTTGGCTCTTCTGTTGTTCGATGTTTCAATGCATAAATGAAGCTGTTTAGAATGAGTGTTCTTACTTATGACCACCAAGAGATATTCAACCGAAAACTTCTCAAAACTCATTTAATAAATTTTGCACAAATGACGCTATTATGCTGCTTTTACGCCCTTTTAAATATCGATAACTGTTTGAAAATGTTTAGCTTCATTTAGTTTTTCGGCATATTTAGTTTGTAGTTTAATTTTGCATGAAATAGCTCGAGTTTTATATTCATTTGAATTTAAAGTTTCCAGTTCATGCTTTTTGATGCTTTTTCATGTTAAGTTATGAATTGTTCGTCGCAACTTTTTAAAGATCAGTCATCAACGATAATGATTTCATTTAAATGCATCATCAGGAGGAGCGATTGTTGGAAAGTTTATCGCTTTATAAGTGCGCATTTCTGTTCATTGGTAGCTGCAAAAGTCTTAACGTGTCTAACTGCAACCAACGTTTAAGAGTTTAAGATCAAGACAAACAAAATCGATTTCAGTGAAAGAACATCATTAATCGTCTCAGATGAAAATCTTAAAAAGACCAATTCACAAATGCACATCAAGGAGGAGAATAAATCTTGATTGATTGATCGTGTAAATGTCATGGAGACTTTCGAAAGAGAGAAAGAAAAATATGAAACAAGGAAAAGTCGTACATATCTTGATGTAATCTAAATTATTAGTTTTGTTAACATTCATTTTTCAAATTTGCTACATTTTTCATTAAATCGCTTATAAGAGGATCAAACTGACATGTCAGGTATTTGTTGGGATTTTAAACAGTTGAAAAAAAACCGGAGGCTATTTTGAAGAAGGCTCCTGTTGATTGCAAAAAGAAACAGCATTGATTGATATCCTTGCAAGATTGTAGGATTCATGGATAATTAATTCTCGAAAACAGGTGAAAATCGGCATTGAAAGGAAGTTAAGCTGCTGTAACCTGTGTTTATCTTTTCAAATTAACTTTTTTCCTTGGTAATGATTTCAAGTCTTGCAATTTCAAGTCATCAGCAATGTCGATGTTTACGAAAATATTATTTACATCAAATATGGAATTCAATTTTATTTCCTTCTCTTCAATGATCTTGAATATTCAATAATAATTTGTAAATTGATTGAAATCCTAAATTAAGCTGCTTACAAATTATTTCCTATGTGTTCATGTTGACCTAGCTTTGATTTTGAATGTTGTGACCTGTGTAAGGTCTTTGAATTCAATTCAACTTCTGATTTCAGTAATTTTACATCCACAAAAATGCAAACAAGTGAAACCGTCAGTAGCATGTTATTAACAGAAATGAACTTGTTGGATGAAAATCATCGACGTATGAAGCAAAACAAAATATGAAAATCACAAACTAAATTCTGAATCATAAGCGTGAAATATTTCATGACAATTCCCAAATAATTTTCATAACTTTCACAATTTGTTGACATTTATTTTAACTTTTGAAGCTTCTCAAAAAAGTTCTACATTCAATTTCCGTTTAATGTTTTTAACATTTTTTAAATTTCTAAAAACTTTCTAAAAGTTGTTAATCGTCCTTTGACTCGGTGTTAGTTTCAAAATCAGAAGTTTCAGAAGTTTCAGTTGCTGAAGTTTGACTTTCTGTGATTTCATCAGTTTCATCTGTTGAATGTTTTTTGGTTTTCGATTTTTTCTCGCCTTCATCATTGCTTTCATCTGATTTTTCGTTTTTGTCTTTCGATTCGCTTTTCTTCACTTTTTTGTCGATTTTGGAATTGGAAGTTACTGCAGTTTGATCATCTGAACAAGATATTCCCAAAATATTCGGGCTGTTCAGTCTCTCGACGTCAAATGTCACTCTGGCAGTCGGAACAGTTTGATAGAAATAAGCAAGAACATCTGCAAGTTGTAAACACGAGAAACAATCGGACATTTCATATCTCGTGATCTTCATAAATTGAACTGTTGATGATGGAAACATAAAATCGACCGAAGGTTCTTCGAAAAAATTTCCATTTATCTTCAATTCTTGTAATTGATGTAAAGTCAAAAGCTGTCGCAATGTAAAACTTTTGATGTTGTTATAAGACAAATCAAGTTTCAATAGAAACATCGGAAACAATCCAAACTTTAAATTGATTTGATTGTGACTTAAAATCAGATTCTTTAATAATTTAATGTCTGAAAACGTTCCAAATTCGATTTCAGATAATTTGTTATGAGACAAGTCAATATCTTCCAACTGCTGATTAATTGCTGTCGTTTTCGTATGTCTCTTGAACGTCTCATTGCCAATTTTTGTTATCAGATTTCTTGACAGAAAAATCTTTTTCAAATTTCCCGCACCCGAAAATAAAGAATTTTCAAGTTCTGAAATGACAAAAAGAAAGAAAAATTTTAAATAACTTTTATCCGAATGCAGTTGAATTAATTTACCTGTCAATTTGTTTCCTTCCAAGTGAACTTCAACAACTTTTGAAGCATTTTCAAATAAATTTTTATTCACTGACTTCAAACCTAAATTAGCAGCATACAATGTTTCAATATTTGGAAAATAATGAAATAAATCAACCGGAAGTTGTTCTAAAGATGAATTAATAAATCCAAGGCATTTGAATGCATTTAAATTTTGACTTCCATTGTAAATGAATTCATCATTTATTGCATGTTTACTGGTTACGTTGACAAAGAAGCAACTCGATTCAGTCAAGCATTGCGGAGAAATTTCATTTAAATGATTTCTGTCAAGAAAATAACATTTGAGAGTGATTTTATTGATAGCAGCCAACGATTGATGAAGCAAAACGAGTCTGAAATATTTTAATCAAAAGTATTAAACATTTCCCGAGATTATTAATAAATTTTCCTACACGAGTATAAAACACTTCATGACTATTCAATGAATTTATTTAGAATAATTTCAACTCAAACGATCTGCTTGAAATCGGAAAACTGAATGAAAAGTTGAATCACTGAAATATCCAAAATAATTTTAGACTAGATTTTAGACATAAAAAAAACGAAAAATAAAATTTTAGCGGAACCAAATAAACATTTCACTTGATTTCAAGAACGATAAGTGTAAAAACAGTTAGCGTTACATGACAAATCGTGTTATGGTCATGGGAAAGCGGTTTTTATTATCGACATTTGTCCAGAAATTGCGAAACATTCAAACAATTTAAAAATTGAATCATTTCAGTGATTTTTGGGATCGCGTTCAATAATGACGCAAGTCAATTAATCTTCGGTCACTTTTTATTGTTATTCCCCTACAAAAGGCAAAAATAAAACAGGTGAAAAATGATAAAGTAAGGAAGTCAAGTAAACCCGTAGTTATCTGATCATTTAATGTGATTAATTTTCATTAGACAAACTCAACACAACGGGAGCTCATGGAAAGAAGTTTTTCTGGAGAAATGAAATTACCGACTAATTACAGGGTTCGCTTGCTATCCAACTTTTGCGATGCTATTTGATCCTTGCGGTGATTTGGGAAAAAAACTGAAACAAAAATTTCACAGCATTCCATTAGACATTCACTTCATGAAGCTTTTTCTTTCTTTTTTCACTATTGTTGTTTGTAATTAATCCGTACAAAGATCAAAGTTATCTCTCGTCGTTCGTTTGTTGTCTCGCACAACGATAAAAAAGAATATTTTGTGATAAATCATGAGAAGAATGTTCAGAAGATCAATAAAATAATGAATGAACATAAACACATGATCAAGCATCGCAATGCTCGTAACAGTCATTACATGAAAAGAGCGAACAGCGCATCAACGAGAAGAAAAGCGTCCAAGTGATCGTAAACCGATCAATTGAGAATTCAAGAAGAAAAGAACGAATGGAGGTCCATTCAGTTTTGACGTACTTTGTGATTATAAGTGCGGCATTCAAACAATTCTACAATAATTTATTAAATCATATGTTGAGGAGGGGATCGAAAGACGAAAGGAGCTCGATGGCTTTTATGTTCCTTTTCAGCATTATTAACAGTGAAGAAATAAAATTCTTTAATAAATCAAAAGTTGTAAATATTTAACTTTAAAACTTTTAACATTTATCATTCAAATGTAATGGAGTCTCGTTTTCTTTTTTTCCCCATGTCGCTGCTATGATTTGCGCACGATGCTGCGTATGTTTAAAAGTTGGAGCAAACAATGGTGAAGGTGGAATGTTATTCATGATACATCTCGACGATTCATGCATCTTCTCATGTTTCTTTTATAGCCACTTATGGAAACACCGCATCAAATTCCATTGATGGCTTCGATTCTTGTGGGCATCGCGAAAGGAAACAATTCGTTTTTATTTTTGATTCATAAATTTGAAGATCATTAGCAGCATTTTGATTGATTCAAGCGTAGTTAAAATGGAATGAAATCATTCGAAAGATTCTCGTGCTTCATGCGAGTCTTCCTTTATTTGTTGGAAATATCCCATGGTGATCAAATAAACGCAGTCAGCAGTCTCATGCAAGGCGATCGACTACAAATAGGCTTTTGCCTCTCTTCATCAATAAATCGATAAATAATCTTAAACTCCAATGAAGAATTGAATTTTAATTCAATAAAACAATCTTGGTAACATAGATGGGCAAGGAACGTCTTGCGCTACTTTGGAGGAATCTAGGTTCCACCAGCGCAAAAAAATTGGAGGATGCAGTACTTCCACGTAGCGCAAAAAAAATTGGAGGATGTGATACTACTGGTAGCGCAAACGGTTCCTGCGGTACTTTTTCGCGCTACTTGTTTCTACTAAGTACCACAAGCGCGAAGCGCAATTGGTTGCGAAGGAACCATTTTGCGCTACTAAAATGGTATCACTTCCCCCAACGTTTGCGCTATGTGGACGTATCACAAATACTGCATTTTTTGCGCTACGTGGAAGTACTGCAAAAAAATGGGTACGCAAGACGTTTTTTGCAGTAAAGTACCAGTACCAGCGCAAGACATGCCCATCTATGCTTGGTATTAGGCTCTAATCAAACACAACCGCTAATATGTTATCGTGTGGCTTTCAATGCTTCAACATTTATTTATTAATTCACCCTCAAAATTTCACTGTGCGTGAAGAAGATTCAGTTGAACAAATACTTTCGGTTACATTAATTAGAACTGTAATTGAAGATGATGGAAGGTTCCTTAGGTGGTCGTTCATGTGCAAAGTTATGATTGTGTTGCACACAACATTTAACTTCATCGCGGGAGTTCGCAGAACCTATCATCGATTTACATTCAATTCCACTTAGACTTGAGTAGCGACTCACAATAATCGCTTTATTAATGCTTAACATTGAAATGGGCTTTAAGTGAAGGTAAAAGCTGAGAATGATTCTACGACGAGTATCAATCGTTAGTGTTAATTTAATAATTCGACTTGATTCTCGTAAATTGATTTCTCGCATTCATCCACAAATTGATGATCGTAAACAAAATATTTAATCCGCTTTTCGGTAGACTTTAATGGCTAAATCATTTGAAGTGCTTAATCCCATCTCAACTCTGCCATCTTTCGTTATCGAACACTAAATTTATCATCTTTCATATAAACACGTGTAATTCCACTAAAAAGTGACACAAAAGGTTTTTATTTTCTTCATTTGCTTATTGACAGTGAACAAGGAAATGAAAACTTTTCAATGATTAATTGATTTATGTTTGAGGTGCTTTTAAGTTCACAATTGAGATTATTTATGTGTGTGGTAATGAGGCCGTTAACATTAGAATTGTAGTTGAAATGAAAGCTGTCACTACTTAAATTTTTTTATATATTTTTGCAACAGTCGTTTCTCTTGCTTCATAATATTTTTTATGACTAAACAGCCTTTTAACGTTGAGTTTTATGTGTTTCATTGAACAAGCGATCCAATCAATTTCGTGAGCTTTTATCATTATTGATGATCAAACTTAACAAATAAAAAATTATTAAAGATACAATTCAATTGATAAGCGGTTCAAATATTTCCCTCAAAATCATTTCAAATGTGTTTGATGTTACCGAAACGAACTATGCCGCCCTTTTTTTGGGAATATTGCTCTTGCATGTTTAACAATTTATGTATTATTTGTTGTTCGACCGGGGAAATAATATCGACGATAAGAATTGGATGAGATAAGAAATTATTGAATCTATTCTTCACGTTTGAAATAAAAATATTTATTGAACCGGGAAAGGAAAGCAAAGCGCTTTGTTCGGCTTTGGCTTCTCTGTGTCTCTCATTCTATTTTTGAATATTTCTTTGACTTCTTTCAAAGTGACACCGACAAAAGATATTCCTCTCAAATAAATGTATTTGCTTTAGATTTCGTGAATAAACATCACAAACAACGTTGAACTTGACCATATTATTTTTCCTGATCCTATTATAAAATGTGCAACAATTTTTACTTCTTTCACTATCGCGTGTCTATGTTTGATGTTCGTTTGTTTGTTTGTTATATTTATACAAAAGGATGATGGAATCGATAATCGATTTGCACCTATTTGTGAATGACAAAAAAAGGAAACGAAACTTTCTTATTTACACGTTCTAGCCAACAATAAAATGCATAAAAGTGCGACTTAAAAACTTTGAAAAAACATCCGAAACAAATATTACACATTTTCAAGCACATCCATTGAGCATTTTGATCATCTTCAAATATTTGTTTTCCGGCCTTTTAACTTTACGTCTTTTGGTTCTTATAATCTTTGAGCAAATAAATCATTATTGTTATTAGTCGGGGATGGTAAAATTTAAAAGCTCAATCATTGCAAAGTAGAGAAAGTCGATGCGTTACTCTCTTTCTAAGACTCAAACTCATTAACAAGCAAATCACTTCGATAAATATGATTAATATTTAAATCTTCTCTTCAACATCTTCACGAGGATTTATGACTCATTCAGATGAATGACGAGACGTGAAAAAACATTTTAGTAGACGAAATGGTTCTCATGAACTCTTCCGTAGGTCGTAAGCAAAACAATCGAGACACACAAAAAAATAAAATTAAAAGAAAGATTCGTTTTCTCTCTAAGTAAATGAACCATATCGAAAGCCTATCATCGTTTTTCATGATGAGCATTCAAGTGAGTGGAACAATTGACTTCATCCTACAAAACATCACGATAAATCACATTTCCAAAAAAAAATTATATTAAAATTGTTTCTTAAAGTGCGCGAGTCACTCAAAAGGAGGTTTTCCACAAAACTCTCTTACATGTTATTTGATGTAGTGCTCCGACATATGATACGGTAATTTATTACCCAAATAATTATCAGAGGAATAAACATTTGTCTATTTCAACGTTTAGTCGGTGAGAATGGATCACAACCCATGAATTCCCATGTGAAGCATCTTTTAGAAGAACAAACTTAATGAAGATTTCTACTCTTCTTTTGATGATGTTTATGAATGTGAGTCGTGTAATCTATCATCTGAAACAATGCTAATAGAGGTTGCCGAATATTTTTGTGATGGATATCTCCAAAGACCATCAGGAAATGTTTGCAATGACTTTCAAACTTAAATAAGTATCACTTAGTTCATTGACAATCTCTAACCACTCCACACTGGGTGAAGCTTAAAAGGAAGAAAGAAAAAATGAATTTTTCAAATGTCTCGTGAAACTACCAAACCATAATCTGAATCTATTCGTTTAACAAACAAATTACTCTCAATGTCCATAAAGTTCCAAACGTTTTAACAATCACAAAGTCAATTTTAAGAAGAGAAAAAATGGTCTATTAGTTGCTGCTTGCGATTTGTTTTATATTCATGCCTTCTTTTGAGATGAATGGTAATTGAAACTTCGTGCTGTTATTATGACTTGCTTTTGGTCTTTGATTAAAAATGAGACTCAACATGGAAAACATTGCAAACAAAAAAACTGGTAAATTACATAAAAAGAGCCTTCCATGGTTAGCGCTTCTAAATGGGCACAGTTTTTGCACGCCCCCACGCACAGGTCTTTTTTTTTCCTTCTTCTTTTGAAGCAATGGAACGAGCAAAGAGAGCATAGTTAAGAGAACATTCCATGGTACGGTTTCGTGGGAAATTGCCTAAAGGCTCGATAATCTCGCGCGGTCCTTCTCGTATAGATCACATTATGGTGCACATTTCAGACTTACGAAGTTGAAATACTTGTAAGGAAAATAAGATGGTAGGAAAGCTTTAAGAGAACTGGTCTTCCACACTCGATTATGATTATTAACGTTTAAAGAATTTCACATAAAAATCTCATACAAGGAAATGGCTGAAGAATCGTTTGGAAAAATGATTTGTGTGTGAAATGCGTGAAAAATGAAAATGATTGTTTCTCTTGTTTAGTCTGATACTTAATGACTATTTCTTCAAATGTAATTCATTCGGATTCATTCTAAATTAAAACTGAAAGTCGTTGTCTTAACCCGTGTTCAAAAAGACAAACAAAAATCGAATAAAACAAAAAACAAATTCAACCGTGAAAATGTGTGAAACAACATGAAGTTTCCAGTTCAAGAAATCGTACCATTTAACATCGATCGATTTCTGTTCTGTTTAAAGGCTTATTTGAGAAAGAAGAAACACCACTTAAAGAGTTACATTTCTCTTGTTTTGTTTCTTCTCTTACTGCTCTTTGATTTAAAATCTTATCGCGAAGACTGACACACCTTGCTTGTTTTTCGCATTTCTTATTGCCCTCTCGTGTAGTTTTTTTTCCCTCATGTGGCACGAAAAATTATCTGAACCCAGTTTGAAATATTTAAAGTTGAAATTTGGTAATTATGAAAGAGATGATCGGAATATTGTCACAATTTATTGCATTGAAATTTCCCGCTCATCTCTATTGAATCAACATTTAAATTTCATAATTTTCTTATTTAATTAAATTCTTTCTGGGCTAACAATCTTCACTTCATAAAAAAAAGATCCTCGAAAAATGCTTTAAAACAGCAGAAAAATCTTAAGCACCACCGAAGAAATTCCTGAAATATTTTCGTTTACCAAGAAACTTACTAAATCATTCCAGAATTTCATTCTCAATTTCTCAGTTCAGCAAAGCACGGAAAATATTTTAATAATGCGTGTGAACAATTTTTTTACTCTTTTTGTTTTGATACTCCTTCGATACTTTAATCAATCAAAAGCAATTGAGATTGAAAAACGTTTACGTAAAGCGATACCAATAATCATCGACTATTTTAAACAATCCATCAGAATATCAGAATCAAAATGTTAGATCTCACTTGAGTCTTTTCCTTTGTGAAGTCCGAACAGACAAAACTCCAAAACGGAGAAGAATGAGAAAAAAAAAATTAAATAAATACATTAGAATTAAATTTGGACACGCTTTTCATTTCGAGAGAGACTCCACTTCATTCGAGTGAAATCATAAGCATGATATTTTGATTATATTTTTCAGATTTCATCCATTGATGAAGGCACTTGGTGCTCTGCCTCTTCTAAATGATGAGTAATAAAGTTAAGCACGAATAACTCTTTTGAATGTGCGTTATTGCGATGTTTCGAACGACTGCCGGGAACTTATCATCGAATTTATGATTTACCAAAATCAAACTCGCGAGATGAACAACAAAAAAGCCTCCAACTCTTCGAAAAAGTCGCGTGTTTCAAGCCCACGATTTGCTGTTGCAGAGACCTAAACTTAAACGAATAAATCTCGTTTTTTATTTTTGGAAGAACCCATTATCGTTAACATAAACACATGCTATCGCTTATTGAATTTTATTCCACTTTTTTCGGCATAACGATTGTTGAGCTAATTTAAATAAAACTCGAACTTAATATCGAGCGGTGGAGGTGATAAACAGATGTTTTCAAACCTCAAAGCTGTTTAGATTTTCTACTTTTGAATATCTAATTTGAAGATTGGGCAATGACTCTTGTCGTGATTCGTTTCGAGTCTTTGAATCACTTGCGAATGACATCGCAATTATCCAAGTATTTTAGAAACTCGTTGACCCGTCACACCATTATTGACCATTTAAATCTCCATTCGATGAACTTCTTGAGTGTTCATTTTAATGAAAAATAACTTTTCTCACGCTGTTTCACGGTTCGAAGACTATTTGCATAAATATCTCGCAAAATGCAATTTTTTTGTTGAATTCAAACACTCGAGACCAGACAATTAAATGTGGTTCAGATTGACATTCTAAGTGGATCGCCATTTAAACAAAATTCTCATGCAATCAGCTTTTTCTTTGAAACTCTTGATCAACACAAACTCTCTCGAAATCAATCGATGGTTGCGATATTATCGCAGATAAAAGGGCGTAAAAAGTTTCATGTTTTATTATGTTTTGATGTAAATATTCATTTAAGCGATTGATCAATTCAACGATGAAGATGTCTTTGGTTTCATTCTTCAAATTCATCCCACATCTCTTGTGAAGTTTTAAAAGAATGTCTCAAAAGTACACAATTTTCAGAAGAAGAAAAATCTTCAACCTAAACGATGTTTTGTTCTTGGTAACGTTTCCAACCTCCAGAATATCGATGCTTACACACATACAGGAAACATCCCGAGGTAAGTAATAACAATTTGCTGAACTTTATCGATAATCACACCCAAACAGATTTATTTGCGTTGCATTACTTGCATTTAAATCTTTTATTTCAGTGAATGAAACTTTTTCTTTCTTTTCTTCTCATTTTTCAATTTATGTGGCATTGGAAATCTTTCTCTTATTTTCGCCGGCATAACGTTTAACTTTGTAGGAATTGATTTTATTGATGCAAACAAAAAATCTTCCATTCCATTTCATGAGAAGAGAAGGCAAATTGTCTGAATGTAATGCAATTAATTGCGGTTCAAAGTTGAGTGTGTGTAATACTTATAGGAAATGAGAAATGAAAAAGTTGTTTGCTTGTCAATTTCTACACATTTTACCTTTTCATACAAAGCACGAAGTCATGTTACAAGCGAAAACATCTCATAGTGCAGCTTCAATTAGAAATTATAAGAAATCAACGTTTCAGTTGCGACTGAAAAATAAAACGGCCAATATGAAAAATGTACAATGTGCGAAGGCGTCTTGATGAAGCTCAAGCATGCTCTAACTTCAGCAATATCGAAAGAGTGAGTGAACAAGAAAAGAGAGATTAAATAGGCCTGCTGTGAATGTGGCCGGAAGGCAAGTTCAATTTGACCCGCAACTCGATTTCATCATGAAAACATTTTTACAGGAAAAAAAAAATGAAATGAAAAGAGAACACATTCCCATTGTTAATATTATTTCACTCTTGCTTACTTTTGGAATCTTATAAGTTATTGCGAATTTCTTTCTCGCGCGCGAGCACCAAATGTAAAAGGAATCTCGAAAATAACTTATTGCCCTCCAATAAATACCCGAAAAAGAAAACGACAACGACGAGAATCTTTAGCTTATAATCAAAACATATTATCCTGAAGATAAAATTTATGTATATACATATATGTTGCATCATTCGCCTTGTTTCACATGCTGAAAAGATTTATGGTTTCAGAGTGATCTTGCGTCACTTTAGATTTAATGTATGAGATTTTAAAAAGGTACAAAAGCAAAATTCCATAACGAAAGAGTTCTGCGGTGACAGTATAATGCAGTGCGAAGAATGGAAATCAGATGTGGATGGTTTTTAGTGCTCAAAATGGTTTTCTTGAGGCTATCGAAATTGCTGAGTGTTTAGTGTCACCGTTACGAATTGCTCCGGAAAAGAAGTTAAACGTGTACGATGTCTGCGTTAATTTACTTTATTTCTTCTTATTAAAAATTATTATTATTTTTACGAGCCATAACATTTAGTTTTGCAATATTGAATAAATTCAAATGATGAAAAATCATTTCAACAATTAACAAACATGACATTAAAAAACTGGTGCAGACTTCACGAGATAACATCAAAATGTGTTCTTTTTCTTTGAAAATAAATTAAATAAAAAATATGGTGACTTGTAAAATATTTGTCACCTTCCTAAGATTCCTGATTGTCTAGAGCGATAAGTCTACGCTTTCAGACGTTGTTGGTGAAAAAATAAAGAGAAAGAAAAAGATTGAAAGATACACAAATATGCCAACACAGTGCTAAAGATATTTTAAGAGTGTCGATATTTAAAAATTTATTGAAGAAAGAAAAAGGAGATGTAATGTGATCTCAAGGTACTTATATGAACCAGTCAAATCATGTAAGCTAATAACTCAATTCAAATTATTCTATATCACTAACTGACATGTTTAATAATCAAATGTTCGATGTTTTCTTATTATTCATATTTTATTTAAGAAACGTCGTGAATAATGTCGCGTTTATAGTTCAGTGGTTTTACTTAGAATTCAATTAATGACCCAGACGTGAAACAAATCATTTCATTTCAACACTTCTTCTGATCTTTACGAAAATTCTGAGAATAAGATAAAAGTGAAATCAATTATTTTGATCAATAAGATTGTGAAGTGAAATGTCACTTTCCGTTGCAATGACACATTTAAATTTAATCTTAAACAAGATTGAGATTCTTTTCACACTTTATTTGATATGATATCAAATTGAAATGTAAGAAATTAACAACAAGCAAGTTTGACTTGTGTGATGAATGAAATAACAAGAAGATTTCAAAGAATGTCAAGGCACGTTGACAAATTTAATGTTGAAGTTTCTCTGCACATATGGACGTCGATTGTTGATATTTCGTTAATTTAATTCTTGGTTACCTTTTTATTTATTTGCAATTATCTACTTAAACGTAAAATAAAAATTATAATTCATAATCAATCGACATCTCTACTTAAATTTTGCAATACTTTAATTAAAATAAGAAAACCAAAAATTCTTCCAATTCCAGGGATTAATTCCAGAATCTTCAATACTTCCCTTGTTCTCTTCTCTGATCGTTTCGTTTTCATGAGAAATCATTAGTCAGTGTTTGTTTATTATTTACATAAGATAAGTCGTTAATATATTTTATTGGAGCGATAAATTTTCGCTTGTGGAAGCGTGTTTTGTGAATCTACAAAGTTATGAGACGGTTGAGAACACTTTTTATCAGTTGAATGTCGATGTTGCTTGGGGATGTTGGGGATAAAGAAGTAAACGAAACCTGTTCGATACAAGAATCTTTGTGTTTATTTATTTCCCTTTCTTTTTTCATTTCGCTCACAGTGCTTAAACTCAACAATTAAACAAGCGAGTAATTCTCGACCAATAAAACAATCTTCAACATGAGAACGCAAATCAAACAATCATCGACTAGCGATAAAAGCTTATTAAAATTGTATTTCCACAATAAAACAAGAACATGATATGTCGATGGATGGGAAACCTGGCAAGAAATAAAAATTCCGAAATTTATTTTATTTATAAAGAATTTCAAGCGAAAGGTCGGAACAAGATTCTTACAAGACTTAAAACAATTTCTTGTTCGATGATCTTTGAGTGGCCTTTTTTTTTTTTATTTCTTTAACCATGAATTTCAAACTTACTCGTATGAAACAACAGGTCCAACAGCCAAAAAAAAAAAACATCTTACCTCGTGCTGTATTCTGTTTTATGTTTCAATAAAAGAACTGTGATTTTTATATCTTATAAGAGAATAGAAATTAAAGTATTTCTTCTTTTTGTTTATCGTTGTGGGCCACGAGAAATTCTTCTCAATGCTTGTTCGAGTGTGTGTTTGAAAACTTGTTGATGTTCTTCTTCATCATAATCATCACAGTTCTTTTCACAAAAAGATGTAAAAATGTTTCAACAACAACTTGAAGCACTAAAGTATCAAAGAAGGAAAAAAAAATGAAAAGAAAAGAATTGTTTGACTGTGAATGGCGTTACACAAGCACAGTAAACCGATAGCAACACAACACACCATTACTTCAACTTGCTAGAGTGTGGTAAAAGACTGCGATTCTTTCTTTATGTTTCTCTTACCAACGAAGCAAATATCTGTAAAGAATCGAAGAAAAGTTCAACACAAACTCGTGTTATACACGGGGCATTGCTTGAACATTTGTACGAGGGCAGTAGAGTCGTAACGATTTTTATTTATTCTTTAGTATTTTTCTTTAGTTGTTTCTTAGACTTTGTTAATAATGCGTCTTTATGCTGCTTTATCGCGCTTCGCTTCAACTCGCTATAATCGCATCAAATTGTAATTGAAAGTGCTCTGGGTTGGTGATTTTCCTTCTCTCGTCTCTCGTGCATAAATTAAAAATGGAGATTGATGTGCCAAGTTTTTCGTGTGCATTATAATTTTTTTTGCTGCCTTTGGTGACGTGAAAAGAGACAAAAAGCGACAGATACACAACAAAGGATGTGAGAAAGTTGATTGAGAATAAAAAGAAAAGAAATAAAGTTATCGTAAGGTGACAAATAAGGAGAGAAAAAATTGTCTTTGTATTTCGAACAATCCTTAAGCAGAGTTAGTTAAACTCTAACATTTTCTAAAGCTTAACGAAGTCAACAACAGTTGAGGTTAAAAATAGTTCATTCTCTATTGACAGAGTGGATATTGTGCAATTAAAAGTTTTTTTTATTCTTCAACTTGCCATCAGTAAGAATTTTTTTTCTATCCCTTTAAGTGGATGATTGTGATAAATGAAAACGTGATAGCTATGGAGTCTGGTGATAGTAATGATTGTGAAACAGCAACCCAAAATAATAATCGAGCAGAAGAAATTGCAGCAGCTGCTGCAGTTGTTTTGTCGCTTCAAAGTACGATGGTTTCAAGCTTACAACAAGCTGCAATGCTTCCAATCAATTCGCCGGCAGCAACAGCCTTAAATCTTCAAGCCCTCGAGTCTTATTTCACCTTGCAACGACTCACAAGTAAATCTGAAATATTAAGAATGCCTAACAATGGACCATTACCGTCACTTCATTTCCCAAACCATTCATCACCACCAATCAATGATTTGTCAACTATTCAAACGAGCGATCTGGTCGATGATGATGAAGAGATGCCCATGATGACCCCAGAAGATGATCACGAAGAGAATGAAGATGATTTAGCGGTCGAAGCGAATCTAAGTTTGCCGTCGGATGATTTCTCGTTAGATAACAACTATTCAAGCTTACTAATGACCTCATCTTTCCGACAGAAATTGAATCAAGAGTTATTGAATAAGAAAAACGAAATGTTGCTTAAAGCAAAGACGACATCACTTTGTTCAACAGCAGGTGTAACATCATCCGAAACAAAATCATCCATAACGTCACCGTCATCACATGCCACGACATCAGCCGTTTCTCAAAGCCTCGCGTCATCATCAAGTGCCACACAGAGACCAAAAAAGCAATTTATATGTAAATTCTGCAATCGACAATTCACCAAGTCGTACAATCTTCTCATTCACGAGCGAACACACACTGATGAACGTCCCTATTCGTGCGAAATATGCGGAAAAGCCTTTCGTCGACAGGATCATCTGCGGGATCATAGGTAATGTATTTTCTCATTAATTATAATAACATTCTTTGCTTTGCTTTACCTTATCTTCCTGTTGTCTGTTGCCATGCATCGTTATTGTTTGAAACTCTTAAAAAAAGCACCAACAAAGAACAGTCAAAAATATAACTGTTACGTAAATTTATTATATTACCTTTACGAAAAAAAAAAAAACAAGCGGAATGACTTATGGTACCATCCCGGAGTTCTTCTTCGTCTCATTATTCTTATAGCTTTCGGCCGATGGTAATGTTGTTGTTGGTGTTTCCATCTCCCTTTCTCTTTCCCTCTCTCTCTCTATCTCTTTTTCCATTTCTCATCAAATGTCTGTGTTCAGTCAAGAACTACACGTGTGAACATTATTGGATGGATTTGAAACATGTGAATTATTAGAAAGTTTTCAATGATCATTACTCAGCAGAAGCATGTGCGACTTGCAGACATTTGATGTTTATTTCGTTCGTCTAAAGTTTAAGTTCATAATTTACCATTTTTTGTATTCAATATTACTTTAATTTACAGATATATTCATTCTAAAGAGAAACCATTTAAATGCGGTGAATGTGGAAAAGGATTTTGTCAATCGAGAACGTTAGCCGTACATAAAATTCTTCATATGGAAGAATCACCTCACAAATGTCCCGTTTGTGCACGTAGTTTTAATCAACGATCAAATCTTAAGACTCATCTTTTAACTCATACGGATATCAAGCCTTATCACTGCTCCTGCGGGAAAGTCTTTCGACGTAATTGTGACTTAAGACGACATAGTTTAACACATAATTTAAGCGGTAATAGTTCGACAAATAATAACAAATCACCGAGATCGTTATCATCATTAACCGGTACATCAGCCACGTCATCAACTGCAGTCTCGTCAAACAATAACAAATTTAATATTGATTTAATAGCAGCTGGTGAATGAAATTCATTCCCTTCTATAGTGATTTCTATAAATTAATTTTAACTTTTCTTTTCTTCTTGTTCTTGTGTCTATCAACGATACACGATCAATGCAAGAAGAAAAATCATCAGAGAAGACACAAAACTTGCTTACACCATTTTCAAAAAACAAAACAAAAAAAAAGAAGGAGAAAGAAGAAGATTGAAACATTTACGTATTTAAATAAAAAATGAAAGCATCACATAAATAAATGTAGTGATGACTTATGAAAAGCTTAAGATAAAGAAAAAAAGGAAAAGTTGCATTTGTTAGGTTTTTATCAGCAATTTATGACATTTTAATCTTGAGTTAGCAATCAGTTTCATTATAAAATTGTGCACATACAAAAGTTTAAAAATTTGAAGGCTCATTGAAAGCTTTCATGATAAGTAATTTGTTAAAGTTTATAAGTTAGTTGAAATAAAAAAAGAAAAATTGATCTGATTAGACATTAAAAACTCTTAATGGAGCATTGAACTGGTTAATAATTGTAGATAAGCTTCTAACGTCCTTCAATAATTGATTATTAACGTATTTACATGGTTTGTATTAAAAGTCGTCACGGTTGAAAGGTTGGTATTGACATGACTAGTTAGTTTATTAATGAATTTCGTGATCAACAAACTGAGACTTGAAGTTAATCAGATTACAAACTTTTGACGTCCCTGACAAACTATCCCCACTGTATCCAATCATGCGCGAGCTCAACAAGAAGTGAAATAAATCAATAACTTACAATTTGCTTAATTTATATTTTTTTCAACCTTTTTTTATTGGTTTACTTCATAATTAATGATAAATACGTTGATCATCAATCATTGCTTGTGTTCATCTAAGATTCGTGTACAACAAAAACGAATCTTCACTTTACATTGATATTTATTATTAATCTTTCCTTATGATATCTACATACATAACTTACACTTTGTTTCTACATTCATTCACATTCAAATCTGAAATGAGACACGAAAGAGATGAAATAAACATTCCATGACCATGGAAATGACAAATGACTACTGAATAATGTTTGAGAAAATGTTTAGATCAAGATTTGAATGTTGTGATCTTCGAAGAGAAGTATTTTGTTGAAATCCTTTAATCTTGTCGACACTTCTTGAACGTATCTACGTCTGATAATCTTGAAAAGTGAACTTAAGTGGTTCTCTCTCTATCTGGTCTAAGTTAGAAACTTTTCTGGTAATTAAAGTATATAATTACTCAAGAGTAACTTAAGTTGAGTGTGGCGTGAGTCATTTTGCACTTCTAGTTAGTCTGAAATTCTCTCGATCGTGTTTCAATGTTCAATGAGACATGAAAAATGTCTTTGCCGGTTCTTATTCTTCTTCTACTTCTTCTCCATATTTAACAGGTATTAACAGACACATTTATTAGAGGAACATTTGAAATATACGTTCAATGATTGTAGCATGCCTTATTCAATTTAAAACTTTTATATATCATTTCATTAAATGGATATCATTTTCATCTTATAAACATGAAACGAGAAAAGAAATATCAAATGACTGAAACGCGATTTTTGAACTGTAAGTGAAGGAATGAAGAGTGCAAGCTGTAAATTTTATTCCTTTTTTATAACAACATTGCAATTCTTTTTCTATAGATTGTAATGTTTTAGCTCTCAAATTCGGAAAGAATGACTTTAATGATTATTCGTTTCATTGAACAGAATCTTAAATTGTTGTTAACGATGACACAGATGCCGAACTTACACGTTGATTGAATGAATTCTCACATGATTGAGTGAGTTTGCAAGGACATTTTTCAAATGACATTTAATTGAAAACTTATGTCAATAAGTTTATGGATGATCTGCATCAGCTAGTAAACTTAAGATTAAATACAAAGGTGGTCGATAATGTATGATCGATCAACGTTGACAAAAAGTCTTTTAAACACGTGTCAGATTTCTACTTAAGATCCCACATGATGCTTGGACACAATAAAAGATTTCCTGATACTCAATAAAAATGAAAGCTTCTCAAATCAGTCTACTTAAATATTATTCTTTGTAAATAACCAAAGTAATGATACAATTGAACCTTTTTCGTTCAAATTGTTGGTTTAGTTTATTTTCTCTTTCCATAAGATTCATGGCTTTGACACACGTTTAATCCCAAAGCAATTTCATGCCTTTAGAGATCAATTTTCTGTTTGAATAATAATTGTCATCTATTGTGTTTATTGTTGAGGGTGAGAAGTGATCTAGGTAAACATGTTAACGAAAAAGAAAAAGAAGCATCGATTGATCTTTATGTACGGCGTGATACATCATCTCTCAAAATATTTATCCTTCTTATTATTGAAGCGCAAAATGAGCAAAGAAAAGCTTCAAGAAAAACGTTTGAAAGAATGAAAAGCATTTACCACATGTAATTATGATACATTAATATTTGTGTTAAAATCACAACATAAAACATATTTCACAATTTAACCAACGAGTTTATGGTCGGAGATTTTTTGGTGAACCGAAGCAGCACACAAAGAAGAAATAAACTTGAGATTTAGAGGCAAATAAAAAAGAGCATAACAATCGTTAAGCTTCGAGAGTGGAAAAAAGTGCCGACGGTTAAAGAGTCGTGTATGAAAATATTTATGCGATGTTGGTGAAGTATGGCACATTGCAGTTAATTTATTTTAAAGGTTTTAGTTACAGATGGAGTTGTTTTCTTTTCGGTGATGAATTCATAAAGAAATCTTTCTGCGAATTAGAATGAAATGGAATGCAATATCGGTCCGACTGTGCAGCTTGCCAAAAGCATATGTTTATTGCTTGATTTCTCTTTTCTTGATTTACGTTCGAAGCCATAATCACGTTGGATATTGTTAATAATTAAGAGCTTATTAGTTAGCAATGTAAATAAATCGCATAATTTCTCTCTTCTTTTCAACATAATTTTTATGACTTTAAAACAACGAAATCAACAGTTTTTAACAAGCATAGCATGGGGCTTTAGGCAACATGATCTGCTAATTTATGCAGATTTTTCGCAGTTTTCAGCAAAAACTTTTCCTCTTGCTTCGAGCAATACATTTCCACCCACACATTGTTTATTAATTATATACAAAAATATTTGCTTTAATTAAACTTTATGAATTTTTCCAAAGTGTCCACAAATCGATTACAGCGTTTAACTCAATTAAATTAACTTGCAAAATTCACTGAACATCAAGTCATGACATCAATTGCTCTTTACATGCGAACATTACTTTGCAGTGAAGTTTAAAAAAGCAGAAAGAAAAGATTGTGAGCATAAAAAAATTATTTTCAATGTAATGTGTAGGTGTTTTCATTGCGATCGCTTGAGGGGCAATTTAAACAATTCACGATAATAAACTGTATGAGTTCTCAATTTATTCCACCCATTTATGCCTCATTGTGAAATTCCACTGAGTGATCTTCCCTAAAAGAATGTAAAAAAAAATCATTTCATTTCACTAATTCAAGTCGTCAAAACTTTGCTTTTGTGCTTTACAAATTCAAATCGGAAGTTGTCAGAATGTTTTCTTCGAAAATAAATCACGAATGGGTTTGTCTTTTTATGGATCGAAACGTTTGCGATCACATTCCAAGCACAAGCATCATGATTCTCTCTCTTGTTGTGCTTCCTACGTCGCCATGAACTCTTCACCTCTGGAATTTCTTGACTTTGAATTCGTTATTATGTTTTGTGTTAATTTTGAAGGTTTTAACTTCTATTCATCATGATGCATCATTTTGTGTTAGTAGCTCAGGTAAATAGATAACCCAAACAAAGAATTTATCTCCGATAATGTTTATGAAATGTTTTCAACCGTTTTTGAAATAAATAATTCCCTGCAATTATCATCAGACATTGAGCCCTATAATTATCAGATAATGATTTTAAAACTGTATCACTGTAAACGCCTTGGGTTTAAAAAATTTTTCATTTCATCCCCCGAATCAAATTCAAAATTATCATGAGATGTGCAAGGAGAATTTAAAATGAGTTTATTAGTAAAAATGTCAAATGCGATTAATCGGCTGGTTGATTGAGGTTAACGGAAAACATTCTTCGAATGTTCGTATCATCTGTTGAATGAAGGCAGTCATAGACGTTTGTTTTAAAAAATAAATTCTTCATCGTGTATGACGACATAATGACTGGGTTGTAAAAATAGCAAAAGGAAAATTTATTTTCATTGATCGTAAATTCATAAAGCGTTTAATGATAATGCGGCTGTGCGACTTCAAATGAAGCGATGGAATGAATCATCAGCTTCGAACAATTCACAAAACCATTATCGACATTACATTCAAAGACGGCGAAATAAAATCATTACAAACATATCATAAATGATGTTCATAGCGAGTCGAAAAAATTACATCGCAATGAACAGGTTTAAATTGATTTACGTTCAAATAAAGCACGACCGATGCCGGTTGGCTTTTCGTAAACGCATTTCTTTCGACAAATGCGCAAGGGGGTAAAACCATACATGATAAGAAGACAGAAAGACAACAAGCGAATACGAATATGTGAGCTTCGAGAGATGATTTATTTCGCGAGTCGACTTGAAGCGAGCCATCGACGATTTCTTCGCATTATTTTGTTTTGTTTACATAAATACATTTGTGACCTGCGTGCGGTGGTCTTCGAGATGACAAAACTTTTCTCTTTTGAGATATAAACAGATTAATTGATATTTTTTTGCATTAATGATGCAATCCAACCTTCACATTATCGATTGATGGCGGCGAGAAGAAATAAATTATAAATTCCATGTTTTGATCGCTATCGACCTCACATCAAGTTGCTTTAATAATCCATCATATAAAATAATGTTTAACTGGCTAAATATATCAGTTCGAACAGCAGAATTATCGTTTTATGGCTCGCTATTGTCTTCTTGTTTTTTTTTCCTTTATAATTAATTTATGCAATTTTGAAGTGTGTTTTGTTGTACAGCAACTGAAATGAAATTTATGAATCCTAATTAATCACTCGTGATGAGTATAAATAAAATATAAAAACATAAATACCTATCTTACAGACTGTTTAACAGTCACAAAGTCATATCATAAATTAAACTTTTTTTTTATTTCGCATCACATGACGTGGAGGCTTTCATGACTCATTTTGCTTTATCCTTTTGTGTTTGCAGATTTGTTCTTTTAATAATGAAATCTGATGAATATCGAAAGATTTCAATGCGTGGTTGGTGGATGGTGAAAGACCACCACGAGATAAAAACAAATTGTGAAGAATCTCTCATTTAAATCTATGTAGATATGTCAATAAAACGAGAACAAAAGAAAGGAGAACTCGTAAAGTATTAACTTCAATTTCAACAACTTCCTATCACACCTTTTTCCTCCAGTTGACAATTTTTTTTGTTTTTCCTTTATTTCAGCCATTAAAGCTGAGTTATGGGTCAGTTAAGAACACACAAAAGAAGAAATTTCTGATCATCAAACAAAACAACATTTCAAAGACATTCAAAATTTACATAATTTCTGTAATCTCCAATGCGACTTATTTACACTTTAGATTTGTCAACTGGTGGAATTAAAGCGAGATAATGACGACAGGAAACTGATCGTAAAATATATACATTTGTTGAGAAGAAGAAGGAAAGAGAAGTTTCAAACATATTCGACACTTTTCTCCTTTTTCAGTTAACAACTTCAAACAATCACATCGCTCAAATTGTCAATATTTAGATTGTATAATTTCTAATAATTGTATATGAATTACTCCTTTGCTCACCTTTCGGCGATTTCAATGTTGACATTTCATTTGAAAACCGACACTGATTTCAGGTAATTTCAAATGACTCTTCAGAAAGCAATCAGGAACAAACAGATTTATGTAAACGAAAAATTATATAAATACGACTTTTATCGTCACAAGTTTTCGAGCGGAAACAAAATTGCATCATTCATTCATCAATGAATGAGAAAAATACGTTTTTTAAAGGAGAGTTGAGTTAGTCAAACAATAAGACTCATCATTATTCATTTACCCTGAAGATATTTCTGACTAAAATAAATCAAACAAAATTCTTGTTAATGGCGCCATCTACCATCTCTCAGTTTATCGTGCACTCGACAGTTTTTAACTTTTTTATCTTCATCAAAGCATTTAGGAACACTACAAAAGCGCAAATCTGTTCCCATTTTCCACCCACGCAAATATTTTCCATCCACGTTTAAGAAACCTTTTGTTTATTGCGCGCAGCATTTATTTTCATTCGCTTGTTTGCGACCGTATATCCTGTCAGAGCGCTTGGCTGCAAGAAGGCATTTAATTTTGTGCCCATTTATGATGATCGCTTTTGATTACGTCGGGGTCGCAAATAAATAAATCGCAGTTTCTCTCGGTGCACAAGCAATTCCTTTCCCTCTCGCTTGCTTGTTGAAATTTATACGTAAACGAAAGACATGTTAACTTAAGAAAGATCATTGATAATTCACTGCAAATGTTTATTTCCCATTTCATTTTATGTCTCACTGATGCCTCTTTTTCGTAGGTCGCATTCGAGCTTTACTTTTATTCTCTTGTTTAAATATATTTTGTCAAAGAATCTTTATCATTCATCTGATACATTTTTATACTAATGTCAAAAGATTTATTCCGAAATGGAGATTTATATTTAAACAAGAAATTAGAATGAATGTTTGTCTTCGTTTCGCTACAACATCACAAGGGAAACGAGAAGGTGAGAAGGAAGAGGCCAATGACTATAAAAACTTTTAAACTATCCTTGACATGTTCCGAGGAGAAGGTTTGTTTTATTTTTTATTTTTTACTTTTTCTGGTAAACAAACATCGGTTATCAGCATGAAAGTTTTTCTCAATGAACCTTTGAAAATGGGACCTACATCAATGCTTGTCATTGGTCGACTGCGTTCTTGATTAAGACACATTCGGTCTTTCGTTTTAAGTGACAATAAACAATGAAGTTGAATGAAGGAAAGAATGAAACAACTCTTCCCATAATTAAATTAATTTTTTACACTTAAACAATTCCATTAACAACAAACAAGCGTCATTTCCCACGACTAAAAGTTCTACTCGTCTCTTCCACAAACTTTAATTCTTTATTGACCGTTTTCTTTCACTTCTTTCTTGCTTCCACCATGATCAAGAAGAACCACAAAAAAAAAAAATATAAAGCGAGAACATAAAACGGGCACTGATCGTATCGTGGATTTAACAATTTAATCAAAATATTTGTCAACCGAACGCGACAAAAAATCAATTTAGATCTATCAGTTTGACACAAAATGTTATAAAAATAAAATCTCAAATCTCGCTTTAAACTTTGACGACGATGGCAAAAAGACGAGAAACAAAAAAATCGATTGACGATTTGAGGAATTTCAACTTCATAGATAAACATCTTTATGTTTCCATTCAAATAATCTATCACAGCATTCGAAGCTTCATGTAGACCACCATGTGTTGCAACACGAAGAAGTGTCGTCCATTGCGATATCAAAGTCTTTTTCCTGTTGTGTTCTTGCTTCTCCCAATTTCCACAAGACTCATGTTGAGATTTCTTACAACATTAAAAATTAATTGAGTGATTTCGTTGCTTGTCTTCTATTCATCCTCAGTGTCTTGTCTTCAAATTAGCATTTCTCTTCTTCAGCCACGATCGGATTAAATTTCTGTCGAATTAACAGATGTGGTAAAGAGACTTCTCCAAACAGATAAAGAAGTTTAGATTGTATTGCGGCTCTGCCAACATAAAATTTCACTGCCAAAATCTCATCAGCTTATTGATTCAACAATCGAGAAACAAAAAAAAAAAGTCGTTAGCATAAGCGCGTTTCTCGTGTAGTTCAATTTTTCTCTCGTGTCAATGCCAGCAGAATATATTGATGGATTTTTTATTTATAAACCTCATTGTGATATCTCATAATCTCCACTCTTAATGAAACTATCAAATGGATGTTTTCTTTCTTGTCTGTTTATTCTTCTGTATTTATTTTTTTTTTTGTACCCCAAAAAAAAGTCCCATAAAAAATATCTGAACCATAAAGCATTCAACACTTTAGTGAATACTACAACACAAAACAGAGATTATTATAAATTTATATTGTCAAATAATTTGACACTATTCATTTGGTTATTAAATGGAATTTTTTTTTCTTCTGCTGCTTTGGTCTTGAGAAATATTTTGTTATTGACCAAAAGACCGAAGAAAGAATTTTTTCTCTTTTTTGGAGTTTATTGTGATGACGATCATAAAGCGTGTTTGTTCTTTCCTTTTCATCAAACACTTATAATCCGTGAATTAATGATACAAATGACTGTTCCATTGTTTGATTTAATAGATTTACAAAGTAGATAGTTAAAAGGTATTTCAATAATCTTGTTGTGATCTCGTTATGGAGGGTTGGACATTTTTCAACTGTCGCTGAAATGTTTCCGCAATAAATCCTTATACGATCATAAACAATAATTCAAGTGAGTTGAAAGAATTTATGGAATCTTCTTTAGTCATTTCAATATTCATTTTTGAATATGACGTAACTTGTGTCGATTAAGCATGCGGCGTTCAAAGCAAGCATTCGTCAGCTAATGATACGATCACCAATTAATTATTTCCTGACACCACAAAACAAAAACGTTTTCGGATTTCATCAGAAACTATAAATATATCTCAATTCATTCTTCACCTTAATCGTCTTCGCTACACCGAAAAGTATGTTTAGAAGAGAATTCTCTTCAAAATGTGAAAACAGATAAGAATCTTCATAGCACCTTTTGATGACTTCAAACGTTTACAATTCGAAGGCTTTTTTGCATTTAATATCCAACAAATTAGCTTCCAACACATTCCTGAATCTTTACACCATCGGTGGTGCTGCCGCTGAGATGAGAAGCAAACTAACAATTTATTTATTTATTTGAAGAGTGAAAAGTGCAACAGAAATAATAATGACTTGTTAATAAAATAAAATTTTAAAAACGACTCGCTTTACTTGCTTGAATTGTGGAAGCAGCAACAATATGAACATTTTTGCAAACATTTTAACATGTCAGTGGAATCAGAAATAAATTCAATTTATTACCATTTTTACCGTTTTACAAGCAAGATTTCTCTCTTCTTTTCCGTGAAGAAGTTCAACGACAGCTTGATTTCTCTTGGTGATCATTGCTGAATTTATGTGATTCCGAGATAGAGAAAATGAATGTTTAACACGAAACCATCGTCTATAATTTTAACTTCCAGAAACAAGGAATAAAAGAAACAAAAAAAGTTTTTTTTTTTGGAGACAATGAGAGAATAATGTTTGCAGTTTAAGTAATCTTTTAAGATCCTTAACATGTGTCTTTTTGACATCACGTCACAAGGACAACAACAAAAGCGTTGTTACATCTTCTAGAAGACAGAAGACTGTCGTCTTTAAAGATTCTCTACCTACAACATTGAATTCGATGAGGTGGTCGCACAGTTAGAAATCATAATTGTTGTCCTTTTTTTTAACTAATGTCCAAATTACGAGAAACCCAAAGAAATGGACCAGCATGTCGAGATTTGAGATGAAAATTACACAAATAAACTCAAAATATTTACAAAACATAATTTCGTTTCGGTTTGACGTTTGACGTTTTCCCAGTCAATTTGATTTTTCGTGTCAAACGCGCATCAACAAATTTTTTGAGTGCGGTAGGAAAGAAAATCTTTGAACATCTTCAAATCCAACATATTTACATCTTGAAACTATCAGACTTATCACCTACTGTGTAAAGGATCAAGGACAGTTGTGTCATTTGTTAATCGGATCGGATGTTTTTTCTCTCTCCCTATTCATGACCTTGTCACGTTAATCTTGTAAGAAAGTTTCAACAGTCAAAGGCAACAACTCAAAATATTTATGATTTTAATACGATTTACAAGGATTTATCATTCAAACATTCTTTTTTGATTAAATTTCCTTCCGAGAAAGTTTCTTTCCCTTGTCAAAAAATACTTTCAAGGAAGAAAAAAAATATTTGAAATTATCAGCATGAAAATCATTGACAAACAAAATGGTGAAAATCAGCGGTAAACATTCTTGATCAAAGTTAATCACACGATATCAATTTGCCTTTCGCTCAACTCGAATTATGAAATATTTGACTACTTAAAAATAATGGTTCAGATGATATGAATCTTCATTTTCGGAGCATGAAAGAAGATTTCTTTTAATTGCTGCCTTTCGAATCTTCATTAATTTATGACTCTATGATTTTTCTAAATTCGTTTTCTTAATTTTCAATGAGATTCCAACCTCGACTTCATCATCACTAAAATATCGGGTATTAGATGTAAGACATTGTTAACTTTGGCGCTAATATTGAAATAAGTGAATGTTTTTCTTTCCATTCCTTTGATGATTTCTGCTTGTTACCTCAACGGGGGTCAAATTAGTTGATGATTTTATTTTGAATATTTTAAACATTAGTGTTTTCAGTTGTTGGTTTTTTAATTTTTGTGCTTTTCCTTGCTTCTCCTGTTAAATATAGTCGCGTTATTAATAATTCGGTAGATTTCAAACAGTTTTGATTAGGAGCCAACTGATTCTTGGGTCTCTTCCTGTCATTGGTGCCATGACTTGAAGAGAAAAAGAAGCTGCTTAAACTTGCCAATTATATAAAATATTCAACTTTACATTTTTCTTTTCAGAAAATAATGAAACGTGTGACTTCCACTGTATTTCATAATATTTTGTTATCCCCAAGAAAGCAACTCACAGTTTGATGTTTTCTCGTAGAACAAAATTCGAAAAATAAAAGCGAATCAAACCACCGAAAAAATATTCAGAAGAATCAAGTCGCATGATGTTCTTTAGATCGCGCACAGCAGAATGTGGGCACACCATGCTGTGGTTAGTCAAAATTTATTCCACCGGTCATCTCATCCGATGAAGAAAAAAATAAATATATAACGAGCATCAGAATTGCTTTTATATTATTAAAATAAAATATATTTTTATTGATTCTCATAATGTGTTACAACAGAAGGCTCATAAGAGAAATAAGTTTTTGTTCTTTGGCTTCGTTCCGTCGCAGTGGAGAAATATCTCATAATATTATTAGAGATAAAAATCAACAGATAAGAGCTTTATTTTATTTTACGACGCATAAATTTTCCCCAAATCGGGATCCTTTTACCGAAAAAAAAGCAGACTCAAAATTATGAATAAGCCGAGTTAGTTTCTTTTCTTCTTTTCGTAATAAAATGATAATAATTTTTTAAAACAAAAGTTTGAGTCGTAAATTATAAAAGAAGTTTATAAAAGCGACGTAAATGCTATTTACTGAAAATCCCGGTTGACAAAGAATTGATGTTTGAGATCGGGAACAAAGCTCATAAACAAGTTAGCAGTTGAATGTCAGCTAACAGAAACATCAATAGAAATTATCTCCTGATATAAATGTTTCACATTTTACTGCCCGATTCATTCCTATCTTGGATTCCAAAGAATTTGTAAATTTTTGCTCAAACATTGTTTGTGTTTCTGAATGGAAAAGTTTCGTGGCAACGAGATTGCCTTTTACTCAACTCACTTCAGTTCTTTCATCCATGCATGCGAATATCAAATTACTGAGTTTGAATTTTCGTCTTTCGGTTGAGACTTTTATTCAATTAATTTCAAACTGTTTTTCAGATACACACCTGAATTCCTGAATTTAATGTTCAAAGAAATTGGAATCTCATGAATTTTCACTCGACATCGACAACGACTACGACTTTTATTTAAAATGTTTCACAACAAAGCTTCATTGTGGTGTCGATAGATCATAATAATAATTGTATAATGTGCTCGAGTCACAACAATGTAAATTTTCTTATTATTAGACACCGAGAGAAAGAATGTAATGAAATTATTCAAATCAAATGATTATTAACAAGCCATGCATTGTTACAGAAATGCGAAGAGAGTGTCGGCTCTCAAAGCATTTTAACTTTGTAATTTTAATGATTTCTTAAGTCAGTGATACTTTGATGTACTCAAAAGGCACTTATGCTTGGCACATGAAGTGGCTATTCATTTCATTTATTATTGACTGTAGTTATGATACGTTAGAGCCGTAACAGTTTATGGTATTTAAAGTTTAGACAAACAATTTAACTTTTTATCCAATGATCATCTCTTTCAAAGTAAAAAAAAATGAATAAATCATTGTGAAATGATTCAAGACAGGTGAAGACTTTCTGGAAACAAGAATGAAGAATGTTAACAACAGAAGACTCTCAAAAGCAAGCATATTGATCAATTGTTTGGAGCCGGAATCATTCAAAAAAATATTAGTCGGCATTTAATGCAAGCAAGAAGTATTTCGAGAATTTCCATCGATCGATATCATCAAACATCAGAAAAGAAGAAGAGAGAAATAAAAATGTTTTCCCAATATTTCGATTGGTCATCGTTACATTTCGTTTTCTTTCAGCGTTTTTCATCGATCAACAGACAAGGAATTTTCAAATGTGAGTAACAAAGCGCGCATATTGCTCACATGTCAAATTAATTAAGTTGAATTATGAATTATGATGAGCGATATTTCATTTAGATGTCGATTTATCATCGCGGCGCGAGGATGGGAATTGAGCAAGTTAAAATTTAATCATTTCTAAAACCCGTGACCGATTTGTGTACGATGGGAAAATATTGAGCGATAATTATCATTTGTTTAGGATCGGACAGATTCAATGAAACAACACTTTTTTCCTTCAATTCGTCTACTAGAGAAACTAATTCGATTATTGATCCATTGCGCTTGTCTAAACAAGGAACTTTATCTGTTTTTCACCGCACTGCGAGCTTATTTTTTCTTTTTACTTCTTTCTTTCATGAGAACTACTCTCGCATGCTGTGTTTGTCAAAATATGCTTTCATCATACGCCATGAAGTGCTCGCAGCTGTCTGGCCAATAAGAAGCAGCTGAAAGAATTTTCGTGAAACGATTCACGTCATGTACTTAGCGTTGTTCTTCAAACGATTATCTCTTGAACGAGATCATGAGAAAAATCTTTCCTTCAATAATCGATTGATGAAAGAATTCTTTCGATGCTGACGTTACAAAGTTCATGACTAATCATTGATGACTTTATAAGTTTATTTTATCAACTTTCCCACAGATTTAATAAAGAGAAATTTGATGTCGCTGCTTAGTATTCTGCATGGAATTTACATTTGTCACCTTGGCAAATGAGTCACGTAACTTGCTACTTATTTGGGACACACCAGCATCACCAAGATTGAGTGTTTAAGATTAAACGAGTTTATGTTTCATCGGAAAGAATATGTTAAACTTCGCAACAGACAGAAAAAGAAATTAATTTGGAAACGAGACTGAACTTCCAAGAAATGTAATCATTTACCTAACCGCACTAAGTTAAAATAAATATCATTCAACGAGCAGTGAGAAGGGTCTCACTAGCCTCCGATTTTAATTATAGAGCGTTATTAATTTATTCTTCCACCGTCATATTTCACTGTGAGTTTTTTTTCCTCTGCTTGTCGTTTGTTCACCTGAGAAAAGTTTCCATGACTTATGAAACGAGAAAAAAGTTCTCTCACATGATGCCCTCGAGGCATTGAAGGGACCAAAGCACTTTGAAAAAGTTCTTCTGATGGAGGAATGGAAATTCAGTAATTTAACAATCCTCGAATATATTTTTCTTGAATCATGTATCACAGCAGGGAAGCTTTTCACAAAGTTATGAACATATTCAAGTCATTCCTTCTTGTGCTTGCGCGCGCAATCATTTTATGCGGATTTCAGCATATTTATGGATGATCTGTAAAACTCTTCGCTTATTATGAAGTCAATTTATTTATGTGGTGGTCTTTGATTGTGAATTCCGTTTTATCAGTTAACTAAATAATTTTATGCTCTCTTCTTTCATTCTTGACGTTTAATTTTATTTCTTTAAGATTTATTTCGATCGTTTTCAATTAAGTACTGTAAATTTTACCGAACATATTTTAAGAGTATTAATGTGTTAGAAAAGGAAGTTTCCACAGCATGTTATGATAATTATGTTAATATCCATGATCATTACGATTGCAGAATTTAAATTTCAAATAATTTGGCATATCTGAAAAAAAAACTTTTTATGATTTTAATGAATCTGAAAAAATTAAATTGAAAACCAAAACTCTTAAATTTATTTTTAAAATTTTCTTTATTTCCATTTCTCTCTCTCATTCTTTATAAAAAATCATATCATCATAAAAACAAAACTATGGAGTTCTATGTTAGATATAAATTAATGAAACTTTATGCAATAGAGTTGTAAAAATTCAAATGATTGAATACGAAGAAAAAGTTTTATAAATTCGAAATATGTTTTGATTTTAATTAATTTTTATTTTATATTTTTGATTATCAATTGCCGAAATATTTCTTTCCACATTTTTGCTTTTAATTTTAAGATTAAATACGGTAGACTAGAATCTATTCTAAGCACGGCTTATATTTAATAGTCGTTTTTCACTACCATTTAATTTTTGTATTTTTTTTTTAATTTTATCTTTTTTAGGAGACATTCCTTACGTACTAGCGAGTGTATTAAAAAATGTAAAATAAAATTATCTTAGATAAGATTTGAGAAGTGATTGAAGATTGTAAATGTCACTTGCGAACTTTTAATTTTGCTTTTATTATGAAAATGCAACTAAAGAACTCAAGATTTCTTAGAATTTTATGCAGTTAATTGCTATCGTTTCACAAAAATCTGAAAGATCAGAAAGTATGAACTTAAGTAATTGCTTTCTTACATTTTTTTCCTGAAAATTTCTTCTTTTGTCTCAAAGATTCATCAGTTTAACAAACTCTTTCATACTATGAATGTTATGAAAATGACTTCATTGCAAGAGCTTTTTCTTGCAACCTCCACAAATTAAAACGTTGAAAGAATTTGCAACACAATCACTGAAATATTTTTAGAATTTTTAAGCAAAAAGTTTTCACAAAGAAACTTTCAATTTTTAATGGAAAGCGATATTGGTTGGTCGTTATCACTATTAAGTGAATGAAGTTGAAGTTGAATGTAAACTTTTGTCTTCATGTTCTCTTCGCCGTGTTTGAAATCTCAGCTGCTAAAATAAATTTCAATATTTTTTATTTCTGTCTTTTGGATTCATTTGCATATTTTATAATTCCTTATCGAAAAAGCAATAATTATTTTATTGTTCCGCTAATAAACCACCATCAAAGTGTGTCTGCAGTTGGGTTTTTTGTTGCAACGCCTTTCATTAGAGCTTCTAAATATAATCATAACGTTACAATGTCGATGTTGATGTCGCGAACAATGTGACGAAACATCTCGATGCTTCCTTTATAACTTTATCGTAATTTATTCTCACACCACACGATGCTTGTATGCGCGTCTTGTTTGTGTTTTATCTCAATTTAATGTCTGTTTCTTATTGCTCTCTTGTTTATATTTTCTTTCTTTTTTTCTTCAAAAAAGGTGAATTCACACGAAGTCAATATTCAAATAAGAAAGAAAACAAAAAAAAAAACAGTTTGAGGCAGAAAAATAGTTTTATTCAATTCAACTTTACACAAGACAATGAAAATTCACCACAAGATGAAAGCGTTGAAAAGAAACTTGAAATAATTTAATTTTCCGCTCAATTTTTCGGAGATCGAATAAAAATTATTTTCCCATAACGTCTCGTTTTCGATGGACGCACGTGAAACCACAAATGGAATTGAGTCGTGGTCCGTGGGCCCCCCAAAAACAAAACATAAAAGCGACAAAGGAATGGGTAAGGAAGAAAGAGATAAGGAGAGAGAGAGAGAGAGAGAGTAAGAGTGAAGAACTTATGATGAAAGGCAACATTCATCACTTCCCATTCATATGCAGATGAGTCATATGAAATAAATTGATGGTCTTCGACGATGGGAAATAAATTTTGTTGTGTTTGCTTAATTCCGTTTTTTTTTTCAACTCTTCCAAAGATATTTGAATATAAATGCGAAAGTAGCGCTCGTTTCATTGCTTGGTAATTTATGTTTTAACGCGAAATGATGATGGCGATAAAAGAAAGGAAAGAAAAAGAAATCATTGAACATGTAAACATTGAAGAGAATGAAGATGAAAATTATTTAACAAATTATCCATAATAATGTCTGTTTACCTTAGCGAAATGGAGTAAAAAATATTCAGTGAGCGTGTTGCAATGAAAAATTCTTCCATAACCCCCACACGATTCCTTTTTCTGAAGTCATTTGCATTTTGTCTGATGGATATAATTATTTAAATCTTAAAGAACTTTTATTAAGCTCTTATAAAGACTCCTTATTACTTCTCAATAGTTTAAAAATATTTAGTGGCGCTATCTCATCTTTAATCTTAATTCGAAGCCAAAAATGTTTTCTTGAAAAAAAATCTTTTTTATGATAAGTATATTAACATAAATTAAAGTCAATAACTATTTAAATGTTTAAGTAAACTCTCGAATGACGCTTAATAGAAGATCACAACTGTACACTGACAGCTTAAAGGTGATAGTCACACAGCGGCTGATTCGAAATTGATGTAAATAATAATAAACTAATACTTAAAGGCAAATTAAGACACTCCATAAACACTAAAATTAATTACTGATGATCTGTGTCGTTGCTTTGATGCCTTAATATGATCTACAATTGCAACAATTGTAGTTAGTGTTGCCGTACGAATCCGAATGAATAGACCTAGAAATATCAGCAGAAGGAAAAAAAGAGAAAAAAAATGTTGAATTAGTAAATGAATTCAAAAACTTTGAATAAAAGCGATGAAAATATTAAAATTAAGCTCAATTCAAGCAGCATTTAAAAATAAAATTTTATTGTTTAACACACTTCAGTGTTAATTGCAGGTTTAAAACAGTTGGGGTGGAAGATGATCTTGAAGTAATAATCATTATTTTATGACTTGCACATTAGCGATCGGAAAAAAAATTAAACGTCGATTACATCGAACATTAATTGACAAATTAACTTTAATTGTAATGCTTTCAACACGTAAGATTATAATTAAAGATCGTTGGGGGTGTTTCGCATCATACCGGACAAAAGAGAAGTGACTCAAGGCACGGGTAAATTAGAAAGATATTTATCAAGTTTCAAGAGTCATTCATGTGCCATTTATAGCACTCAAAGGAAGCGTGCTTAAGTCATCATTTGCTTTTAACAATTAAAAGCGTAATAAATATAACCGCCTGCATAACAAAAATATTCTTCCGATGACAAATTTCATTTAATAGACCAAAAGAAGAAGTAAAATATTAAAAATATAAAATAATTAAAATATTTATTAACAAAAATTGTGTATCCCTCACCTTTAGCTTAGTGTTTTATTTTTATATTTTTTTTTTTGTGATTTTTGTTTTTTTTTATATTTTTTGTGTGTACACCAGATAGGAAGTTTTTATCGCCATATACATTGACTACATCTACAAGAGAAAAGAAAGTTTGCCATAATCCATTATGAATATAATTGGGTTATAAAAAACATCTTTGCTGATTTTTTATCTCAATTGTTTTGATTTAATTTATATCTTAAATAAATATTTAGTATGAATTTGAAGTGATTCGATCAATTTTCTGATGTTTGATATGTCAATTGGGTTAGCACTAATTATCGAATCACTTCATTTCCAATCATATGATACTTGTTTTTTGTGCGTTTGCAAATTAATCTGATTTGGTGACCTACATGTTCACTTCAAGAGACGTTTTTGTGTCTTTAACCCACAATAGTCTCGTGAAATGTTTAAGTTTTGTTTTTGCAAACACCGAGTGCAAAGAATTAGTTTTACCTGATTTAATTGGGTTACCAAAAAAAGTGTGTTTTAATTAATTCGATTAAAATAATAAAAACAATCAACAGTTCGATGGTGAAGAGAGAAAAAAATAGAAGAAAAAAATTACTCAAAGTTTTCAATCAGTCATCATGACGTCATTGACGTTCGAATATGTGGTGGGATGATCTGATGATGATGAAACTGACAGTTAATTATAAAGACACATCGCTTGAAAGAAAATATTCATCGTTCAGACATCAGCCGAAAACAATAAGAGAAGAATTAGTTGAAAGTCTATTTTGGTAGTTCGTAAAGTAGTGGAAAATATCAAATTACAATTATTGAGAATCACGCAACAATTAATGGTTTTGACTTGTTTCGTAAACAGTTTCGTTGAAGAGGCCACTGGCACGGGTAGCTTTATATCAAAGTTTCTTTTAAAACCTTCTATGATCGCTCGTGGGTTCAACATTATCAAATTTAGGAACCGACTTGAAATCTTTCAATTCATATGAAATAATCGGATAGAAAAATTGGAGCTGGAAATTTTCTCACTGGGGGAACAAATCCAAAATATTTTTATAATTCGAAATGTTTAGAAAAGAAGTCAATGTCTTTTTGGGATTTCTCAGTGTCTGTCATAATTAATCGCTGCGAGGTAAATATTAGAAACAGCCGTGTTCAAAACGATGTTTAAACATGAGAAACCTGGAAGTTTTGGCATTTAACAGCGCAGCTTTATAGCTTCCAGTCATGAATCTCAAGTTAGTAGTTTTCAGCTATAATTGAATGTGTTGCCTACTCGCTTTTTTTTTTGAGTCGCCTCCATGACGCGGTTTCTACGTAGAGAGCTTTTGTTTAACATGAATTGAAATGTTAGAAGATTGATGGATACAAAAAAAAGAGAAAAAAAATATTTTGCTAAACGAAAAATCGTCTGTTGATTAATAATTTGGTGCAATAATTTTGAAAATATGTACAAAGTTCATTGTTGTGAATTATGGATTAATAAATTAATTTCTCTTGACTTGCCGCGGATGAGTTTTTGTTTTTTTTTTCATTTTTCTTCTGTTATTGTTTCATATTCAGATGTTTGATGAAAACCGACACATCCGGACAACGATATTGCAACAATTTATTGCTTTCTTTGTGAGCTCCGAAACTTTTTTGGTTGCAATCAAGACGCAATAGTCTGACTGAGATATTTAAAAGAAAAAAGGGTTATTGAGTTAAGCACTGCCACTTCTTCAATCTCTGATTTATGCGTCAGAGAAGGAACAAGGAAAACGAAGTTATCGACAGCAAAACTCATATTTGCTGGTATGATGCATGATGCTTCAAAGATAACGACAGCACAAGAAAGAACAACTTAAGTCGGTAGATTGTAGAACTCAAGTGATGATTTATGTTTTGAAACAAAAAAAAAAGGCAAATAAGTAATTTCAGTGAATTAATTATGTCTATTTACTCGCACGCGGAGACTTTTGTTCTTTTTTTCCAATGTTCATCACCTCAACTGAGTTCATCAGTACAGAAAAAAAGATAAGTTGCTGCTTTTTGTAAGTCAGCGATAAAGACATTTAAGCCGACTTTTTATGACATGGCAATAGACAATATCAACATGACAATAGCGTGATAAATTTCTGTGTGCGATGACGGAAAAGAAGACGTGAAAAATATGAAGTCAGTTGTAATGTGACAGTTGGTAAAATCACAAAATGTGACGTCTGTTGTGCTAATCTAACAAAAGAAACTTCTTCTAATATTGAACGTCAATAGATAATCAAGCATTTAGCTATCAGTTAGAAACATGTTACACTTTCTTCTATTTTTGTAAAGAGAAATATGATCGTTAACAATGATAAATATTTTGTAAAGCTAAACATATTTATACTTGATAAACATTGACATAAATGTAATTATCATGAACTACACTTTATGTATGTAGGTTTCTTAAACTCTTTCTCAGAACTTGATCTTATTCCTGGTAAATATTCATTTTCGGTGGTTTTTTGTATGCTTCAATTCTATGATTGAAACATTTATTTAAAGGTTTAACTTTGAAACATTTAACGCGAATAACAATAAGTATGATTAATTGGAGAACAGAAAGAAATCTAAGAATAAATGAACAAACATAAACGTCGTCACTTCATTTCAAAATAAAGTAAAAAAAATGTGAAAAAATCGAGAGTGATATTTACCTGTGCTGACGTAAGTTGTCTTGACGTTTGAAGTACTTTCCACAGATCTCGCAGGAGAATGTGACTTCAGGACTTTTGTGGGTGCGCTCGTGGATCATCAAATTGTATGGTTTAGTGAAACGTCGCTGGCAGAACTTGCACACGAATTCGCACTTTGGTCGCATTTTACGACGGAAATCAGACCGACGGTCGTCATTATCGATTCTCATTACCGCAAACATTTTGGCTGACTTTTGGGTTCTTTTTTTCTTCTTACTTGTCTTTTGCTATTTACCACAAGAGACTTTTTCTCTCTCTTTTTCACACTGTTTGAAGCACTAAATCTGATGCTTAAATGTGTGTTGAATGGTTTATTGACGTGATATTATTGTAATCCCCGCTTCGAATGGAAATTTCGTCCAGAAATGTCCACTTTTTTCGGTTATTTCTCTCGTTTCGTTGAAGTCAAAAACTCTTATTCGCTGACGCTCCTGTCACGGCAATAAATTTCACAGAGTAGAATACTGAAACGAAAGGAAGAAGAGCACAGAATGTGAGACAAGAAAAGGCGTTAAAGTTGTGTGTTCTTTATCTAAATTGCTTTAAATTAATTTTTTCCTCTGCTCGTTTTAAACCGAAGTCAAAGAAAAACCAAAAGTGCGATTAAAAGCGACAATCAAGCGAATGTCGCACATCATGATATCACCGTTTCATTTGCTTTATTCACACTTTTATGGTGGGCACTGATAAGCTATAGGAAAGCCTTCCTGTTGATGATTTTGCTGAGATTAATACAAAGTTACTTCTACTGTAACTTACTCAAGCTTTCATAGTGAGTTGGCAAGCTAAAGTTAGCAAGCCTCACATCTAGCACATAAATAGATCGCTTTAAATACCACACGGATTGCATGACCATTTTAGAAGCCAACAGCAAATCGAATGCAACAAAAAAGCTTTATTAACGGCAATAAAAATTATTGACACTTATCGTGACTTTGTTTATGAAATAACAAATAATAATCCTTCGATTCGTGTCTAAATGCCCATTACATGTTGTCATTATTTCAACTTTAATAATGGCGTTATAAGATTGTCACTTAAGTGCACACAAATTTAAATTATTTCACAATGAAAATGTGCATTAGTTGACTCGAGAAATCAAATGACTTGTGCTGCTGATTGAAATGATTTGTTGTCACAACAAGCCTGTTGGTGGTCACATGGGAGCAAAGTTAAAACATGATTCAGAGAAATATTCATAATTTCCTTCATTTCAATATTTTGTTTCTCACCGATAAAATGTCGCCTAAAAATTGCTAAGCAGAATGGACAAAAAAAAAAATTTTTCTCAGGGAATAAAACCATTAAATTATTAACAAGACGATGATGTTGGCCAATAAATAATATTTTATGATCCACTTGAAATACCGTCCCAATAAAACAGAAACTTCTTAATTCTTTTTTTTTTCTTTTTAAAATCATTTCCATTGTTGATGATTTTTTTAATATTCAAATTTTATTTTTTTTGTATCTAAGACGCCGTGAGTTGACGTGAGTAGTTTCGATTCTTTTATTTAAGAATATGTAAGGAATCATCCTTAGTTATGTAAATAATACACGGATCTTGAAAATATTGATTTTTAATTGTTATTTCTTTCTCATAATTTATCTTGTTAAGATTGATTTTAATTTTAGAAGAAATCAGTCAAAGCAAAATTTTGTAACCGAAACTACACAACTTCATCAAAGAAATAAGTTTTACTTATCTTAAAGTTTCTTTTATTAAATTAAAAACCTTTTATACTTATGAATAAAACATCTACTTGATCATGGGATTATTAAAACAATTCTCAGCACTTTCAAAAGCAATCAAATGCTTCAAGCAATAAATAAAACCTAATTCACTTCATTCAAATCTCTTCTTCTCGATTCCTCATCAGCTAAATTTCTCACAGCAATCACAACAATATCAATTTCTTTATTGCCCACAAGAAGAAATCAATTTGAATCTTTAAGAAGTTCGGAAGAGAATTGTAAAAGAATCTTAATCCGATGTAAGTTCTTTTATTTTCTTTTGTTATTCGATTGCCAATGAATTTATGATGATTTTACGAGTAGTAGAGAGAAATACGCGCGGGTTGTGGGAAAACTACTTATAAATCAATTTATTCCAAAAAAATTATAAAAATTCTTGTAGCTTCATGAATGCAAATTTCTGAACTTCTTCGTTTTTTTTTTTGTTCTTTTCTTGAATTCTGATTAAGTAAATTTCGATACCGTGTGAGTCTTCATCTGAAAACAAACAAAAATCTTGACCAATAATTTTCATAATTTTATTATTATTCGAAGATTTTTCTTCATCAAATGATCATAAATATCAGCCGTTCGGTTGTTTCTTTAGGATGCTGATTCGTTTCTGTTTGTTTCTGCTTATTATTATTTCTTTTTGTATTTAACCAGAAGTATAAATGTGCGACATTAAAATATTTTTTTTTATGATTTAAATCATCGATGTTGGGCGCGTTTTGTTTGAAACTGAATTCGGTGAATAAGTTTCTTGATTTTAATTAGGTTCCCCCTCAAGCTGAGCCCATTTAACTCGAAAGCAACCGTAGAAATTCGAGAGAAACGAAATGATTATTATTTTGAATTATTTTCCATCCATAAATAGATCCGTCGGAGAACTTTGAAGCTTTCAGATCAATGTAAAGGGGAGAGAACTGACAACAGGAGATGTCGGATCATTTTTCCCATTAAACGCGCCTTTGTAGGTGGAATAAGAATCATCAACAGATACGGGCCATAAATTATCCGAATTATTAACAAGAAACAAATGAAACTTTAAAGCTGAGAAGTCCACAGCAACCAAATAATGGGCCAAATATTTGTTTAAAGTTCTCGTTTTCTCTTTTGCGGTCAGAGTCGTTGAATGTTAATTAGATTTTCAAATATAGAAATTGATACACTGTCATTCTACCGGTAATATAACTTGTCTCTCAGCCATTGTCTCAGATTTTGACTGTGGTGTTTATAAAAAGTATCGAATTACAACACGAGGACCACAAACGAATTGACCATATGGAATTGATTGTGTCGCAATTAAAACACTTCTCCTTGTTGAATTAATAATCTGTTAGCACCATCGCTTCTTATCTTACACAATTTACCACAATTTTAATTTATCTTATAGCTAAAAGATTGGAATGATGATGAACAAGTTTAAAAACTTCTTTAGTGTGAACGCAAAAATAAATTAAGAAGTCAAAATATTTTGGTAGGTAATTTTACTTTTAAGAGATAAAAACTTTCAAATTCTCTTCAAAACCATTGAAAATTTTATAACAAAGAATTTAGAAAAGAATTGAAAGCATCTTTTACCACCAAAAAGTGATAAATTTTGTTTTCTTTAAAATAAACATCAACAAAGCAATTGTTTGGATCTCAATTGAATTTCTTCCTGTTTCCAAAATATCCAGAAAAATAAAAGAAATTGCTCTGAAATTGTCGTTTAACAAGAGGAAAAATAAAATCAACAAAAGGCAACAGAATGTAATGAAATTCTCAGGAAAAAAAATGGTAAGACTTGAAGGTGCTTCTTGTGCGATGATCGTGAAGTTAAGTGAAGAAAAGAAACACATTTTCTAGACACAACAAAGATATTTATCTCGTCCCATTGCACCAAAGAAGATCTTTCTGATCCTTTTTCACAAAACAAAAGTCGTCCTTTTTCGGATGAAAGTGTGGTTTCAAAGGAGATGAACAAGACAATGGAAAGTCCTACCATGAAAGAAATTTGTGATGAAGTAATTCGAAACTTTAAATTGACTGTTTAAGTTTTTATTATCGACCCATTAAGTCACTTTATCTAAGATTCTTTTGTGAGATGTAAAGCCAGCGTCTTTATGAGGTTTCTTCATGGCGTGACGATGGCGAAAAGTGAGAATTTTTTGGAAAAGAAAAACCAGAAGGAACATTTTTATGTGGGAAAGAGTCGTTTTATAATTTAAATTTTTGTCATTTTGATTTCTGAAGAAAGATTTGGAAATTCTTTAATTCTCTAGACGTTTACCGTCTTTAAGCAAAGGCTTAAGAAATGTTCTCGTGAACAAAGTAAATATCAAGTCGATCCGATCTTCATTTTCAAGCATTAATCTAGCATGGCGCATCTACGTCCAAAGTCTGGAAGAGTTCACTTCGAAGCATTTTCTTTCACTCTCTCACACATTCCATTCGAGGATGCACGTATTAAAAATTCCATTTCATCCTGTCTAAGGCTGAATTTGCATTCTTTTCTACCTCGATATATGGTAGACATGTAGATATGTTAGTGAAAATGTTCTTTCAGCAGAAAGTCATCAATATCATGAAATACCAATCTTTATTTATAAAATGACTTAACAGAAAAAAAGCGACGCAAGAAGAAATTTTTTAACTTTTTTCTCTGTTGTTTTCAGCAAGATGAATCCTCCCGAAAAAAAGGTGAACCAACGACAGTGACCAGATAAAGAATAAATTTATTTCTGGTCACAGCGAAGATCTTAAAACAAACATTCAGTCAGAAACTATTTTTCAATATTAAAGTTTATTAAATTTTATGGAAATTTCGATCGCATTGGAAACATGAGAACTGCAACTTGTGACTGTGCGATCATTTTTATCCAGCTTCCAGAAAAAAGTTTGAATTAAAAAATCATAAATCACACGGTTGGCGTAAAGTCACAGCAGAATTAATAATCACAACATGACTTATGCACTGCCAATTAATAATAATTAGTTTAATTAATAAAGCAGTCAATATTTGGACTTCTTCCAGTGTTTCATTTTTGCAAATCCTCGAATTATCAAGAAGCGAAATATGCAAATTAACAATCGAATAAAAAACTTGATTTAATTTTTAAAATCTTTTCAGTATAACTATTTGAAGTCAGTTAACTCAATGCATTCATCATAAAGCACTTGAAGCGCGTGCGAAACCCAAAAACCATTAAAAAATCAAAGCCCCGAAATGAACAAAAAAACAAATTACCAACTAGCATGCCCTCTCATAAAAGATTTCACAACATTTTAATTTGCCTTGTTTTATGCAATTTTCGCTCGTTCATTTTTTTTTTGTTTTAGCATGAAAAGTAAAAAAAAAAGAAGGAAGTAAAGTAGAGGATTAAGAAATTAATGTAACCGCGAAAGAAAAAAATATGTTTTATGCTGCGCTTGATATGTTTTCATGTGGAATTACAAGCCTCATCATAAAGGCAAGCTTTCAATAAGCAGAACAAACATCAACAGCCACTGGAATCACGCAAAGGAGAATCGGAAAGAACAACAACGTAAATATTTACTCACACTTACGATCAACAGCGACTCCAATCGAATCATATTTATGCAATGAAGAGATTAAATTTAATCTTCAAACCTGATAGGCTCCCAATACATGACTCATGTTTGTGTAAGACAGGTAGCGCTTTAATTTGCTTTTATTTTCAACTTAAGTTTGTGTTTGTATGTAGTAAAATCAAGTGAATTTGAAGACAGAAAAATAAAATTAATATGAAGAAGAACATGGGAGGTGAAAACCGGTAGCAACACAACGATGTGCTTTGCGTAAACTAAAGTCAAGTGAAAGAGAGGAAGAGACACAATGAGAGAAAATTAAATGAGAGAGATATCTATGCGTATAAATTAATTATGATATGTTTATACATCGTGCTAGATTGTGACTCATTTCTTTTATTATTACTTTCTGCACGCTTTTATTTCTTATATATTTGAGACATTGCGACGGCAAACGTAAACGATGGCAATTAAAATCCACTTTAGATGTTCTTTTCAAATCTTTTCTCGTGAATGTAGAACAGCAACATTAAACTAAAAGCTCTCAAAATATTGTATAGTTGTGGTAAATGAATGTATTGCTTATTTATGGGGCGGTGTCAACACCGGTAGCTCATCGTTCAAGTCTTTAATTGAATGAGAAACGAAGAAGCAATTTGGTTTTTTTATATTCAATGTCCATTGGTAAATCGAGTTGAAAATGAAAATGAAGGAATCACTAAGGTTGAAATAAAAATGTTACATGAAGTCGATCGTCGAATTGGTCACTGGTGAAAGTTTAAAATGATTCATGATGCTTGTAAAGGACTTTAAACGTGCATCAAGCGATATGAATCTTTAAAATCTTTCGCGACTGTCAAACGTCTCGACCTCACGGGAAACTTTCTACTATAAATTATCTCAGCTACAACTCACCGAAAATGTTTCTTTTGAAACGTAGTAAAAAATAAAGTTTTTAATTAATCGTGTTGAAGTAGAAAAAAAAAGTTTCACTTCGACAAATTCTGTGATTTGAAATTCACTGAACTTTCAACTCAAAGTTCCTTTTTTATATCTTTTTAATCAACACTTCTTTCTATTGTTCACACCGATTAAACCTTTTCACGGTTCAATAAATTTCTCGATTCTAAATTAAATCTTCAGTTAGTTTTGTCACAAAAAATTTCTTTTGAAATAAACACAAAACTATTTGTTTCAACACCGATCTATCGTCGTCGATTGAAGAAACCGAATTAATCGCTTCAGAAAACTTAAGATGTGCAACAAGCCGACGAGTAGAAAAAAAAATATTATGATGTTGTAATAAATATTATTATATTATATTTCTTTAAAATTTATTTAACTTCCGAACGCTTCTGTGCGTATCGTTATTATGACTAAATTGATATTTCGTACTTTTGGTTTATACGGCTCATACGGTTTTCTTCGTATGTATAACTCAACTCTACGACGAAAAGCCGAGAAGAAAAAATATATCCCCAGTGTGAAGGTAGGTTGTGTATTATTATTTCACGATACTCTTCTTCTTCTTCTTCTCTTCTGGTAAGTCTTTCATAAAATATTGGAAGGTGGCTACTTCAACTTTAAAAGTTCTCGATATATATTTTTTTATGTGTAGCTCGGGAAGAAAAAACTTGCTGAATGAATTGTGTGCCTTTGGATTACCCTCAACAGGGAGAAAAAAAATGAATAAGCGACACAAACACACACAAAGTTACGAACGAACTAACGAACCGAAATGATTGCCAAGCGATCGTCAGAAAAAAAAGAAAGAAGAAAAAAAGTCTTTGCTGGTGTCAGTAAGAAATGTCCAGAAGTCAAGTCGAATATCTCTCTCTAAAGCCGCGCGCGCTGTGCCAAGTAGCTGGAAACTGGAAACAGTTCGGCTCTACTGTCGTTACATTTTTATTCGTTGTATATGTTTCCAGCTCGTCTCTCTTCTTTTTTATGTATTTCAGTTTTCATTAATACTTATTATGCTTCCAACTCCCAATCTGAATAAGCTGTTAGATAGAGCGAGACACGATGGGTTGATCTATCTCGCTTTTCACTCCACCAGCTCCAGATGTGTATATAGCAACTGTGTTTTACTTTGTTGAAAGCAACAACAAATGATATTTTCTTACACTGGTAGCTTATATTTTACTCAGCTTCGCCCCCCTTCATCGGAAGGTCTCGTCTTCTACTCAATCGCTTTTAGACTTCACTTCACTTGTATTGGTTTTCTAATTTGTGATCTTCTATCAGGAAAAAACGAATTGAGAAATCTTGAATGAATTGTTCTTTTTTTCTTCTTTCTTTTTATTTTTGTTTTCCCCTTCATACTGCTCGACGAATCATTCGGAAGGGAAACAAAATTAAACGATCGACTACTACAACAAATCGGAATCTTTTTCTTTTTTTTTTCTTTTACTCCCTGAATTTGTTTTTTCTTGTAGGTGAAGACTTTCTTTCCATTCGGACTTCTAAAAGAGATCATGCATTGATGAGACAACATTTGATCAAGTTTTATGACTCCACCTTTTGTGGTTTACTAAATAATATCTTGTACCTGTGTGAATGAAGTGAATGAAGCCACGCCTGCGAGATTATTTTGTGTGTTCATATCAGACGAGTTTTTCTGTTCAAACCCATAAATTATTGCTAATAAAGTTAATAGTATGAGTGTTTAACAGGAGTTGGGCTGCTACTTGGATTACGCAAAATGAAGTTTTCATCGCTGCTTGATTTTTTTTTTGTCTCACGCTAATGATGATAAATGGCGAGTAAAACTGGTGGCTTAATCTAGTTTGAGACATTTAATAATTAATTGAATTATTTTCTGTGCTGTTAATATGTCAATATATGGTAATTATCGAACATTTACAACCACTCAAAACGAGCGGATGTTTGATATTTAATTACCGAAAATTCACAAACAGTATCTTGAAAAGGTGCAGTTTTAGACAAAAATAAAAAATTTCACAACTCAACCAGGTCGTTTTACAACTTCCTTTTGTCAGTGTGTTATGTGCCGTGGAATCAGGTAAGAAAAACTATTTTCAACCGAAGCACGACACGTTGTAAATCATTTGCTTCGGTACTTTAAAACTTTTCTCCTGACTTTTACAACACGAATTTCATTTTTGAAAAAGTTACTGACCACATGATCCATTTGGTGTCTGTCTATAACTTTTATTACGATGTTGACTCCATTTTCTCTTCAGCGCCTTTATTAATTGAAAAACTCATTTATGGCGAATTATAAAGTCCATCGTAATCTTTTTATGGACATCAAATGTCTACATTGCTTTTATTCGTTTGCTAGAGCTTCAACATAATTTATGGTTCGTTAATTTTCCTTCATTCGAAATACTTCGGGTGTAGGAAAAAAGAGGAAGAAGTAGAGAAGTTTATGATTTGAATAATGAATGTCGATTGGCAAAACGAAGATGATTTTTGTTAAAAATATTTCCCACTGAATCAGTAACGAGAATTCCGTTCCTTCTTCTCTGCCATTCGTGTTCAAGTTCAAAAAGTTCACATCAGAAACTCATTTTTTTCTAGCTTCGTCGAAAGCATCCGCGTTTGTAAATGAAGTTTCCACCATTCTCATAAGCAACCAGTTGAATTCAAATCAACTTGCTGGAATTTCAAAATAAATCTGTTTTCTTCTTTCGCTTTCGTTCCACCGACCGGCGATAGCTAAAAAGATCTTCTGTATTTGGAGGGCGTGGAGGGCCAATGTTTCATTCAAATGAACACTAATTTTAGTGAATATCTAAAGCCAGAGAGGTGCAGAGAATCTACAAATATTTATATTTATATTCCCAGATCAAACGCCCTTCATTAGCCTGAGATTTTTTTTCGGGATTGTTCTGAAATTTTTCAAACGCTGCCTCACATTTTTCTGGGAAAACGACAACAAAGCCCAATCTCGAATTTTTCTGTCTTAACATGTTCTTAGACAAGGAAAAAATCCATAATCACTCTGAGAAATAAACAACAAAGTTTGTGAATGATATAAAAGGCGAACTTGAAAGTCATAAGCAAGCAGAGTGAGAGCGAAACGTTAAAAATTATTGTTATTATATTTGCTTGAAATCTTGTTATTTGTTTGCTGTTGTTTTCAACTCGTCTTAAAAGTTTGAAACAGAAAAATAAGAAACGAAAAAGACGATCATCAATCATTTTATTTATTCAGCTACTTAAACCCACGAAAAATCGGTAAGACACTCGATGGAACTTGTAGCAGGCGCCTTTTAATTCCTTTCACAACATAACTTATTTTTCTCAACTTTAGAGTAATCGTTTTATGGTAATTTGTATAATATTTGAGCAATCACATTTGTTAAATATAACTGTTGAAGTTGCAATGAACATCTCGATGTAATGTTTCATAAATTGAACTTTAGTTGATTTTGTTTTTTTTTTCTTTTTCGCTAAAACTAGGTAAAGTTTATTTAACATCAACTTTCTTGTTTTGCTTTCCATGACTTTTCGATGTAAAAACCGTGAGCTGATTACAGCTAGCGCCTTTACCAGCGTGATCATTAATATAATTTATGCAATTATGACTTGCCATTTATCATCGTCTTACTCTTTCTCTCTTGATTTGCCTGCATCTAGTCAGGATCAAGTAAAATCAATTGAGAAAAAAATATCATCCAATTGGTAACAAAGTTTATGTCATTTAATCATAAATTAACATATTTGTCGAGTCACCGAAAACTCGTGCGACTTCAAAGACAATAAATTTCCACTGTGTGACCATATTTGTAAGAGTGTTCCATTCTGAAAAGAAACATAAAAAACAATTGAAAAAAGAGCGCGCCGACAAATAACCAGCAAATTATAAATGGTGATGTATTCATAGAGAGTTTGAATAACGAACACAAAACGTTCCGATTTCATTTTTTTTCTAAACAAATTAAGAGAAATAATAACTCAATCAGAATCAAAAGCGACACATGTGCCCACAGTATTCACGAAAGCGGAGTTTTGATTTCATGAAAGAGATTTTTTAAAGCATTTTAATTGCTCAAGAATGAAAACTGTTTATTCAGAGTTTTCTTCTAATGAAATTACTTAAAAAAAGAAAAAGAAAAAAAGCTTTGTCGTCACTTTTATGCTTCACTTAAATGCTTAAGTTGCCAACAGGAAAAAGCAAATTGTATAAAGTTTTATATACATTCAAACAATGAAGACGGAAAATCTTACAATGATGAGTCTTCGGAATGAAAATAAAAAAACTTCAACAACGTCCAATTTAAAGATCTTGAACATTAAATTAAGAAATTGGATGAATGTGAATTTCTGCTGATTCCCCCTCTTGCTTAAACACGCAAAATGCAGAAATGCAAATGTCTCAGACTTTAATTATTTTTCATGCTTTTTTATGTTCTGTTGCAGCATAATAGCCGAGCATAATAAACATGAAAATTTCAGTTGATGCATAAAAAACCAGAGCTTCACCCAATGAATACGAATTTTATATATTTTCTTGTGATCAATTTTGCATTTTTCTTTCAACCTCTTATTGTTACATTTTTTTTATTCTTATTGTTATTAAAATTTTATTCATGGGAAAGATTTTTTTCCCTCTGTAAGCATCAACAATGAGATACTGGATGTTCTTTAGTCGAGGCTCGGCATTTCCAGTCTTATTCTGAAGCCACAAAATACTGCCTCGGGATATTTTGGCGATCCCAAGAGTTTTAAGTTTCGCCAAGATTAATAAAGAAAGAAAATATTAACAAACTTCCATATTGTAGTTGGTTGAACAACATATATGAAAAATGGAGACCAGCAAGCTTTAGCTTTACATGCATGAAAATGTATGCAAAATTATAATAATTACGTTAGCAATGAATGTAAATTACGTCACATTTCAAATTTATTATTCAACAGCACAAAATTATAATGAACACAAGTCTTTAAGGAACTAAAGTTGTATCATAAATTTTCTAACATCTCATCTTCACATCATTTTCGCGATTGCTGTTCATTCGTGGGAATTGAACAGTAGCTTATAAGATTTTTTTATGCTTATCCCTATGGTTCACAACTACATAACAATAGAATCGCAGTTGTATTAAATTGAAGTCGTTCGGTTAGTTATTTGAAAGGCGGTGCCTTCTACTCAATTTTTACTGTAATGTGTTTCAGATATTTACTACAATTTGTACTGAAACAGTAAATCAAAATTACTGAAGTAAAATTAATGTACAAGCTTCTTCATTTCACGACTATTTTGAAAGATAGTTTAAAAGTTTGACAACAAATTTATTGATGCATTTATATTACTTTTAATTTCACGATTATCATTAATTTTATTATCATTTCCTTTTAAGTATAATCAATAATTTTAATTATTGAGAGTTGAGTGATCTTCCACTTTGTAATTTAACGGTTAAAAAGAATTTAAATAAGAAATTCACCACAAAATTTTCTCACCATTTGTTCTCTGAAACCTACTTAAAAATTTTTTCAAGCTTTGCAATTATTTTGCTGATTTTACAGATTATTTTGTTAAGAAATAGTTTAGAAAAAATTGACTTATATATTTATGAAAACATATAAATTTAAAATAACTAAGGAAATTGATGAGAGATACTGAAATGGGTGAATAATAAAATACCCTTCAAAAGTATTCAAAGCTTGGTTTTTACTTCGACAGTTCCGATTAGTCCTCGGTCGCGAAAGCCTTCAGTAACAAAAAATAAGAGCTTAAAAATCTCTACTCGCGAGCACCGTCAAATAGTGTGTCCATTGCCAGCATCATTAACTGTGAATCATGTTCCGAACGATAATCGCTCGAAATGAACCGATACTTCAAAATTCGATTCGTCGTGTTAACAAATTAAATACAATTCGCTGTTTGTCAACTCAATGTTTGCGTAAGATTCAAACCGGAAGGTAATTTTAAAAACAAATCACTCCATGGACTTACACGTGGTATATGTTATCAGTTGATATCATAAAATTATGCTATAGAAGTGGATTTAATGCATTTCCTTTCAATTTTCTAAAATCATCAAATGATTATATCACAATTTTTTCGCTCTCCATCTCTCTCACTTCATTTCTCGTCTGATGTTGTTTTCGTGTACTCGACACATTTTTCTCTCTTTAATTAATCTTTCCTTGCTGGCCTCCTTCCAGAAATGCACAAATCACGACTTTTCGTGCACAACCGGCCGTGTGGCGGGTCGGATTCTTCCGTGGATATGCTGATTTACCGGATCACACGAAAGTTCTTCTTCCAGCACTGAGTCCAACTATGGAACTTGGTACTATTGTTAGTTGGGAGAAGAAAGAAGGCGACAAATTAAATGAAGGTCAGTTTGGAATTTTCTTTTTAATTGTCCAGAAATAAAAATTCAGAAATTCTTTTCAGGTGATTTGTTGGCTGAAATCGAGACAGACAAAGCGACGATGGGATTTGAAACACCAGAAGAAGGATATTTGGCGAAAATTCTGTATTCTGCTGGATCCAAGGATATTCCTGTTGGCAAGCTCGTGTGCATTATTGTCGAGAATGAAGACGATGTCGCAGCTTTCAAAGACTTCAAAGATGATGGGTCAGCAGCATCACCTCCTAAGGCAGCTGCACCCACACCTGCTCCACCAACGCCAGCTGCTGCACCTCCATCTCCTCCACCACCGCCCCCATCATCTCGCCCCCTTGGAGCTCAAACTGCCAGTGAACAAAAGTTCGGTGATCGTGTTTTGGCGAGTCCAATGGCCAAACGATTAGCTGAACAACAGAAGCTGCGTTTGGAAGGACGCGGTAGTGGACTTTATGGTTCATTAACATCGAAAGATCTGGAAGGTATGGAGTCAGCTGGTGCATCAGCTATTCAAGCACCTGTCATTCCACCAGGAGCAGCTTACATTGACATTCCTGTTTCGAATGTCCGTGGTGTCATTGCTAAACGGTTATTGGAGTCAAAGAACACGATTCCACATTATTATCTCACAGTTGATTGCAACGTTGATAAGATTCTTGAACTTAGAGCACGTTTCAACAAATCATTAGAAAAATCGGGATCAAAACTATCAGTTAATGATTTTATCATTAAAGCAGCTGCAACAGCATGTAAGAAAGTTCCAGAAGTCAACTCAGCATGGTTGGGCAATGTTATCAGACAGTAAGTCATCAGATTCAGTGTCGTGGCTTGAAAGTTCCGATTCATTGAATTATATTTAATTTCTTTTTGTTTAGATTCGATGCCGTTGATGTTTCTGTTGCTGTTTCAACTGAAAATGGACTGATCACACCAATCGTTTTCAGTGCTGACCGTAAAGGAATCGAAGATATTTCAAAGGATGTCAAATCACTTGCTGCTAAAGCGCGTGATGGTAAATTGCAACCACAAGAGTTCCAGGGTGGAACATTTACCGTGTCTAATCTTGGAATGTTTGATGTCACTCACTTCTGTGCTATCATTAATCCACCACAGTCATGCATTCTCGCTGTTGGCGGTGCACAAAAGCGACTTGTCATTGATGAAACTGCCGAGAAAGGGTAAACAGTGTTTAATTTTAATAATTAAATTATAATTTGTCATCTCATTTCAAATGCAGCTTCAAAGAAAGTACTTTCATCTCGGTGACGGTCAGTGCTGATCATAGAACTGTTGATGGTGCAGTTGGTGCACGCTGGCTTCAATATTTCCGCAAATATATGGAAGATCCTGCCACGATGCTGTTATAAACTACGACAACAAAGAAAGTAACACAAATGTTAAGTTAATTAAGCTTTCATTCAAAAGAAAAAGATGGGAGGAAGAAAAAAAGAAAATCTGCTTAAATATCGCGAAAGTTTTTAGAGAATTTACTTCAACAATCACGTTAAGCATGTTGTTTGTTGTTCACAACGTACTCACTACAGAATCTAAACTCCATCTGATGGAAATAACAAAACAAAGACGGGAACGAATTAAAAGATCCATTTTTGATTAATTACCCCATGGATTAATTGTCTTCATAAAGGATATGTGTTAATTAAATTTTATTAAATAAATTATTTCAATTCGTTTAAAGAAAAAGAAATTTTTTGTTATTTGATTTGAGAATTGAAAATCCCGCAAACGTTTTGTTGATAAATTGTACAGAGATGACAAAGATATGCAGTTAGATTGTAGAAAACATAAAGAAGCAAAACAAAAGCATTGATGGCAAAATGAAATGTTAAGATTAATTACTGTGAAATCTCTATGAATAAATTAAAAGAAAAGACTAGTGAAAAAAGAATAAAATATTTGAGAAAAATCGAACTTTGATGAGTTTTGAAACATTTTTCCCTTCTAGATGTAAGTTAATGTTACATTACGTCAACATAAACCGTCTTAATCACATAATGATCTTCTATTAAATCAATTAATGACCGATAACTGATGACAGATCCGATCACATCGTTAACGAATAAATGCAGTTAGTAAGTAACATCATAGCGATTAAATGAAACTTGCAAGTCACAAAGTTATCTTTCTAAACATATAAAAGCATCAGTTTTTTGTTTCAAACACTCAAAGATAAACTTAATTCAGTTTGATTCTAAATAAATTGGAATTTTAGGGAAGAAAATGTGTGAGATTGTTAAGTTGATTGTTTTTATTGCTTTTTTGCATTTTGGATTTTCTCAGGTAGATATTTAAAAAGGAAAGTTTTGATTAATTTGATTTCGTGTCTTTTTTTAAAGAATTTAAATATCACAAACTTTTCAAATTGTGTTGACGTTCCCATGGATTACCAAAATGATGCTGAAATTAAAGTCATGGACATAGTTTATGAAGCAAACGCGAAAGGCTTCATTGATGTGATCAATGCAAAGTTTCAAGTTCATGAACATCGGGATCATGCAGAAACTGAACTTGTCATGACGATTTATACATGCGCCAAAGGGACCACCGGGACATGTACAGAGAATCCAATCGAACACATCGAAAAAGTTAACTGTATGCGCTTTCACACAGACGATTCAGGCCCTTGGCACATGTTTGCACCGGCTATGGACACACGAAATAAATGTGGAGAAGCGAAAGGAATTTTCGAAATTAAAGGTGCTAAACTTGAACCGAAATTCTTTTTTAATTATTTAGATATCAAAGAAGGTCGCTACAGACTTCGTATGTTGGTTCATCTCCCTGGAAAATCCTTCGATGTTAAGAATTTACGTGGCTGTGTTGAGTTGGATTTCGACGTCGTTAATTGACATAAAACTGACAGAAATGAAATGTTAATAATCAAAATGCACTGAAATTAAATATTATCAATCACAAATTCTAATCAACTGTAGATAGATAAACTGAAATGTCATCAGAATAGATAAAAATTAATGCTTTGACATTGACTTTGACACTCAGTTAATCGTGTCAAAATCAAAGCCGAATAAATAAACAAAATTCACTACCACACTTAATAAAATTAATTAAAAATCCATAAATTTTATTATTCTTCTTTTTGTTTTTATTGCAATATCATACTCAGGAAGAAAACATAAATCAAAACAGTTAATTCAACACATTTGATACTTTCTTTGTTTTGCATCTCACTAGATCGTCGATCACCAGGAATTAAACAAAAAAAAGTTTTCCTTTTTCAAAAATCTTCTTAAATTATGAAACAAGGAAAAGAAAACATCTGAAAATGGATTTTTCTCTTCTTATTTTTGAATTGAACTAGAAATCAATTACCCGATGAGCCATTAAATAGATTCAACTATGCATCTAAATCGCTCACAAATAAAACTTCTCGATTCTGTAAACCCGCGTCGCCTACCGTCAAAACTTGCTCTTTGGAGGAATTAATTATGTCGTTTACAGACTCATAGCCAGTAAATTGATCAAAATGATATCTTCCGCAGTTTAAGATGCGTTTTGGGAAATTTTGGGTGATTTCAAAAGTATCTGGCGCGTCTGGGTGGCAAAATATGAAGTTGTGAATGTCCTGAAAGATTTCCATCAATAAAAATGATTCTAAAAATTAATAAATCAACTTACATTTAAAGAATTTATTTTGAGAAAGCGTCTCGTGATTCTCATTCCGTTTGGCAGTTTAAAAACGATGCTAATTGCATTTGATTCATCTTCTGGTGGCTCCAAAGGCACTCGATGTAGCAACTCCATCTTAAGACGTTCTTTCAGCTCTTGACGTCTTTCTTCGGCCTCTTGTTCCGCTTGAATTTCTCGATTAATTCTTTCTTGTTCTTCTCGTTCCAATTGTCGCTTTCTTTCTTTCTCTTGATCAGCTTTCAAACTCTGTTCGTAAGCTACATCTTGTTGCGCTCTCAATGTTTGAGTCAAGTTACGTTCAAGTCGTTCATGTCGTGCTGCATTCAACCATCGTTCATTATCTCTCACAACTCGTCTCATTCGTCCTAATAACTCTTCAGGTGTGCAGTCGCCTTCCATTCGACCCATGACCGTCATTTTGTTGTCGCGTAAAGCAATTATTACGAGAATTGGATACGACCTCGCATTGATGGAATGTGACACTCTGTAGCCTTCAGGTGATGACACCTCACAAGCCCAAAACAACATGTTCCTATTGATGTAGTCAATAACATCGCGATCTGAAAGCGTATTTCGACAGAAATTCACAGTTTCGGTGATTCGCTGTTGTCCCGATTGGATTTGAGGTGATGACGATTCGGAATGAAGATAAAGAAGAAGAAATTTCAGCTCACGTTTAGCATCGTTTAAAGCTTGAGCATATGTTCCTTGGTAGAAAACTGGATGTGATGGGTACTTGGTGTTGTATTCCTCGATAAACTTCAGCACATCGCCAAGTGGATTCGTCACAACTGAAGAAAAATAAACATAAATTAAATATATTTATAGAACGAATACGACGTTGTTACTTACTTCTTTCTCGTTCAGTGAAAACGCTGAGCAATGTCTGAACAAAGGATGACAATGTCGTGTAGCACCAATTTATGAGCGAATTAACCACGTAAGTGAAAAGTCCGAAAATGCCGCCACTTGGCGCACCTCCATTATTATTATTGCGGTTACTAACGAATATTTGTTGAAAAAATCTATCATTAAGCACTACTGGTGCTCTTGTCTCTAGTGTCGATGCGAATAATGATGGAACACCTTCATTCATTCGCTCGCGCTCTTGGTAAGCGATTTCTAAATTCCAATGATGACGAATTAGAATATCTCGACATACATTTATGTCTTCAATTCCTGTGAGCTCCTGAAACTGGAGGACTTTCTCTGTTTCTTCGTTAGACAGAACGTCATCCATCGTCCGATGTGGCCCAGTTTCGAAACAAAACTAATTTTTCTTCTTTCTCACTTCTTGTGAGTCTGCAGAAAATTTTTATTATTTCGTTTTCACTCACTCTCTGTTCAAAATTCTTAAAATTTATGACAATCTTTAAAAGTTCACACGGTTATCTATAAGACTAATTTGGGTTAGTCGACTAACTTCTGTAGAAAGCAGGTAAAAATAAAGTAAATTTAGAATTTAGGTAAGTTTTTGTTGTTGGACAGGTGTGAGTTGAATGTGCGACTTTTGAAGATTTTCGGATATGAAAGAGAAAGTTTTTGGACATTCCGACAGAATTGAACTTTCTTTGTTTTCAAGCCAAATTATGCTTCACAACAATAACAAAATTTTGATCAACAAATCATTTCTTGTATTTTTCAAACTTTATTCTTATTTCCTAGTGAATCTATGAAAGAAATTAACGTCTTCATAATAAATTAAGATTAGCTTTTATACTTATTCATATTTTTTTAAACTTGAAAATAAGTTTTTCATAAGAAAAATCAAAGGAAAAGTTAAATTTGACAAATCAACAAATATGTTTAACTTAGAAACTGCCAGAAGAATACTCATTGACATTCTTAAACACGTAGCACTTCCAGAAAACAGTAAAAGGATTTCTGAAGCGAAATGTAATTGACGCAGTTTTTTTGTGATTATAAAGAAATTTTCTATTCTAATAAAAATATTTTTGCAGCAAACTCAGGACGTGAAATGATTAAAATGATGCAATTTGTGTTTCCTATTATAATGGAATTGCAGATGGAAGTGATCAAAAACTATGGCTTTTCAGGTCGTGAAGGTCTTGTGCAGTTTGAACAACTCATAAGAGACATGGAAGCCGATGAAGAGATTGCAAGACTCAGACAACAAATCCGAAATATTTATCTCCCTCCAATGAATTCTGCTTCAAGTCCAGATGTTTTAATTTAATCTGCTAATTATACAGTTACAGAAGTATTCTATCAACATTGCCATAAAAAATTATCAGATCAAATCATTCGCGTGCTCGAGCACTATCGAAGTATTTTGTTTTTAAATGTATACAAATATTCGAACTAATCCCTCTGATAAGATCCAATATTTTTTCACTTTATTTCTAAAGTTTATTCTCTACTTTTAAGTAAATAAAAAATAAATTAATCAAAAGATAAAAAAGTTGTTTGTACACAAACTGCAAAGTTTTCTTATCTTTGACAAGCACACATGTTGAAGGTGGTAGGAAACAAGTCTACTTCATATTGTCAGTCTTAACTGGAATACTTACGTTTAAGTCATGAATTTCAGAAACTGAATTTCATTTCTTAAACTCAAAAATTTCTTCACCTCAAAAGTTGTAAATAAATTTAATTAAATGACGTAAGTTTACACACAAAATTATTGTCAAATGAAGATGGTCTATGGAATGTCATAATAATAAATTTATACTTGAATTCAAGGTATTTCCCGACTGCTTATCAGTGTTAGATATGTAATCGTAGCCTTATCATTCCTGTTATCTTTTTATTTTTAATAGTTCTAAGCGAGAAATAAGGAAAGTTGGACGTGTCGCTGCAGTTAATTTCGATAATTTATAAAATCATGGAAAATATTCAAAACATAAAATGTGTCACAATTGGAAGTAAAGCAGTTGGTAAAACAAGTCTTTTAAACACTTTCGCTGTTGGTCCGCAATCAGCTGATGAACCTTTTGAAAATTTTAATGGAATTAAAATAAAGTTGGAAGTTGATGGTGAAATCTTTCAATTAGAATTATGGGACACAAATTGCGAAAGTCACAACAAAATGATAAGAAAAGTTTATTATAACAAATGCAATGTGATTATTCTTTGCTTCTCAGTGATGGATCATGAATCTTTCATGGATGTCAAGAAAAAAGTTTGTGATAAATTTAATGAAATCGGAATATGAAATGAAAAATATTTGCATTTTCAGTGGCAAAGTGAAGTCGAATACTGTTGCCCAGCCGTGCCGTTGTTACTTGTTGGAACGAAAAGTGATTTAAGACATGATCGAGTTAGTCTCTTAAGACTTGATAGGATAAAAAATCAGAAACCTATTACAATAGAGAATGCAAAGAAAATGTCGCGTAAAATATCAGCTGCGTCTTATCTTGAATGTTCGGCTATTAATGGAGTGAGATTGATTTGATTTTAACGCTTTGTTCGTGTAAAATATCTGATGAAAATAAATTTCTATTTAAAGGAAGGCGTAAAAGAAATCTTCAATGAGGTTATCGAAATCTATAAAAATCCTCCAAAATTGCAGAAGAATTGCTGTGGGATATTTTGATATCTTTTACGATTGCTTCCTATAAATCATTATCGCACACAAATACTTGAAGAGAGTTCAATAGACTGGGAGGTAACATAAACTCAATCAATGTTCTTCATTTCAAACTTCCTGAAGCAAAACATCGAATATTACAAAACCAATGGAAGTGTCACACTTCAAATTTGAATGTTGAAATGAAAACGTGGAGTTTTGTGATTTTATATTTTAGTAAATTGAAATTCTAAATATTTTATTAGAATATGACCTGTGATGGAGTAGATTGCTGGTGAACATCTTTCAACTAGTAAAAGAAGAGAAGAAGCTTCATTTATATTTCATTGATTTGAGCTTTTTATTGAACATCCAATGTACAATGAAATCTGATGTTTGACGACTTGAAATGTTCAATTTTATTTCTATAAAACAAATAAAAGAAACTTTTAAAAGATAAAACATGTCACATAGAAATTTTATGGCATTTTCAAACTAGATACAATTTTGTAAGTAGGTGAATCTATGAGTTTACTGCAAAAACAAAAGAAGTTGATATGTATTTCTTTCACGTATTTTATTAAATAACTTTTCTTTCTATCCATCTCATGCCATGTGTGTTGTGTGTGCTTTCTTCTTCCAGTTATACATTTATGTTGTGTATCTTTTAGATCTAAAGTAAAAAGTTTGTCATCGTGACAAGGTAGAAATATCCTTTAGAACTTTAATGAAGACACAGATCACGGAATGGAGAGATTTGCGTGATAAGTTTTATAATTAAGCAGAGATTTAAAGATAAAGCAATTTAATATTTTTCATGTTCTAAATAATTAATTACTTACAGTAATAAAAAGTTTTCTTTTTATTACAAACGAAGGTCTTTTTAAGAAGAACAACTCGCGAAATCTTTTAAAATAATTCGAATAGAAGAAGCATTGAATATTTACAGTTTTCGTTGAGGAATGAAAAAGGAAAAATTGTTTGTTGAGAGAGAGAGAATTTTCCAGGAGATTTTTCATTTCCATTGAACCGTTTCAACATTCCAGCGTTAAGTTTCTGTCGGTTTCTGTTGAAAAATATTTTTATGACTCAGATTTTCATTCTTTCACATAAAATGATATTCAACAACGATTAAATTTATGTAACAATAGCTTCCTCGTTGTGTCAAAATATTTTTCTTCTTGTTAAGCACGAACAGGAAGGAACAATTAACATTGAAAACAGTATACGTGCTCAAGTATTTGAAAGCTATTAAGAGAAGACGACTCAATATTAATGAAAAGTGTTGTCAAGAATTTTCTTTTGTTTCTAACTTTTATAAGAATTAAAGAATTAAAATTCATTCAGTTAAAGAAAAAAGATTTTTTTCGATGATTTAAAATTATTAAGCAGACGTCAGAAGTTTTATTATTTTTTTTACTTACAAAACTAAAAACGTTGAAAAACTAAGAAAAAAATATTTCGATTTAAAAGTTTGATCACGTCAAAGTTTAAATTGCATCTTCTACTTATTCAACATTAAGTAATGTCAGAAGTTCAATTCAATTTATTTTTTCACATTCTAACATTTTATTCACGATTTGTACAGGTAAAGTTGGATTTCTGATGATCCTGAATTAAATCGAAACTAGGTAGAAATATTTTTCGAGAAAACTTCGATGCAGCATTTTCTTTTAGAAGGAAACTTTCATTCAAAAGAAAGTTTTCCACAAGAAGAAAAATTAGATATCGTGTCATGTTTCATGTCAACTGAAACTTTCTTTTTCAAAGAATTACAAGTAAGGCTTGTCTAATGGACTTTCCTTGAAGTTTTTCATTTAAATTATCTTTGATAATTCCCAAATTCTAATACTTTGATATGAAATAATTGAAGATGAATTCAACGGGAAGTTAAATGGAAATGAATTTATTTTCCTTCTTCTCAATCCCCCCTTTGTAACCTCAATTTTCATTAGCGTGATTACCGACCATTTCGATGAAGTGTTAATAGATTTTCAAAGAATTTCAATTTTTTGATTTTCCTTTAATGGCGTTTCCCTTGTGACTTGCAATCAAACTATCAATAAATTTCACTTGATATTGCAGGCCATCCTTTCTTCCATTTCTTTCAATCGATTCATCAACCCCATGTGATTCAAACTTCTTTCCTTACTTTACCATTCGAGAGAATTTCTTTTTTAGTCATTGAAAACATTCACATTCCCGTGCAACCCACGAAAATCGATAATCCATCTTGGGTGTTTGCAAACTTCGAAGAACAAAAAAAAAAATGTCCCGAAAGAAAAAGAAAACTTTTACTTTTTTATTGAATTTGATGGTTCGATTAGTTTCATCCCAAATACTTTTATTAGATTACACTCAACTATAGAACACATCTCAATTTATAAATGCTATGATGTTGTTGTCGAGTTGAAGTACGGAACGGGAAATTTTCTTATCGAATTGTCAGCAGAGGTAGAACGAGGGTGAACTTTTCTAGTGGAAATGGCTTCAATTATCTCACTGATGAGTGACAATAATGACATCAATTTATTTATGTATAATACCATCAAATTGAACAACTGAAAAGCGAATCATCTTCATTGATAATGAGACGATATTTAGTGATAATAATTATTAATTTGTCAATTTGATTGCTTGTGGATGGAGCGAATTCAATGTGATTCAAATGATTATACAACAGAATGAAATGGGGGATTTATTATTAAGCTCCTTATCGAAACAAACTACTTTTGTCTCATTGACAAATTGTTCTCGTTTCTCAAGCATAAATGTTGTGAAAAACAACACAAACAAGGGAAAAAATATTTCGGCACAAAATCGATAACTTTTCCTGGACTCAACAGCGTCGTTATGACTCATTTCCGCGTTTTTTTTACAACGTTGTACAAAATAAGTAATTTCATTACAAAACAAAGCTTCTTCTTATCAATTCAAGACAGATGTCGTCGAGAATCGTAAAAATTAATTTTAATGAATAATAAAAAGTCGCAATAAACTACACGCCTTTCGCTAGTCGTTTCACACAATTGTGCTATGTCCGTTTTTATTGCGCAACGAAACAATGTAAATGTCTAGAAAAACCGTCCTGGCGTAATTCGAATGTCGTAAAAATGCTGTAAAACTAGAAAATGTGGTGAAAGGAGAGTGTTGTGGACTGCGAATCATATCATAACTTCCATCACGACACATTTTGAGCATATTTAAGTCGCATTAAAATTATTCCTATTCTGATTAATTGATGATTCCCTTCAGTTTCATTTTTCTTTTTTTAATATCATCTCTTGATAATTAAAAGCAAAATTATTTTGGAACCAGCAAGACTCCATCCGTAGAATACTTTCGTTTTACGACAGACCGCAATTGCTTACATTGTTTATGCTTGGTGGGCGAGATTCTTCTCGAATGAAATGACTTTTCAGTTTTCGTTCGCATTAAATTAGATTGAAATCACGACTAGAAAATGAGATTTCAAAGCCGCTGGTGCAGAATGAAACAGCGAGAATAATTAGATGTCGTGTAGAAAAATTGTAATTTAATTTGAATGGAAATTAAGAATTTAAAAGAATGCGGACGAGTTGGACTTTATGGGTTTAAATAATTTCCTTTCCTATTTGAGATGTTAACTTACGTTTAAATGAATGTGAAAATACTAAAAGGCTGGAAAAAATGGAATCAGAACGAAATTTCTACGCAGTTTTCCAAACTTACAAAGATAATGCTAATAAATGCATATTTTTCACATCTAAAACCATAAAATCATTTCATGAATGTGTTTTATGTGTTATTAATATTTATGGCATTTTCACTTTTCTACTGTTTTCATTTTCCTTTTTGCTGGAAAGAAGTGAAAGCGTGGGTGCAAAAACACATTTTATGTTTCAGTCAAAAAACAATTAATTCGTATCCAGTTGGGTTGAATGTTTAACGTATGCAAAATTGTCTATTTAACGAGCCATTTCTGATGTATGACGCATCATCATGTAACGTAAATGTATGTGGATTTTTCATAATTAAAATATGCGAGTGTTAATCCCCAAAACGGCTTTTCCAACATTTTATTACACCAAAGTCATTCAATTTATGGATGCAGGAAAATCAATATTCAAAACCTTCTCTCTGGTCTTCATCACCGGATAATTTGCAAATTGCAATGAAATTCAGAGCGAAAAATTACTTTCATAGAAAAATTTCTCCCTCGCCCAAAGTTCGATGAGATTATGGAAAAAATTTAAATTGAACGGAACACGAAAAACGATTTGTTGATTTTTTTATGGTTGCTTGATTTGAACTTCCCTGCCATCACTTTCTTTTAGTTCTCCTCAAATTAGCATAGCATACTGACTCAGTATTCAAGTTAAAATCAAATTAATTTTAATTTAAGTAACAGTTATTCTCCCCTTGGTATCCCCCAAATTTCAACAAATAAGCAAACACGTTTCTAGCATATAGTGCGCATGTTAAGTATAATTCCCTGCACTGACCCTGATTTACCAAGGAGACCTAATTTGCCTTGTTTGTTTATTTTAAATTTTCTCATAAATCTTTAAAAAAATAATTTCTTAAAGATGACTGATGACAAAATAAGTAAAAAAGAACTCAAGAGAATTGAAATTCAAAAGCGAAAGTTTCAATTAGAGCAAGACAGAGTGACAAGACCAGGTGAATGTAATAAATTCATTACTGCCGTGATTGATGCTAAAATTGTGAATAAAACTGTTGGAAGTAAAATTTTATCATCATTGAAAGAAATTGAAATCAAAGCGAAAGTATCAAATTCAACTATTTCAAACACAATAACATGGAAAAGGCTTATTAACAAAAGAATAATCACAGATTCAGGAGAAGTCATTGAGTTTGATAAGATTGAACAAAACGAACCTCACCTTCTGATCATTTTATCAGCCGAAGAATTTGTGAAGGTTTCAAAAGAAAATCAACTACTAAGCATTGTCCAAACAGCACAATCTGATTTTTCCTTGAATCTCAAGTCAACCACACTCATCATTTACGGCTTAAAAGATTTCTGTCGAAAGAAGAAAAATGTGATTGGAATCAAAGAAACTGAAATAAAATTAACGCAATTAATGTTGCTTGCAAACTGCAGTCATCGACTTCATGAAACTCCTGATGACATCGCATTAGCTGTGACGCAAATGAGTAAAGCAATTGCCGAGGAGCCATTTAAAAGCAAACAAAATAAAAAGCTGGATCAGGAGCAACTTTACTTGACCAGTGAAGTGAAAGTGAATGCCAATGAAAATTCAGACTCTCTTGCACGATTATGGCATGCTCAACTTACAACTTTCCCTAAAGTTACTTATGAGGTAGCACAGTCGATTACTAAAGAATATCCACTGCCAAAAGTACTCATTGAAGCTTATAAATCATCCACAAGTCCCGCAACAATGCTGGCAAACATTCCAATCATTAAAACCGGACCTTTGGCAAAGAACAGACGAATTGGGCCGGAGCTGTCGAGAAAGATTTATACTCTTGTCAGAAGTCAAAATCCAGAAGATATTATTTGAGTTTTAAATGTTTTTGTAATTGTTTATAAGAAATTTTAATTATTTTTAATAGAAAAGTAAGAAATGAAATAATTTCATGCTTTAAAGCTTTTAATTCATTCACATTTTCAATAATTTGTGTAATATTCAGCTCTCTCTTTAATAACTCGAGGACATTCTTATCTGAAAAATGATGGCACGACTTGTGATTTATTTGTTGTCGTATTCTCGAGCGATTACTTTCATTTTCATAAATAAAATGTCAAATGACATGTTTAAGCCTTAAAATTGCGTAATCCGACGTTGTAATAATGAAGTCGTCATTATTTCAATTATTTTGAAACTCATTTAAATAGGATTAAGTCGAGAGAAGGAAGTTTGTAATTTGACTAAAAACTTTAATCTCGAAAATGAAACGAAAAGTTTGAAAATTCATCAAATTTCACAGTTGAGTGAATGTCATGAAAAATGTAATGAAAATATCAAGAAAAAATAAAAAGTTTTCAATGAAAAATGGGGACAGTGAAGAGCAGGGAAAGGAAAGGAAGCCAATTCGGGCAGAAGTGACTGGGAAAGAAAACAAACAGTTCAAGAGAATGATGAATTGTTTGCATGAAAATTCAAAAGGGAAGTCAAAGGGGAGAAGCAGGTAGTGAAGAGAAAAGCGAATGAATGTGAAACGAGAATCGAGCTTCATGTCATTTTTATGCAGAACAACAATTTCTCCAACATTCATCCAAGAGAAATGAAAGTTGGAAGTCGATGAGGGTCATTCGTTGTTATTCATTTGATAGATAAAGTCATGGAAGTCGAAATGATGATTTTCATCAGTCAAAATGTCGATAGTCATAAATGTTCTCATTTAAATAACAAAACGATTGAAGGAAGGGAAAAGCTTTGAAGAAGCTCAATGAACGTGAAAGTTGAAAAAGTCATCAGTCGAAGATTAAAGAGAAAAACATTTTCACAAGAAAATTCTTTCTTTTAATTGAAATCCACCACAAAAGCGAATCCACATCAATGAAAAATGAGTAAACAATGGAAAATTATGATGCAGAAAAATCTTTTATCTCAACAACTTTATGAAAGCTCAAAGTCGACATTCAAACGTTCACTAAACCTCGTGTTACAAAACATCACATCATCCTTTTATGATTCGTTTGATCAATTTTCGTCTTTCTCTTCGTTTTTAATCTTTCAGTTTCCACTTGAACAAAGAACAAAAAATCATTTTTATGAATGTGGGGTCGTGAAATCTTTTGATATGATTTTCCATTTTAATCACAATTATCGCAATGCTTGGGAAAAAATCTTTACAGAAAATATTTTATTTCGTTTAATTTAATGATTAAGTTATTGTAAGTGATAGCAAATTTTATGCTTTCTACAAAGTGTTTTCAGTTTGTTTATTTCCACAAAAGCACTGGCAACATGAATACCCATAAAGATAATAAAATTATCAATCATTTCCCAAATGTTTTACATTATTCGACATTATTATTCCGAGGTTCAAACCGGACCCAAACCCCACCATGAGCTCTCAAAGTAATTCTAAATACGGGCTCGATTGAAGTCTTTCCAGGTACTGGCAATAATTTGAAGTTCCTTAGAATCGATGATATCACGACTTTCATTTCAATGAGTGCAAACCGATGACCAATGCAATTTCCTAGGTTCATTAGAAGTGAACATTAATAATTTAATCAGAAAAACATAAAAACCTACGAGAGCCTGCAGAGAATGGAAGATAAGCGTAGGGATTCCTATCTTGACATTGTTCGGGTGAAAATCTCTCAGGAATAAACTTCTCTGGTTCTGGATAAATGCTTTCGAGTCGATGAATCGCATAAGGGAAAATGAAAACATTGCAACCCGCAGGTAAAATTGTTTCTCCACATTTAATATCCGCTCCCAGACATCGAGCAAATAATGGAACAGCAGGGTAAAGTCTGTAAAGTAAACAAATAACTAAAATAAAAATGAAACAAATTAATTACCGAAGTGCTTCTTTTATGCACATTTCGAGATGTTTCATGTTTCTCAAATCATTCATTGTTGGTAATCTGTCATCATCACCAAATATTTCATTCAACTCCTCGTAACATTTTGATTGATGGTCTTGATGTTTAGTAAGAAGTGCGATGGAGAAAGCAAGAGACGCACCAACCGAATCTTGTCCCTTTGAAAAATGAATGAAAAAAAGGAAAATTTGAAGCTTTCAATTTAAAGACCAACTCACAGCAAGCATAAATGTGACTGCTTCATCAACGACGTCTTGTTCATTAAAGTTTGAATTATTTTTTGAAATTTCCAACATGTAATCAACAAGTGGCTTCCTCGTTTTTATGTCGTCATCTTTCATCATTTCTCGTCTCACTTGAATCATATCTCGAGCGAAGTCATCCAATCGTTTCTTTTGTTTAACTTCATCAGAAGCATTTGAAGTCATGGAGTAGATCGAGTTGAAGAGAAGCCATGGATTTGCCACACGATGAGATGCGACAAGCTTTCCCCTTGTGAATAATTCAAGTTTTAATGTAGTTTAATTAATCAGAGATGTGTTTGACTTACTGTCGGAAAGGTGAGTTGTCCTTATTTAAATCTGCAGGAATACCAAAAACTGACTCTGGTTTTAAAATGATAAATGTGATTGAGATTCTCACTGCCATTAACAATTAAACGTTTTAATTTACCGTGCAAAATGTCCAACACTCCATCATTGATTAAAGTTGTGACGTTTGTTTCATCTTCGTCTTTAATTTTCTTAATCAAATTTTGAGCACTGTCGCCAAATATTTCGATAAATTTTTCAATGATGTTAATATTAAATATTGGATTAAGAAATTTCCGATGTTTTCTCCATTTCTCTCCTGAACTTGTTATCAATCCGTCACCAATGAAATTATGCAAAAGTTTGTAGTAAAAAGATTTTTCATTGTGGTTGTTGGATCCGAGGATAAGTTGAAGATATTCCGGCTTAAACACAATGAAAACTGGTAAAAAGCTGAACCACATCCGTCCAATCGGTCCATAAAGTTTGTAAGCCGAAGTCAAGCGAGCAATTGTAACTAAATTTTAATTGAATTAATGAAATTTTCTTAATTTTTCATATTTAATTTACGTTGACTTTCCCGTGCCATAGAACAATTTCCAATTATTGGATATGCTTTCGGACCTGGAGTTCTTAATGCTATCATTACGTGACGAAAATATTTGCTATGAAATATTTTATAAATCAACATTACAACCACGCTCGTACATATCCAAAATTTCCATTCAATTATCATTTCTTGATCAAACTTCAATAAAAATTTAAATTGAATTAAGAGAAAAAATATTAACAAAGATCGGAAAATTAAAAATTTCGTCTTTAGCCACTCACTTTTCGAGGAAATATTAAGTTTTTCATGATTGAGTTTTAAGTTCTCAGTGAATAATCTAGAAATTGCAACACCTCACTTGAATGATTAACTTATTCAGACGCAAAGATAGACTAAAAACTGAATGAAATACTTCACGTCTTATATTAAATAAGAATACAGTGGCATTATATCGAATTAAACAATAGAGACAAAACAAACTTGATGTTTTGAGCTATGAACAATTCGCGTACATATTTGATATCAAAACAACATCGCGAAGTGAACAAAAAATTTCGACAATTAAAGTTTTTTCATGAACATTTGAATAATAAAAAAATTGAATCTTTGTGAAGAGCATTTACTGATTGAATTTAATGTTCAGAATATTAATCGCAACAATTTTTAGCTTTGTAATTTGTGGATCGTTTCGTTTCACAGAATATCTTAGGAAAAAACATTAATTAGAGTGCGAATATTGGAAAGAAAACAAACCAAATTGGCAAATAGCTAATAATGATCAATTATAATCAATTTTTATTTCTAATAAACAAAAATTGTGTAATAATTATTTTATGGCTTTTATATTGAGGCTACACGTTGCCTTCATTCTCATTGTTTCCTGACCAGTCTCTTGTGAGTGTTTCAGCCTTGTCTTCGACATAAATCCGCTTTGAAACTTCTCTCGAGAGAAAAGTCTTCATCGTAAACTTACCCCAAGCTCTTGTGATGCTAACACTGCCAATTTACGAGTTCAAGGGAAGTCGAAGAAACTTTCAACACTCAATAAAAAGCACGAGTTGTACATTTTGCTTAGTTTTGTAAATAGCTACACTTGCTACCACCAAAAAGATTTATTGCAAAATGATTTGGAGAAAAGTTTAATTTATTTATGTTTCAGGTGTTGAAACTTCCTTTAACATTTCCCGTCTTCCTTTAAACTTCTTCAACTTGATTAACTTTTCATGTGTCAACATCGAACGTGTTCATGACGATTCGATAAAACTTTAAAACTTTCTTGAAGCAGAGAAAAGGCGAGAAAAGTTTTTCCGTGTTATCGCTAAAATATTTTCCTTGTTTACTTCACGAGAGGCTGCATAAATCATTGAACATTGTCGATAGCATAAAAGTTCATGAAATCTTCTCAAAAGGTTGTTTCTTGTTAAGTTAAAGCGACTTCAATTATTGATGCGCGAACATAAACGTTGCAATGATTCTAAGTGAAAGTACATTGAATGAGCATTTCAAATGAAGTTACGATAATTTTCCAAGCTAAACAACCAACACACGGTAAGCATTTTATATCGTTTGGGGTTGAAACGGATAATGTGACAACAAAATGAATCTGAGATGGATTTCATTTCAATTCTTACACAATTTTTCCATTTACAGATTTACGTTTTTTTTACTGTCGATTTTTATTGTTTTCCTCGTCTTTAATGTATGAAAAAGTGTTCATGATTTAAATCCTCAACATAAATCATTGCATAGATGAGCAACTTTAATTTAAAGTTATGTCACCAATGAACGAAATTCTCGGTACAATAAAAATGTTCATGAGTTGATCATAAAATGAAATTCGATTTTGGTTCACAAGAAATAATCCGAGAACGAAATGACATCTGCATGCTTTCACTTTTCCAAACTGTTCTTTTATTATTAACATAAAATAAATGTTTGCACATACAAATGAGCTTTGAGGTTGAAGCTTGAACAAAGAAGTTTCTTGATGTTTGTCATTGGAAATGTTTTGAAAATAAAACTAGTCGAGTCTCCTTTATAAGTCTTCAACTTTAATGTTCTTTTATATTAATTTTCAATCTAAAGCATCTGCTGTAGTTGTTCAGTCAATTGAAGTTAACATCAATAGACAGATGTTGGAATTGAAAAGCTTTTTAACAACTCAAAGACTCGACGTCACCCATGAAAGGAAAATCAGAAAATTTAATGAAAGAAAAACTAAGCGCATAGTTTACAAAAATTAATTAACCTTTGCATCTTAAACTGAGTTATTTTCTGCTCTTTTCATTTCATTTTGAAATGAATAAGCTTTTCGTTTAATTAAATTTTATTCTATTTTGTGCTTTATAAGAAAGTTTTTTAATCTCAGGAATGTCGTATAAATTTCGAAAACTTTTACCTTCTTGCAAATGAAAACTTTCGGCTTTGACTCGACTTGTGGAAGAAATGGAGAACTTCATAAAGTTTTTAATTTCTTATTTAGTTGGCTGTGTAGATGAAATAAGGTTTTCTGAGAAGAAAATAATGTAATTAAAGAAAGGCGCTGAGATGATCTAAGAATTACTAAACAAAAGACGAGACATGGAAAATTTGTTTCTGTCTTATCAGTATTCATGTCACAGATGCCTTCCATTTCTTCCATTTTTTCATCCTTTCTCATGACGATGACTTAGGTTGACTTTAGTGAAGATGG